TCGGGTACCCGTCGTGACGGGCTTTTTCGGCAACGTCCCCGGCAGTCTTATTGATGGCGATATCGGACGCGGGTACACGGATTTGTGCGCAGGGTTATGTGCAGTTGGCCTCAAGGCGGAGGAACTGCAGATTTGGAAAGAAGTTGATGGCATCTTTACAGCAGATCCATCCAAGGTTCCAACAGCACGGCTTTTATCATCGATTACACCATCCGAGGCCGCTGAATTGACGTTTTACGGGTCAGAGGTTATTCACCACCTTACTATGGATCAGGTCATCCACGCTCAGCCTCCTATACCGATCCGCATCAAGAATGTCAAGAATCCACGCGGCAACGGTACCATTGTCGTTCCTAATCCTGTTCTTTCAGCAAGTCATCAACTGCTTCGCAATTCTCCGTCAGAGGTACAGTGTATTAAGACTCCTAAGCGACCTACGGCTGTTACCATCAAGGATCACATCAGTGTCATAAACGTTCACTCCAACAAGCGCTCCATCTCACACGGGTTTTTTGCTCGAGTCTTCTCCATCCTCGACAAGTATGCCATCTCAGTCGATCTCATCTCCACGTCCGAAGTCCATGTCTCCCTGGCGATTCATTCTGTGAGCACGCGCATTGACAACTTTGCCAATGCGAAGCAGAGCCTGGCTGAGTGCGGCGAAGTCAGCGTCTTGTCTAACATGGCGATTCTCAGTCTTGTTGGCGCGGATATGAAGAATATGATTGGTGTTGCTGGCAAAATGTTCTCCACGCTCGGTGAGCATAACGTCAACTTGGAAATGATATCTCAAGGTAAGCAACTGTCTGGTGTTCCGACATATATGGCCAGTGCTGCGAAGCAAAAGGGCCAGCAAGATTATGTTCAATTGCAATGACGATTTTACTTTTTGTTGCTAACGCATGTTTTACTGTAGGCGCGAGCGAAATAAATATCTCATGTGTCATCGAGGCGCGGGACGCCACGCGGGCCATGAATGTCTTGCACACGCACTTATTCACGTTTCTCGAGTGAGGCCGCACTTGAGGTCATAGTGCGACGTAAAGTATGTGTAGGGCAGATGGACTATCCAGTAACTTCTCATTCAGAGATTCGAAGAGTGTGGCGATTGCGTCGCGTTGGAAACAGTGGCCAAAGGACTGCAAATGTCAAGGTAGTATGGTCGGCTATCAATTGATTGATCACGGTAGTGGGGATTGCTATGATACAAAGGGCTCGTTGGCATATCTACTTTTTGGTGGGTGGATGTTTGTGTTGGATAAATCAGGTTGGGAGTTTTGGGGGCAAAGGTTGATAAAATTCCACGTCATTTGTAGACACACATGCGCACATTTGGGCTGGACTTGTGTTGAAAACTGGAGCGTGACGGTTTACCGAGCGTCGTATGACCATATTCAACCTAAGTGACAGACCAAGACGATTAAATAGCTGTAAAACTGCATATCCATACAGACACAAATTCACATGTGCCATTTATAGTGGAAAATTAACAGACTGATTCAGGGTAGTCAGGCAGATGTTACGTCACAACAGCTGTTCGGCCTGTGGCTTGGGTCGAAATAAATGAGGGGCCACAACTCTCTGACAGGCCGCCTCGAACAGGGGTCTTGCCAACCTCAATTCAAACCGCGGTTTGACATTGAAGAACGTGGCAACTTACATCTTGATTGCATCTCCCGGCAGCGTTCACCGATTTCCCGGGCCACACGAGGCCAACACGATCATGCGGGTCGGCCATACTCGGAGAATATAGCGGCACCGGGAAACGTCCAACGACGCTGCGAGCCGGGGCGGTGCTTGTAGCTCTTCTCCACGCCCACCTAGCAGCCAGCCTCGCCCCTCGGCTCGAGTCTCATCCACCGACAAGATGAACAGGCACAAGGCTGCCGGTGCTCCCAAGGGCGCCGGCATCCTAAATGCCCTCAAGGCAATGGAGATGATTGATGTGAAGTCAAAGCTCCCGGCTGGTACGAAGCCCCGCTGTGATGCCGAGCTGGAGTTGCGTGCTGTTTTGGGGGGGGGGGCTAATGTTTGTGAGAAATGTTTAGAGATTTTCAACCACGTTATCGATTATTTACCCATTGCCGACCAGCTACGCGTGGCACGAACGTCTCGTAAATTACAAGAAATGGTGTACGAAGACACAAGATGGGTGTCGCGGCTAAAGAGCATGAATTGCTGGGACGAGAGAGAGGCACGGAGGCGGTTTGAAGAGTCTCTGCGTAAGAGGAGGGAGGCTGCGAAGAGGGCTTCGCAAGCTGCGGCTGCTCAAGCGGGGGGTGCGGCGGGGGGCCAGCTACAAGCGACGACATTGTTTGATGCGTCTGTCGAAGAGCAGAAGCGCAGAAGGGCCGTCTCTGAGCTGCGAGACGGGTTTGAGACGCTGAATGTTGCCGGCGGCGGAGGTGCTTCGGCAAACGACGCGCCCCAGGACTCGGATGCTTATCTGGAGGTGTTTAAGAATGCAAAGAGCATACGCGGCGCCGCGAGGCAAGAGTACGGCAAGATATACGGCGCTCTGGCACCGTTTTACCTGGACATTGTCAAAGCCAAGACGCACACTGATCCGATTGTGTTCAAGGCTTTCCGTGATCCGGAACGGCAGGCACAAATGCTGGCGAACTTGCTACGGTTCGCAAAGAGCGACTGGTCGTCGGGGTGTGACGAGAGGGAACATAAGCTCATTAATATGATGGGGTTGTTTGAAACCGCGGTACTACGGGAGTTTGAGCAGGGCTATGAATTCTGGGATGTGGATGGGCGGATGAGGCGGTATGCGCATGTCTTGCACACTTTGAACGGTGCGAGAGGCGGCATCGACTTGTTCATTCACAAGCATCCAATTTTCAGCGATCGCGAGTTGACGTTGAGCCCGGTGGAGGGTCTGAACGGTGTCGCGGCAGATGAAATTTCACTAGAGCCATCACGGCGGTTCTTTGGCGTGCTGTTGGCAAAGGTCAACGAACAGGCTGATGTTATTAATCGCATCTTTCCGAATGCAAATGAGGTGTTTTGGGAGTTTGTCGACAAGGTGAGAGAGGATGTCATCATGGAGTACACTACGCCGCTTTTTGACGAGAGCCACGAAAGAAGCATATCAGCGTATTTGAAAGCCATTTCTGGTGTTTTCGAGCAGTCGATGCGCTTCTTTCAATCGCTGACGCCGCCGCCGCCGAAGGAGGTGAAGGACGGTGACGCAGATCATGTCTTGGTTTTGAAAACTAAAGAGCTCTTGCTGAAACTGTTTGAACCACATCTCGATTTATACCTGCAGGAAGAGCTGGACTCCTTCACCAAGCATGCGGAAACGGTGGTATCGCAGTGGGAGAAGAAGCTGTCGGAGGAGGACTCGTCCCTCGAGTCATTTTACATGGCCAATGTGAATCGGTCTGCTGAGAAGTCAGACTTTTTGAGCTCCTTCAAAAAGGTGGTCATGATGCCGGTCACGGTGCTGCCCAATTTCCCCATGGGCTCGCCATTCGCGACGGCGAAGCCCACTGCGTCTACTTCCACGTCTGCAGCGGGGAACGCCTCGACGGCGGTGACACCAATGCCCTCGCGGCCGGAAACCCCAGGTCTCGGCGGACGGGCTAGTCCTATGCCCGGGTCAGGCAAGGCACCTACCGATGAGCTGGCGGCCAAGGCAGCCATCATGGCGTCGAAGCTCGAGGGTATCAAGTCCCTCTGCAGCATCGAGGTGGCCCTGAACCTGGTACACCTGGCGAAGACCAGTCTCGGCCGAGCAGCAGTCTTGATTCCCCTCGGGGGTCAGGTCGGCGGCGAAGCAAAGGAGCAATGCGCGACCATGTTCGTTGTGCTGCTCCGTATCCTTGGCCAGCGTCACGTCAGGAGCGGCTTCGAAACCGCCGTGAGCCACCTGTCCAACTACAACCCACGGGACGTAAGCGACCACAGCCAAAGGGGCGTGGCACCGCTAGTCACCTTCATCGAGCTCGTCAACGTGGGCGACCTGATATCGCAGATGATTGACGTCTTTTACGAACAGCAGCTGGCGGCGCCCAAGATTGCAGACAAGAACGACTTCCTGGACCCGGCCGGCTTGGCCAAAAAGAAGTTTGAGCAGATGCTCGACGAGAGCGTCGCGGCCGGCCTCAACAAGGGCATCGACGTGCTCATGGACGAGGTGGAATACCTGCAGTCCACCACGCAGCTCCCGACCGACTACAACCCGCGGCCCGCGTCTACCGCGCCCCCCTCGGCGGTGTCGGCGCCGACTCTCCCCAGCGCGGCGGCAGCGTCGTCGGAACCGGACATTGGCCCGACGCAGACGGCCCAGCGCATCGTGCAGCTCGTCTCGTCGCACACGAGCATGCTCGTCGGCACCACGGACAAGGCCATGCTGGACGTGTTCAACGGCGAGGTCGGCCTGCGCCTCTTCACGGCGATATGCAAACACCTCAAGCGGCAGCGCATCTCGACCGACGGCGCCATCAAGCTCATTGCCGACATGAACCTGTACGCAGACTACGTGCGCGGGCTGAAGCACCAGGACCTCGTGGCGTACTTTGCGGCGCTCCGCGAGCTGAGCCAGATCTACCTGATTGACGCGGCGCACGCCAAGGACATGGCGGCCGTGATTGCCGACGGCGACCGGTTCGGCGGCGTCTTCAGGGCCGAGGAGGTGTACGAGTATGCGCAGAGGCGTGCCGACTGGTACCAGGTGAAGCGGAGCGTGGAGAGGGCCATGTACGGCATGGACTGTGTGCTAATGTGAGAGGAGGGTCCGGCCTCCAAGAATCATATATTTCGAACTGGGATGGTAAATTCACTGCTGGCGACAAAAAGAAAGGGGGGGTAGATGGTTAGAGGACGTAATATTTGCTTTGAATATAGACTACCTGCTCCCCTAAACGCCAGTACCCAATGCTACCTGTTTGTCATTTTCGGCAAAACTTTTTCGTCTTAGAAGCAAGAAAGAACAGAAGAAATACAATATATAGCCTTCCCCCCCCCCGTCCATTGTCATGAGGATAATATGGTTAGCGCGCTCCGAAATCCAGCTTTCTCGCAACCTTGGCCCCCCTGTCGTCGTCGACGACGCCGGGCCTCCTCTTCAAGTCGGCGCCAATCTTCTCCTCGGCACCGGTTGTTTTCCGCGGCAGGTCCTGCTTCCTGGTGGGCTTGGGCTCGGAGTGCCACCACTTGTGGAGCAGCATTTGGCGGGCGGTGATGCGCTTCTTGGGGTCGAGGGCGAGGGTCTTCATGAGGAGGTCGACGCCGTCGGTGCCGACGGTGCCGAAGCGCATCTCGTACCAGTCCTTGGCGTGGACCGGGTGCTGGGCGGGGACGGTGTACTCGGGCAGCTTGGTGACGCCGGGCCAGTTGTCGTCGGTCGGGGTGCCAATGGCCTCGCAAATCATCTTGATCTGGTCGAGCTCGTTGTTCCCCGGGAGGAAGGGGGCGCGCATGACGAGCTCGGCGAAGACGGTGCCGACGGACCAGACGTCGACGGCGCCCGAGTAGTGCCTGGCGCCGAAGAGGAGCTCGGGCGGGCGGTACCAGCGCGTGATGACGTTGGAGGTCATGTTCTGGTGCGGGTCGGCGAAGCTGCGGGCCAGGCCAAAGTCGGCGAGCTTGACGTCGCCGTCGGCGGCGATGAGCAGGTTGTTGGGCTTGATGTCGCGGTGCAGGACGAAGTTCTCGTGGCAGAACCACACGGCGCGGGTGAGCATGCCCATCCAGGCCTTGATGTCGGCGGCGCCGTAGCGCACGCGGTCCGTGTCGCGGATGAGCATTTCCAGGTCGCCGAGCGGCAGGTACTCGAGCACCAGGTTGAGGTTCTGGTCCTTGGAGGAGAAGACGGACAGGAGGGAGATGATGTTGGGGTGGTGGAGCTCCTGGAGGTGTTTGAGCTCGCGCACGGCGTCGGGCGCCATGCCCTCGGTGTATTCTTTTTGGATCTTGATCTTTTTGATGGCGACGAGCGTCGAGGGCTTGGAGCGGAGGTGGCCGAGGAAGACGACGGCGTAGGTACCCTCACCTAGTTTCTTGCCTGGAAAGAGTTAGGCTCCTTTTTTTTTTTTTTTTTTTTCCATTCAAGGTGAATATGGGCGGGAGGCGAGATGGTTACCCTTTGCGTATTTTCGCTTCTCTTCCTCATTCATCTGCTCCGAGAGGTCCAGAGTGGGAGGAAGCGTCGGCGCAGATGTTGGGGCGGGCGCCGCGGACGGTTTCGGTGTGCCATTAGATGAGGTTTGCCCCGAAGCAAGGTTCTTGAGCGGCGAGGCCAAGGAGCGCACTTGCTCTTGTGTGATGGTGACGACGGGAGAGACGGCCATGATGGTGGTCCCGGACTCCTGGGCAGGGCGGCGATGGCGGAGAGCGCGAAGGACCGGGGCGGCTGGCTTCAGAACATGGATAGTGAATGTGATGATGTATCATGAATGGCGGCTGGCGGTCGACATGCGCAGTGGCAGATGTGCCAATGGGCGCCGATGGAATGACGGATGATGAGGTCGGTGAGAATGTATGTGTGCACATGTGAGTTTGTTGGCGTCGCGGCGGGAGCACTTGAGCTTATCTTATCAATGGATGGCGTGCGGAACCGGGCGAGGCGACGGGTGATGGCTTGGAGCAGCTTGGAGCAGCTTGGAGCAGCTTGGAGCAAGCCAGGCGCCACCGAGGAAACGACGGATAAAATAGACAAAGGCACCGACAGGCCGTTTACGTTGCGCCGCAAGCCATCAACACTTGTCGTCCAGGCACAACGGCGGCCACGGGTCGACTATGACGACGGCGGGCGATCCGCACAGCATCGTTGCCAACAGATGCAGTCGGTCGTGCGATTGACGGCGCCGATGCCGACAATCGGGCCAGGCCGGCACTCAACTCGCATTGATCGCGTCCACGTCTCATGTCTACTACGTCATCGCCCGGCCATAGCGGACCCGTGTAAACCCCGAGCATTTCGACGTCTTACCAGTCACCACCATGTCGCTCGCTCCATTCCATAATCCCATTCAAATACCCTCATCACGCACCTGAAGACGTAGTTGCGCAGCCGGCCCAGCATAGCCCGCCGGTCCTGCTGTCAACGCCGCCTCCTTCTTTCGCATCCTAGCCATGAAGCTGTATATCCAGTGACACGACACCAATCGCCAATACGACTGCCTACTCCCCCACGACGAAGCCGTCTGATGTACTCAAGTCTCCTGATATATTGACTATCATCATCCATCCATCTGTCAGTCACAAAAAATCAGCCTCACGCCATGGCGGCACGCGGCCTCTTTTCGTACTGGGTACCGTTGCTCCTCCCCCTCGGCCAAACATCCAAACCGCCACGACACCGTGTACACGCCGACTAACCAGCCGAGATAGCTGCTCCCCGTCTTCTCGTCCCTCGTATGGCTAGGCATGCTCCTCGGCATGCTCCTCCACTGGATCGTCGACACAAACCGCCGCATCTACCCGTCCATGGAGCGCGGCGGCTCCATCGCCTACATCAGCGACATTGGCGCGCAGAAGCTCAAGCCGCTCTTCATCGCCGGCTCCGCCGTCACCGTCGTCCTCCTCGACCTGGCCTTCCTCGCCGAGCGCTGGCTGCGCCACCGCGGCCGCCTCGTGCGCAACCAGTCGTCCGGCGAGCGCGCCCTCGTCTGGCTGAGCATCCTGTTCGCTTTTGTCGGCGCCGCCGGCCTCGTCCTGCTGTCCGTCTTCGACACCTGGCGCCACAAGAAGCTGCACGACGTCTTTCTGCTTCTGTTTATCGGCGGCTACTGGCTCTCTGCCGTCTTTATCTGCTGGGAGTATCAGCGCTTGGGCATCAGTGCGTCTTTTCTCTCTCCTCTCCCTTTTGATATTATATATGTGTGTGTATATACATTCTCGTCGCCTGTGCTAACAAGTTCGTAGAAAACCGGCAGTATCGCATCCTCCGTTCCTCCTTTTGGATCAAGCTCGCCTTCATCCTGGTCGAGCTCGTCCTGGCCATTGTCTTCGTCTCAACCACCTTCACCCACAACAACAACGTCGCCGCCGTCTTCGAATGGGTCATTGCCTTCATCTTCACCTTTTACGTCGCCTCTTTTATTATTGACCTCAAGCCAGCCATCTATACAAAGAGCCACGCGGCGCGGTTTGAGAAGACGCATCAGATGGAGGATGGACTCGATGTAAACGGGCCCAATGGCCTGACCGGGAATGGCTTTGTGGCTGATCGGACCGCGGCCCATTTTTAAGACCAAACCAAGGCGATGTTCAATGTACAGAAAAATAGACAAGAGAAAAAGGACAACAAGGGACACGTCGGGCGTGTTCGAAACATGGGGAATACAAGTAGATACGGAATTTCTCCTATGGAGATATCCTGCGGCATCGCTGCCTACATGTGTGAGTGTGGCGACAAATGGGCGTTACGATTGGCCTCTTGTTTTTGGGCACGAGTTTTTGGACATGGACCACAATAACAAGATGTGTAAATAATGAGACTATTTGACTTTGACCAAATGATCCAACCTGGTACATATACAAACCATGGCCACATGTGCACATATCCTCACGCCCAAGCTAGCCACTCCAACACATCAAAATGACAGAGGCCGTGTTAAACCAAAAAAGCATCTTGCAGATGACCATCAAAAGCATCATCTTCCTGCTGTGTATTTGCCCATCAACAAATACTAAACATACTTCACTCATTACATTACCTATACTCAAGCCATCAATAACCGCTTTCGTACACACACCACTTATACGGCGGGACTTACAAGATTGTTGATACAGGCATCTTATTGATCCATTTCTTCCCGGAATCGAGAGTCACGAGTCGGACTGCTGCTGGTGCGAACGGCGGGGTCCTCAATAGGCCGAGGAGGATCCAGGCTGGTTTTCCGGCTTGGTCGCTCCTCTTCCTCAACGCCCTTCCCCTTGTTCTTCGCCTCGTCCGCGAGCTCAAGTTCCTCCTCCAACGGAGTGCTAACCGGGCTCACCGGGCTCACGCCTTGAGAGTCCCTCTTTGCTTCTCTGTGTGCAGGTTCCTTGGCAGCTTCGTGCTTGGTTTCGTGCTCCTCACCGGACTTGCCAGCCAGGGCCACCTCGTGCATGCTTGCGGATCGGTTTTCGATGCTCGCCGCGCTGCCGTCGCCAGCATGATCCTTCAAAGAGGCACCGCCAAAGAAACTTCTCCGCTTTTTATCATGCTCCCCGATAGACTTGCCGCGAGAAAACCGATTCTTGATCCAGCCCTTGACCTTTGCAGTGGGTGAGGTTGATCCCTCAGCCTTGTGCTGGGGCGAGCCGGATGCCTCAACAGTTGTTTCAACGGTGGGACCGCTGCCAGCCAAGCCGAGTTCTTCGGCAGTCTCACGGCGGGTTTCTTCCTCGCGACCGGCTGGGTTTTCGTCCGCTTCTTGCGCATGTTCACCCTGGTGAGGACTCGAGGTAGTTGCTACAGCTGATCCATGCTTTGACCTACGTTTCTCCTCCTTTGCCTGACGCTTCTGCTCAGCTTTGGTAGCCTTCTCTTCATCCTTCCGCACCTTTTCTTCCATTTTCTCCTGAAGCTTCTTGGCCTTTTCTTCCTGTTTCTCTTGCTCTGTTGAGTTTTGTCAGCAAACCGAATACAACAGGGTCGCGAGAGCAAAATGTCAATACCTTTGTCCTTCTTAGCAATTTCCTTGGTTTCGCGGTCCCGCACCTTCTCCTTCTCTGCTTGTTCCCGTCTTGCTTGTTCCTCCATTCTGAGCACCTCTTGTCTCTCACGCTCCGTCTCAGCTTTGTCATTGATATCATCAAGCACAGGCTGGATCTTCTTGGACGCAATAGCATTGATCTCTTCCTGTGTCATAAACATGCCGCCTCCGATGTCAATCTTGCCCTTGGAGTCATCTGTGCGTGCTTCATGTTGGGCTTGGGCGGCCTTCTGAGCCTTGGCTTCCCAGTCAGTGATCAGACTGGGATTTGCTCTCCCAGTTTCTTGATACACCTTTTCGTCCATGCCGTGCAATTGGGCCTTGACGTTGCGTTGCGCGGCCGCGAGAAGCGCCTCGCGATCCTTGTCTCTCTTGCCCTTGTCCACTTGCGATAACTTGCTGGAAAACATGGACATTTGCTCGCGAATCTTCTCGGATTGCTGTCGATCGTCCAAGTCGTCTTCGCTATGCGAGCCTCGCCGTCCCCATTTACGCGACATGGAGAACCGGTGTTTAGGGTTGCTCGCCTTCTCGCTTCCATAGTACTCCTGAAACTCCCGGCTTTGGTGATACTCATCGTGAAGCTTAGCGATGCGTGCTTGGGCTTGCTTATAGGCCGCATCTTGAAGGTTCATATATTGATTAGGTTGAGACGCCCCGGATACTTGTCCGGATGCGTCCTTGGGCTCGTCGCCCCCGAGTTGCTGTCTGGCGTACATCTTCTTCGCCATTTCAACCGCAGATTGGTGGATTCTCTCGTTGTAAGTGCGCTCGTCAACCTCGGGCTTCACAGGAGGATGTGAGGTGAACATGTTGCGTGTCATGGTCGTAACAGAAACAGCCCCGACCTCTTCCACGCCTGGCCTAGCTGTCATGGACTTTCGGTGAGCCAAAGCAGCACCGTTAAGAGCGCTAGCAGCAGCACTAGCTTCTGATGCCTGAACGTCCGCTAAGCCAGTGGATGAGAGGGGACGTCTCATGGCTCCCTTGGCAGCAACTAGGGACTTGTCTCCCGGAGGAGTGTGAGGCCGTCGCGGCTTCCTCATAGACTGAGATCGATTCTCGTTGAATGCCTGTGTAGCCGCTGAGCTACCATGAGCCAGGCTCAGAGGCTCAGCCGACGCTGGCCTGTTCGCATGAAAGGCTTGGGTCGCCGCCGAGTTCCCCCACGTGTCTTGCGAAGGCCCAGACTTGGTGGTATCAGTCTGCTTGAGAGCTGCGCTGGCAGAGCCGACAGCAAGAAGCGCGGCCTTGTGGCCGTCGGACTGGGCTGCAGGTTCCCATTGCGGTGCCATTTTGTAGTCCTTGGCCAAGGCGGCGGCGGCGGAAGCTGAAGATGAGGGATCAGGTTTCCAGAGATTGATGGTTTTCCGGTTTGACCAGCCAAGCGATGCAGCGGCGCTGGCTGCAGCGCCGTCGGGAGCCAACCCTGACGACGGGAAGCTGGGTAAGCTGCGAGGATCGGCGTACTTGATGCGACCTGTTTTATTCTGGACTGTGGTTCGGGAAGAATGTAAAAGTCAGCAACCAGTTTAGATGAACTTGGGCGTGGGGTTTCGCAGAGGCTTTGCGCAACAGAAAACGAATCCAAGAGCAAGGCACTGTTAAGTGAGAGCGTGGAAATGTGACAAATGTGACATGGAGAGCGACACAAAGTATTGTGTGGAAGGAGCTAAAAAAAAACCAGGGTCCCAGTGCGGAAGCTGCGGCCGAGGCCAAGGATAGCTTCGACCTCCACGCATTCATTGGTCTGGAAAGTTTGCTACCAACAAACTCACGTCACGCTGCTCAGCGTCACTTGCGTGGCTTCTTCTCCCTCTCCGTCTGCCTCCCCCTATTATTTTCCTTGTCTCTCTTGCTGTTTGATTGACTCACTTGTGGAAGGCGCTTGTTGCGCTGGCGGCGTCTTTGTGGTGGCCATAGCTTCGTGAGTGTTGGTACCACAAAGTGTGGCGTCGAGCTAACGTCAATGACGGGTTCTTCGAGCTGCACCGGGTGTCGAGTCTGTCAACGCTCAATGACGGACCGCTTTCCGTGACGATGGAAAAACGGTCGGATATTTCTTCTGCGGTCTTGACTGATCAAACAACCCGGACCTTGGCCAGATGCTATCTTGCGATTGGTTTCGGGTGCTTCCGAATGTGCGTTGGTGCTCGTATATGCGCAGGCGCAGATCATTCGTGTTGAGGTTGTTCCTTTTCAACCGTCGCTCACGCTGTAGGAGCTGTCGTCGACAGGGATTATTCGGCAAGCAAGGGGGCCAGGATATATCGCGACTAAATTGAATATCGGTGTTATCCGTGAAGGGGCTGACGATGGACAGGCAGACCACGACGCCGACGCGTGATGGGGGAAGAAGGCCAGCTTTTGTCTTCTTGTTACGGTGGAGGATCAGCTAGGAGAATGTCATCGACTTGGCTGCATCATGTAGCTCAGAAGGGCATGAGCCGCACTCGCCGGGACTGGTGTTGCTTTTATTCTGCACAGCAGGTACTCGGCCGCCCTGGCAAAAGTAAATCAGACGGCGACAAGCTACATCTCGGCAGGGATTGCTCCATGGCGGCTCCATCTCCATGGCTATGAGCATGCGCAGGCTAGCTGGGCTGGCTTGGCTGGCAACTGGCTGGCAACTGGCTGCTCGGCCGACTTATCCCAATACTAGCACACCACTAGTCCTCACCTGCGCAGCGCAGGAACTAACCAGCCAGTGGTGATGAAGAAGCAGGTGGGATGGCCGGCACGGATTTCGCACGTTGGCTTGGCCCAGCTCGACCTTACCCCAGATGGTCTGCTGGTTGGGCTGACGTCATGCGACCCTCCAGACACGCCGGCAGATCTTGGTAATGACGCTATGTACCGGAGTACTCGAGTGCTACGTCCACGTCCATGCATCCATGGCCTTCCGGCAGGATAGTTCCGTCGTGAACGGGGCCGTGCATTCGACAAATCTGAAATCGCAATCCTGGGTGCCACGAAACTGGGTCGTACATGTACAGGTGTTTCTATCATGTTCAGAAGCAAAGAGGACAGAGGCCAAATGCTGCTCGGCTGTCTCTTCGGCTTGCGAACCAATGACTGAAAAGAAGCCGTCTCAGTCGCATTGTTTTTAGCTGTGGAGTTGCCGACATGAATTCCAATTCGCGAGACTAGGTCTCGTCCAACGGCTGATGCTTGTTTCCTGACCTTTTCGTGGCGCGCGATTGCCTTTACGGACCCAACGGCCAATCCGCAATCCGTTTTCGTCGTCGTCGCTACGTCTCTCACCAATTGCCGACCGGGGGGTATCAACATCCTTGTGCCGCTGAACCCAAATACAGTATCTACGGAGTACGCGTTATTAACCGACAACATGGTAAACCCTACAGGCGCTGACGGCACCAAACCTGGAGCTCAACCCTGCCGGCTTGTCAATACATACATACATATTACTCTGTACTTATTTGTATGCAGGCCCGGCCATGGTTCAGGGAGCGGCATGCGCCGTGTGAACTTGTCCTTGTCATGACGGCGCTGCAATGGGAATAGTCCGACTCCATTGGGACGCGAATGACGTAGCTCTGCTTTTCGGTTGCTCCGTCGCGCCAAAACAACGGGGCTCTGGAGCCTTCCGGTGTTTGACCATCAGGTCACCGTCCAAAGCCCAGCCCTGCGACGAGCACAACTTGGTGCCGTCAACGGTACAGGTCGAGAAGCCTCACACAATATCCTAGGAACCGTTTCACTGCTCCACCGCTCCAGCAAAGAAAGCGCTGCACCGCCGCCGCACTCGACCTCGCCCGGCCACAGCCTTTTCGCGCGGGTCGTTTGCAATGTCTGATGGCTGTCATGCTTGTCGAATTTAGCGTACGTTGGGCTCATTGGTCGTTAAACTTCCGGGATATAAGCTACACATTTTGGCACAACGTATTCATTTGACAACGTCTGGAATAGGATATGGCCAAGCCCGCCGCGCAGCTCCAATGCGTGGCTAACTTTAGAGACGTTGGCCAATCTGTCAATGGCTTTCTCGGCCAGAAGTGCGTCACCCTTTATCCAATGAACAATGAAACCGCATAGCGTAAATCTCCCCGTATAGATACTGACGGCGGTTGAATTTCGCAGACGGGTTCGTGAAGGGTTCATCTTCCGCTCTGCAAGACCAGGTGCATGCTCCTTGATGACGCGCGTTAATTACACACACTCACCCTTCGAATGTAGACGATGCTTCTGCGAAGGACAAGTTGCGCATCAAGAATGAATTCGGCATAAAGACCATCATTGATCTTCGGACCAAGTACGTTGCGTCGTCTCGAATCGTCTCTCCAGCGCTCTAACTAGTGCTGGATACAGGACTGAACTGATCAAACAAGCTGAAAAGGCTCAGGCCGAAACGAGTAGCAATGCCTTCTCTTCTTGGTTCTCTTCCCGGCCGTCTCTTCCACGTATCGACGGTGTAAACTACGAGGAGATCCGGATTACCGGCCGGCCATTCGAGAGACACCTTTTCAGGCAACTGTCATGGTGGAGCTTTTTGTAAGTGCCTCAATAAACAGCATTTATATACATCTCCCTCTCTCTCTTTCTCATATGGCGGCACACAAGACTCGTTAGAAAATGACTAATAGTAGCTACGCTCAGTAAGGTCATTTTTCTCTTCATCTTTGGATACAGAATCGAAGCCGTCAGGCTCATCGCGACCGAGGTCATGCTTCAGCGTGGCCTACTCGGCCTTGGAATTGACACCATTGATCACTCTGGCTCCGAGATCTGCCAGGCCCTTGGGCTGTATACCTCGCCGAGTACGCTCCCCGTTTTGGTTCATTGTACACAGGGCAAAGATAGGACAGGTGTGTTTACAGCTTGCAATGAATTACCAAAGACGGGGTTGCTGAGTGGACAAATCTAATGTGGAATTGCGGTCATGACAGGACTCATTTGCATTTTGATCTTGATGATTCTCGACATTCCCCTGGGCGCTATAGAGCATGACTACTTCCTGACAGATCCGGCTCTCGAGGCAGAACGCCATGAGAGGCTAGCTGAAATCCGACAAATCGGCTTGACAGATGACTGGGCTGTCACGGCTCCTGAATTGGTCATTGGGGTACAGAAGCATTTGGACGTGGAGTATGGGGGATTGGAGGCCTATCTCGACGACATTGGGTTTGGTGAAATCCAGAGGGCACAACTTCGGGAGCTTTTGCTATATTGAGCAATCTGTACATTGGCATGTGACATGATACTCTGCACGGCGGCTTGAAGAATTCATCGTCTCTATACTGTAGGCATATATTGTCGGTCTATGTCTTTCTAAACCGGCCTTGCAGCCAGCACCGATACATTTTGAGCTTTTCGGCTCTGTTTATCAGTAATCGTCTATCGATACCAAGGTTCTCTATCTCGAACTGGGGCATGTCGGGGTTGTCAAGGTCGTCGGTGTAAGCTTCACCTGACCATATCTTGGCCAATTCGTCCTGGTCGAAAAAGTACACGCGAGTTCCGTCGCCTCTAATGTAGAAGTTCTCTTCCAGATAGCGCCCCTTGCGGAAGCGAACCTGGGCGAGGTCCCCTCTTCCATAGTCTCGGAAGCAGACCAAGCCGCCAGGTTTTAGCACTTTATGAACGTTTCGGACAGCTTGTGCCCACTCTCTGGGCGACAGGGCTGAGAAAATGAACACCATAACTGCGACATCTACGGATCCTTCTTCAACGTTAGGGGGAAGGCTTTCTCCTGCGACATCCCAAACATCGGCTTGGATGAAATTTGTGTCGTATGCCTCATGGTTGCGCATAACCTCTACAGCAGTCTTGGAAAAGTCGCACGCATGGACTTTGAGTTTGGGATTCTGGTTGTTGGCAAGCACAGGGAATGCTGTGTTACCAGCGCCAGCGCCGATTTCAAGTAATACCTTGGGACCAGCATCCTCCTTGGTTACTTCAGCAAGGACGGGGAACTCTTGTTGGAGCCACTTGCGGTTTTTGAAAAAGTTTGAAGCGTTGTTTTTGTAGAAGAGATTCCACCACTTGGCTGGATTGCCATTGAACCTGCCTGCAATCCCGCGTTAGCACACGAGACAAATGATTGAGCAATTCTGCGAGAAGACTGCGCAAAAGGTAGCAAAGAAATTGCTTTGGTGTAATCAGATGGGAGCGAAAGACTTTATGAAGGTATAGGTCTCATCAGCAGTTTCAGATGAACTATGCATTGCTTGGTGATCATCATGTACACATTGGGCAAGGGTATGCCCAAAAGGTGGGTGTAAAATGTGAAATGTCAAAGAAAAAGAAAAAGACAAAACTTACTCTTATCAAATTCAGAAACTGGTGCTTGGCGTTGCATCTCAAACTGACGTTCAGCGTATTCCTTGTACGCGTCGTCAGTCTCGACATGGTCCCAGGCATTGAACTCAAAGACATCGTCCCCCTCGCTCAGATAGCGGCTTCCAAACTGGAAGGGATCGGTCCGTTTTGAATTCTTGGTCGGATCGTGTGACCGGTGCGCCGGCACTTCTGCACTCGCATCGGTTTTTCCCGCAATGGTCAACGACTCCAACTCCCTCACCGGAGGAGTTGAGCCATCGTCGGCCTCGTTGGAGACGTTACCAGGCACAGTCATAATTCCTCATGTATGTATGTATGGATACAATACGAATGGAACCGTGTTGCAAGCACCCCGGGCCGCTGGGCCCTTGTGCCTGGTTTGAATTTTGTCGACTCGAAACGAGGATACAAGGAGAGGGAAGGACGACGAAAAAAATTACTCTGGCCCTGAAAATAAATGTTTCTCAGATCCGTTGGTGGGGCGCCAATACAGCTGCATGATTGGCTGAATTGTCGGCATCGGAGATTCCCACCCTCCGCAGTTGTTTCCAGGTAGTACCAGCTACCATGGGCGACAACAGCGAGCTGTGGCATCTTGGTGGGACACCTGGAGCTTCTTGGGAAGTGCCTCCACTACCAGTCGCAATTGAACGTCCACTGACACTGCATCTCGGATTGTAAAGTTGTGTTTCTTGCAAGATATCTGGTACAAGCTGCATCTCCTCGAATGACTCGGTGACGAACCTGGCTGAACCCCGCGCAATCATCCCTGGACAAAGCAGCGAAGCATCGCATCACTATCGCAAAATGGCAGAGTCGCTACTTCAGCCAGTTGGCAGTCTGTCGCCAGCCGAGGCTCTCAAACTGGCCCAACAAGCCCCTGAGATCTTGCGAAAGAACCCGAAAGCCTTCTCAGCATCACCTTTGTCCTCCCTCTTCTCTACTCGAGAGACGGCCGATACTTGGACGATATACGAGAACCTAATGATCGCATGTCTTCAAACCGGTGACGATGAAGCCGCCAACGAATGCCTTGAAAGAATAGTCAATCGGTTTGGTGATTCGCATGATAGGGTTTTGGCGTTGAAGGGATTGGTCAAAGAGGCGACGGCGTCCAACAACTCGGAGCTGGAGAAGATATTAGAGGAATATGAAGCTCTGTTGCAACAAAATGATGCCAGTATTGTGAGTGGTACACTTGCTAAAGCATGTCTGGGCTGTCGTACTAACTCAGTGAAGCCCATCCGGAAGCGCAAAGTAGCCCTCCTCCGATCCATGGGCAAGCTTCCTGAAGCTGTCACGGCGCTAAACTCCTTGCTTGACGTCTGTCCCACCGATCCCGAGGCTTGGGCCGAGCTGGCCGACATGTATGTTACCCAGGGGCTGTATTCTCAGGCCGTTTACGCATTGGAAGAGGTTCTTGTACTGTCGCCCAATGCCTGGAACGTAAGTGCCATCGCCGAAGATGCTCGACAAACCCACGGCAACACTGACGAGTCTACAGATTCACGCTCGACTCGGCGAAGTATCGTTCATGGCTGCCTCAACGGCATCGGAGGGGGGGTCACAAAAACACTACGCAGAGGCTGTAAAGCGATTCTGTCGCAGCATAGAGCTTTGTGATGACTATTTGCGCGGCTATTACGGCCTCAAGCTTGTATGTTTGTACATGTTCCACTCGCGCAGCAGCCACTACTAATCCGCATGGGTGTAGGTTACGGATAAACTTGTACAAAACACGCCCAAGTCCAAAAAGGACTCGGAGGGATTCCAGCTACCTGACCAAGCAACCATTGAGAAACTGAATGAAACAGCTACCAAGAAATTGGGAGAAATTGTGCGCCGTAATGGAGCCAAGGACAAGCTGTGGCAAGGTTACGACGCCAGAGAGATTGCTGCAGCTCGAGAACTTTTAGACAGCTCATCTGCCAGAGTGGTTCGGTAATGATGCATCAGGCATGACCTGATTGGGCCTCAGAGGATAGTTGCCTATGGCAGGACACAGAAGGCTGGGCTATTAGCACATGAGAACTTTGCCTGGGGGTGTGTGGCTTGGCGTGCACAAATCGCATCTTGATGAGCAGGAGAACGTCACTCCGTGACCGACTGTCCTCATCATCTTATTTTAGTTTTTGTCATTTTACGTGTTTTGATGACGGGCAGAGACGGATCTCGCCTTGACTTTGTGCATTGACGAGGCTTGCGACAGCGTCGCAATTACTTCTGTTTGGATTCCTATTTAGTTTTACCTTGGGCATGAATCAACAGGGTGTGGTCGTGGTTGGTCCGATTTTTTCTCAGGTTGGGCATTCTTCTGTCATGTACTCCGTAGTCTGACGCCTCCAAACATCGGGACAGAGCACACATTGCCCAAAACAATATTATAATATCAAAATCAAGATTGTATGTACGCGGAGATTGGCACCAACAAGGAATCACATCACAACAGTGGGGTGCACTAGGCCTCTGCACGGCATGGCTGTGTTTCAGAAGAGCAATTTGGCTCGGTGATACTGCATCTTGAGGTGCTACAACAGCTGGGAGGGTACCCAGCTATTTGCGCCTGGCGACTTCTGACCATGACGATACCCTCGCAGCTCTTGGATTCATCCACTGACCTTGTTCAGGCTACGGCCGGTGGATCGTCAGGCTGAGCGGCTGGCTGGCTTATACGAGCTCTCGATGCACAGCTTGTCCGCCTGGCATGTCGCCTTGGGTGACAGCTCCTGCAGGACATCTGCTTGGGACGGAGAAGGTCGCTTTCTCGACATCCATTGGGCGGCCCCCACTGGCTGGGCATCAAGGTAGCACTGTCGAGCATGTTGTATTCCAAGGAGCCAAAAGGAAAGGGAAGGAAGAAACAAAAGAGTGAGAGAGAATGCTTGTTCATGCAAGCCAAGGTCAGCGGTGCAAGGTACCGATCCACCGGACTATGAGTCAAGCTTTTCTCACAGCGGCCATCCTTGTCAATCGGGCTTCAACACGCAGGTGTCAGGCGCTGGCGGTCAGCGTTGCTTGGACCTCAATGGGCCAAAGCCATCGTGAGGGCGCATCAAGGACGAATGCGTCGAAGTATTTTGGTCTCCGCGTCGGGAAGGGGCATGCGGAAATTTGTGGCTTGTACCGTGTTCCTTACTGTGCGTTGCTGGGCTCTATGTACTTTTGATGCTCGTCTCTCTTCGACCCCGTGTGTGGTTGGATGGACGGCGAGAGAAGTATCATGACTCCCTGTAGTAATCACATTGTAAAATAGTGCCGTCACCGCAACGGAATCCTCAGGGTGAAGCCTCTGTTACTTGGTATTGAGGCATGAATGGGCCTATGCGTCGGCCTTCCGTCCGCCGGAAGTTGTAGTGATTACATAGGCTATATCGTTGTTGCCGGCGGATATGATGTATAACGCGAACAGGTATCTAAGTCCTGACGCGATATAGATTGAATAAGGCATCAACTGCCGGCAGCTATGATGGACATGTTCTCCCCATTGCAACCATTGGCACGACGATAACGATCTCGGGAGACAAAGACTCTCGTTGTATGCCCAATCGATTATTGTGTAACCGGCGACTCAAACCGTGAATACTAGTGTAGAGTTAGCTTTCCTGTTGGAAGATGTCGTTGTTTCTTTCTTTGGAGATGAAGACATCTTGATCGGACGGTCCCTATGAAGCAACTGATCTAGAGTTGGGTACTTGTGTGTTGACCGCGGGTACACCGGTGGTTGCTCTAAATACTCCAGCTGTCCTTTTTACCACCTCATTGATCTACGTGAACTCCGGAAAGCAGGGAGATGTGCCGTAGAGGTACTCTCATCGTCACCTATGCTGGCCTCTCTGTCACAGGGCTCCATGCGTGTAGTTCAGCTGCCGATCTTGGCAGAATCGAACCCCGTTTGGGTTACTTTATGTCCGTCATTGCGGTGCCGACAGCATACTTGACTATCACATAGACGAGTGGCTCATGTCCAGATTAGAAGACCCATGAACTATTCCTCTGAGGGCCTGATCAACTAAATTCTGTGCCCACAGAGTGAGGGACAGCAGTGGCGGGTTTATTAGCTTGGTGAACATCAAGTCCAATGTCGCTGGCGCCATGGCTGTGATCTATTTCGGTTTAAATTACTTGCAACAAGATCCTCATAGGCCATGGCTTGGGCCGACGCGGCCGTGTTTTAGCAATCAATGCCCAATTTCGGATGGCGACACTCGTTCTAGGGTCCTGCGCTGTAGTGCGATGGTCTTTGAGGAAGCCACGCCATCAATAGTAGAAGTGATTCATATCTGGCATCAAAATCAAACGCCCGGTTCCCGTTATAACCCGCAAAGAGAAGGTATCCAGAGTTAAACTGGTGTCAACGCCTGAATATGGGGGAAATGGCCAAGATACATGAATTGTTTTCGTCAGATGTCTCTTGAGACGTCAACAACAGTGGGCCACCCTGAAATCTGATTAAATGGGAAACAATTGGGTACATAATATCGACCAAGACTCGTCAGATGGTATGTTGATATTTGTACACGGGATGCAACCTGAGAGCAACCAAACAGCTTCCAACAAGCCAAACCAGCTGCAGTCATTGTTGTTATAGCCCAAGCTAGCCCTGAATACAGCAACTTCTTCCGAACTGGGTACATATGTCGTGAAGTGACTCACAGTATGTAGAGGCACAGTACCAGCCCCTTGTGCCACAGCTTCTGCAGACCCCATGTCGACATGTCGGATGCATGACGGGCAAAAAGTACGACACAAGTTTTGCCTGCCACGTGTATCGTGAGAGATGTTAGCAGTCGGTCATGACTTGTCCGTGAGAAAAGGGGGGAGTTGCGATCTCGGGTGAGGTGGCGTTGGCACATATAAGGACCGGTGACCGTTTTGCAGCGACATGTTGAGGAAGCAGATCAGTCAATATTTCAACTTCTGGACTTTGTCAAAGAAAGAAAGAAAATACTGCGACCCGAGCAAGATCGCAACCCTAAGAGCCCCTGTCGACATCAGGGATACATTCATAATCCTTACAAACCTCTGCTGAACCACCACAACAGAGCGAGGAGCAACTGTTGTGCCACTCGGAGCGGCCCTTTTCTTTCCCTGTGCTGTCTTTCCATGCCAACCCGAGGAGTGATAGAATTCTAGACTTACACTGGCTATTAGATATCTCGATCTACCATGTTGCTGCGTTTCCGAGAGGCCAAGAATTTGAGACAAACCTGGGACACCCGACTACCAACCTAACGGAACCGAGAATCGAATTGCACAGAGGCAAGACAATAAAGCAGCACTAACCTACCTGGACATAAGAAGAAGGCGAAGCAAGTCTGGACAGGAACTCTCAACGTCTCGAGGAACCACGCACACACCGTGTGCGATTGCTTCCTCCTCGACAACTCGGGAACTCGACGGAACTCGCTCGATTTCACGCCCGCTACCGTCGAGGCCAGGAGGCGTGGAAAGTGAAAGTGGGGGCTTGCTGCCTGCGTTCCTGCCCGCTTTTGCGTTGTCTGCCCGACCAGGTACAAAGAGGCGAGACACAACCGACTCGCTTCTTGTCGTTTTTGCCATCTTGAACATACTTTTTTATTTTAATTTCTTTAACCCCCGTCCCTGAGCTTTTGCCCCGAGAAGCCTTCAACTTTGGGACTGCATATTTTTCCTTCTAATATTCTATTGCCGATTCCACTGTTAATTCCGCTGACTCGGCTTACACGAGCTACTAGTAGTATACTCGCACCACAGCCGAAATTTTATCACAAAAAAAGCAAGGGTCTCCTTGTATTACATTGAAATTTACGTGGGCAATTTTGTATCACACACCGCCGATCCCCCCCAAGGCTTGAATGCAAGATCATTGCGCCGATAAAGCAACTTACCTCTCTGCTATCATTAAACTTCAATTTTGCCAATTGACCGTTGGTAAGTTTGGGCTTGGGCGACCTTCTTCACACACTTCTAGTGGAGCCAGGTCCTCTGACCATGATGCTAATACTGTTGCTCCTCCAACACAGTCGTACACAACCTACATGGTATAGCGAGCGCCGCAGTTGAAAAGAGGCATCGACATTTTTTATCAGGATCCCTGGGGCGCAACTAACGATCGAATCAACTTTCTATCAAGGTAAGTTGCATTGCATTGTGTTGGATCGAAAACACCTGTGTCTTTACTCCAAGCTGTCATGGAATTATTGCCCCTCCCTCGGTGGCTGCCCCACGATTTGGACCCCTCATTGGGCAACTATCGCCTTGTTTCATTGTTCGCTACCGCTCTTTTTGAGTTGCCACAAGGCGTCAGTGTTTATGGAAAAGCCGCGCAATGGTGGTAAGGCCGGCAGACCGTTGGCTTCCATGTTACGGGAGGTCCCGACAATGGGTTGGCTAGTGGCCATTCGGGCATCATGATATACCTCCCACCACTCAAGATTCTCGGTGGTCAGTACGGATAAAAGAAGAGAGGACAAGAAAACTGACCAGTATATTTCATTTTTATCTTAGACATCGTTCCACCACGCACTTACAAAATCCAGTGTTTGACTGTTATAGCGGGAGCCAATAGTCCATCCTTCACACATTCCCGCCACTGCCTATTGGATACCAAGGGCAGGACAATTCGACTGCGCGCAATTCAAGACTATTTTGGCTGCTGCCCCGCTATCAGCCGTCTGTCTAATCTGCTCCTGATTCTGCTACTGCATCGGCACCAGACACTTTGCCACGCACTCCAAAAGATCTCCCTGCTGCCCTTGGTTTGGGTGCAAATATTCGTCCCTCTGGCACCTACCGTCGTCCAACACCCGCTCGCAAACACGCAGGGGCGACAGTATAAAAGTTAAAAGTCCTCAGCTCTCCGAGTCCAGACCTGTCTTTGGCCCCAGTCGGCCACAAGCTGGCCCTGTCCATCCTCACCGCCGATCTGAGCCCGACCTACAACCTGTCCCTTGCCACATTTTGCATCGTGCAGTAGGTTAAGCTGACCTCTAACAACCCGACCTGTCCCTCCTCCTCAGAGATCTGGTGACGAAGAAGGCGCTCCACTTGATCACTTCTCGTCGGAGGAAACTTCTTTTCCCTCCGGGGTGATCTCGAGAACAGGCTGCGTGGTTACATACCGCTTCGAGCCTTTACAATTTTTTAGGCCCATCCATCTAGATCTCAAATCTTCAGGCGTGTCCACTCCTCCCCCTTGGGCCACCGAAGTAGTGCACCAAGCGAAGCGCAATCTTGGGGCAATCTGCGGCGCGGCTCTTTTCAGATTTTGCCTTTGTCCGTCGCCCTGCGACAAATCTCCACAAGCCAAGCCCCTCGCGCTCCCAAGCTCTAGTGGCGTCTTCGGGCCAATCGACCCCTCACCCTTATTGCACTAGTGCCACCAGTTGGTCGGTTCGGTTCCCGCAGCAGCACTCCATCTGCTGCCATTGACTTTGCTCGTCAAAGTTCCTTGGTCTGTTATTGTCGCTCAACGGCTTAGTGTTTGAACCGTGCTCTGCGCCCTGAGCTGCACAACAAGATCAACAACCAACATTGGGATAGCTGACCTCACCACAAGAATTTTTTTCTCTCTTTTTCCTTCACATTCTACCAACACCGCTTTGCAAGCCTCCTCAACCCTTTCTTCTGTGGCGTCTTTACTCCGGCCATCTTCAGTGGATCGTCGCGAGTAAAGCGCAAACGTGCCCGATATCATCTACTTGCTATGCCGTGAGTGCCATAGGCTCTTGTTTAAAGTGCGGTTTGCGCGCCGCTTGTGAAGCCGCTCACCACTGACCAGGCTTGTCAGACGACACACCATCACCATCCACCCAGGCGGCGAGAGTTCTCGCTCAACTTCTTATCACAGCGAAGGGGAATCGTCTCGTCCCGAGGCTGAATTCTCCGGAGCCGACGACGAAGGAGACTGGTACGACGAGGACGACGAGGACGACGAGGGCCTTCAACCTTCTGATTCAGCTTCCGCTAGTAACGACCACCCACCTTCACGTCCCCGCGCTGCCGTAAGAACAACACCGCGCCGCCACCGGATTGCCCGACCACATCCCCAAGATTATCCTCCGGTGCCATCACACGCACCGATTCCGCCGCCCAGCGTGGATCCATCAGAGGATTTTGGCCATTACGGCCATGGCTTCCAGCCTCAACATGGTCCTCGCGGTGGCTACTATGGTGGACGGAACCAACACCCAGGCTACCAACAGCAGCAGGGCCATTATATGGGGGGATATCCAGGCGGTAGTCAAATGGTCCCCTATGGTGGATATGGCCCGAACCCATTCACACCTATGAGTAACAGCACTAGCGGTGCTAGTTTTTTTGGGGGTGAACCAAGAATGTATGACATGATGCCATACCAGCATCAACAGCCCGGGTACTATCCGGGGCCACAGTACAACCTGCCTGCTCAGCTACAACAATTTCATCTCACTGCGCCTCCACCTCCCGCCACTGAAGCTCCCGCGCAGGCCCCAACCCCTCCTAAGGAACAGCCTCCAGATCTGGAAAAGATAAAACTGGAGGCGGAACTTGCTGCATTTAAGGCGCACGAACAGAAGGCAAAGGCAGCCGCAGAACAACTTGAAAGGGAGGCTCAGATTCGCAAGGAGGCCGAAGAGGCATTTCAACGCAGGATGGACGATATGAAGAAAGCACAGGAGGAGGCTCAGAAGGAGATTCAGCGTGCCAGAGAAGAAGCCGAGCGCACTGCCAGGGAAAGAATTGAGGCAGAGCGCAAAGCTGAGGAAGAGAGGCAAAAGGCTCATGCTGAGGCCATGAAGCGAGCCGAGGAGAATGCGAGGATGAAGTTTGAGGCTGAGCAGAAAGCTGCCGAGGAGCGCAGGCAGAGAGAAGAAGAAGACCGCAAAAGAGCTGAAGAAGCTGCCAACGCCCGACTGGAGGCTGCAATAAGGGCTGAAGCTGCCGCACGGCAGGCTGCGGAGAAAAAGGTTGCCGAGGAGGCGGAGAGACTCAAGTTGGCGCAAGAGGAGGCCAGGCGCAAGGGAGAACTGGAAACACTAAAGAAAATTGACGAAGAAAGGGAGAAGGCGAAGAAGGCTGCTGAAGCCGCAGAGGCTGCTAAAAACGAGCAAGAGGCTCTGAAGAAACGTATTGAAGAGGAAACTAAAGCAAGCGTACAAGCTGAAATAAGAAAGAAGATGGAAGAGGAGGCCGAGAAAGCGAAGAAGGCCGCCGAGGCTGAAGAAGCTGCCAAAGCCGAGCAAGAAGCTTTAAAGAAGCGTATCGCTGAGGAAACCAAGGCCGCTTTGGAAGCAGAATCAAAGAAGACTGAGAAAGCCCCTATCAAATTCAAGGACGCGGTGGGCAGAGACTTCAGATTTCCCTTTAATCTCTGCTCCACATGGCAGGTGAGGATATTCATTCCTCCTTTTCCCTTTCATCATTTCCGTCCCCCTAAATGACTTATTTTGTTTGCCGCTCCGGATGAAGATTGTTGACTCGATAGCACGCTGACTGTTCTTCGCTCATAGGGCATGGAAACGCTCATTAAGCAAGCATTCGAACAAGTTGCCGTTCTCGGGCCACACGTTCAGCAGGGTCGTTATGACCTGATTGGCCCGGACGGGCAAATAATCCTACATACCATCTGGGACGAAACTATTCAACCGGACTGGAGCATCACAATGACCATGTGGCCCATGGATGCAAATAAGCCGCCTGCACCAAGGATACCAGAGATGAATATCCCACCCATGGGGGCCGGCAGACGACATCCACACGGTGTCAATCCCATCCCAGTGCCACAGATGGTACCTCCCCAAGGGCGCCGACCAGACATGCCACCTGGTGTCGGTATGCCACCACCGCCAGGTTGGCCGCCTGGCCCTCGACGAAGTGGTCCACCACCAAATATTATAAACGTCGGGCCAGCACCAGGAGCACACGCAGCACGATCTGGACCCTCCAGGCCTTCAAAACATAAATCAAACCAAAGCTCAATGCTTAAGTTTTTCGCTGGTGGGCAAACTAAAAAGAGGTGAGATCGATAGCCAACGAATTCCCCCGACGTCGAGAGTCTGCACAGCACACACACTAACCATGATATATTCTTCGCGGGCACAGATCTAGCAGACATAAATGATTGACGGAGACGGTGCCGATCGCACCAACGACGATGTATGACCACGGATTTTACTCATCATGTGATACCACAGCGAGTCTTCTTGAATTTTGGAATGTCCGGCATTTCTTGATTCTGCGCAACGTGAATTCCCCTCTAGTTTAAATAATAAGCTGTTTTATCTGCGTTCAATCTTTCTTCTGCATTACCAGACCATCCCAGTACAGACGACGTGGTGCTCTCAAGCATGTGGCGGCAAGCTATGCTACTTGGACAGGTCATAAAAGGCGTGGGCATAGAAAGGATGGCTTGTTCACATTCAGGGAATGCGGGCAGGAAGCGATGTGAGAAGGGGCTGGTGCACACCATTTTTTCCCCTTTTCCTGATCTATTCCTTTTTCTGTTTGCTCTTCCTTGCTCCCCTCCCTGGTTTACGTGGTCGATTTAGCGGACGGATGGGGGTAGCTTTTGAATCAGCGAAATCGAGCACTTCTCTTTTGCTTGGCGCTTTGGTATATGGACGTTTTGGATAGCGATTTTGTTTATCTGGCTTAGGAACTGATTATATATTACACGCTTTTAGTCTATTCTATACTCTATAATGATGTATTCCTCTCGAACTCTTTGATTCTTAATGTCAAATGTGAGGGTGGATGCGGCGGTGACGTATGTACGAATATACAGCAACGCATCGTTAGGTCCTGTCCAGGAGCATGACTGCCAGTCGTCTAAGCTAAATATGGAGTTGATGTTTTATTTGGTTCATTGGTTTTGTGTATAGTTCAACTCTTCCAACGCCCTCTTTTCAAAGGCTTCTATCATAAGACCAGCAACCTTGTCAGAGACTGCGGCACTAACAGCTGCGTACAACGGGTTGACGAACTGATACTTGATGGTTAGGTGGACCTCGGTGGACGGCAAAGGATGCTGGCAAATTGGCTTCAGATGCCATCTTGTGACGAGGCTTTTGAACACGGCCGAAGCTGCTTTGGCATCCGCGGAAGCGGGATCACCGCTGACAGCTTCGACTGACACGCCGGGGACACAGCGCAATCGGCTTGTAAAGACTTCGTTGAATCCGCCCCAGCCAACGTGCAAATCAGCGAGCGTTGGCCACTTGCGGCCATTTTCGTCGGGATGAGACCATTGCGTCACGCGCGAGTGGGCGCAGTAGGGGACGAAGGAGGAGTAGGAGTCGACATCGGAGATGAGTTGGTAGAGGGGTTGTTGGGCATACGGCAGGGTTCTGGTGGCCGTGATGGTTTGGGTGTCGCTGCCGGGTGTGCTGCCGGGGAGACTGAAGAATGCGCGGCAGCTGGACGGTGTTGAAACAGCGTGGAAGGGAGCTGAAGCCCTCAATGGGAGCCGGCGAGCGGCGGTACGGAAAGACATTGACGCTAAGTGAGGTTTGGAATATCTTCCGGCGGGAGTGTCTGGGAGGACGAGTGGGAGGAGGGCCACGATGGAATTGCCGCGGGGGCGACGGATTGAACGGTGAATATGGCGATTTAAACGAGTGTAAGCAGTTGATGAAGTGCCATTGTCTTGATTGGGGCCGCCGAAAGTAGTTCTATTTGCAAGAGGGCGGAAGGATGCCGTGGTTGGCACAATATCTGGACGCGGAAAATTAAGGCTTAGAAGCAGACTAGATGGATGGATCGTGGATTGACGTCTGGTCAATTGGCGGTCGGGCATTGGTGGGTTGCCAACCAGTACCCAGGCTAGTAGTATGTCAAAACTGGGAGCCCCAGGTGCCGCTGTAGACTGCCGGGCTCAGGCGGCTTTAATGCTCGTTTGCCCGCTAGCTGCCATTTAGGGCTCCTGAAGGGACCTGAAGCCTCGAGTCAAGAAGTACCAGACTCGACACTTGCACATGTGACATCCTGAATCCCCATGCATCGACCAAATCCCGGTGCACTCACTGAATTACCTGACAGCCACATTACGACATCCACACAACCTTGTCCTTCATATCCCAGAGGCTCCAAAGCAGAGTAGGGCCTGCATCCGGAGTCCGGTCGTTTAATCTCCACCTCGAAAGGCTCCCACCCGCACGAGACCGTCACCTAGATGTCGGTCATTGATGACACTTGTGCACGCATCTACCCACTTCAACAAGGACAACACCGGCCGCCGACGCATGATGAATCGGTCGACTACTCCGCGACGGATCTAACCACGGCTTAGGGCATTACACAGAGCATCGCATCTACAACGAAGCTCTCGTCGCCCCAGGCGCGGGGCAATTCGAGCTCGCGACAATGTATGGCGAATCTACAAAACCCCGACGACAACTCCGTCACTCACCACGCGTGGGTAGAGGCAACATGTTGAACCAGAAGCTGACCGGAGCTGAGCAGGTTCGAAAAATCGCTCTACGACCTCATTCGGGGCCTCCGAACCAACAAGGGGGCCGGCAAAGACTTCATTCAAAAGAACCTCAAAGATTGCCGGGCCGAAGTTCGCAGCCCGGATATGGGTAGGTTATTTATCCAAGAGATCGACTCATCATATACCCTGTATAATGTGTGCTGATTATGTGACTTTCTCTTGGCTAGACGTCAAAGCGACAGCTCTTCTAAAGCTCGTCTACCTCGAGATGCTAGGCTACGACATGTCTTGGGCGTCATTCCATGTTCTGGAGGTCATGTCATCCCCCAAATACCACCAGAAGCGAGTGGGATATTTGGGAGCAGTACAGAGCTTTCGACCGGATACCGAGGTTCTCATGCTGGCCACCAACTTGTTGAAAAAGGTATACCTCTTTCCAAACAAAACTCTACATTTTGCAAGCTGCTAGCTCGCGCCAACAGCCCATTTGAATAACGACTAACCTGGGCTCATATGGCATAGGACATCGGGTCGTCTACTCAAACAGTTATTTCTCTCCCTATCGCTACACTTCCGCACGTCATTACGCCATCCCTGGCCCTCTCAACCCTCTCCGATCTCCTCCCTCGGCTGGGGCACAGCCATTCTAATATCAGAAAGAAGACGCTGGTCACGCTATATCGGTTGGCGCTTGTGTATCCAGAAGCCCTGAGAGCGGCGTGGCCCAAAATCAAGGAACGATTGTTGGACCCTAATGAGGACCCAAGCGTAACGGCGGCCATCGTGAACGTGGTATGCGAGTTGGGGTGGCGGAGACCCCACGACTTTCTCCCACTTGCCCCCCGATTGTTCGAGCTCCTTGTTGATGGAGGAAATAATTGGATGGCCATCAAGCTCATCAAGCTGGTATGTTTAGGCGCACAACATTGGATTTTGTCTTTGACATGCTTACCCTTCGCTAGTTTGCTACTCTGACACCTCTCGAACCCCGACTGGTTCGAAAGTTGTTGCCACCCTTGACAAATATAATAGCGACGACACCTGCCATGTCTCTGCTCTACGAGTGTATAAACGGAATTATCCAAGGCGGTATTCTTGGAAGTACAGATGACACTGCAGATACGGATGAGATTGCGACGCTCTGCGTCAAGAAGCTGCGAGGGATGGTCATGATTAATGGTGATCCAAATCGTGAGTCTGAGGTCTACTTTGCGAACAAATATTGTCCAGCACTTGACTAATATGATAATCTTCGGTAGTCAAATACGTGGCATTGCTGGCATTCAACAAGATTGTTGCCACGCACCCTCACCTAGTGGCGGAACAGGACGACGTCATTCTGGATTGTCTTGACAGTTCAGATATCACCATTAGAATACAAGCACTGGACCTGGTTCAAGGCATTGTTACTAGCGACAACTTGATACCGGTTGTTAGCCGATTGATGAAGCAACTCAAATCTTCGGCTCCAACAAAGGAGAGAAGTCAACCAGGAATTCCTTCATTCGGTTCTGGCTCGGACTCTAATGATGAAGCTCACGTGGCCATCACTGAGCCTACAAAAGTTGAAAAACAAGCACCGCCACTGCCTGAAGATTACATGATCGACATCATCAGAAGAATACTGTTTATATGTTCAAAGGACAACTACTCTAATGTCTTGGATTTTGACTGGTATATCGATGTATTGACTCAGCTCGTTCGCATGGCACCTGTCCCAAGACAGCTCGACTCGGAGAGTACTCCCTTATCGTCACTATCTTCGATGGATGTCTCAGGGAGAATAGGGGATGAGTTGCGAAACGTCGCAGTCAAAGTTCGAGCTATGAGATCTACTGCAGTGAGCGCTGGCTTTACCATCGTAGCTCAACTTAACGCAGACACTCCCACTGGCCACAAGGTCACATCTGGAGTCTTGAGTTCGGTTGCTTGGCTCCTGGGAGAATATGCCATCCTGTTGCAAGACCCTGATGGAACATTGAACAGTTTACTTCAGCTCATTCCTCGTGCTGCAAGACCCGAAGTTTGCGCTACGTCGCTTCTCGCGGTTGCCAAGATCTTCGCCACCATTGCAGGTGACGAAACACGACCGTGGACTGCTGAGTGGAAATCACGGATATCACTCCTCATTGCTAGAATCCTGCACGTGGCGGAGCCGTTGGCACTGCATCCAAATCTTGAGGTGCAAGAGCGAGCAGTCGAGTTTGTAGAGTTGTTAAAACTTACTGCTGAGGCTGTTTCCGGGCAACCTGCATCAACGGACGAGGCGTTTCAAGACTCTCCTCTTCTTCTCACCCAGGCAATCCCATCGCTGTTCAAAGGTTCAGAACTCAATTCCGTTGCTCAGGGAGCGCAGCGCAACGTACCAATGGCCGAAGGAATAGACCTTGACGAGCCCATTCACTCTAACCTGACCAATCTGCTGTCTCCTGCAGATCTCGTGGCTCTTGATGCCGATGAGTCGGATGAATTTGAAGTCTACTACAGCCAACGGCCGGCCCCCACTGCCATTTCATCCTCAGCTCCCGCAATCAGCAGACTCGCAGATCCGATCGATGAAACGATAGGGTCATATCAGCAGCCGGCAAGTGAAGAGAGCTATCTCGATGCCGATATCATCGCACGGCGCAAGGCAGAGCGCCTTGAACGTAACAAGGACGATCCATACTACTTACCCAGCGACGAGATAACCCGAGAATCTACCCCGATACACAATATCCTCCAGACCAGCAACGGACCAGATCTCGATATTGACTCTATACCCATTATTCAACTTGATCGTGACAATATGGCGACCCCGACCGCCCACGCAGGGCCCAGGTCGCAGGCTAAGCCACGGCAAAAGATTGTCATTGCTAGCGACGAGACTCTCGAGGGCAGTGATGGCGATAGCATCCGGCAACACGACTCTGGAAACAACTCTGATATCCTCACAAAGGCGAAGAGCAAGAAAGCCAAACACTCTCTGCTGCAAGTGGATTCGAGCCACATTGGCTCTTTCAGTCTCGAGGGCGCTCCGGCCAACGGGTTCGACTACGAGCGGAAGCAACGCGAGGAAGCAGAGATGCAGCAAGCCATAAAGGAAGTGGAAAGGCTGCGACTGGAAATGCAACGCGCCAACGAGCGTATCCAAGTCGCCCACGGGGTCGATGCCCAAGGTACCATTGTCAAAAAGAAGAGGACGGTGAAGAAGACGGCAGAGGGGGCACTCGGCCCTGATGGGGAAGTGAAGCCCAAGAAAAAGAAGAAGAAGAAGGTCAACCCGGCACAGGAACCGGATCAGACACCTGGCCAAGAGCCTGAGGGTGTGGGAACGTCTTCGATGGCAGAGACTGCTTCGATGGCAGATACGGCTGCGGCGGGTAGCGGTGCTGGCGTCACAGCTGATGATGTCGTCTTGCCGAAGAAGAAGAAAAAGACTGTCAAGAAGAAGAAGATGGCTGAGATTGAGGACTTGAGTTAGCTGTGCTAGAGGCTGAGGGTTTCGTTTGGGCCTTCTTCGTCTCGGCATGAACAGATTAGCATAGCATTCATACACGTGGGAATTTGAAAAATGTGCACCCAGCACTCTTTGTTTTATTTGTGCTGTCGGCAGCCTTGAGCAACCTGCTGCCGCTTTTCCATTCACACGCGGCGGCAAGGTGTCGGTGGATTGGCCAAAAAGGCGAGGGGTCATAATATGTACCGGTTATTTTATTTTATATACTCCTTCCAGCACCTTACACAACGCTACCGCGCGGATACAATGCACAGTTCAACTTGACCATATCTCATAGCTCCGTAAGACCCGTACGCACTGTGTCGATACTATGCAATAGTACAAAAGAAAGAAGAGTAACGTGGCAGCCATGATAACCCAACCAACAGTGTCTACATACGTACTCGACGCTCATCCTCATACATGTCCTTTTCCCTGCTAATCCTGGTTGAAAACAAGAGAAGAAAGAAAAAAACTCCCAAACATCCAACTAACCAGCTCTGTTAAAACCTCCATCAACAAACACACAAAGGGGTATCTTTCCATGGTTGGATTACTAGTCATCCATGGGTTTGTCCTCTAGTGTTACTCCCCTCGAGGGTGTGCTCTCTTGGGGAGGGGTCCCCGGCACTCTCTTCCCGCCAATAAACTTGGTTCCGGCGCGGCTACCGCTATCACGCTTGTCGCTGCCATCGCTGTCGGTACTTTTACCCTGAGGCGATCCATTTACTCCATCAGAAGGTGGTCCGCCGTCGAGCGCAGGCACATCCAAAGAGGATCTCTTTAACCGGCCTTCAATGCCGCCCAAACTGACACGATTCCGGTCCGTTGTTGGGCTGGTCTGGATGGGGAACCGAGTGTCCGGTCCTCCACTGCTCCTATCGCGCCGGTGGCCACGGGGGCCTGGTGCTGGACTGGTTGCTCGACTTCGCGAGGCGGTCGCCTTTTCTACCAAAGCACGATTGCGTTCCTCCATGAGAGCTTTTCTATTACTCTCATCAGTGCTTACAGCCCGAGGTCGACTGCTTCCCACAGATGCGGAATGACTCAATGTGGACATGCGTTTAAGTTCACTGAAAATTGGGTCTTTGTGCGCAAATAAATCCCGTACCAGTCGAGATGCATGCTTCTCTTCAAGCGTAAGCGAGGTTTCGGTTCGTGGTCTGAGAATGGAAGAGGCTAACGACGCAGCCAACGACGCAACGTATTCTTCATCCGCAGATGTCAGGTCGATCAAGCGAGTAAAATGATTCATGCAGGCGTCGAGAGTCGCGATGTTGGTCAGGCGCAGCTGTGACAATGTCTGCTGGAGAACGGCAACGCGGGATGCTTCCGAACCGTCTGCCGTGGGCGTTGTATAAATCGTGCGGATGATTTCGTAGACGTGGGCGCTAACTAGTGAATCTGAAATCGCAATGTTAGCGGTCACGAAGAAGAAAGAGCGGGGGAGGCAAGGTCTCTTAGGAGGTGAGATTTTGCAGAAAAGGCTTACCAGGGAGTTCCAATAGATACAGTTTCAGGAGTCCTGCTACAGTAGGGACATCGAACTCATCAAAAACGTCTGACGAGATGGTCTTGCCATTATTGACCTTGGCCCGAAGTTTATGGATTTGTGCGAGAGGGACATCAACTAGCCAAACTCCTCGGCGAGCCTCATCCCCTTCCAGGTCTGGGTAATGATGATCCAGATAGGTCAAAATCGTTGTCACAATGACGGGCACGCGCTTCTTGTCAGCTCTTGCACGAGCCTCGAGGTCAACACCGAATGTCTGCTCGTCAACCCTGTTATAGTAATTCTCATACACCACGACTCTCGGGGCAAAGCTTCCCGTGCGATAATTCTCCAACAAATAACGTAGATCACCGGCGGGCTGCACAGTCTCCTGGAATAAGACCATTTTGTCCACGGTCGACTGTAAGCTAGGAATGACATTACCAATGCTCCCGGAGAAATCGAGGATGACTGTCTTGATAGCCTTGAGTCGGTCGAGCTCACATCGTTCGAGGAACTTCAGATGGAGGAAAATGGCTTCCTCGAGCCCACAGCGCAATTCGTCAAGCTTGCGAACACCAGCTTTATACTTGTCATCGGCTTCTCGAGCCTCGCGCTGCAGACGCATGGAGGGTGTCTCATTTGGATCCCTAGTCCCGAGTACATTCCAATTGGCCAGATACTCACTGACTGTTCCAACAACAGGCGAGTCTGACCCTCCATCGGATCCCGTGGCGGGGAGTGAAAAGGTTCTATTCAACTTTTTCTCGGGCAGTCCGGCGCACTTGAATGCCTTTGGTCGCCATTGGTAGAACATTTTGGAGCTGTTGGCAAATGTGCTGCCAACATTACCGATAAGGCGCAAGAAGCCGTTTGTAACGAGATCCTGGCCAATTCGCTCGGCGTAGCTCACACTCGAAATGCCCATGCTGCGTTGGAGATACTCGACAATGTCAGAACCGGCTGATGTATTCAAGTATGTGCCAAGAATGGGAACCTTGGTCTCGCCCATCTTGATGGTGGAAAGCATATTTGAGAGGATCTTTTTCAGCTGCTCGGGTTGATAGACATCGTCACCGATTTCGTACAATTCGTCATCATCGGGATCCTCCTCTTCTTTGAGAGGCTGGACTTTAATCTCGGGAATGTTTGGTTGGTTCGACTTCGGGCTGGTTTCTGGGTCTTGAAATCCAAGCTTGTTCTCCTCCTCTAGATCCTCGACCAAACGGCACTTATTGAAGTAATTTGATCGCAACTTGCGAACTGCATCGGATTGGCGGTCATGCGCCTTAACATGGCTCTGTAGTTCGTCTTGCGAATCCTGTACACGGGCTTCGTGGGCATCACACCAGCGGGAGAATGGATTTATAACCAAGTCTCGGATATTTTGAGCGATTCGTTGATGACTCCGTGCGGCGTCTTGCATCTCTGCTCGCATTCCATCATAAGCCTATATAGTAAAAGCCTGCTGTAAGTAGCTGGTCGGAACGTTGATGTGGGTTGGGTTACCTAGGCAGTAAATGCAAGACAATATCGAGAAAGAAGGGAAAAAACTAACCTTTCGTACAGTAGCACCGTCATCTCTTGAGAAACCGCCGTTGACCCTGTCTGCAGATGGCGTGATATCCGAGAGACGCTGACCGTAAGTCTCTTCGGCTTCGGCGCGCAAACGGGCTATTGTGAGGACCTGGCGATTCTCCATTACACCTTGCTGGAGCTTGCCAAACAGGACGCCGAGTCCTATGGTTTACGCGTTAGATCATTGGGCAATGCAGGTCGCAATGAGACTTCTGACCCCTTGGCATTTATTTAGGATCCTTCTCAACGTACCTGCGGCATAGTCGCTCGACCAGAACGAGTCTGCAAAGCCCGGCATTTTTCTCGTACTCAGCTGGGCCAGACACACAACGGAATACCAGGCGCGAACTATTCAAGAAAAGCCACCAGGGGGCGAAATAGTGTAAGGCAATGGCCAACTCTGCCTGTTCGATCGAACGTCAATGGTATGAAGAGGATGCTCTGCTCAGATCAAGATACCGGCGAGTTCTGGGCTAGCAAGGTAACCGGGTTCGAAACGTTGACGTCGTCGGCTAGTCGAACTCTGGGCAAGCTGGCGGTGGTAGGGCGGCGTCAAGATCGGACGGTAATGAAACAAGTTCTAATGAAGAAGGGCGACTTTGAAGATAAGGAATGGGGTTTAAAATGGGTTTAAGCACGCATACAGCAGTCCAACCGGCGCAAGTTAAGGACAGAGGTTACAAAGAGCGTCTGCAGAATGTGGATAGGAGTGAAGAGTGCACGGCGGACGGAGTTGGAGATTGCAGATGGAGATGATGAATAGAGCTAGAGAAGGCTGGAGCCCACACGGCAGCACTGGACCCGAGTGTGAATGGCCAGCTAGGACATCGGGAGCTGCTCAGCTGCGGCTAGCTTTGTCGTTGGACCCCAGACCCGTCGCTGGCCACTAGGCACAGTTGAGAAAAGACCAGACCAGCAGGGGATTGCCTCAGGGGCTGGTCATTGTTCACGGCCAGTTGGCGAGGGCCCACACCTGCAAGTGTGCCATCAATTCAATGTTGTTAACCTCTGGTCCAAAAATGTTGCGTGTGCGCGACCTACTGAGCTGAGCAGAGCCTCCACAGACTGGCATGTGGATGCACGTGTGGTTCCCACGTTGATGAATGTGGCTGGCGCCGGTGTTCAGTAGCAACAAAATGCCAGGCGCACTCTGCAATACGGACCGTACGTACGGAGTATTCTCTCAAGTTGGGCCCCGAGGTGACCGTTGACCGGCCGATGGTGGCTGATAGCCAGGGGTCTTCGGATGAACCAGGCGACATTAATGGAACTGGCGGTGACTTTGGCGCCCACTGTTGAAGTGCCGACAGGGCCAGGTACGGACATCAAGTACGGAGTACCTAGGTACAACCTAAATAACTTGCCCCAGCTCCCCAATGTTGGTACTTAAGGTGAACAAGCAGGCGGCAGTGGGCAGATTCAACGGTCGGGGTCCTTGGCATGGGCTATGAGTCCGTGACCACACACCGAAATGCAGTGCGAGATGTTCACAACCTCCAGATGTCAATCACAAGACCGGGCGGGCGAATTGATTGGCAATTGCCTCGTTTTTGGGCATCTTCGCGGGTAGGGCGCGAACGGCCCGAGTAACACGGACACGGACCACGGACCCAACGAGGTGACAAAAGAAAACGACGGCCTGACGCTCTTGAACAATCAATGCTGCATCATCATCACCAGGTTCTGGACGGGCCAACTGGTGCATCCAAGGACCCAAGTACCTAGGCGCTCTGTAACCGAGCACTCGAGACAATCCGTGTGACGTCCCTCAACCAGCCCTGACGTCTCGTTTCTCTGTGCTCCCTAGACATGTGCCCACAAGACACAAAACGGGAGCCTTGGCCTACAAAGGTACAGGGTGGTTTGAGGTCACTGGTTGAAAAAGGAGCTTGAGCACCCAGCCGTGCAAGGAGAATTTAGCCGGTCTAAGCCTGCTGCTGCTCTTTTCGTGTGACGTAAGAGACGCCGCGCATTGGCATTCACCGTGATAGCTGGCGGGTGTGCGATGGCAACTATTAACGTTATGTAGACAAGCTGACCAAATAGCCGTATAGTAATAGACGCTGCCCGTTTTCATCGTTCTCTCTCCGCCTGGCGCTGGAACATACAGAGCAATTGTGTTTTCCTGGAACATTCGAGCACGTGAAGATTCGGATCAAGCCCTTCAACCGAGTCCTCTAGCTCTGACAAAGCATGCCCGCTCCAAATGTCCTTGACGCTAATCGGCATCGACGATCATTCAGCACATGGCGGCTCAACTTTCACTCGGCTATTCTCAAATAACAAAACCACCAGTCGTCTTTTCTTTCTTTGCCTTCCTTGCGGTTAAGGATACTCCGCGCATGCCCACTATGTATTGTACCTGCCCGTGAAGGAGTAACTCATGTTGTTTTCTACGATGCATCGACGGAGCAGTGTCGCACCCACGATCATTTCCCACAGCTCTGCTTACAGCATCTGCTCGCACCCTCGCAACGTCAAGGACAGCATCTCTCGAGCTGACCAAGGAGTGAAACTCTGTTGTTATAGCCAATTTTAAGCCCGGCTTCATCTTGTGCGTAGATACTGGTCAGGGGAATGGCCTGCCTGAGAATGATGCTGCCAACGCAACTTTGGATCGAGGTGTCGAACATATCATGGAAATCGGCAATTGCATTGGCTGTGACCACATTGATAATTGGAACCGACTTTGGTAGCACCGACTCTACGTCCAAGGCATTTGAAGACATAGCAAAGTATCCCGGCGTGAGTGCTGCCTTATTGAGGGACAGCATCAGTTACCGTGATGCCGCCTAAATTGTTGGTCACAGCGTGCCTGGCGTGTGGCAAGAAGTCGATGCCGTATCTGCGTGCATGAAGGTAGAAAACGCGCCCATGGTGGAAGATGACCCTGACCAGCCTGCTATCGATTTACACAGGTAGAAAATCGTTTATTCTTTGTACATAACGAGGGGTCTGTGTACTTTTTGAAATCAGACCTCGATGCCGTCTTTTTCGCTCACTTAATCATACAAATTATTATATAAACACTTCTGTGCAACAGATCATGGCTTTCATGGATGTGGACCCTGATTTCAGTCTTAACTTTCCTCCAGAAAGTGCTTGCTGCGTAGGGATTTTCTTGTTGATTTGATGCCGCATGCAGGTGTGGCGTCCGCCTTGTCATGAGCTCGCCTTGTATCTCAATAGTTGTAGATATTCGAGCCCTACATGTCCAAATGTAGTTGAGAAAGTCGGTTACGTGCTGCAGAGGACTTATGATCTGCGATCAACTCTATTGAGCTTGTTGGCCGTGGCCGTCTGCGTGCGTGTTCGCTGACCGCGCACCGGCAGGCCCATGGCATGCCGTCGACCGCGATATGACCCAATGTCTTTTAATCTTCTGATATTGTCTTGTACTATCCGCCTTGCGTCGGTTTCAATCGTCATTTGTGATAATTCGGCTGTCAGGGACGTAACTGTTCGGGGGGTAAGGGATCCGACTTTTGCGAGCTTGTGGATCGAGTATTTGGCCATGATGCGGGAGGATGTCGTTGATCCTAGAGCATAGAATGATTCGAGAGCTTTCTGTAGCAGCAATTCCGTACATTGTCAGCGCTCTTGTCCTCCTTTCAAGCAGCGCATAAATGGCGCCTGCTTTGGTATTCTTACCTTGACGAGCTTTCCATCATTGAAATTGACGCCGAGTATGAACACCTAAGTGAAAGGTGAGAATTGTCAACGCTGGATATTATTGTAATTTGAGAATTGGGAGTTTATAATACCATTTTGACAGTTGCTGAGCAGGATTGACGGCAGAGATGCGAAGCCAAGGCGTTGTCCTGATGACCAACGACTATCCTGAGTAGGTCGGGACATAAAAACGAAGCTGGTGTGAAGTTCCGGAGAAGGTGCGGTTAAACCTGCATCCAGGGTGGCCCTCCCCCGTTTCGATGCTAGGCGACGGTCAGACACTGTCGTGCTTACTTAAGTACTTGTAAGCTGAAACTCAACGAAGCCCCAGAGCTTCAATGATGCTGGTCTACTGACACTGAAAGTCATGGACATTGCTAAATGAGCAGTGTTATCACTTGATTCAATTGACCTTAAATACTAATTGTATAGTAATGGAAGGTGCCCATCTAAATACCTAGAGACTTTGGCTTGAGGGCTCAAAGTAACCTTGGGCGGAGCGAGATGTACAGGCGTGTTGCATCTGGTTTGCCACGAAATTTCCGAGTCAAGATTAACACCGAGTGTATATAACCTAATTGAGAGGGGACGAATATGTCGCAACGACTTGACTAGTTAGAATGTTGCCTTGCCGACCCCAGCAGCGTTCAGCAGATCGAATTGACGTCAACTGGTCGGTCCTACTGTAAGCCTCCAGCGTAGTGCTGCCAAAGGTTAACTGGTAGGTTCAAAAAAGCCGGCACTTTTAGCAGCACTTGGGGAAGCTAAAATTTACTATAGTAAAGAGTAAATAATAATAATACATATTTACTGCGTGCTGTTAGCAACTATATTTACTATTAATTTTTTAATATAAAGCGCTATAAATTGAGAATACTGCTATTTGTTGCCTTGTAGTGGATTTTGCGATTCTTGTAGAGTCTGGTCTGATCGTGTTTGGCGGGGGATTCTCCGGAGCTTCGCTGATGTGCGACCGTAGAAGTAACCACGTATGTACTCCGTGCCAGACCGTGCAACGCCACCTGCTGTTTTCGCTAACGCAACTCGGACTTGAGACCTGAACCGTAGTCGCAGTGCTGTGGGCCTCCTATGCATGGACCTCCCCACGCTGCTTCGGCGGGGGATCTTGAAACGCACTCGTCAAGCTTAGAGCTTAGGTGTCCCTCAGTCCAGCCTTCCAGCCTTCCTCTCCCTCATCATCCTTTCCTCTACATCCCACGGCAAGACATATAAGTAGGTACCCAACCACTACGCAGTATACGCTGATATTTGAATTGTTCAACAGCATACTGAGAGATACACCCGCATCTTTTTTGCCTCACCTGTCTTTTCTCCCTTCGACTGCAGAGGTTGGCTTTTTACACACAATATGTTTAACCTGAGGCGTCTCGTCTCCTTTGCCCTCCTCATTGGAGTCGGCCTGGTCTTTTTCTCCCAGACCGCCGAGGCGGCAAAAGGCCCCAAGATCACCCACAAGGTCTACTTCGATATTGAGCATGGTGGCGAGCCATTGGGTCGTATTGTCATGGGATTGTACGGAAAGACTGTCCCTAAGACGGCTGAGAACTTCCGTGCCTTGGCTACTGGGGAAAAGGGATTTGGCTACCAGGATTCTACGTTCCACCGTGTTATCAAGCAGTTCATGATCCAGGGTGGTGACTTTACCAAGGGTGACGGCACTGGTGGCAAGTCTAGTGAGTATTCTCGGCCATTACAAATCCGATACAGCTCCATGACTTGATCAATTGACTAACTCGCAACTCCCTCGCAGTCTATGGCGCAAAGTTCAAGGACGAGAACTTCAAGCTCAAGCATACCAAGGAGGGTCTCCTCTCCATGGCTAACGCTGGCCCCGACACCAACGGCTCTCAATTCTTCATCACCACCGTCGTCACCTCGTAAGCAGGCATTTCTGATATTCGCCATTCATTGGCAGGACGAACAAAGAACTAATCAATTCCATAGTTGGCTCGATGGCCGACACGTCGTTTTCGGCGAGGTGCTTGAGGGCTACGATATCGTCAAGAAGATTGAGAATGCCGCGACCGAGGCAGGCGACAAGCCGGTTAAGACTGTAAAGATCGCCAAGAGCGGCGAGATTGAGGTCCCGTCTGAAGGTATTCACGTTGACCTCTAAGATCCTTCGTATCGAAGCTTCACAAAACCAAACTATCCTCAATTCGCCCGTAGCCGGTGCTGATATGTGCGGAAATAATCAGGCCTCCACGGCTCGGCTGGCTGGGCCGACGGCGTAGCGCCCGTCGAAAACGAAGGTATCGTGGGAGACAGCCCCTCTGAAGGATGGTCACTCTTGCAGAAGGTGGGATTGTTTGGGTTTGTGGTGGTTGCTGCAGTGTTCTACATCCGCCTTCGTAAATCTTCCAACGGAGGTTACACGGAAAAGCTGACTGCTTAATATATTCAAGCTTTCCCGTCTCGTCGTCTCGTGAACTGGGTAGCATGTAGAACATGTAGTAATGCGAGGATTCTCAAATTGGCTTACGGACCAACTGTCATTAATTTCTTAACATGAGCCAAACATATGGTGGATTAAAGAACCGAAATCCGATTGAGCTACAATTAGTTGTTGAAGCAGAGCATACTGGAAAGATGTCCAATGTGTGATAAATTATGTCACGTATCAAGCGCACACCACCAACCCCCCCTGTAAGTTCATCTTGAGGCACGACGTTGACACGCACCCTTTCTGAAGATTTTGAATACCGGAAAACGGATACGTTGGAAACAAAAACGAACGCCGTCAGTCACCCATTTACACGGGACTTGAAAATGAAAGTCCTCAGCCTCAACTTCCTGACATGCGCCGCCAAGGCATGCAAAAGCTCCTCCGACTCATATCCTCTGCACCCCAAGGACGCTGAACTCGTTCAGGATGAAATCGAACTCAACCCCGATATGATTATCAATGTGCTGCCCAGACTCGACTGGGCCGCATTGCGAACTACGTCATCAGAAGTACGTTGCCCTTTCTTTTTTAGACAGCTGCTGTGGGGTATTTTCGTCTCGGCTGGCCGTCGTGAGACTTGGGTTGTGAGTGGTGGATGGGGGGTGAGTTTTATTGACTGAAGTGACAGCTTGGCTTCCCTGCCCTTCCCGAACAGCCTCCCACCGCGGAGGAGCTACAGGCTGATGAGAAGACGTTGAAAGATTTGCACCACTTGCTGCTGGAGACGCAAATGTCAGAGGGGAAGTTGGTGTGCGCTAATTGTGGACACGAGTACGCCGTGAAGGAGGGCATTGCCAACTTTTTGCTGCCAAGTCATATGGTTTAGATGCGAGACTGGAAGCAGACTAGAGGTAGGAAGGTTGGGGTTGACGGTATAGGGTGGAATCAGGGGCTGTTCAAAGAGAATTATTGGGACGGCGCAGGGGGAGTTTTACACACGTCTGTTCGCGGAATTGCTTGGGTGAATGAAATATTTTTTGCCGCAACAGGAAAAGCAATTTCTGGGCTCTTTAACCATACAATGTATAAACTAAACTCTACTCGAGTGACATCCTGCAGCGTTTAACAACGGCAAGATTTCACGCCACAAGCCGGTAGCATTCCTCAGTAAAACAGCCTTTAAACTCCGTATTTGATATGTATATGCTACAGAACAACTCGGTTCAACAACGTACAAAACATGATGGCACCGCCTCGACACATTACTGCTGCTTCTTCTGAGCTGCGGGACCCATCTCCTTGTCGAAAGCACCATACGAGACCTCGAGACTGGCAAGACCTCTGATACCAGCTCCGAGAATGGAAAGAAGAACAATGGCGACAACAAGGCCCATGAAGATGCCTAGCGTCATTAGTCAGGAGAGCTTTATCGTACACGAGTAGCAGCAATGGCTTACCAGGAGTGAAAAACTGATACTTCTCAAACAGGGGCAACTTGTTGAATTCTGTTTCGTTGTTTTGCTGGGGCAGGGGAGCGCTACCCGCGTCTCGCTTCATACCCATATGCACTGGCTCGATGAAATCCGACTCGTACAGCGGTTCCCGGGGGGTCGCGTAGAGCAGGACGGTGTAGCTGTCAGCGGCTGTGACTGCTTCCAGCTCAGCAGTAAGGGATACATCTGCAACTCCATCAGTGAGAATCCACATGTGTGTGGCCTCGTCTTCCTTGAGAACCGACGTACCATTGCTGACGAGATCCTGAGTCCTGGCAGCTGGTGATAGCGAGCCCAGCTGAACTGACTTCACATGGGCAGTCTTTCCCTTCTTCCTGCATGCTAACTTGATGTACTCATCAAATTTGGCTTCTGTAACGTCTCCGATAACCTCGGCCACGGTATACTTTCCCTTGACCCGAGAAGCTTCGACAGTCTTGCAGACATGGGGCATCAAGCAATCGTTCTGGGTAAGATCCGCAGCATTGATACCGGGTTGAGTCACGATCAGGTATCGGTCGGTAAGACATTCATCGAGTACATTTTTGGTGAATTTTATTACTTCGGAACTCGTCTGAATCTGTTTGGTGTTGGGTGGTTGCGAAATCCTAATAGAATTGTCAGTCAAGCCGTCGTCAGCTGAAGGATGATGCGCGCGCAGGCTCACTTTGAACTCGAAAACAGCACCCATGGTGAAGAATCTAAGAAAGCAAACGCTGCTCCCGGTAACACTAAGGCACTGGCGAGAATCTGGAAACGCATGGTGACTATAGCGATGCGCGACTGGGCCCTTGTCGTATCGTCAATGAGCTGTGTCAAGCTGCTTCGTTACTATGACGGACACGCAGCCGCCTGCCCTGCGACCGTGATGGTACTGGAAATCCAGTGCATTACGTAAGGTCATTGGGGTCAACTGGTAACATGGAAGGGCCGGTCTCCAGAACCTTTTGTTAAGTACAAGGGTCACAGTGGGCTGCTAGTGGACCCTGTTTGCTATGGGAGCGTCGAGGTGCTACTTGATGTAAAAAAAAAAATTACTTGACCATATGCAACAATCCGACATTCTTTGTATCATATTAGCAACACAGCTGCTTTATTCCGGATTGGAAGATTTCCAATTGCCAAAATGTTCGCCAGACCGAGACCGAAAAAGAGCATTCTTCCACCCCCAAGCAAGAAACGGAAAACTACGTCGACTATTGAAGAGATCTCGTTCGACGACGACGCCCGCACAGAATATCTTACGGGTTTTCACAAGCGCAAGCAGCACAGAATAAAGCATGCGCAAGAAGAGGCTGCCAAGAGGGCTCGCCAGGAAAAATTGGAAACGCGGAAACAGGTGCGCAGTTGCTGACGAGCCTCGATGGGCAGTGCATTGTCTTTGCGAAGGCACTAATCCAGTTGCTTCCATAGATACGAGAAGACAGACGGCGAGAAGTTGCTGAACATGTCGAGGCTGTGAACAGAATACTTCGTGAGTCTGGGGCTGTATCTTCGCAGATCGATGAGGGAGAAGAATCTGGGGAGGATGTGGACGAATGGGATGGTTTCCCGGACAAGCCAGACTTGGACCTTATCGATCACGAGGAAGAATACATTGATGAGGACAGGTATACTACTGTCAAGGTTGAATCAGTTTCGGTCTCACGAGATGGATTAAGCAGACCAGATGAAATCGATGATGAGGCTGAGGAAGAAGCACGCCGAAAACGGGAGGAAGCAGAAAAGAAAGAAGCCGAGGCCAAGGATAAGAAGAAACCATCATGGCAGAAGAAGAAGAAGAAGAAGTTCCGGTACGAATCAAAGATCGAACGACAGCTGACAGATAGAAAGCAAAAAGCAAAAAGCAAGTCACGGAGAGAGTAGAAGAAACCAGAGCAGCAAAACGGGCACTGTGAAGCAGATGAAGGAAGCTATTTAAATATTATGGGAGAATAGATACCCCATGGATTGAGGCAGCTCCAATTACTAGAAGAGATGGTATATACTGCTGCTAGGTGATTCGCTTTTCTCGCAACAAAAGAAAATACTCGCGTCAAAAATAATCACATCGATAACCTCTGGGGCCTTGCTTCGCCTAGGTCGTCCTGGCTAAACTCGGAACAACCACGTTGCAGTAAATGGGTGGTTGATTTCTCTACAAACTTGTAAAGTTAGATGTTGCCAATCTCGTTTTGAAGCTCCTCCAATTCCTTCTGCAGGGTCGAGTGCTTCTTCGCCATCTCCTCGTACTTCTGCTCCCATTGGTCTCGTTCTTGTTCGAGAGCCTGCACCTTGCGCTCGAAGTGTCCAGCCTTGACATCGGTCTGTCGAAGCCTAATATATTTGGATAATGGTTAGCATCAGACTTGGCTTTACTAAGAAGCGGCGAAGCATCTCAGCCGCCGGGAAAGCGGAAAAGGAGGCAAGGGTCGAGATATGTTCCATACTTCTCGTTCGCTTCCCGCAAAGTCTTGTCGGCATCTTCGGCTTCCTCCTCAAGCAGCTGGAGTCGTCGCTGCAGCGTCTCGTTCTGGGTGCCGTGTTGTTGGCCTTCATCAGCGGCTTTTTTGAAGTCCTTCGTGGCGGTTTCAAGCTTCTCCACCTCGCCCTCTAGCAAGTTGTTCTTGTGCTGTAGAGAGGTGATCTCCTGTTCCTTGGCCAAGTTCTCCTGCTCAAGAGCCTTGACTTTGGCCTGAAGTTCTTGCACCTTCGCGGCAGCCTCATCAGCCTCGAGGCGGAGGGAGTTCATTTTCTAGATTGTGACCATCATCAGTCACGATGCGTCGTTCGCCTTGTCGGACAACCAAGCCTTCTACCCCTCTACACAACACTGTGTTGAGTGGGGTACAAACAGAGAGGGACGCTGTCTGAACAGACAGGAAGAACAATATGAAAAGACGAACCTCCTTAATGCGATCCATTTTCGGGAAGTATTATGAAATCGAGCTCGGGTAGGTAGAATTTCAGTTGGAGATGAATACCGGTTTGTGGAGGATTGACGATGCAGCCAGGTTGGATGATTGGGTCAAGATCAAAGAAAAGGGATGAGCAAATGGGGTTCCAACTACGGAGTAAGGAGTCGCAAGAGCTGGCCGCATGCCCCTCCAACGATGCTTGTACCTCCCCTGTCGGCCGCTGTGGCTTGAGCAGTGAACGCGTCCAATGTCCAGTCAACGGTTCGGTCCAGTGGTACAACGTGCCACAGCCAGCGGCCCACACGCTCAAGTGTACAAATCGGACTGCCGAAGTATTACGTGACATCTGGAGTACGGTGCGCTAGCTGGCTTGGAATTTGGGTGCTGGCAACAGCCTGTTGTCCGGTCAACCATTATTTGCGACCAGGCTAATCAACAGGAGCTTGGATTCCCGGACGGGGCCCAAACAATTAAGATGATAGAACTACGAGATTGTCTAATCAGCCCCTATTGTTGATGGGATTGAATACGCATCATCGCGTCCTTGCCCGTAGTCTTTCACTCTTCATAACAGGTTATCTACAGACTTATTGATATTCGGCACCGCGGAACCACCATGTTGGCGGCACATCGCGACCAAGAGAATTTGGTGCATAGTCACCACCAAGGCCCAACAAAACAACAGCCGAAAACACCAGGAGCCAGATATCCCAAGACGCCCGGCAACTTCGGGCGAGGCGATGAGAATGCGCCCATGGCATTTGCGGATAAAACCGCCTTCGGTGGTGGTGCCAAGTTGGGAGGAAAGGATAGGTTGATGACGGGGAAAATGACGGGCCAACGCCAGACAATGTTAACTCCGATGGGTGCGTGTTCCTATATTCACTTCAATAAAAGAATCCCCCATACGGCTTGCTAATCTCTGCCAAACAGATAATCGTACTCGTGCGCCACTAGGAAACAAGACTACAAATGCGAAAGCCAGAACAGGCCAGACGACTGGGGTCAAGGATATTGTTCGGGAAATCGAAAAGACACAGACGAGGCAAAGCAGTGGACAGAAGACCAAGCAGAAACCGGTGAATCCTCAACCAATCAAGCTGAATATTGAGCATGACAAACATGACGATGCCGATGGTAACGAGATTCCGGAGCCTGAATATGCTCCCCCGAGGCCAACCCCTCTGCCATATGAGTCTGATGTGCTGCCTCCAGGCGGCCTCACCTTCAATGGTTTAAAGAAAGGAAATCTTCTTAAGGGGTATTACCAGCACTTCCATAATCCTATTGATGAAAACGGGGTTTCCCTCATGGAAAAGAAATTCAACAAGGAGATGGAAACAGTATTGCAAAAGGCCGAGGAACGAAATGCTCAAGAGGTCAATGCTATAGGTTGGAGCCCGGAGGATATTGAGGATAATCAAATCCCAACTACGGTTTCAAGCGATAGAGTCAAACCAGCGACTGATTTATCATCGAGGAGGGCCAGAACTAAAAGTTCCCAATTACAGCCTGCCTCTATCTCTGCGCGACGAGCTGCCTCAATGTTGGCTGTGCGTTCAGACAAGCAGAATGGCAATGTCCCACGTCCTGCCTCAAGCAGTTCTACAACGCGGAGGCCATTATCGGGGATAATTTCAGTAACCAGGCCTGCTAGACCAGTCATCACCAAGCCAAGTTCGAGTGGAAACTCAACGGGCGAGGCCGCTTCACGAACAACCCTAGGATACAATAAAGGGCGTTCGGCTTCTTCCATGGTGCATTCCCATGGCAATAGTCAGTCCATCAGGCAGAGACAACAGCCTAAGCCTACTGTCCCACAGGACCCTGATTCCCAGATGACTATTACCCCAGCTCGAATTTGTCGAGCCACTTCATGCAACACGGAATCATCAAGGCCACAATTTATGTCAATCTTCGATGACGGGGACGAAGGGGACTTGCCACCGCTGCAAAGGCCATTTTTGCCATCCGATGATGAGGAAGATGAGTTTGAATTCAAGCTGACGATTTGATTCCCTGTGTAATGAATCTTAAAAACGTTGGAGTTTAGGGTATAGCATTATCTGAGACCTTCACGTATGAACAACTTGGCAATAACTGTGACACCACCAGGCCAGCTTCTCAAGCGCCTGCCAGAATTTAGCTTTACCATTTCCCTTTTCTCTTGCCGCCCAAACGGAAGAAAAAAACAAGCGTACTATCTTCAAATGGGAGTCGTGGTAGCTGTCGGCCCTTGTTCACAGCGCTACCCCGACAAATTCGACATATCAGAGCGTACACACAGTTTTTGGCAAGGTATATTTGCCTCGGGGTAAATATATACTAATAAATTACAGTACATTATGGGACATCTCGCGATAGGCTAATTCATCTTCCCAAAGATGTGCAGACATGCTTTTTACCTCGAGTTGAACCGTGTGCATAGCTGCTATCACTCCATAAATCGTAGTTTCCGCTGACAGACATTGCTGTAGATTTCAGCATTGCACCTAAAACCCCTTTATTTTCAACGAATTTGATTAAAATTGGCATTTCTGGGCGTGGGAAATTTGGTTTGATTGTGAAGCAGCCTGCAGGTACAGAATAAACTTTTTTTTGGGGGAGTATTTCCGGCAAAGCCACGCCGAGAGCGCACAAAGGTTCTCGGTACTTCCTGAGCCTCCGTAATGTTGCCAGCCTGTGGCTGGACCAACAAGGATTCAGTTCTGCCATCCCTGAAAGAAAGTGTCAATCTATGTCGAACCTCTCACCGTCCTGTCCCTTCTATTTTTCACACGTGCACGCTTCACATCTTGATCTTTTGCTGCGGCACATATTGCACTACGATCGCATACGTTTGCTTCGCCCTCTCATCACTTTTCCATTGGCGCGACTGTTCTTGCTCTGCCAGTGAATGAGGATCTACCCGCCTTCCCACCGCTGCCCGCCCTCTTGTCCTCCGGTCGCGTGGGCTCGGCGAAGCGCGTACGGCCTGCGTGTGAAGACCATCGCCCACCACAATCGTTTGTCCCGTGAATGGCCTAGAACCAAACGCGAGATATGATGAGCAGGTTGCGGTGCAAAAGATAACAGGAGCGCATCGACACGATGACTCGGCCGCCTCCAGGCGTGAGTTTCGCGCAGTTCTTTCCAAACGCTCCAAAGGTGAGAGCAGAAGCCCAAGGCCGGGCAGATCGCGAGCGATCACGGCGCAATAGCATTCAAGGCAGCGATCCATCTTCAGATCCCGCTGCCGGCGCGGTGCCTTCGAATGCAACCGGTTTTGCTCGGCTGTCACAATCTAATATCCCTTCGGATGCCCCCCACTCACAAAACGACGATCACGACACTCCTCTGGGAGATATACCCAGTACTGTTGGATCTGCCAGCTCGCACACGAGCTCTGCGTCCTCTATTTTTAGTGCCTCACAAAGGCAAACCACAACGACGGCCTCATCTCACATATCTGCAAGAACGACGCCTCTCACCGCGCGGGACTCATCGTCCTACTCACCTGTCCCCCCATCTTCAAAGCCAGATATGCCTCCACTGGAGGCAGCCGACCATGGCTCGGGACAAACTCATACCGCAGGCCTTGCTCAAGGCCATGATGGTCTGAACTCATTCGGTACCCAACATATTGATCGCCCGTCGGCCCGAGATCCATTTCCATCTGTCAAAGGCCTGATATGTACATATGATCCGATCCTCGATCGAGTACGGAATAAAGGAGCTGGCAAGAGTTCCAAACCGACATATACAGAATTCGGATTGGTATGTATAACTAAATATTCTCATGGGTGAAAGGGGGGGCGTCACTTTCGGGCACAGTAAATGTAGGCTAACTTTCTTGGATAGAACGATGACGCTCCCCCTTCCGACCCGCGTTTGCAAAAGGCTGGGGGCCGGCTTGGCTACATTAATACCGACTATTATCTACCAAAAGCTCGATTGCGCCCTGCGCCAGAGAATCTCAAACCCTACCCGTATGATGTAAAGACATCCATCGGGCCTGGCCCGCCGACGCAGATCGTGGTGACACGGTACAACCCCCTGATTCCCTTCAACAAAGTGACGGCTGTCTTTGCAACATTTGGAGAAATTGCGGAAAGCAGCAATAAAATGCATCCTGATACAGGCAGCTACCTTGGTTTTGCGACCATTCGCTATCGTGATTCTAAGCGCTCAGGGCGAGCGGCCGTCTCCGCAGTTGATGCCGCTCGCCGTGCCGTGCGGACACCTGGTATCAAAATCGATGCGGATATGGTCAAGGTTGACTATGATCCAGAGGGACGTAAGAGCCGACGAATGCTTGAAGAACATCTCAAACGAGAGAGAGAAAAGTATAACAAGGAGAAGTTAGCTAGGGAGCAGGCCGCTTCTAAAGCACCTCCAACAGGTCCAAAATCTTCAGCACCAGCGGTGCCTTTCGTGCGACCCCCCCCGACAGCACCCAAAGGACCAACTGGGCCGTGGCCAACGCCGACGACAGCACCACCACAACCTAGTGCAACGCCGCCTGCCAGGCCACAGGTACCTATTGAGCCGCAGAATATCTCCCATCAATTGGCGAATGACCCCTATATTTTCATCTCTTCTGATGATGTGCCGATATTGCCTAGTATCGTCCCGCACATGAAGAAACGATTAAAGAATTATGGGTTTGAAGAAATTCGTCTCGACCGTACCGGCTTCTACGTTGTCTTTCGAAACTCGTTTACGGGCAAGTCAGAAGCAGAACGGTGCTACCGAGCCGTCAATCATACCGAATTCTTCAACTATGATATGGCGATGCAGCTTTGCTTGCCAAGACCAACTCGTGGTGCGGACGCTGAACGCAGACGCAGTCCTTCTCCTCCACCCCCGAGAGATAGGGAACGGGACCAAGAGTTGTCAGCACGGCGACGGCATGAGGAAACGAAACGACGTCGGCGAGAAGAGGAAGCAGACCTCGAAGAAGAAAAGAAACAGAGAGCTAAGAACTTTGATCCTGTCTTCGAGGCCGTGGAGGCGGTTCGACGAGAAATGACGGAGCACCTGATACGGCATATTCGAACACAGGTGGCTGCACCATGCCTCTCTGACTTCCTCAATCCATCCAACCATGTCGCTAAGAGACGAAAATTCAACTTGGACCAGATTGATGACGATGAAGACAACGATAGCAATAGCCCGAGGATTGGGACACCGAATTCAGGAGCGGATCCAATTGAACGGCGAACCGGACGGCTTGAGGCAAAAGCACTGCCCCGAATACGAAAAGTCAAGGCTAAGGGTAGCCACCGAAATATGTTTGTTGATCCCTTTTCACGGAAGCGCCAGTCTGCCGGGAGAAGTGCTTTCCGTTCCTTGCACCATCGTTTCAAGAGTCTGGACAGCGACTTTGAGTCCGACGATGATACTGACACTAGAGCGCTGGCTGCTCGTGACACCGAAGAGCCTGAATCGCGACCTCGGAGTCGCATGAGTACGGATGACGAATTTGGCTCTTGGGGTCGCGGTGGAGACGACGACTCTATGACAGAATCTAGCCTGGCCATCTTAGATCGGTCATCGTTGAAGAAAAGGAAGTTGGAAGCTTCCATTGAGAAGGCTTTTAAGCGACAAAAGAAGTCCGATGAAGAACTATATGGTGTCAAAATTAGCCGCATCGACACGGATATTGACGGACGCGGGGCATCTACAGACATTGGTGCTGATGTTGATCTGTTGGCTGACCTTGACAGTGGTGTGTCCAGACCGGAGACACCCGTACCTCAAACTTTGAAAGGTGTAAAGAAGAAGGCAGTAAAGCCGAAGAAAAAAACCAAGAAGCAACTCTTAGAGGAGCAGGAAGCTCTGAAGCAGCAGCAAGAGGCGGAGCTTGGCGATGAAGGCGACGAGGAGCTCTCTTTGCCAGCCAAGGTGGAGGAGGAGAGCATTCCTCAAGCTGATGCACCTATTGACAAATATGATGAGCGACTATTTTCTACCACACCGCTCACCGCCGCTCTCATACTGCACGACGATTTCAAACCCGACATTGCTGCTTTGCAAAACTTGGCTCTTGGCATTAAAGACAAGCCTGATTTAGCTAAGCTGCAAAAGAAGTTTAGCGTTGCCGATGTTGGAAACGCAGAGCTTTGGTTATGGAAGCGCAACCGTGTCAGAGAACTGAACTCGACGAGCAGCTCTTCCAACCACCAGGTGTCTATTGGAGGATACTACGTTCCAAATTCCACCGGCTGTGCGCGTACAGAAGGAGTCAAGAAAATCCTTAACTCTGAGAAATCGAAATACCTGCCACATCATATCAAAGTGCAGAAGGCTAGAGAAGAACGCCAGGCACGGTCCAAGAGGAACGGCAAAGACAGTGTCCATGCCGCATCTGAAGCAGCCAAGATCGCAGCCGAGAAGATCGCCAAGGGCAACTCACGCGCCAATCGGGCTACAAACCGTCGTTATGTTGCCGATCTGAATGACCAAAAGAAGACGCTTGGGCAGGACTCTGATGTCTTCAAATTCAACCAGCTTAAGAAGCGGAAGAAGCCCGTCAAGTTTGCTCGATCTGCTATCCATAATTGGGGTCTTTATGCCATGGAAAATATCAACAAGGACGACATGATTATCGAGTACGTTGGTGAGGAAGTCCGTCAACAAATCGCGGAAATTCGAGAGAACCGTTATCTCAAGAGCGGTATTGGGAGTAGCTACCTTTTCCGCATTGATGACGATACTGTCATTGATGCAACCAAGAAGGGGGGCATTGCACGATTCATTAATCACAGCTGCATGCCGAATTGTACAGCCAAGATTATCAAAGTCGAAGGCAGCAAGAGAATTGTCATATATGCCCTCCGTGACATTGCAATGAGTGAGTAACTTTCTTTGGAGAGTAAGGTGGCCTGAGTTTAGAGTAGAACCACCTGGCTGACATGATGTTTACAGATGAGGAATTGACCTACGACTACAAATTCGAGCGAGAAATTGGCAGCTTGGACCGTATTCCATGCCTCTGCGGTACCGCAGCCTGCAAGGGCTTTCTTAATTGAGCCTCGAAAATTGCCTTCCCCTACTAATACCGAAACTCTCGCACATTCTTATCACGACCCAAGCTTGGCAACTTCCGAACCTACCTAGAATGGGAGCCAGAGTTCCGTTTCTGGTCCATTCTTGTATAAATCTCCCTATCATAATACAAGCTTTCAATTTTCTTTTCTGTTCTTTTCTTTTTTTGCAGGCTTGGACCACATTCCAACATCACTCTCTCATATAGTCAGAACTATATGGAATTGACTCGAGAGAAATGCGGAAGAGAAAAGGGTCGACGCAAGAACGAAAGAGCAATCCATCTATGTTTTTGGATTATGGCTGTGTGGCGTTAGGCGGACATTGTCAACGGAAAGAAGGCATATTTGCATCATTGGTGCGGTTAGGGGAGTAAGTTAGCCCTCATGGTTTTGACTTGTTTTTTCTTTACTCGTTTCCCGACGTCAGCAGGAAATCAGGGGAAGGCTGCTTGGTTCTTTTTTCTTTTTTTTCAACAACGGCGCCGATTTCAGGCCCATGGTGTTGTCTTGACGCGGCGTTTCAACCGGCCATGTACTTTTTGATCCCCCTTCTCTGCCCCCGAAAACCGTCATCACCTCATATTGACGACTTGACATCGCAACTGTCTGTACATACTGCAACACTTGACACATTGAGGTTACTGAATAACCCCCAAAAATAGAGCAAGCTGACACACTTTTTTCGCGCCTTTAAACGTATCATCATTGTATGTGGAAGTGATGTGGTGTGCTAGTAAGAACAACTGTGATATACGTGCCTAAATGAAGCTCCTTCGACAGGATAAACGTCGTAGAAGATACTTGCTGGAGCACGGTTCGGACATGGCCATACGCTCAACAGCCTGACCAAGGGGTATAACGCCTCTCCGCCAAAACGAAAGAGAGCCAATTGCGAGCAGTATAAGCAAAACGATTTTCTAGAAAAAGAGCGTATAGCACAGTCCCATCATGAAATTTCCACAAATCCTACCCGAGCCGCTTCCAGATAAGAGTAAAAATGCAATACTCTTAGCCTGCCGAGGTCCTGCCCCTTAGTCTCCAGACCCCCTTGATGAATGCGACTCATTCTCTCCAGGTGGTGCTCTCGGTCCAAGCATCCAGTCCTGCATTGCCAGCCAATCGCTCCAGTTGGCTTCTGCGTTAACGATTTCCTTCTCGGTAACGCCTTGAAGTGGGCGGAGGAAGGGAACGGACTGCCCATTTTCCATGTCGTAATCAGCCTTGACTCTGAGCCATGTCTCGCTCTTTGCAGCAAACAGGTAGTTTCTCCGCTCCTGTTCGTGAATAGGACCTATTCCTGCAGACCAATCGTCGCCGAAAAAGCCAAGCAGAATGGAGGGTGTATCAAACCCCGTAGCAACCAGTCGTCTGATGAAGGGCACGAGGGCTACGTTTCCGCGCCCTGCCCCCGACGAAGACAAAGAACTTGGCGTGGCAGCGGAACTCTGATTGGAGATCTTTTCAAATGGTAGTTGGATGTTTACCAAGGCTGCTACGGCCTGTACAGGATTGGTGTGCTGAGCATGCTCAATGAAGAATCTGTGACAGGACTGAAATCTCGGGTACCACTCGAAGATATCAAACTGGGATTCTTGAAAGGGCTGTGAGATGATGTGTCTCGTCAGTTGGTGCCCATTTTTGTCGCCGTTCGATCGAGAAGAACTACCAAGTAGTACAAACTTACATGCTGAAATTGCCTGGGCATGTCGAAGGGAGGGATTACGATGTTTCCTAAATTAGAACAGCTAATGATTCGTGCCAGCGATACACATAACTGTCGACTGAGGTGATTTGTGGTCGTAGGGTCCCACGGGCCGATTAAATAGGAGCCTGAATTTTTTTTTATTAAAAAAAAAAACGTCCTGGGCCCTGGGAATCGGATAGTTATATGTAGAAGACACTGCTGAAACAGCGAAAAGACCCAAGCACCGTGCGTGACACGCAGATATATTGTTGAGAAAGCTTCCCTTTACAAACAAGAGTCAAAAGCAGGGGCGCGCCTCCTGCACTGACTTCTATGATGCGGAAGGAGCCCCGGCAGGTAGATGACAAAGTCCGAGAGGCACTCCTTTCTATCAAGGTTGTAAGTTGCTGACTACTTGTAGAGCCGAAGAGATATTGATAGATGCCCCAGGGTAAGATATCATACCAGTTGCTGAGAATGTGTTGCCAAAGAGAGTGGCGCGATAATCCTTTTATGCCTTGTGTCATGGAAACTCTCATGTCCGCCTGCCTCTGTATCAAGAGTTGCAATGGGGTTCGTGGAAGGGCCTAGAAGGGCAGAGGGGTGTGAGCAGTGATGTGCGGTGAAACGTCTTGAAGGTTAGACTTGGATGAATGTAAATACGGCAGTCGGAGAGACATTCACAAGTTCGATGGCGGGTTGTGATTGGAGCCAGCCGGCTGGGCGAGATGCGAACAATAGCGGATATGGATTCAGACCAGGGGGAGCGGGACTGGAGAGGGGAGGAGGACAGTCAAAAGTGAATCACAAAATACATATGTATGTATGAAGCATGGCAGACACAGGTATTGCTACTAGGGGGGCTCCAGATTGGCCCATGCCGGCATGTATAAAAGGTGCCCAAGTTCGTGGGTTGGAGACGGAGGCCAGATGGAGTGGCGTCGACTGGCTGGACCCGGGAACATGGGAACATGGGAACATGGGAGCGTGGTCCGAGCCAAGATCCATCACCCCTGCAAGTTACCACTCCCTGCGCTTTCAGCCTTGTTTGTCTGCTCAATGAAACACGAGACGAACAGAGTTGCAAACCGAGGGCGACAGGGGAGTGTAGGCGAGCCTGGGAACCATGGTTGTGTCTGGTGTTTGTGTGACCGCAGGCACGAGGCCTCTGCGACGCGAGGTGCTCAGGCTGCAAGTAGTCTGGTAGCACTCGAGCGGTGGGGAGTCAGGGAGGGAGGCAGCCGCGCGGAAGCCTTCGTGGTCCGTGGCTGGGTCGTGATCCACGATGGTCGTAGTCTCCATCCTCTGGGATGCTGAGTGGTGTTTCTTTTGATCCACTGCCCATGTCCTCGGCATGTGCATAGGCTCGTCGTTTTGATTTTTTTTTTCTTACCCCAGGCTGGGGCCGCAGAAACCAGGTGAGATGGCTGGCGACCAACATGATCAACCACAGCCAACCTTGTCGCTTCCTGTGTAATCCCCATTGACAGCGGCTGAAGGGTCTCACTGAAGGTGTTGTTACTCTACGTATTCTTGGTCTTCACCGATTGGTAGTTACTCTGGCCCTCGTCAATCGAAGCACATCGCATCATGGAACAGGACATCGAACCTCGATAACAGATCGAAGTGGCACATGTCCGCGTAGCATCACACAGCTCTTGGCTGTGTAATCGGGTTCTCGCCAAAGGACAACGTCTGCTCACAGTCCTGTCTTCTCCTCTCCGACCCGCCCAGATTTGGCCAAGGCCGATGCCACCGCAGCATGGAATGAGACAAGTTGGCAAAGCCATGGAGAATGACTGATTCCATATATTTGTTAATTAGCCCAGCAGTGGCCACGAACCGGCGGCGGGCAGGGAACGTTGGCCTTGACAGGGCGACCAGGTCAGGGGTGCGTGCCGGCATCGAGCTGGAGACGCAGGCAGGGTTGGTGGCCCGCGTCTATGTCTACATAAGGGTCCTTGAAGCGATTTGGGAGTGGCTGCATGTGTTCCCTAGTAGTCTGTGGCCCAGCTGACAGCCAGCACATGGGTGTGACGGGCGACCAAGACTCTGGTGAGCGGTCGATTTCGGACTCAGTTGCACCATCAAATCGACCTGTAGATCTGGTTGTACGAAGTACTCCGTACAATCAGGTCAAACAAATCCAAGCCCCACCTGTTCAGGCCGCCCAGGATTCGTGACTTGAGCAAGCAATGCCATCTTGAGACTTTCAAGAGAAGGGTGGCCCCTTCTGGTCATCATCGCCCAGTCGCATTCCCTACGGCCTCTCTTTTCATTGGTAATCTAGATGAGCCGAGTTGAGGGTGAAGAGTTGCGGCACAGGCTCTTCGAGTCAGCTACTGAGGTGTCAGTGCTAAGCAAAGGAATTATAAGCGAAGTTGGCAACATGCTTGTTCTTCCTCGTGTTGATGTTCTTTGCGAGTTTATCTCCGAGACCCGGTCGTGAGCGACGGGACCTGATGTCATCACCACCGAAAACCCCCAAATCCTTGTAGGAAGAAGCCAAGCCTCGGGAGGGCGAGGCACCGCGCGCTTGTCTAGCCAGCCAGATCTCAAGTGTCAATTGAACTTGACAGATGCTCATAGGTGGACCCCGGCATAAATGGCTGCTGAATGCCCCCTGGGTCCTAGCGCGCAAAATCCGCGCCGACTGTGGTGGTTTGGGATGCCGCTGTGTGGTGATTTGGTGGTCGCAATCCGCACCTGACATGTAGGTTATCGCGACTCTCACCAGTTGACGGTCCATTTGCCAACCGGTCGCTCCTCCCTGATTTCGACAAGCATTGGTCTCAGCCTACGCGGTACCTACAACTACTACCTGGTCGGTACCGAAACAAAAGTACTTAGTATGCAGGTACCTAGTAGGTACCTAAGTACCTAGGTAGTCGGGACGCGACTTGGTAGTATTAACTCCGTACTGCCATTCGACTTTAGAATTGACGAGACAAATTGTGACTGATCGTCACCGCACTTCGGCCCCCGGCCAGGTGATGACCTTGAAGCACTTACCCATTTTTATTTTTATTTTTATTTCCTATTTTTTGTTCTTGCTCTCATTGCCAAGGCATCCCACCCGTTGATAGCCCTCCGAACTGCAGGAACTGCCCAACAGTACCTCATGTATCTGGAACTGATGGGACGACCATGCCGATCGATAATCGGCAAAATCGACCAGACACTCCATGCGCGCATGGTGACACTGCCCACTCTACGAACTTGGAAGTACTGCCTGAATATTTGTGGCACCAAATCGAATCGCATTGACCGGCCCTGCAGGTGCCCTGGAGACCTTGAGACCTTCAACGCCTGAGCCAGGCTCTCGGGATGGCCACACCACTCAACTCAGAATCCTTGGACGATGTTCCCTGGAAGAAGGGTTCGGCAAGAAGTGAGAGAGGGAATGTTTCCGATGCTTCGGGCCATAAACCGCACTAAGCAAGCGTGCATTGCTCGGCGGGCTTACCGGACAGTTTTTGCTAGGTGCGCTTATCCCCCTACTCTTTGTCGGATTTAAGCTCTACCCATATCCTAAGCAATTTCGGGCAGAATATATTTGAAGTATGCAATGCTAATATAGTACAATACAGTACAACAGAATAAAGCCTAGTAGCCAGGTACCTAGTGCTAGCAAAAGAGTGAGCTCGCCGAGCAATTCACACGCAAGCCGCCTTCCACATGGCAAAAGGCAGCCCGAGCGTCGGCAACCGCCACTGTAAGCGCATCTCCGGCAAAGGGCGACAGGTCACATCCCCCTTCCCACATCCATTGATGTGCCACGGCATGCCCGTCTCTTCAGCTGGCCAGTGTTGATACCCCTGTAATCCTGTTAAGAGCTTGGCCAGATTGACTAACCCCGGTCTTGCTTTGCGCGCTGCCGAATCTTGGTTCGCCGGCTCGCCAGAAAGGAAAAGAAAGTCCAAGCCAAACAAGTTAATACTATTGCCACCAACAGCGGAGCTCTCGACACTCCACTCGAGAATATATTCGTCCAGTGGCAACTGTTTCCGCTACTTGGAGATCAAACTCTAGCCAAACCTCGCATTGGAGGGAGCTAAGCCAAAGTCTTTGCAATCGCTCTTGGATCCAGCAACTTCGCCCTCAACACATCGGAGTTGCACGATACAAAGTCTATCCAATATTGGAACATTTTTGGGTGTCGCGGACACCAAAGTCAGCAACACCAGTCCTCATTTTCTCTCAGCATATGAGAGAAGAAGGTATAGCTATCAATACTGAGACAGAACATAACAAGTGCCAGTAACTCGACGCGGCAAGTCCAGGCTAGAATCTGTTCCCCAATACTACTGCAAATTCCAAGTCATCATCTGGACGAGTATCACAGGGATGTGCACCCGGCCGTCCAACCGGAGCTAGCCTCTTTTGAAGCCAGCAAGCGCCTCGTTGTATCTCTGCCGACCATCGAGGTTGATCATGATATGACTGGAGCCCAGAAGAGGAAGAGCAAGCAATTTCTGGGTATCAGACAGTGGGCAATGTTTCTGCCACGTCTCTCTTGCTCTGATCTCTCATGCGCATCGTACCGTTCTGGATTAGTTCCAACGTGCTTGCGTCTTCTAGTGGTGGCCAGCCATTCAGTTGTGAGACAGGACGGATCGTCAGGAAAGCAGGAAGCGAGAAGTCGTCTCAACTCTTCACAATCAGCATTCAGCTGGTCAAGGAAGCAGTTGGAAAGGGCTTCGATGAAGATTGAATGTTTTCTGTTTTGCAAAATCTGCAGCCGAGTGACGCCAGGGTTATTTAGTGGCCAGGAGCTATCAATCGGGGTGTGTTGTTTGCACCCCACCAACGAGGTCTATCTGTCATAATCGGAGCAGCCTTGTCCGTTTCGATCAGATTTCATGGTCCCCCTGGAATCACGCTGGGACTAAAAATGAATTCTCCGGCGGCATGACGGGCTGAGCGGGAGCCTTGTCGAGGCAAGGGTCGACTCGTATGTATATCTATTGAGGCCACGCAAAGTGGCGAGTTATTTGTCGCAAACCAAAGAAGACTGGTCAACTAGGTGCCCAGCGGTTTGTGTTGCACTCTCATGTCGTGTTGCCCGGTTTTCCAGGACAGCCAAGCTGGGGACGAAAACATGACCGAATCCTGGAGCCAAGGGCACTGAGACACCTGAAGACGAGAAGAGCTGCTGGCTTTATTATGGCTGATTATTCCTCTCACAGCGGCCCCGGTATTCACCACACAAACAAAGTGAATTTGACGGCGAAGATGTAGATGTTGTTCAGGGGCGCTGACAGTGACTGACTGAACAGCCCAAGGAATAGCAAACAGATCTGATGCATATGACCAAGTATGTATGACTCCTCGCAGCCCAAAGCAAACATGAAGAAGCATGGTCAATGCTTTGCAAACAGCCCAAGGAACATAAGACTGTTTATGCGAACCCATCACTTCATATTTTGTTAAATGCCACGCACGGGTTGTTGTCTGCAGTAGCCAACTGTTTTGCGGTTGCGAACTCCCCATACCACGAGTATGAGCTCGCCATGTTCAATCTTCCAGCCCCGAAGACAGTAATTGCATCCAAATTCTCCCATCATGGCATCTGTCCTGCCCGGGCAAGAAATTCGACGCGCGATAGAAGAGACATGCGGTTGGATCGAGGGGGATGCTGGTGCGCATAGGATACAGGGACTTGAAATGTGGCTAGACAATGCGCTTTGTGCTGATTTTTTGACAGATTACCCGCTCAAATGCCAGCCAAGTCAGAGATGCGCTATAGATGTCGTTAATAGTGTCATTGGATGTTGCTGGAACCCGACAGGGGGAATCTGCTCTCTTCATACGACATGTCTCGACAAGAGGGCAGTAACAGGGGGCGTCGAAACGAACTCGGCCATGCTTTGGTTCGGACACCCTTCCCGCTTTCTCTTCTCGTCTTGTTTCATTCGCAACTCCCTTTTCGATGTGTGATGTGCTAAGTTCTACGGCTTGAAGTGTTGCCTCAGCCGCTCCATATTGTAAGACGGATATATTCAGTGGTAACCCTGATATCAACGGGTATTCCCTGTTTATTTGTGATTCGGACACGAAAGCAGACACTATATACCGTTATACTACGGCAAGGCCCCGAACAGACAATGCCATGACGTTAGATCCAATTACAACCTTTATTCCGTCATCAACATCTCATCCGCAATCCAAGACGACGATATCAGGTGTTTCCACCAGAAGCAGCATTCCCACGACACGCTCAAGTCTGTACATTTCGAGTGAGACGAGGCTATGGTCAACATCCGTAATAACTGCAATTGACAGCCCCTCGACATCTATTACATCTTCAGGCGCATTAACAGAGTCCCCTGCAGCCATGGTTGGAATAGCAATTGGAAGTGCTGGTTTGTATGGCCCCTGCTGGAAGCGCATGCTATCGTAACTAACACGACTCATTGCGAATGATTCCAGCGGCATTGACTATTTTTGGTGCCTTGTCATATATAGCATACCGATATGTCAAAAAAAGGAAATCCCGTCGTCTGACACTACGCCCTGTCGAGCAAAATCGGCGCCTGGGTGACGACCGCCATGAAGTCGGGGTCCAGGTGTCCAGGTGAGCGTTGCGGCCGCCCCAAGACACGAAATAGCTGAGAACAGTGCAAGTAGACATTGTTCTTTCTGCTTTGACCCATTTAACGGGGTCACGGAAGCTGGGAAATTTATATCGCTTCCTAAAGTTGGCCGTCTTCAGACTTCGAGCGGCTTGGTCTACTATGAAGAACGATGAAGGGATTCCATTTGCAATCGCTATATAGCGTCCAGTATCTAGGCATTTCCAGGATGAATTTACGAAATTGTATTGAAATTGGGCTCATCAAACGATTGATATTTTCATCACAGTACGCACCCGGTGTTGATGCAGTTGAGCAAATCTCGTGGGCCAAGGAAACTTGTCCTAGGGTCCTAGATTACATTTGCGCTGATCTTTGCATAAGATATGACCTGAGATTTCCTCCAGGATTCCTCTTAGCGCCACATGCTCGGTTCGTCTTTGTAAAATGTCCCGTAGCACACTGATAGTTCCCAAGATCAGACCGATAAGAAGTACGCAATACCGAGCAGCCATTTCGAATGAGCTGGCCATGACGCCATTTAGAGCGTCCTGCACCCATACTGCCCGGTTTCATCAACTGGCCTTTGTGAAGGAGTGAGCGGCAGAAATCGAAGGGCCACTACCCCTGAGACTAATTCGCCATCTGGTCTCCCCACGTCAAGACTCAACACCATATTGTACAGCCACGTACTGCAGCACCTGGCGAATTGGCCAAGTTGTGAATGGGCCATCATTGATGAAGTACGTAGTCAAGTCTGCCCTGGCCCCGGGGACACGTGTATGCCGGCCGCTCAGGGGAAAGAATAGAAATCACACGGCGCTATTACCGCATAAAAGAAGATGACGCTAGTGTTAGTTTTCTGTCCTGGATTGCCGCTTGTCCCATTCTCGTTCCAGCGTCAGCGAGTGAGCAGCAGACGGCGTCGATGAGCCGCGATTCCCGACACAGAAACCAGTCCATCAGTCACTCACAGGATGAGGGAGAAACGGAGCCCAAAAAAAAAAAGGGAGAAGCAGCGATTTAGCAAATCGGGAATTCAAATTCCTACGAAGCCTCTAGAGCTTTCGCAATGAGCACCTTTGCCCTCTCGCTGAGGTCCATAGCCAACGCCAGCTTCTTTCCCTCGTCCGTCATCTTGCCCCAGGTCTTCCTCAGAATGCCCACCATCTTGTCCTCGTCCATCTCCGCCTTGGCTTCAAAGTCGTCGAACTGGTCGTCGAGGAACACTAGGCATGCGACATCCTCGAGGACCTGGGTCTCGCCGTCGGTGGACAGGCCGTCCTTTCGCACCAGCGCCGCGACTCGCTCACACTCGTCGGCTGGGAGGGCGGGCTGGATGGCTGGCGAGGAGAGGAGCGCCGAGACGCGAGAGGCGGCTTGGGATTTCTGTTTGGCCCGCCATGTCAGGTAGCCCGGGCGCGTCATGGGGAAGGCAGATCGAGGGAGTTCCCATCTATTGTTTTGAAGACACAAAGCGTTCCTTCTTAGCTGTGGTTTTTTTTTTTTTTTTTTTTATTTTTTCTTTGATTCTTTGGGGCATTTGGGAACAGGGCTGTGAGCTTAATTGAAGACGTACCGTCGGAAGTGCTGCGCCCTGCAGGCAAGCTGGAGGGCTGGTGAGGCTTCTGGGCATCGAGACTGGAGCCACCTCGTCATTTTTTGCGCGTAGTGTAGCTCATACGGCACTGTCTTGGGCCCGTTTGGCCCGTCGACCTTGTTTGGGTCTTCGGAATGAGCCTCATCAATGAGTCGCAGTGCCTGCTCATGGGCGGGAGACAGGCTTGGGAGGGCCATCCTTTGGTCGAGGGGACCTCTCAAGTCAGCCGAGGCTTTTTGTCTTGAGATGGTGAGTCTGGCTACTACTGCGCACCGGGACTATGGAGAAGAGTGTATCGCTATGCAAACAGGGACGGGCTTGAAAGATCTTTTACAAGACGAGATTCGGCTTCTCTGCTCTGAAGCCCATCACGATCATCATGGATAAGGCGATAGGCCGCAGGTTGTTTCTGGATGAGTAAGCTGGTCTTTGTAAATTCCAATTGGACAACTGGTTGACGCCACAGCAACTCTTGCAACGTTCGGTCTTCCGTAATTCCCAATCGGCCTCTCCACGCCTGAATGCTGGAACATGTGTGGTGTACAATACCCCGTAGACTTGGCCAATCGACATGAATAACCAGCTCCCCAACGTCTCAGGCACTCGATACATACGTCGCATGGGGTCTACTGTGAATGCCCGACCGTTGTATCCCATTCAAGATGCGGCCTCAATCTACAGATTGGGGAGGCTTCGCATTGTTGAATCATGATCCGAGCACCCGCGCAGTGACCACGGGGCCAATCAGTGACTCGGTGCCACAGGGAAACACAATAGGAAGCACTTGCAGTCATCTCGTCAGGCAATGCAGATGATGTGAATATTATGCAGAGGCAGCTCTGATTTCCACGTTTGTAAGCCCTCGACAGCTGGCAACAGACGGGTCGTTTGTGAACTGCCAGAACGTGATTTTGTTCTCCAAAACCCTCAGTACTAAACAAGCGACACGAGTGACACAAGTGACAGATTATCTGAGTTAATACCACGTCTCTTATTCGCCTTCTCTCATCTTCTTCCGCTTTCTTCATTTCCCAGAGAGTCATCCCTGGCAATATACGACCCCATTTTTGCCCGTCCATTCTCATCTTCCTGATTCTTCTCAGCAAGCCAAGGCTGTATAAGTGGTGCTGTAAATATTACGAGCTTCGCTAATCGCACCGGCTCCTTCATCTTGACGCCACGCTTGTCTCTCTAGCACTCGCTACTCATGGGGGAGGACTCTGACGTTTCCCATCACGCCGCCACGGGAGATGGGGAGCTGCTTGAAGTTGATACTTCGTGCTCTGCCAAATCAGTTGATGCGGATGTTGCAGTCTCTTTTACGGACGAAAGTACTGGGACCAGCAACGGAAGCACCACCGACAACGACTCTGCCAGCGCTTGCGAGAAGGACCGCCAGACAACAGCTTGCAAAAAGAACTGCCTTAAAAAAGGTAACCAGTGCTTGAAGGCTGCGCCCGAGGTAGCCAGCACCAATTCTTCAGACGTTTCGGCAAGTATTGCCGCTTCTTCCCAAACGAGCAACTCCAACGACACAAAGCCCTCTTGCAAGAAAAACGAGGCAAAGGATAAGAAATCCGAGAATTCCTCCAAGTCGGACGCATCGTCCGAGAGCAATGCCACTACGGCCGAGACAGGTTCTGGGCCTGAAACTTCCCATGAAACAGGTTCTGCTGTCGACACTGTTGATAGCTCGTCCAGGACTCAGGAAGTAGACTCCAAGGCAAACGGGAATGCCGATACCGAGGGCAACGACCAGTCCGAATGGACTGTATCTGAGGACCTCCGGCTCCGAGGTATGAAGGAGTCGACAGATAATCTTTCCTGGGCCGATATCGGGAAGGCTCTCAATCGTGGCAAAGCCGAGGTTAAAGCTCGCTGGAAGGCCATCAAGGACCAACAACCTCAAGAATATGCCACCGATACCAACGCCGACACAAAGGGCGACCTTGGGGCCGGCCAGAGTCCTGATGCCAAGGCTGAACAGGGCAAGGCTGTAACCCCAGCGAAGGAAGCAAGGTCACAACCCCCCATAAAGCAAACGATGAACCAACGTCCTCTGGAACATCAGAAGGACGACCGCAATCGCAGGGTGGCTCAGCAAAACAAGGGGGTCAAGCTTGGTACTTGCGAGGCACAGTGCAACGAGGACAATCTGTCCGGCAGCGAAACATTGTCTGAATCACTTTGCACCACAGACGAACGCAGACGCCAGAGACGATATCTTTATACTCATGTCTACAAAACTCTCTACCCGGCGGAGGCTGATGTCGGGCAGAACGAGCACTTGACCAAGCGGGATCGCGCTGTGCTCGCAACCATTGCGTGCATGCACACAACAAACAAACTGCTAGAAATGAAGGCAAACTTCATGAATGCCACAGGTGCAGATGTGCCCATTGCAGTTCTTCGTGACTGGTATGAGGGAGAATGGGCTGCAAAGGAAGATCGTCCCAACGCTGTACAACACGAAGATTCGGCTGAGAGAGTTGAAAAGTGGATTGACAGCGTCTCAATGGGAGTAGAGGACTAATGAGGGTGCGGTCATTGTTGGGGCAAAGAAGAAAGGATTCCGAACCCCTTCGACGCCTGCACAATACCTCGCGTTGGTTACCAAGGCTCGGCGTCCGAGTCCGTAAGCGCAGCATTTGGAAGAGTGAGTGACTACAAAGTCATCAGTTCTGGACAGAGAACAACCCCACTGGGCGGGAAACGGTTGATAGGTATTTTGAGAAGTCAGGAACGATAAATATGCTGTCTTAACAAGATTTAGGCGCATTCAATCGCGGAGTGCTCTGTAGTTGATGAAATAAAATAGAGAATAACCACGACTGCAGGGCTTCGACAGCCGAGCGCATATGTGCATATCCTGCTGTCATATTAGACATGTAAATACAAGAATAAGATAATGCTCCTTCTATATGCAGAATGCGACGCTTTCTTTTGTCCCAGATACAACAGAATATATCCAAGGGGGAGCACTCAAGATCTGCACCCCCGAGAATCAAAAGAATAAAAAACAGCGACGCCCGTACGAATGCAAGTATGTAATGTGGCTGTTGTACAAAGTGGGCGCAGGTTGAAAATACCAAAATGTATTTTTCAGAATGGAACATCTTATAGCGGAAAGCCGCAAATGGTAGACCATGTTGCTAGCAAGATGTCATGATTGGTTCGGAAAAATGAATCCTGTGCCGCATATCTTTCGCCGGGAACGGCGCGGTTCAAAAGTCGAGGGTACTCGATATATACCTCAAGTTGTGGAATCCTTTGTGTAAAGGGGAAATCGGCAATTTTGTAGAAGAACCGTCAGTAACTTCAGTAAAGCTCCCAGTTCGTCGAACAAGTCTCTTATGACTGGTTGAAGCACGAAGTTGAAGTTGGCTCTAATAATGCTCTCTGTTTGTGAGAGATATGCTGATAGGGAGGGGGTGAGTGAGCCCTGTATGATACGCTACACAACGAGGGGGCTCGTACATCAAATCGGGTTTTCCATCCCTGGCGGAGGAGTTGGTTTGACGAGAAGGGCAGGACTCGATACTTGGACTTTACTTCGCAATGTATTATTTGACGAAGCAAGGCCTCGCTTCATCATTCTGCCCAACACGGTGACAAGCTCAGCAGCGTCGTGGAACATGTCATCATCCACGCCCTCAGTTGCGTTGTAAGCTTCTTCAATTGCATTCTTGGCAAGCTTACGGCTCGCTTCAGCATCGTGGGCACACTCGTAGAGAAAAGCAGCGTATTCGGTCTTTACTGATAGTCGTAATGAATGAGAGCCCCACAACAGTTCGTCTGCAAGCTTCACAGCTTCCCGGAAATAGTGATGGGCCGTAGGAAGGTAATCTTGTTGCGGTAGCAGAAACGACGGTGGCAACAGGGCCACATGAGCCTCAAACCCTGGAGGCGGTCCAACAGGCCCGCCTTCCAAAGGATGGGTAGGCTGGACAGACGACGGCCTGGACAGCAAGTCCCCATCAAACGTCTCTCCTCTCCTCTCCTCTGCCTCTGCTCGTGCTGCTGATGCCAATGCCGCTTCTCTCGCCTCTGGCGTCCAGCTCGCCATGTTGGAGACTGGAGGGTGGTTGTGAAAAAGAACAAAGATGTGATGGAAGCTGGCGCGTAGCTTATAGGCCAAGACCTTTAACTCGACATGGTTGCCAACCATTGGGATGACCCATTCCTGGAGCATTTTCAATCCCTCGCGAGACAGCCATATTATATGCAATATGCGTTTGAGAAACAAGGGCGATGTGGCAGGGTCTGGCCTTCGAGATTTCTTGGAAGCCACCAGCTGATGGGCGAGGTTGAGCGACAAGCCAAGAATTTTGAAGAGTATTGACGACAGCATAGGATTGTCTTGCTCGACGGCTTTGGCCAGCCTGCCCAAGAACTTTTGGTCAACCTCGGACGACGCCATCCAGTCGGGCTGGGTCCAGCATGTGCTTCGTCCCACGACAGATTCTTGCTGTCGGCTTTGAACCGTGGCAATCCGAGCTGATGGAGTTGGAGCCGTGTCAAGTCGAGGAACATGTCCCTCAACGGGTTTCTAGTAAAGTTTATGGTCAGAAAGTGAAAGCAATTACCGGGACCTGAATCCAGAAAGAGGTGGGTGGCTCATGGGCGAGCCAGCAGCCTTGCATGCCAGGAGAGACAGGTTCAGAAGGAGGCTGACATGGTCCAACGCAGGATTTGAGAATAAGAAGACGAGAAATAACAGGGTTATTCCAATGTGGGAGGGAGCTTGACAGCTGGCGTGACTTGATTGGATCACAAGAGACGAACGAAGGTATAGGGCGGCCACGAGTGCAGGTAGGGCTGGAGACAAATGGAACTTGAGTGAATATTGGGAGTCTAAGTCCCAGGCGCCGGGAGAGAGGACTGAGGACTGAGGACTCCTCGACCTTGGGTAAAGTAGGTCGTCAACCCAATGCAGAGGACCGTCTGCCATCTTGACCGCCAAGTGTCTGGCGTGACGGAACGTCTCGTGTCCGGCTTTACGTAGATGTCAACTACTAGCGGTTCCCGCGTCTGGCAACACTAAACAGCCTGGCCACGAACATATGTACATAGGCCAGCACTTGCAAAGACAACCAACGGGGGAGGGCGGTGCGATGCAATTCCTAGGCCAGACATGGTCTGCTAGCGAGCTAGCTTTTGCCGCTGGGATACCCCGAGTACCGAAGCCCTGAACATAATCCCGTCATCGTGGAGGCGGAAGAGGGGTGGAGAGAGGAGACGGGCTTGGACGTTGGGATACGAGTCGGAGCAATGATAGGTAGAATCCAATGCTTCGTTGTCGTCCGTCCCCTGTCACAGCCCCGGCGCAGGTCATGATTAACTTCGCCCGGTATTACCAGGGGGATGGGGGCGGTGAGGACCAGAAGCTTGCGAGCTACACTCGTGGGAACTGTCCTCGGGTAGTAGGTACCGAGTCTCTGGTCCTTGAGATGCATTCATCAAGGGAAACCCCCAATTGGGATGCTCGATTTGCCGCGTTTGACATGAACAAGGCAGTGTGCATCGGCGGCCTCCAAAGACACTCGTCAACGAGGGCCACCACCGTCAGTCAGGGACAGGATAGAAATGCATCAAAATTGAGTGTTGAGGGTGAGCCCAGAGTCTACCATCTAGATGATGAGCAGAATCTCTCTGATCGGGTAAAACAGCCACGGTGCAGCATAAGCGAGCAGAAACAAGGCGGAAGGCGGCGCAACCAACGTGTATGCGACTTGTACCATCAGGTATCGGCTATTGTGGATTGACGTAGAAGACTGACTGACTGGGAGACTAGCCAACTTACAAAAGTTGCAGCATGCGCCATTGGAGCTTGCTTGCTTGCTTTCTTTCCCTCGGGCTCCTGTCACCGACTTCCAGAAGCTGTGCCCGGATCAGCGGCGGCGATACAGACAGATAGATGGATGGACGAGGCGCAATTTCGGGTTGCGCAGCGGCGGCTTGAATCCAGCGTTTCACTTTGTCAGCGACGGACGATGGCGAGAGGGCAGGAACAGCGCGCCGTCGAGAGCTAGCTTGAAAACGTCGCACCTCCCAAGCTGCAGTGTTGGTCAGGCTTGGATCAGTCAATCAATTGACGTCGGCCAGCTCATTCGGGCCAGTTCAATGCTGACCTGGACGCGTTCGGGTATGAACTGGTGCGTCCTACTCCGTCCATATACATACAGAGAGAGCTCCGTGCCGGCGACTCAATTGACCTCGAGCACGGTCGAGGACCAAGACCGACCACAACAGGAGGCGCGTAGTCACTCGACCGAGGGCGGAGGGAAGCCGACTGGCGAGTTCAAGTTGGACCAAAAGTTTGACTCGTGCGCCGTGAGCCGTGAGAGTTGAGTTGAGCATGTGCCGCGGATCCGCAAGCTACTTGCGATACGGAGTAGCACTTGAGGCGCTTGAGCGCCGCCGGAGGGTAAAAGGGCAAGGCGCTCACCGGGCAGGCGACCTGCCGAGATCAGATCAGACAATGTGCGTGCCGAGTGCTGTGTAATATACATATATATATAGTGTCCGGTATCATCCATGTTGACAAGAAGCAAGAGTCGTCGGCTTCAGCGGCGCGAAGCTGGGCCATCTGGTAATCTCGCGTTCGGCCAGGCGACCAAGCGCAGCCAGGGGTTAGATGAGATGGGAGAGACAATTAAACCCTTGAGCCGACATGTACATACATACATACATTATGGTTGGAGCAGCGTGACGCGCTTCTTACAATATGTACAATACTCCGTACCACTACTCTCAGTACCCAGGCTCCGTGGAAACATTGATGGAGGCACCTAGGATACCACCTCCTACGGAGTACTTTGGATGTACACATTGATTTTTCTCAACACCGTCACCCATCTTTTTTTATTATTATTCAATGCGCACAACATTCTTGCCGCGACTTTCCCGTCTTTTTTTTTTCTTGTGTGTGTCTGACGCAACACCAAGACAACGCCTCGATGCCCACGCCGATTGGCTCGTCTGGCCGTCCGTCAGTCAACACTTTGAGCATTGTCTTGTCAAGATCCTCCAGGCCTGGACCAGGTCCGCCCTGTTCAGGACATTGTCCATCCAACCCTGGCGCCTCGGCCACTAGTCCCAAGTCCCCCAGTCGCTTCACTCCTAGGTTTCCCAATTCCGCCCCTCTCTCAACCAGGGCTGACCGTCTGCCAGGAATTGGCAAATCAGAAGTCGTTTCAATGGTTCACCTGCCCGTCCTAAGTTAGCCGACCTCGATAATACAGAAATCCCACCACCGTTTCCCAGCCTCCGTCAATTTCGTCCATCTGAGACAGTCTATCTAAAAGCATAAAGAGACGTCCTGTCTTTTGTAGTGTTGTGCGACTGCGTTGCACCAAGTACGGAGTACCTAGGTATGGATGGAATACGGGGTCGGGCGCGAATGGAGGACAGGCGAAAAGGCCTTTGTGCATATATACTTAAATACATACTCCGTAAAATACTAGTACTTGATTGCCCACCCAGCTTGGTGGCCGCAGTCCATGCGGCCACGGAGCTCGTAGCCTTCACTCGTACCGCGAACCCAGCCTCCTCATTTTTTTGCAACCTCCTGATCTTGGACTTGACCCATGGTAGAGAATGTCCTCGAGGTACAGAACACTCCGTATCCGCGGCCTTTATGCATGTGTTGAATCCAGGGCGGGGAAAAGACACCGAGTCCGCTGCGGCCGTGACACCATTTCAACATCACACCACTGGTACCATTGTATACATCATATCCCATTCTGTTTTTTTCTACACCCGAGTGAGGCATAATATAATATTACCTCGTTTATAAGATCTCTTTTTTCCCGTAAATGTTGGAGGTACAGAGTTCGGGTAGTTGGGCAGGTTGAAGTATTAAATTTATGCTAACGACAGCCGTGGCCCCTCTCCCTTTCGGCCATGCTGCCTCGCCGGAGTAGTAGACAGTTGTAATATAATACAAGGCGGTGGTGGCTAAAATAAGATAAGGCCTTTTAGGTCAACGACTCTCCACCAGTGCGCGACCTTCAGCTCGATGCTCTTATCCTTGCTGCTTGTCCTGGTTTGCGGCGCCGACTTGACGTATTCATCAACGCGTCGTAGCTGTTATTCTCGGGATCAACATCATAATGTTCTAGAGCACCAGCCGTCACGAGCTTGATAACATTGCCAAATGTAAACGCAACAGATCGAAGACCTACAGAGACTTTCGGTCCTAAATCTGACACCACCAAATGACTTGACTCATCTCCTAGTTCGAAGAGAGGTCGGCTTTCTTCCAGGTCTGGTTTATCGCAAGGTGAAGTTGCCCATACTTCCCAGTTTGCAAATGAATACTGATTGTTTTGCCCGGTCGCTCGCCTTCGTCGCAATGTTGAGTTCATGTTGCTGATCTTGTTGTACGTTTGGATCGCTCGCCGTATGCCAACTACACTACCATCCGAGAGCAAATGCCACGTTCCCGGATTCTTAACCCGCTTTTTCACTTCCTTTGCTGACTCGAAACTGCACTCATCACCATTCATCTTGCTATCGGGACTCCGAAGATGAATTACCTCGCAGTCATCTGCGGGAACATAGGCCTGCAACACGCAGTCGCCCGTCTCGCTTTTAACATAGCACAATGTCAGAGATGCTAATCCCAACATGCCCGGCTTGGAAGCATGACCCGAATAGGTGCATTGGAGAGATCTAGAGATCATTCTCTCGGTGAGGAGGGTTCGCAGCACCTCTCTCACTTCGGCATCGACAAGGTAGACGCAATCGCTTGCTGCCAGTGCGAACACGCCGAGAGGAGACAATGGCACGATTTGGGAGATTGCACCAGCATCTGAGATTTTCAAATCCAAAAGATGGGTGGTCCATGATGACTCTTGTCGGTTGCCAATGTAGACATGTCCTTTTTTGGAGACCATGACAATGAATGTTATCACTCCAGAATCGCCTAATTACCAATAATAATTAGTCTAAATGTTTTAAATACTACAAGGAGTCAAAGATCAAAGCTCAACTCACACTTCTTGGTGAGGGAACGAGCAAGTGCCAGGGGTTCAGGGCAGATAGAAATTCCGCTTTCAGGAATCTGCGTCCCAGCGGTCACTTGGACCATTGTGCCGTTGTGGTGCACTAGTTGGATGGTTGGCTTGTCGGTATCAGGAGTAGAGTCGAAAAACATTGCGGCTGGCCGATGCGAACAGTTTTCCAAAGGCATAGACTCGCCCCATCTTTGTTCCGCAAGATTCCAGAATGATACTCTGGATGTCGATAATAACGCCAGCCAAGTCGAGTTACCGCCAATCGACATGCCCAATATGGGGAACGGGCACAGCTCGGCATCATTTCCATCTGCAATAACGTAACTACTTCCCCGTCGAATGTTCCAAACTCGGATGACTCTGTCAAGGCCTACGGATACGATATGCCCTGCTTTGGACTTGCTCAGTAAAGCGACGTCAAGAACATGGCCACCTCCCATAGACTTTATCGAGACTAAAGGGGTGTCATCTTGCTCCCCGCCATTCGCCAGCTCAGCATCCTCACCCCATAAAAGATAGTTCATGAGCAATCGAAGAGCTGCAACGATGACAACAACTATGACAATAAAGCGTAATAGCTGGTGATGAATAAAATCGTATGCGGCGGGTAACAGTGTAGGTTCTTTACTGTGAGGTGTTCGATCTGAGTCTCGCTTAACAAAAACAAGGGGCTCAAAAACCCTAGCCACGTAGCTGTAGGCTCCAGGTTTGATCAGCCGAATGATTTCCTTGGCTGTCTCATGGTCTTGATTCCTCAACCATGAGGTATGGCTTCTAGCCTGATGTAGGCCTTTCAGCACTGACAAATCTGGCGTTCGGAGAAGGTTACTATCAGTGCCTCTATAAAGTCGCAAAAGTTTGCGGAACATGTTGTCATCGCCAAAGAAATGCCACTGAGCAATAATAACGAATCCAATCATGATCACGGTCCCCGCGATCCGGGTTGACCAAGCAATTTTTCCTTGAAAGAATCCATCGGCCAAAGGGCCACGGCCGTTGCCTTGGTATTTGCGTCTACTTTGTCGCAAAGCAGCCTTTGCAAGAGCATCACCTAACTCCATGCGTCTTACGTCAACACTGAGGACAGACAAGAAGAAGGTAGAAAGATAAAAGAAATCAAAAACGATTGCGACAGCGGCAAAGATGCAAAACGCCGATACCCCTGGTGAAACCACACGCGATAGGCCAAAGAGAATCAAGACATTCTGCAGCGAACTTGCCAGAGCAGTATGAGCAGTTTGGCCAAATGCGTGGCCAATTCTATTACTGGTGCTATCCTCCGACGGAGTTAGGATGACCGCATTGATGAGTCGAAAGATGTTCTCCAAACTCATAGACAGCACAACGAGAGGATATGCCGCCTGTGGGATGCGGGACAAGTCGAAATTGAATATAGCGCAAACTGTGAAGCTCGACATGATAGAGAGGGCTACTTGAGTAATAATCGTTACAATGAGTCCAATTTTCGATTTGACTGCTCGCAGCTTTGAGAGGCTCATGAGAAAATATAGCACCGCAAAACCGTACGCAAACGCCAGGCTAAGGATATCTTGAGGCGACATGGGCCGAAATTGGAATTCGTACAACTGACTCCTCGCGTACCTTCCATCAGATGGATAGACGTCAAACTTGTCAGAAACTTTCTCGGGCAAGGATAGAGCCTTCGTTTCCCATTCTTGGCCAACGGGGGAGTCCCCCAAGCAAAGAAGAGTAATAACAATAGCATCAGCAGCAACGAGTCGACGATCTTCAAAGCGCTTGCCGCTGAAAACAACCGAGTGACGTAGCGTCGTATTGGAGAAGTTGGACTGGTTTTTCCTATCGTTGATGGTGGAAAGGATGTCATGGTCTGCCAGCAACCTGTCTCGGGAGCTATACCAGTACAGCAATGGCGAATGAAAAAACCATGACTGGTTGGTGAGGCCGTTCGAAATGTGCAAGGCGTCACGCTGAGCCAGGGAGAGTTGGTCGTCGTCTTGGTGCTTGGCCAGATTGTCTGGCGCGTCTCGGGGACTAAAATTTTCGGTCTCACCTAGCAGTTCGTTCTGAAGTTCCAACGCTGATGCGAGCAAGTCAGCATTAAGAGCTTCCATGTAGCTAGAATGAACCCAGATAGACCTCATGATTATGTCTGGTTCTACCGCGGCGTCATATGTGAGCGGTTGGGCCACAGTCCAAGCATGATGAGGCAAATATGAGGCACCATTAACAAAATCGCTAGTAAATAGGTATGGGATGGGGTAGATGAGAATCGTGGCTACAGTTGCCGAGATGAAGACAGCAGTGACGACATGGCCGGCGACATATCGGCCATATCGAGCGAAGCCACGGCGGAGGGAATGTGACGGTGCGAGGTCCGGAGGTTCTGTGGTCCTAGAAGCCTTGTTAACGAGTTGATCAAAGCGTGGATACACTGATGGGCAGCAACCACGAACATGGTTGGTGGTTGGTTGGAACATACCCTCGTAATGGATAGAGAAAGTACCAGATCATGGCGCAATGTGGAACATGCGATAGGATCTGCAATTGCAGTTGATGCGCCAAGGCCGGTATTAGTACATATAGCTGAAAACAAAGCACTTGATGGATATTCAAAGATTCCAATGGTAATGCATTAACTGAAGGTGCCTGGTTTGTGTATGGATTAGTATTGTGGGTTTGATACGGGTGTGCGAAGATTGGAGCTTCTCGCCGTGTTGGGCAATGCGGGCAGCAGCTTACTTAAGTATGCGTGTTGACTTAGATTTGAGGCTGGCATGCGGCACGCGACAGCGGCATTGACATGCCGTCGTTTCTGATGTAGATGGATTGTGAAAACCCAGGACTAAACAGTCACGTACGGAGTACAGCGCTGTCATAAGTCTCGGTTAATAGGAGGACGAAGCCCTTACGCCTTATTCTGACGTAGTCGCGGTAGTATCAATTTTACACATGCTGTCAGTCAGCCCTGGTTCGTCTGAAACTGACAAGGGCAATGCACTTGGGCTCGACCTGGAGGCATGCAGGTACAGCACAGCGCTGACAACCCGAAGGTTGAAGGAAGTCAGCAGGGGAGGGGTCAACGGGGGTTCAAATGTCACCGTACCTGCCAGGTACCTCAGGTAGTGCTTGGCTGACGGTTGACCTGGGTAGGTGATACATGACTCGCTGGAGGCGGAGGAAGAAATAACAGGGTTTCTCGCGGATCGTCGATAATGTGTCTAAAGTTCAGATGTCAACTGCACAACCCCAAGGGAGGGCTCCCAGTTGCAGCGACCATATTTCAACCCAGAGTCCATGTGGTATCTAAACCGAACGCGTCAAGTCCACTCGAGCGCTGCCTCCAGCTCCAATGCAACCTGAAGCGTTTGGTGCCCGCTGCGGGACCTGGAACTACGGAGTGGTACAGCAACCAGACACGGATGCTACGTGCATGTGTACCACAGCCAGGCATTGATGAACGCTTGGCTTGGAGGCAGCGGGCAGAAAGCACTTTAAGCGACATCGAGTGTTATACAACATTGAAGTCACGTCTGGTTACTACAATGTACATGTACCCAAAAATGCACCAGGGCACGAAGCGGGTAGTATATGTACTTCTAAACCACCAGGGTACCAGGCAGCCCAGCCCCCAGCCCCCACTGGGCAAGTTTGAACAATGGATCCCACGAAAACACGACCGCGATATTATACTACCATCCTGTATTATAAGTAGTCTATCAAGCTGTAGGCTGCGATAAATGTCTGTGCAAAGGCGCGACTAGGGATTGCATCTTCTTGTATATTGTCAAGTTCAGATTTATCATAACGCGGCACACTAGAGCGCATCATGACCTCACAAATTGAGCCTGCGCTCAGAGATCTGATTTCGACATTCAACGAACTCAACAGTTCCACCATCGAGGAGCTTGATTCGGAACCCAGTCCCTTGGAGTTTATGCGTTTTGTCTCTAGAAATTCGCCTTTCGTGATACGGGGAGCGGCATCATCGTGGAAAGCTACAAGGGAATGGACCTCGACATACCTCAGATCAGCCCTAGCTGGGCAGACTGTCAATGTTGCCGTTACCCCTCACGGGTTCGTATAGCCCTCTTTTGTTGCTTCAATGTTATTTTTCTCTCCGGCTGGCTCCTTGCGAATGGCTATGGAATCATGCCAAATGCTCACATTTTTTACACTATAAACGGAATGGGGTTCGTCCTAATCAAGCTTCCAGCAATGCCGATGCGCCTACGTATTCGCCAAAAGATGGAGTGACCGTTCTAGCAAAGCCTCACGAGGAATCTCAAATGTTTGATGATTTCCTTACATACCTTACGCAGCAGGAAATGGACAAAACTTTCCCGGAGGATTCAGAGGTGTGGTATGCACAAACACGTCAGTCTCTCTGTCTTCCTATTCTGCCAGCTATCCTGCCCTTCCAGGCAGGAGGTAGTACAACATCGTCCCATGATCGTCGGCTGATGTGTGAGGGTTATCAGAAAATGACAATTTTAGAGACGAGTACTCTTGCTTGTTCCCAGACGCCCAGAAAGACATTCCATTCGCCCGCATCGCACTTCAGAGGGGTCCTGACGCAGTAAATTTGTGGATAGGAAACTCCCGGTCTGTAACAGCAACTCATAAAGATAACTTTGAGAACATATTTGTGCAAGTAATTGGCAGAAAACACTTCGTCCTGTTACCGCCAGTCTGTCATCCTTGCATGAATGAGGCTTTGCTTACTCCGGCTACCTATGTGCGCGACGAGACGGGCCTCTCTATTCGCGTTGATGAAGGGGCGGACCTCGTCCCTTTTGTGACTTGGGACCCAGACGATCCGCAGACAAATTCTACTGCCTTCTCTAGATTTGCAAAACCTATGCGAGTTACTCTTAACCCCGGAGACATGTTGTATCTACCAGCCATGTGGTGAGTCTTCCGCCCTATTTTTGGCTGCAGGAACTAAGGGTTTTGTAAATCACAAGGTATCACAAAGTCAGTCAATCTAGTATACCGGGTGGAGAAGGGTTTGTCGTTGCCATAAATTACTGGTCAGTCAAAAGTTCAGAAGTTCCAGCGTTATACATGCACGACTTCATGATTGGCTTTTCTAACGTGGGAGTCTTAAAGGTACGACATGGAGTTCAGTGGACCAACCTACCCCATGGCCGCTCTTGTTCAGGCCCTGGCAAACGGTATACTTCGCAAAACAAAGGACGAGGACTGAGCAGCAAAGACTTTACATAGATTCGCTGATTATGCAAGATGCACATTCCTAACCATTCCGTCTCCCTTTTCACCTTTTCTTCTTCTGAGAAATCCTCTTTTGTGCTCTCAACTCTTTCTTCATCCTAGGATCAACCATGCGATAGCGCCCCCTGACACCCTTTGGTCTGCCCTGAACTCCCCTATTCAAGCCGCGGGCGACCACCAGCTTGGCCGGTTGTGTAGGCTTCTTGCGAGCAGCTTTGCTCAATAATTTGGCTATACTCTCCGCCTTTTCTTTTTCCGTCATACCTTCATCATTGGCGAGCATGTCGGACTTCTTCTTAAGCTTCTCCAGCTTTTGAGCAGCCTTAAGCTTCTTTCTTGCCTTTGCCTCCCGAACCTTCTTGATCGGTCGTGCATTGAAGGCCCGAAGCTTCTCCTTGATGGCATTTGCAGCTGCTTTGGTAATGGGCTTGTGCGGTTTATCGTGTTTGCCTTCATCATCAATGAACCACTCTGGCAATCCATCCCTATCGCGGAATGCATGCTTATTGAAGCCGTCATCAATTGCATCATGACTCGTCTTCTGACCAGAGGCAAGTTGATGAGCTAGTGTCATTGCTTCGGCAGTGATTATGTCGATATCTAGGGCAAAAGTGTCAGCTATTACGTTTGAATGTGCAAAATTGGGGTTATTCATCATACCAAGTTTCCCATCTGGAAGGCGCTTGTCTTCCTCCCAGTCATCAGCATTATTGCTTTTGACAACCTCAAAATCATTATCCTCGTCGTCATTATGTTCCTGCGAGTGAGTTTGGTTGGTCTGAGTCTGAGACTGCACTGCTTTCTTGCTACTAGCATGTGCTCCATTCAGCTGTTTATTCTTGGAAGATTGGCCGTTCACAGCAAGATTCTCGGCAAAATTGTTGCCAATTATGTCAACATCCTTCTCGCTGGTAGTGAAGTCTTTGAAAATGTCCCGACTGAAGAATGCTGCGGCTCGCTTAGACAACCCGTCTGATGATGGTGCACTGTCATCGAGATCCGTCAAAAGGCTTCTTGCTGGTTCGTCTTCCTCGTCGTCTGAAGAGTCATCCTCCTCCTCCTCAAGCTCACTTGAATCTGATTTCTCTGCATCCTCGTCCGCGGACAGACCCTCCCATTCGTCATCGGGACGTTCTTCTCTGGCTTTTTTGGCACGATATTTGGCGTCGGCTTCGGCCTTCCGCTCACGATAGTTTTCGTACATGGAATCAAGTTCTCGCTCCAGGAGATCTTCCTCATCGTCGTTTTCGTTTTCACCTCCATCAGATTCTTCAGCGACGTTCTGGGCTGCTATCGGGGTTTGACCTGGAACGACTACCATCTTGCCACGATTCAGTCTGCGTAATGCGCCTGACTTATCCGCAGACTTTAAAGAAAACATGGCACCCTCTCCAATTGGTCCGGATTCCTCCATACCAATGTCCATTGGAGCAACCATGTTGAGCTGCATACGGACAATCTCGCGTTGTTTTTTCTCATTTTCTTTGCGTCGTTCTCGTTTCTTCTTTGAGTTCTCTTTATCCTTCATACTTTGCAATTCTTCCTGGAGGCGAAGTTCCTCGTCCATTGATTCGACCTCAACCACCTCCTCCCCGATCGCAGCTTCCTCCTGGTCCTTCTCCTTTGTTGAAAATCCGAAAATACCCCTCGCCTTAAGCCTCCACTTCAAGAGAAGTTTGAAGTCTTTCCGGCCCAGAACTTTCAGGTCTTGGCAACACTGTCTGATCTCTTCAGTAGTTTCGGGGAGTTTGTCCAACGCGGCCAAGGCTATATCGCCACCGCGCGGCTGCGAAAATGAAAGCTTATTACAAGACCCGAGAATAGCGATTGGATCAGTGGTTTGAATGAATTCGCTAGCAGGAACTTCCTTATACAGGATATAATCGCCTTCGTCGTAGCCTTCTCGTTTTCTCTTCTTGACTTCAGGATTATATACTTTGGCCTCGTTGTTTGGCGTCGCTCCGGTAAGCTCCGCGAAAACATAGCGAGGGTCGAGAAACCGGGGGTCGATGCGCTTGGGAGCTTTAAATCCTCTGCAAACGACAAAAATTTCGGCAGAAACATTTCGAGAGGAAGGCGGCTTCGTGGCTTCGACTTTCGTAAACAGCTGGTTGAGAACCCATAACAATGGGTTATAGTCCTTAGATCGGAAAACCTTGGTGACAAATGTGCCACCTTCAACTAGAAACTCGGTCGCCAACTTCATAGACTGCAAAGCAAGCTCTGCTTGGTTAAACGAGTCCTGAGCCCATGCCGTACCGACATTTGGTGCACCATCGTGCAATACAGTGTCTGCTTTCCATGTTTTCAGATGTTGTCGAATAGTAGCACGACAATTCTCGGTCGTAATATCGCTCTGGAAAGTTATGACTCTGGGTATTGGCTTGATTGGTGCAAGGTCGACACCAACTATCAAGCTATTCATCGGCATTACCTCAGCAGCAACTTGACACCACGACTAGTGGCGAGAGTCAGCTAGCAGGTCTTCATTGAGAATAATTTAGAAAACTTACGCCGGGTGCAGCGCAAAGATCCAGAAGGACCTTGCTCTTCTCCAAGAATCCATATTTCTTGTTCAACTGAATAAGTTTGAAAGCCGCTCGGGCACGATATCCTTTCTCCTTGGCAAGCTTATACCACTTGTCCAGACGGCCCTTGCCGTGCTTCTTTTGAATCGCCATAATGGCGGACGGCCAATGAATGAAAATAAACAGCAGATAGGCCTATTCAACCCGCGCTGTCGAAGCCAAAAATTTTGAAGCAAAAGTTGCTGATAATAGATCGATCACGTGCTGATAACTAAAATAGTGGGGTGGCCCGTGGCTTGTGTTCCACTCTTTTGTTCCAGGACTTTAGTGGGATGATTGGTGGCGCGTGTTGTTGTGACCTCAGGAGCCAGACTCCCATGGCACTATGGCTAATCCTAACTCTTGGCAGACATTGAATTCGCAACTTACATTACCAATTCTTGAACGCTTACCTCCGGACTCGAATCGGCCTTCTGGCTTCAAGGTCCCGTTCAGGGCCGTATGCACAACTGCATATTTGCTCTCAACAAACTACTCTCATTACAATGAGTTCACGGGTTCTTGCTGCGGGCTTGCGGCCTGTGACGCGACGTGCATTCGTCAGTGTCAACCGACAACTACACCGATTCCCTAACGGGGGGCTGTTGCGAGCAGACTCATCCATCCGAGCGACCAGAAAGCGCATGTGGTTTGGTGGCAACTCGTTTCATAATGCTGTCATTGCTAGGAATGCCTCGTTTGCCCGTTTCTTACCTAAGCTAGTTGTCAAGTTCGCTAGAATACCAGCAATGTTTGGTGGCTTGGCAATCGGTGCTTTTGCTTGGGTTCAATATCAAGCAAATCGTATGTCGCTATAGTACATTGTCGGCATTTTTAGCTTTATTCTCGAGACCATTCTAACTCTTTGCAGAGGCCAGCACTTATGCTATCGAGCTTTTCAATACGACAAAAGATACCGTAACGTCGACGGCGACAAGCTTATTCGACACCGCGAAGGATGTTGCTGCTCAAACTCGGCAAGGTTGGGAAAACACGAAGGAGCAGGTCGAGACGCCAGAATGGTTAAAACGGATGCTCAGAATCCATGAAGATATCGGCACCGGAGGCAACGGCGGAGCGGGTGGCGGGGGCGGGCCAAAACAGAGCAGAACAGGTACTGGGGTGGCTGCTGCTGCGTCTGCGGCAGCCTATGGCTACGAGAAGACTTCAGAAAACGATGCTCGAGATTCAGAGGAGGTTGCGAGAGATGACCAGATGATGGTTCTTACGAAGAAGATGATCGAGATCAGAAGTATGCTTCAAAAAGTTGGGCAGTCCAGCTCGTTGACACTTCCATCCATCGTCGTCATCGGTTCACAGTCATCGGGGAAGAGCTCTGTTCTGGAGGCGATTGTTGGACACGAATTTCTTCCAAAGGGCTCGAATATGGTTACTCGCAGACCAATCGAGCTCACGCTAGTGAACACGCCTGCGTCAAAGGACGAGTACGGAGAGTTCCCGGACCTCGGTTTAAGACATATTTCAGATTTTTCATCCATCCAAAGAACGCTGACGGAACTCAACATGGCAGTATCAAACGCCGACTGTGTGTCTGATGATCCTATCCATCTTACTATTTATTCGCCCAACGTCCCCGACTTGTCTCTGATTGACTTACCTGGTTACATCCAAGTTGTTGGACAAAACCAACCACTTCAATTGAAGCAGAAGATCTCGGAACTATGTGATAAATACATTCAGCCGCCAAATGTGATTCTAGCCATCTCAGCAGCCGATGTGGATCTCGCCAATTCAACCGCCTTGAGGGCATCTCGCCGAGTAGACCCAAGAGGCGAGCGAACTATTGGCGTCGTCACCAAGATGGACCTAGTTGACCCTACTCGCGGCGCCGCCATTCTAAATGACAAACAATACCCACTTCGGCTAGGCTACGTTGGAGTCGTATCCAAAGCACCGTCTTCCCAAGGATTGTTCAAGATGGGTCCAGCCAATTTAATGTCATCGATAGCCAAACACGAGAACAGCTACTTTTCATCTCACCCCCTCGAGTTTGGCCCGGATGCCGGTGTCAATGTCGGCACCATAACATTACGCAAAAAGTTGATGCATGTCCTTGAGCAAACCATGTCATCCAGCTTACAGAGCACGAGTGACGCTATCCGGCAGGAGCTTGAAGAGGCGACATACGAATTTAAAGTACAATACAACGATCGGCCGCTATCCGCAGAGTCGTATCTCGCTGAGAGTTTAGACGCTTTCAAGCACTCTTTCAAGCAGTTTACAGTAGAGTTCGGTCGGCCGCAAATGCGCGAATTGCTAAAAAGCGAACTTGACCAGAAAGTCTTGGATCTTTTAGCAGCCAGATACTGGAACAAACCTATCACAGATCTGTCTCAGGCTCAAGTAGAGCCTGACCATATCTCAGATCTTCCGAAAGCGGAAGCTTCCTCGCTGTACTGGCACCGGCAGCTTGATGCATCAGCCTCAGCACTCACCAAGCTCGGTGTTGGGCGTCTCGCCACGACGGTAGTATCCTCCTCTTTGCAAGACCACGTTGACCAGCTACTCAATAATTCTAATTTTGCAACACATCCTTTCGCTCGCCAAGCCATATTAGAGGCAGCATCAACCATTCTCAACGAAAGGTTCTACAGTACCAGCGATCAAGTAGAAAATTGTATTAAGCCTTTCAAATTTGAGATTGACATCGAGGAACGCGAATGGGCCCAGGGCCGGCAACACGTAGGAGACGTGTTGAAGAAGGAGCTACAAGACTGTGAAGCTGCCTTGAGCGGACTTGAGTCATCCATTGGCGGTCGAAGAAAGTTAAAGGAAGTGATGAATTTTGTTGATAAGGCCAGGAAAGGCGACATTGTCGTAGAAGGCGATGGTCGAAGTGGCGCTGGCGGTTTTAGCGCTGCACTACTCGCCAAAGGTATGTTGCTCCTCTTCATCGCTCTATCCTAAAGCAATTGCGACAATTGGAGACTTAAGGTCTAATCGCAAACAGGGCGTGAGGCAGTATTCCTTCGTGATCGTGCAGATATCATCAAGATGCGACTCATGGCCGTCAAGTCCAAACAATGCGCATCTGTCAAGAACAAGTACTATTGCCCTGAAGTGTTCTTGGATTCTGCAGCATCAAAACTAGCTTCTACAGCTGTGCTTTTCATCAATGTAGAATTGCTGTCTGAATTTTACTATAACTTCCCTCGAGAACTAGACCTTCGTCTCGGTCGCCATCTAACTGAAGAAGAAGTGGAAAGATTTGCCAAGGAGGACCCCAAGATTCGGCGCCACCTGGAGGTTATTCGCAGAAAAGAGCTTTTGGAGCTTGTTCTTGAGAAAATGGACAGCTTAAAGCAACTAGAGGGCAGAGAACGTGAACGGTTGACTGACGGACGAAGACATGGCGGACAGAGGCAGCGTGGTAGATGGGGTCTGTTTTAATTGTGTCAAGCCACGGATCATGCAACCATGGTAGGTGGCACTAGGAATACGGGCTTCGGGAATTCTGAGTTGTATGCGAAATGCAACGAGTTTTATCTCCATCCATTGCTGTCTTCTCTCTCTCTCTCTCTCTCTCTCTCTCTCTCTCTCTCTCTCTCTTATCTTTTCTCTTTCTGTCTTGTTACTTATATACACGGTTTGTAGACTACATGCAGATGGCACAATGTCGGCCTCCGGAAGCAAGGATACCCTTCTCATATACTATGTACATCGAAGCTACATTCATCAGTGCCCAGTGTTTCGGTTCCGAGTCGTGATGTGTCATCTAGGCAACGTGGTAGCGATGAAAAAGGGAAACAGCTACTACTAGCTTGACGCTATTATGTCGCGTCGCCTTTTAAATTGATAACATACTAAAAGCGATCGCAAGGGATCTAATCGGATAGTTACAGGACTACTCAAGAGCTTGCATCAGGGTGAATTTGCAACGTAGCCTCCCATCGTGTATTCCCGCCCACGCCGTATCCTTCTCCAAGCCTGTTTTGGATCAATGACGATACTCGGTTCCGCAACTTGCTGACTGCTACTTCATCGCAACCCCTCACAACGCTCACCCTTAGATTAGCCATGCAAAGACCGTAGTGAACCTGCCAAAATTGGGACTCCTCAACTCGGGTTATCGTAGTGTCTGACTCAATTTCCCTCAACACGGCCGTGACTCCAGAGTTGCCGTTGGTTCCACCATACGACATCAACAACATCAGACCTTGCGCAATTACCACTCGCATGCCAAGGCCGAACATGGCAACTGCAATGGCGGCGCAGATCAGTCTATCCAACCAAGCATAGAGATAGATCGAGAGTAGCGGCAGAAGCGCAACAATGATGGAAAAAAGGAGCGTCAGAAAGTGAAACGGGTTGGACAGGACGCTTGGTAGTGCGGCCAAGTACGAGACCCTCATGACCTTTGCAATGCGCGAGTGGTTTTTCAGCCCATATGCAGAGACTAGTGTGCTGATGATAGCAACGGCCGCTACAAGATCAATAGAAGTTGCAGATATGCGGTCATGGCCATGCTCGTGGTGTGCCTCGTGATTTCCCAAAGTCTCCAGGAAATGCTTCAGATTGTGCGAGACGAGATCGAAACCTCCAAAGAGGAGGAATATGGACATGGCGAATCCAGCGAGTACTTCGGCTCTCTCTAGCCCAAAGGGATGGCGAATGCTACTGCGTCGCCAAACTTCAAAATTTCCTAATACTTCCACCGCAACACATACAGCAGCGCTGCCAGCGTCAAAGAAGACCAAGTGAGATAAAGCCATTGCAGAAAGCGATCCTTCAGATCTGAAGAAGATAAAGGTGGCGACTGCCAGATGGCACATGCTCCAATAAAGTCTAGTCCGTTGTTCTTTGTGCATACTCTTCCATGCTTCTACTAGTGTCGGTATGGGTAACGAAGCTGGGAGAACAGGAGGCGGTCTCGGCGGCGGTTCTTGGAATATTTGATGTTGTGCTGAGATACTGCTATGCTTGTACCTGTGGCCACGACGCTGGCCAATATTCTGCACCGATTTTCAGAGTTAGTCATCATTTCAAAAACAATATTACTACTTTGCAAAGTAGAATGGGGGCACAGGAGGCGCGGAGTACCGATTTAACAGGCGACGTAGATATCACCTGTGTTTGGAAATTGAATGGGTTATGGGGAACACCAGTAGAGGTAATATCTACTGGTTGGGTTTCAGACGTCATGGCCGCCGAAGGCGCGAGAAGGCGTGATTCGAGTTGCCGCGTCTGATTGTCAGGTTCCCCCACACTCCCAGAATCAGTATCGTCTACCAATACCGTAGGCGGAAGATCAATTCGAGGAGTAGACGACGGGTTGTAATGCTCGGCTTTGAACGACTCCATAAGCCCCGGTTGTGTTGATCTCATCTGGCTCTGTCGCAGGATACTCTTGTTGTACGAGGTTATAATGTTAAAACAGCATGTCTTTTAGAGTAATAATGGCGGGTACTTTCGGTAACGCTATTGGGCAAACGTCGACGGTCTGGCTTGCTCTTTCTACAGATACACTGAAAGTATCCTTGGCATTGAAGTTGAGGGTAGGCTACCTAGGTAGGTTGGGAGGAACGGTTCGTCGTGGGAGGTTATGCTACTCGTTGTGGCTGTCATTGACGTGATCTCGAAAGGCCACGACGAAAGTTCGGTGGAGTGAAGAGGAAATGTACTTGCGCACTATCACAGAACAGATCAAGCTTCGCGGCATTGCTACTGCAGGGGATGTGGCCAATCCTCCCCCTACTTATGCTGAGTAACGCATATAGGTACCTGATACTTAAGTAAAGTACTATTGCCTGGGTGCAAGCGCTCTGTACTAAGTAGAGGTACTCGCACCTAAGCCGGTAAGTTGCGCTAAAGGGCTTATTTGGCCCAAGTAGCGAAGTACTGGTAGTACTGGCCGTATATGGTCTGTGCGGGCCTGGCACCACCTACCTGTTGGGCCATGGCAGACAAGGCATGCGCCTCCAGCCAACATTTGGGCCATTGAGATGCGACGCAGTAAAGTTCAAATATTCCATGTCGCATTTTTTCTAGCAGCGTACTACAACGCATTTCAGCTGTCTCGCTGCCTTGAACGACCTGACACTTGGTCTTGTCTTTGACCACGATCAATCTGTCAAAGCAGCGAACCTGCGCGGAAACCGGTCCTGCCGACGAGTGTGTACAGCTATTCTCAAATAAAAATCCCGACAGACTTCCTGGTCCTGAAAAATAACGTTCTCAAAGGAGCAGCGTGGCCATCTGTACGCGCAATGGACAATGACACGAGCGACGCCGTGCAACACGACGAGCAACAGTCAACATCAGTCCATCGACGGACACCTTCTGGTTCCGGAATTCTATCAAAATTTCCCTTCATGAGAACATCTGCAGAAATTAAGACACGCCTAGACATCGAAGAAGAAGACACAATAAACTCAGTGGCCACCGCGCCGTCGTCACTCGCTCCCTTGACGCAGCTGCAAAAGACTCGGCGTCGACGAGGCTCCCTTAGAAAGGCAGCCCTTCTCGGGCGCGGTGCACAGCGTGAGAAAAAGGACACTAAGCTATTGAAGATTGACACCTCGCATACTGCTGCATTTGGAGCGGGTGTGGTTGGGGCATCGTCGTCCTCTACCGCCACTGAACGAGACGCCCTGGGCCTTAAGACATCCGATTTCACGCTTCACACGGTATCAACGGATATGTCTCTTCAGAACTCGGCGACTTCTAACCAGTCAGGAGTGAATGCAATAGCTAACGGAGGTCACGGCGAACAGGATACAGAGCGACGCAACTCTTATAACTCAACGACGGATGAGGAGGATGTACTACACATTTCCCACAATCAAGGCCCTCCACTCTCCACCTTGTCTGTGTCATCCGGATCTGAATCCTATTATACGAACCGAACAACTGCCCCCCGCCGCAGATCATTCCAACAAACGAAGTCTCCACTATCCTACAGTGGCATTTCTACAACAGCTCTCCCTCATCCAGACTCTGATTGGGATTATTCAGAAACTGAGTGGTGGGGGTGGGTTGTCCTTACTGTGACTTGGTTCGTCTTCGTCATTGGCATGGGATCGTGCTTGAATGTCTGGACTTGGGCGTGGGACGTTGGCAAAACACCGTACGCACCTCCTGAGCTTGAAAACGACGAGACTCTACCAATAGTCGGGTATTATCCAGCGCTCATCATATTGACGGGTGTCATGGCTTGGGTTTGGGTTGTAGTCGCTTGGGTGGGAATGAAGTACTTTCGGCATGCCAAAATTAGTGGTGATTGAATCGATCTCAGAAAACCAGCCGTGTTTGACAATATCTCTAGCGCCGAGCTATTTACACAGTGTGTTGTGGTGGCCTCTTCGATCATCCATCCGGCGGCTTCATCCAGAAAGCCCTGCATATCGAGATCATATCTAGGAGTGCTCTCTTCCGTTTGCTAGCTAACAAGCTGGGAGTCGGAGTGACGGAAGCTCGAGTTGCGACCTCTTCTTATGTGCAGTTGACACGAATAGTTTTGAGCTGTAGATGAGTCGTCTGTCGACTAATGTCCCCTACATCTATTGTATTGACTGCGCGTTAGGCAAGAGGAACAACCAGGTTCCAAAACAATATGTCTGCAGAAAGCTACCAATATGCTCTGTCGGTTAGCAAACTATCTTTCGAGGCATATAACCTACCGTGCCATTTGAAATTCAATACCATGAGTCTTGTTTTCGACTATCTATTTTGGATGCCCTTGGCCTCCGTTGAGCCGCGCTATGCAGAATGTTTCGATGATTTGCCGGAAGTCAAATTCCTAAAATATTGTCCTCGGGGCATGCTTCGCATCGCCGCCAGGCGCAGGGCTCTTGGCCGAGCGAGGCTTGTCTATTGTCGAAGGTAGGAAGCACTTCTGAAGTGCATCTAATACATCCATCCGGGCTACACACAAACAGCGGATTGGCATGGTATACAATAATTGAACTGTAACAGGCGGCAGCTAATCGTCAGGTTGCTGAGCTAGCCAAAGTTGTCAAATTCAACTGACTGCCAACTATTGAATAGGTGTTCTAGTAGAGCTAAAAAAAAGTTTAAACGGACCGCATGCATCGAGTAAATAGTCGGGTTGAGAATGAACGCCGCACACCAGCATCGGGTCGTTTCATACCAGTCCTTCCCAAACAACTACTGGTTCCATACGCCATTTGGTGGGGCAGCTCTCACGTTATAGCTCAAGCGTTGGCACTTAACGATCAAAGCCTGGCACTTACTGTGTCACGACAAGCACTAGGGGCTCCTCTGCAGTTCTTAGTGGCGTTGCGCTGTCTCCGTGCTAAATTGATGTCAACTGATCTGTCTGCTGCATGCAGAGGCCAAGCTAGGGGGCGAAATTTGACGGCCATCCTCACATCATCTGGCCAGACACGGTGCTTTGTCCCTTGGCACTGTGATTCGGGCGCTGGAGCCACCCATGATTACCAGACATGTGTCTGGTCTGGTGCTCAAGTTGTACTACCTACAGCTAGGTACATTCTCAAGTACAAAGGCCTGGCAGACATCACTAGGCGTTTTAGCCATTGCTAAGTGCCTTGCTTAGGCCACGGACAACGTTCTCAAGCGGCAACTCCTCAACACTGAAACTAGCAAATCTATACTGTCACGAATGAAGGGAACTGGTTTTGTGCTTTGGGTTTATTCTTTTAGAATTTTATTTTATTTTCTTTGCACTTCTTTTTGTAGGCTCGCGGTCGGGCTGGTGTTGGCACCTGGAGACAAAGGTGGATGCGAAATTTCCGCATACTTAAGTACTTTACCCAAGGCTACGAGCGTTGGCAGAGGCCAACGCCCGCAGCGACCGCTAAGACTTGGGCTAACAATGAAGGCCAGAAACCCGATGATAAAGTTGACTTGGGAAGAACGGATCTTGTAGTGATTACTATTAATTGATATTGTATTAAATTCCTACCAAAACGTACAGTATTCAGATACCCAGATACTTGGGCGGAAAGTCGTCGACATGTCCCTGGAACATGCACAGCAATGCAGCCTCAGCCCTGAGTCCTCTGGCAAATAAGGGAGGCACTAACCAGGCCCCAGTGCCCAACCAAAATGCAGCCTCCAGTACCACTTTCCAGCGTTGCGTCTCTCGTTCCGTTGAACCATTGATGGTCCCAGCTGTAGGGAGCAGCACGAATTGAGTGCCGCCACACCCTCCTTGGCCGGTCCTGGCCTCCCGAGATGCTCCATGTCACGACTGGTCTGTACATGTGGTGCCATTAATCGCTTGCCCATTAGTAGCCCCTAGGCCCAATGTCCAACCTCCACCAGCCTCTCAATGTTTTCCCCCCTTCAAGGTTCCCTGCTTACCCCCTTCAACCACCGTCTTCCGCTTCACGGCCACGGCGCCATCTTCGAACTCTCGGCAGCTCGAAAGGCACAGCTCCTCGCGCTGCTTCATCGACGAGACCGAATTTCGCACAACAGACACCAGGACCGTAACGTCCCTACGAAGCTGTCTTCTCAGCCACTGCTGATTGCGTTGCTCTCCTCTCCCGGTCGACGGTCCATTGTGCACACTCCCTTCGCCGCCGCCTCCCGCGTCTCGGTCCTAGTTGCACCCAGCTTTTGCCTGAAACACCGCAAGCCTACGCTCACCCTTCTACCTCTCGACAACGACAACGGCATACTTTCGCTCTTTAGCATTCACTCCACATCAGCCTCAATCAGCAGCGTTTTACTGCTTGGACACATCTAGGCTGTGGTGTTGCGCTGTTGCCCATTAGAGTGTGCTCGGCAGCAAGCCGCCACTCGGCCACCCCGGTCACATCTTCAGGCTTCTGTCATCCTACCTGCCTTAACAACCTCTGCTATCGAGACCTCGTGGTCAATCAACATCTTAACCTCCCAAAATTCCGTGTAACCAATTTGGCTTCCATAGTTACCACGCCGGGCCCCTCAGACAGAGGGGCTACCCTACTCAGGTCTCAAAATACCTCCAGGCGCTCATCTAGCCGTTGCTTTGTCTGTTACCACCTGTCAACTCGCCCTTGGATGGGGTTCATCTGCTCAAGATGAGGGAAGTCAATTTCAGCATCCCGAACGTCAACAAGGCGTCTGTTGGCATCACGACTGCGCTGTATGACCGTCGAGCACTTGACTGCACATCTACCTTGCCGCTCATCAACTCCCTCAACCACCTTGCATACCTGACCACGTCTTCAGCTCGTATCCGCGACATTTTAACTGTCGATGGAGGCATCGAACGTCTCGTCTGCATATTAAAGCAAGGCCGGAGTAAAGATATGATGGGCATGTGGAAATGGAATCTTGCTTTCCAATGTGTGGTTAATATCGGTGTCCGAGGAACTGAAAATGTACGCACTCGTGTTGTCGAGGCCGACATGGTGCCAGTAATAGCCACCATTCTTGACAATTACATCAAAATCATCGAAAAATGCCGCGAAAAGGCGGAAGAAGCCAGCCAGAAACAGATACATGAACATCACCGTCGTCACAGAGGACACGATCATCGCAGCTCCTCCAAACCAGCGACTTCCTTCGCCAACCGGTCTACTCGCCTTGAGCCCGATCAGAGGTCTGCTGTCCGACGCCACGGCCCTCCTCCCTCCATTGACGTGTCTGCGAGCTACGCTGGGCCGTCTACAACTTCGGCCCAGTCTACCGTTGAAGCCGTAACGGCAGCCTCGCGAGCTACTGCCACAACACCGGAGCGAGGTGCAACCACTGGGACCCGCCACCGGTACAGTTTCCGAGCGAGCGACACCCGTCAACCCAATCCTCTTTCGGCTGGACCAGCACTGCAGCCTCTGGCGGGAGCAACATCAGTTGTAGAGAGTATTGATGGGTTCGTGCGACCTGTTCGTGACTCGGATCGTTTGGCATCTATGGCACTGTTCGGCCATGGTGGCAATGGATCTCAACCCACTTCCCCTACTACACCACTTCCCCTACCACAACTGCGCTCTCCAACAGTGCGACCTATAGCGCCATCGAATGCTGCGGCTGCTGCCGCCGTTGCGGCAACCACTGCCCTGGACGCTTCAGATCGCCCACGGAGGAGGCCCTCTATCAGACACCAGACGTCCACGGTAGAAACTGACGATTTAAATGCCGACAGCATGCCATCTGATGAATCTCCCGATGCCGACATGACTGGGACAACTGAAATGCAGTCTACAGTCGGTATCCAAGATATTTCCATGGAGGACGGAGAGAGCATATTGGCGGGCTCATCATTGGAGCTGAATACACCGACGGTGTCGGAAACACACCAAGACCCTGGCACTTTTAATATCACGCACCGCAATGCCATCGACGGCAGTATCGGGAACACGACCAATCCCACACCAGTGCCCACAATGGGATTATCCCCAGGCCGGCCGGCCATGGTCACACCACCGCAGCAACCCGCTCCCAACTCGACTGTGCCGAGGTATCTACTGGATCGTCACGTCGTTCCAACAGCGCAAATGCTCGCTGTGATGCCACGAGAAGAAGATGTATTAATGTCCCTGCAACTTTTGGCCTATGTCTCGAAGTACTGTGGGCTTCGGTCATACTTCCAGAAGAGTCACTTGGTGCCTAAACTCTCCTTGGGTATAAACTTGGCGGCACTTGATGGGGAGGAAGATGCAGCTGACATGGAGGATCCTGATGATTCTGACGAGGAATACCTACTACCTAATGATTTCAACCTTTTCCCTCTCGTTGAGAAGTTTACTGTTCGATATCACAGCACTGATATGCAATATTGGGCCGGGGTTGTTATGCGGAATCTCTGCCGCAAGGACGATACTCGTGGCGGCATTCGACAGTGTGCCTACTACCAGTGTGGAAAGTGGGAAGAGTACACCAGACAATTTGCCAAGTGTCGCCGGTGTCGCCGTACCAAATACTGCAGTAAGGAATGTCAGAAAAGCGCATGGGCCTTCCATCGTCATTGGTGCGTCGCCGCATCGCAGTAAGCGAATGATAGGAGCCAGGGGCACCAGTTTTATTTGTTTTCTTTTCAATAGTCTGCGGAAGGTTGCACCTGCATAGCACATCACAGCGTTGATCAGCGCACGGCATTTCATCTCGATACCACGGGTTTTCACGGCGTCATGGGTGGAACATGGCATTCTAGCATTACGTCCTACTTTCCTCTTTGATTTGGCAGACTCTCATCGCAATCAACACCTTCTTGGGCGCTACGAGTTGACCTTGTGCACCAGCTATTTTACAGAGCCTCTTTGCTGTCGTAAGAGGACATTTACCACAAAAACAAAGAAAAAAGACAATACCCCTGCACATGAAATTACAGCTGGAAGGTACTACCTACACATATATGCACCGCAAAAATGAAAATGTCCTGTCAGGTGGACAGAATCTTTGAACCTTGAGCATGTTCGATCAAAGGAACCCATTATCGGGAGCGCTTTCGAAAACATCACGGGCTAGCTTAGCCAGCGAACCTCAATTATCTTCAAAGCTCGATGGCATTGGCTTAAAAGGCGACATCGACTGTGTGAGAATTAGTCTCCCAAAGACTATGGCTACGTGAAGTTTCGTAGGTTCACTGGTTGTCATGGGGAAGGACGAGGTACCGGAAGGACTTTATAGGAGCAAGCCGAAGTAGAGTATGCGATAGGAGGAGTATGGTAGGGCTATGAAGAATCTCTTATATCTTCCTTTGAGTCATAGATGAATGGAGCAACGACATTATGATGTTAATATTGGCTTCTCTACGGTTCCCATCACGTTGATATGGTGGCTGCCTTCTAATCGCGGTTAACATTAGCACGCTCAGTACAAGCATAGTTACCATGCAGATTTGAATTATATTATTCTGACGGCATTAGAGTATGGCATGGGGCTCATGCAAACGCCCTTTTGTTTTGAAAAATGTGCAACCATGAACGACCCCTGCACCAAGATAATCCAGACTCCTACTTTGTTTAACTGGAAATCTACATCTACTAGATACCAGCGACGATTCGACCGCGAGGGTAATTGCAAACAACCGATATTGACTATGAGGCGATGAAGTAGTTTATAAATATGGAAACAATCATTTTGACGACATAGCCTTGCGCCTGCTCTTGCCAGGCCTTGATGCCTTTGGCTTTCCTCTTGAACCAGCTTTCATCTTCTTCGTATTGAAGCTAGACAAGTCTCCGGAGCTCAGAGCATCTCCGGATTTGGCATGTCGCTTCTTACCACCAAATCCGTACTTTTCATTCTTCTTTTGACGCTTGGCGTTTACGCCTTTGCCGGATGGGCCTCCTCGAGAAGAGCCCATGCTTTGTGCGTGGCTAGCAAGCTCATTATCAACACTGACGTCGAAAAGGTCCGCTTCGTTGGTATTCATATCATTGCCTGACTCTTGGCGTTCTAGACAGAGACGGATGCAGTTAGCAACAGCATAGTAAAATAGTAAGTGGGTTGTATCGGTTGATGGCGAGTTTATGAAACCTACTTCTCTTAAGTGTTTTGATCTTCTCTAGGGTTTCTCGCTTTGCTTTTTGTCGCTCTTGAAGCTTGGCTACTTGGACTTGTTTACCAAACTTCTTCAAATCACGCAGCTTGCGTGCCTCAGCAGCGGCTTTCTTGGCGGAAGCCTCTTCAATAAGCTTAGCCTTGACTTTCTCCATATGGGCGTCCTCCTTGACCATTTCAGCGAAATAATCCTTTGGACGAGAAAATGGTACGCCTTCAGCTAGAAGTCTTGTGCGACCTTCCTTGGCGGCGTCCAGACACTGCGAATAGAAGGCAAGCTCACGCTGCAAGTCATCAGAGATATCGGGAATAGAATCGGCAGTATTGACGGAAGAGACAATGGACTGGTGGGATGCAAAAGTTGCGCTTTTATCTGTTGGAATAGATATACGATCGAGAGCTGCTTGGAGAGCGGAGGTGTTGTTTATCGTGAGCCGGGTATGTGGTATCAGGTCCTCTTTGTCTTCGTCATCGAGATCTTCAAGATCCGAAATTGGAATATCTTCCTCATCCTCTTCACTGTCATCGTCTCCTTCTTCGTCTTCTTGTTTCGATTCGTTGTTTGTTCTCTTTCCGGATGCGTGCCTGCTGACTTTTTCCTCCAACTCAATTTCTGAATCGGAAGTATCTGTCTCGTCTACAGCTCCGATGTTCATCTACGAATTGTGTCAGCCCCGCAGTCGATCAACAGTACGTTTCAGTACAGCTAAATCACAGACCTCTTCAATGTCATCGCCTTCGCTCTCAACATCAACATGACCGTCAAGCGCATCGTCATCCTCGTCGCCTTCGTCGCGCCGAGCTGCTGGAACCCCACCAAGCTCTGTGGCCGCACCCTTACGTTTCAGGTTCTCTTTGTGCTTCTTTTTTTCTTTTAATTTTTTAAAATCAATACCCTTTTCTGCGGCAATCGCCAGGCGCAGTCTGCTTTTGGTCACCATGTTTTGTGGGCGTTTGTCGTGACGGGTTGACAGGTGGGAAAAATCCTGGCGTCTTGAGCGGTGCTAACTTGCTTGCCAGCCAAAAATTCCCATTCATTACTGAAAAACTTACAAAATTCTGCCGCACCACTTCTCACCGCCTAGACGAGTGGCCCACCCATAGATACCAAACTAGTGTCTTGGGCAACTCAGTACCTACCCTAGGGTGCAATGGATCTGGACTCTTGTATTTTTGGTTACTATCACACACCATCTTCGCTATTACAAGGCAGCTTATCAGGCTTGTGTACCAGCGCATGACTTATGTATTTTTTAGCTGTTCTGAGGGAGCTCTGTTGTCCGCAAAAACAGGCGCCGCGCGTGAAGTTAGGTAATTTTCCACGAGCTGGGGGGGGATCAGTGGCTGGCGATGTTCAACCAGACCAGGCTCAATTCCTCAAATAGCTACACCCGTACTTGATAGTGCCAACTAGCCCAATGTTTGCTACCCACCAACATTAGAAAGTACCGGACCTGTAACCAGGCAGGTACCCAGATCAGGCGGGGGAGGTCTGCCTGGAGTTGTCGGCGGGTTGACATGATCTGAATACCTACCTATGTAGGTAAGGTCTAACAGGGGACTGGAAGCGCGGATGTACATAGGCGCTGCTCGACAAGTGTATATTGCCAAATCGTAGTGCCGTGATAGTTCCGAGCCTGTGAACTTGCTCCAATGTTCCTAGTAGTAAGATTCCTTTGTTTGCTTAACTACGTCAACGGATGCCACAACACATGCTTTCCTTTGACGTTTGACGTCGGTACAATGTGACAAGCACAGATTGTTTCTGGTAGGATCCGTAGACTTTATACACATGGCCTTCATTGATAATTATAGAAAATACTTGTAAAAAACACTCCCGGTACTAAATATGCTGCAGCATACTTTTTGCGAGAGGCCACTCTTCAGCCACTGACTGGATCTTATTCGACCAGGTGGCGATGAATCTTAAAACAACATCCGAATAACGATTTCCTGTCGTTTTCGAGGCCCGCGGGTTCATAAATGAAAAGAAACGGGATTAAAATAAGTATCCCGTGCCATGCGTATCCGCCATAGTTTCATTTACACTTGTATCCTCATCTATCCTTCTTGAGCGTTGTCTGTTTCGGCGTAATCGGCAGTCAACACGACCTCCCTGAAAGGTCAAAGAGACGCGCTTCGAGACTGTAAGTGTGTGCGTGGGCTGGAAATTTACATGATGGTGCAGCCCTGGTAGCCTCCAGATCGGGCGACTTCCTCGCTCTTATCGGAGGTCTTGACGTTTCTGGTGGAAGGCATGTTGAAAATTGTTTGAAGTAGTTGGATTTATACCAAAAAAGAGCTTGTATAATTGTATTTCAAGACGTAGAGTATATTTGTGTAAGATTCTGGGGACTAAACACAGGAATCCCCTCAGTACTTATATACCCAGTGGCTCGTGTATTCCTGCCGTTTTGTCCCCGAATTTCCGAGAGTCTACTGTCATGTCATCAAGGTGGATATGCTATGCTGTTCATAGGTTTTCTAAACTATTACTCTCTATGTGGTTGGTGCTTCATATTGTTGTTCCTCATTGTTCGAGAAGCAATCACATGGCTGAGGATGATAGTAGTCCCAATTTGAACATTTCCATTGAATTGTGGTCAATGCAACCCAATAGTCTCCGTACTAGCCGCTCGTCATGGTGCAAGCCTTGTTTTCCGTTGCCCTATTCTTCTTGACGACGGGTATGCCGTGGTGCACTGCTGGCCTAGCAGCCACTGCTGGACCAGCTTTATGTAGGTACTCAAGTATGCACTTACAGATCGGCCAAGGTATCGAGACAATGAAGTCTACAATTCGTTTGTGTCAATGCGGTGCTGTGCCGTGGCGCTGGGTCCAGCCTCGTGGGGAAACTTCATTGTCCTTGTTAGTATTGTCTCCGCGCGCCACGCATCTCTCGAGTATGAGCACCACCGGACGCGAATACGGGTGCTGAGCTGCTGTACTGTCTATGCATGTGATGAATGCTGCAATTGCATATGCACAACGTCGTGAGACATATTGTTCTACAACACTCGGTATAGTTTGATTCTTGAAGTTTCCCCGCCCAAGGCGTTGCGAGATGGTTGGATGACGCTAAATTGCTTGCCGGCCTGCTGGTATGGTGGCAAGATGCATCTGGCATTACTTTTGGGGGATTCACAGGGCGCCCACATGACCCGTGTGGTATGGAATAATGGAACCCCTTGCATTCACGCATCTGCATTGTTCCTGGTGTCTTGACAGATAAACTCACAGGCCCTGGAGGGGCCGTCCATGCTCTCCCGGCAACCTCCTTGCTCATGATAACCGACATACGAGGTCTTCAGGATACTGGCCAATATGAAAAGTCCAATACATAACCCTGAAATCGTGTCCACCCGATTCCCCAACAACGCACGGTAGCGAAGGTTGATCGTAAAGCCCATCTTTAAGTGTGGTAGGGGATAGATGAGGAAGAGATACGCATTCCTCATACGCTGTTCCTCGTGGGAGGTTCAGAACCCTGTCCAGAAAGGCGTAATCAGTGCTAACAATGGTTGCGGTTGTTCGATTTGCCAAGCCATCTTGGCGACAGCTGAAAGCGCCAGTTTGCCCGAAGAGCTGCAAAACCAACTAGGAAACCCAATGCGTCATACATCAAGGGCACTGGATGAGCTCGAAAATCAATAGTAGTATGGCCAAAGAGATGATGACACTGAACCTGATGCTCTCTCGTAACACTTGGCTGTGACCTTGTCGACTGGCTCCTGAGGAACTGAGGCTTAGCTTGCGTCGTATGGCCGCTTCTGGAAGGCTCAAATATATCTTTCAAATCATGGACAGCATTGTCTTATTGCCAAAATGGCCAGCTATTTCTACTGAAGACAGTTTGTGAGAATGGCGCAGTATGGTCTTCGATAGTATAGAACACCTATCACAGCTGAATGACTGGACGAAAATGGGTATTGTGCCTAGGTTTGCGAGAGTAATGTGTGACGTTTTAGACCTGGTAGCTCGTGTTAATGCTAATCCTTATGGAGAACAAGCAATAGGATAGTTGACGTAATTGCCAGCAAACGTTAAGCTGAAGCGCCCAATAAAGATAGGAAGCTAGTATTTCCACTGGTGCGCGGATTTGCGCGGAAAGTGGGTCTGACACAGTGGATCTCGGCGGAACATTGTAGGTTGTGACCATGCGGAAAAAAAAAGTTCACAATGTCTGGAACTTTACACCGCGGACGCAAACTATCTACAAGCAGCCTGTTCGTTCGACAAAATTCTCCATGAAAAGAGCACGTGAAGCGCAACTAGATTAATCACGGTCCTGGCCTTTGCATCGTTGTGCCGTGTTATTTCGCTGGCTAGCCTAGGATGCCTCACAAACACAAGAGAAAGCGAGGCGAAGACGACAAGTATGTCTATCCAGTCATGTTTGGGCGTGTCACATACAGTGATGGCAGCTAATTTGTTCTTAGCTTCGACCTGCCTCCATCCCAGAGAGCTCTGCCGCTCCCAGTATCATCCAAGAGGCAAAATGCCAAATCAACGACGGACCATCCGAAGCAAAAACAACACCGCACAGATCGAAAAAGTAACGATGCCCCTCGAGCATTCAAGCGTATTATGGCATTTGCTCAAGGTAAAAAATCAAGATCTGGACTCGACAATGGAAGTTCTTCTGCCCAAAACGGCCCTAAAAGTTCAGTAACTCCGGTCGAAGTTCCGCGCATTAAGCCTGGGGAAGATATGAGATCATTTTCTGCCCGAGTAGACGCCGCATTGCCAGTAGCTGGCCTTACAAAGAAGACAAAGACCAAAGACGGCAAAGATTCACTTGGTATCAAGGTGCAACGCACACGCAAGGAGCGGAAGATGCACAAGCTCTACGATCAGTGGCGGGCCGAGGAACGCAAAATACAAGAACAGAAAGAGGAAGAACTCGAGTTGGCAGCAGAAAGAGAATTAGAAAATGACTACGATGATTTGTTTACTGACGGCGCTTGGACGGAAGCCGATGAGAAAAGGGGCAATAAGAAGTCTCGGAAAAGAAAGGGCAAGGGCCGAGAGGAAGACCCTTGGTTAGAGTTGGTTCGAAAGAGGGGGGAGGTCAAGATTGGCCTTCATGATGTCGCCCAAGCACCGCCAGAGCTCCTTCACAAAAAGACGAGAAAACAACTTGAAGTAGGAGGCGCGACTGTTGATGTTGACAGTATCCCCAAGTCTGCGGGAAGCCTGCGAAGACGAGAGGAATTGCAGACAGCCAGGGATGACGTGGTAGAGGCGTATAGGAAGATAAGGGAACATGAACAGGCTAAGCTTGAAGCCCAGCGAGGGAAATCGAAGAGATAGAACACCGCTGGTAAAATTGAACTAATGACTCTAGTCCTCAAATCCCGTCATCCAACGAGTAATGGGAATCGGTGGCTATATACCCAGCATGGGGTACATTAATGCCTATAATATCCTGTCTAAATAGTAAGATGCATAGATAATCTCACCAGACAAGATTCCGACATATAAAGGCCATGATATCAGTTACCATATCATTTTTAAGCATACCTGGCCAAGGTGACACATATATCCTGCCGGACGCGGAATCTGAATGTGTGCTTTCGGTCGTGATTACGTCATTATCATGGTCGCCTCTTCCAATCACCTCTGCTTTCTCCACTGTGTCATAAGGCTATCTTCGTGTCGACGCGTGACGGCGACCAGAGACATGGAGTATAAAACCCGTGGGGCAACTGGGAAGCGACCCGGTAAAAAACCTGTGCATCCACTTTTTTTTCGCAAAAAGCTGGGATGGTCGCATGTTCAACTCCCGGGCAACACAATCAGAAACTTCGACAATCATTTTTTTTTACATCTTTGTCAACTTAAACTGCGTTCTCAGTATGAGAACATCCGCAGGTCGGTCAGCATGGCTTGGGAGCTTGAGGGGCTGATTTCGCACCTACTGATCATCATATCTTGTGCTGGTGAAGAAGGTATGGTCACATCTACAGCCGAGTCGAAATTTTCCAACTTTCAGACATCAGCTCTCGCCCGAGGAAGAGAATGACTGCTTGCTAGGAAAGCTACTATAAAATTCATACTTGCTGATTTATACTTTCTGCAGGCTGTGCTGTTAGTGATATTGTGAAAGAAATCCGTGGCTCTGCTGGCTTTTCTGGGGCCCGGACTCGAAGCCCTGGAGAGCCACTTTCAGCAGATGCGGTTGCTACTATTTGGGGCTGGCTAGTCGCAAGAAGTGACGTATCCGTGGGACCTAACAGGAAGCACAATGATCGTCCTGTGCATGAGGTGTTGGCTTTAATCAAGAAGGTGTCCGGAGGAGATAGTGGTTCCGATGGGACCTCAGGCCAGGGTCAAGAACCGACATATCCGGAGTTGACATCGAGCAACGCATCGAGTCTACTGACATTTTCTGTGGAACGAATCTATGTCTCCGAAGATACCATGTGGGAGACGATCACTGGCCATTCAGTAAACTACAAAAGAGTTCCCCGTTCTGAGTGGCTACTACTCCTGGGCATCGCTTCGACCAAGGACCAAGGTATATTGCAAGGTGATCTGGGTCGTCTTGTCGACCAAGACAAACGATCTGTTCCGAAGCGTACAGACTCGTTGGTTAAAAAGGGATATATCGTGAAAAGGACAACGCTTGTCAGGGGCACGAAGACCAGCAAACTTTGGCTCAAACTGTTTGCTCCTCCGCTTCCAAAGGAAACCGACGATCAAGCTGTTGAACAAAAGGCAGAAATGAATCTTTCCCGTCATACTTTGGCAGCTAATCTTGAACCAGTCCCGTGGCACACGCGTTGGACTGGCGAATCCATGGATTTCCACGCCCTGGCAACCACTATTATGGCCACCACAAAAGAATGGCAGGTCATACGCTTACAAGATCTCAAGGCCAAGCTAGGCGTACTAGGGATGCGATGGCAAATGAAGATAGTGTCCAAGATTTGTCGTTTTCTCAACTCTTGTGGCACCATTCAGTACGTCGCCGCTAAACTCGACAACAAATTGTTCAAGGATTGCATCAGGTACAACAAAGACCTGAGTGCGAAAGATTGGGCAGCTTTTCTTGCTACGGGGAAACGTGCCGCCAAGCCCATGAAGACTGCCCTAATAGGCATGACCGAACTGGCAGAACGAGATGGACATGTTGATGTAACACGAGTTAATGGCTCCCGCCTGGAAAAGATTCCTCCATGGTCAATCGATAATCCGTTACCTCAGAAAATTACAAAGGCAGCTAAATCATACGGAGAAAATGGCCTGACGAACCCCGAGATCTACGCTCTTACGTTGGGCCCGACCTTTAATCGATACATGTCCAGTATGACAACAAGCATGGCCACTTCTACCGTCCAGCCGTTGTGCTTGCAGCATATGCAACTGAAGAGCGAACATATCAGAGTAGGAAAAGTAGCATCATATCGATATTACATTCCTCGGCTTCCCTTGACGAGAGAGCCTGACTCCACCAATGATGCGGGACGAGGCCAGTCAACATTATCAACATGTATGCATTGGTTTGAAGCCCCGTCATCCAAGCCTAAATTCTCTTCAGTGAATACCACTTTATCAAATATATGTGGGCTAGTCAAGACACAAGGCTCTACTTCCGGTGAATCAAAAAGGCGCGGGCGACCTAAAAAAGGTGAACTAGCCGATGCCCCTGAACCTACAACAAGACTCCATAGCCAGCAAACTATAGAGTCTGAAGTTGGCAAAAAACGTCAGAGAACGAATGGTTTTGTCACTCTTCGCATTGCGAGCAAGGCACTTCGGAAAGTGCTGGCTCAGGGGTCTATGTGTCAAAATGACCAGGACTCAACACCACATACCGCCGCCGAAAACCCATCCTTGACGATGGAAGCAGACAAATCGATGCACAATAAACTAGATCAAATCGGTCCGGACACGACCCCATCGCGCGGTCGAAGAGGTCGTGGAAGGGGCCGTGGCTCGGCTCGTGGAAGAGGGCGAGGCAGGCCGCCACACGCAGCCTCCGTTGAAAGCCCTTCATCACGGCCTTGGGTTTGTGAAACATGTGGAGGCAGTTGGAAGAACGATATTGGACTTAAATACCATCTCGAAAAGTCTCAGACACCGTGCAATCTTCAATATACACCTGGAGAACAAGGTTCGAGTCGTCGGGGCAGAAAATCCGCCTTTTTTGCTTCAAAAACCCGCGAGTCAAGTAACGAGACCTATGTCGATGCATCTCCAGAGCCTTCACCTTCACTTCGAGGTTTGGCGGGAGTTGCAGAGGACAGCGATGGTGTAGATCCAGTGGCCGATCAGACGATAACTGTTGAAATCCATGCAACAAATCGATTCCAGTCAACAACCACTCCTGGCCAAATGAGCCCTTCTTCTCATGTGGCGACAGTGAAGTCGTGGAAAAGGTCTTCCGCACCGTTGGATCAGACCATTAAGTTCTCGGCACCAAAGACTGATCAGGGGCTACTCTTTCAGCCCTCAACGAGCCATCTACGCCAGGTTCCCATTTTACAGAATCCAAGCCGTCATACGAAGATTTCAGCAGAGATGATTGTACCGGGAGTGCCAAAGGAGGTGTTCAATGTTACCAGGCCTTCCCCATCGGCCTCAACCGACGCTGTGCCCCAGGCACACCAGTACCCCCTAGTTGGCAAACCAGATACCGGCGATACAGCAGGTTCGTCGGGGGCACCAAGTGCAAGCCATAGTTCTGACTCCCCTATTACTAACAATGCATCCATTTCTTGTACAAAATCCAAGGCAAGAGGTGCAAAGACCAAAGACGACCGAGCCAACATACGCCACTACATTGAAAGATTGCTCCGTGATCAGAACGGGGTTCTTCTTGGCGGCAAGTTGCTTTGGGACCATGTATCAGCGACATGGAATTTGGAGTATCCAGAGGAACCCGTGCCGAAAAGAGACGAATGCCAGTCCGCTCTAAAAAATCTCTTGAAAGAAGGCCTTGTTATGGAGCACTGGCACATGTTCCGTGATTCTACCAGATCATTTTCTAAATGTCAACTCTTAACCTTGCCTGGCATTGACGCCTTTTCCCCAGAGTCTCTTCAACTGCTTGATAGAGTCAAGAATGCACATGCAGTCCAAGAATCCGGTGGGCATCCTAAAATAGCAGCAGATGTCGAGCTGCCCGACAGCAAAGTGGGAGGGCGTAGCCGTAGGCTGCTGGCCAGAGAGGTAGCCGTGTTGCACGCTCCAGTATACGCTGCCCAAATTGCTGCCAAAAAAGAGCAAGGGCCGGAGACTCGAGAAAGGAGAAAACGGAGGTTGCCTGAACCAAAGGGACCGACTGGTGACATAGAAACTCCTGGCTTCTACATCTCCAAAAAGCGCAAAAATATCAGATGGGCCACTACGAATTTGGAATCCGGCTCACCCTCAGAATTACCTGACTCCTCTCTTCTCCGGCCAAACATGGCGTCAGCAATAACAGTACAATTCCTCCAGCCAAACAGGTTTCTAGAGCAAGATGCTCCAAATGACTGGTCTTCAGTGTCTGTTCTCTCGGAGAAACGTCAATTCAGCTCGGAAGAGAACGTCACAGAGCAGACAGTCCCAATTGTCAACTCTCAAACCGGAGAGCTGTTTAGCCCTCGGACCACTTTGAGAGGTCAGAATGGGGTTTGGGCAGCCCTGGATACACAATACTTTGAAACAATTAATGGTAGCTTCTCCGTCCAAGGATGGATGCCAAATACCAAATGGTTTGAGTGGGCATCTTTCAATCGGGTTATCGATAAACGGTATGCATTCTTGGGCCGACCACAAGGCTTCAACGATGAAAATGGTACCAGCCATTACCAGAAGTTCTTGAGGAGTATTCGAGCCTGCTTCGAGGTAGAAATGTCCTGGAGGACACTTTTCGAAGAATCTGGCCCAGGGTCTGCTGGTCCTCACAACATATGGATTGACTTTCAGGGGGAGCCATCTAATCTAAACGCATCATCATCCCATTACGAACTAACTTGGCCGGAAGAAGGACTGCCGACCCAGTACGGTGTCTCTTTCGAGACCGGTTATGTCCTATCATCTTCTAGCGATGATGAATTCGAAATGCCTGAAGATGCAGTTGTCGAAAACGCACGCGTTCGGCCCCCAGAAAATATAACTTTCAAGGCGAAACGCGTAGCTCTTGCCACCCGTGCATTGACGCCTCTCTCCGTGTCGCAACTTGGCACTGTTAGTAAAGATGAGGGTGAATCAGAGGATTACCCATTTGATGGAACGGACGACCTGATGGCTGCTTTCATTGCTGTGCGTATATTGATGGGTGGTGCAGATAAAGCCATTGACTGGGGTTTGCTCATGGTTATCTTCCCAAACGCGAAGCTAATGCAGCTACGGAGATTTTGGGTTGAGGCGAGAAAGGAACAGGGCCCGTTAATCGCCAATTTCACACGCGCGTTCCAAGAGAGGTTTATTACTGCACTTGAGCAGAATGAAATACCAATGATTGACTTCGATAGGCCTCAAGATTACGACTGGGCAAAACTGATCCGGTGGACTCTACAAATACCTCGTGAGGAAGGGTTTGAAATTCCATCTTCCAGGGAATTGTTCAACAACCGTTTCAGCCTAGAGAGCATCAAACCTTCCGGAGAGGACTGGCGCGAGCGTTTCTTCCATACTCAAACCTCTATTTTTTCTCGTTTCGAAGCAGTCACCGCAGTTCCTGGTGTCTTCGCCATTGATAGAAACACTCACGCCTCAGAGGACCTCGCACGATTCAAAGAAATGGAAATCGCAAGATCCTGGATCAAGTCGCTGTGCAGCATGGGAGACGGAAAATATACCGTGGAAGAAATCAGAGACAAATTCTTCACGTTGTCCCCTGGCAACAAAGAAGAGACCTCAGCACTTTTCAAGGAAGTCACCGAACTTTTAACAAGACAAAGGATTATATGTAAAAGTAAAAAACCACTTCTAGGCGGCCGGCCTTACAGACTCAACGAAGGATACGTGGCCACACTGGGCAAAATGGCCCAAAAGTCAAAGTATGACGAGGCTGCTGCTTTCAAGACAAAGATGGACAATGCTTTCCGAAAGCAGGGAAAGATGCGAATACCATACACATTGGGTGACGGGGCCATGATGGCTCTCACAAATCTCAATGCATCTGGAAGAATAAAATTGGTCTCGACAAATCTGCCTTACATTCCGTTCGGTTTCGAGCCCGGAAATTATGAAAGTCGAAAATACCCAAAGTCTTATTATCACTTTGGGTTGGAAGCCGTACCAGCAGAGATTTACCTATACAACGAACAAATTGACGAGCTGCGCGTAGCCTGCGAAAAGGGGCCACCGGCAGGAGATCCGAGCAAGGAATTACCCCAGTGGGTTGATTTCTTCGGCGAACCGAACAACCAACGTTGGTCAGAAATACTAGGCGCGTTCTGTTTTAGTCTGGCGACCCGAGGATCCATGGATACCGATGGCATACGCAGCACTCTGAATCCGATTTTAGATGAGTTCGAAGTACAGCTCATAGCTCGTTGGGGCAAAGAGACCGGAGTACTGACCGACTTCTCAGACGGTGTAGGGTTGGTAGTGGGAGAATGGTGGTGGTTGACTGTACCATGGCTTCGTCGATGATGAGAGTAAATAGCAGGCTCATCAATCCCTGGTTGACCTGGGCGAAGTGACTTGTTATGTCATTATTAGAGCTGTATCACCACGCGCGGGTGCTGGACCTCGTCACCAGGGAGAATTGCTTGGTTTGAAACTATTTGTAGTAATGAATGGCACCTTTCACCCGTGAACGACTACCTAAACAAGCTAACAGCTTGATTATTACATTAAGATGCCTTCTTACCCAAGCGTTCAAAATGAAGGCCTGTAAATAAATCATAATTTAAGAGGTTCCATAGTAATTTCATGTCTCTATACAACTATGTCCTGCCTGGGCTACATAAACGGACTATACTCGGTAAAAACATGAATACTTAGGTATAAATGCGACCACCAAAGCAAAGCAACATATGACGACAACAAAAACGTATGCTTCCAACCTATACCCCTGATGCATAGCACGACTATTGACCAGTAAGTATTTCCCCTTCGAGACTCCACCAACGCCGACGCTGAATTTAGATGCCGAACAATACTTTAAGAAGAAGTGCAGCTAGAACAATCACCAAGGCCACGATAGCTCGGTCAATCCATAGCGGGACCCCATCACCTCGTGAACCCATTGTGGCTGGCCGCCTTTGTCCCTGTTGTGATACTTGAGTGGATGTTCGGTCGATATCCCTTGATGAGGAGACACGGGACGCTGTCGGTACGCCTGAAGAAGACGATCCACGCTCCTCGGGTATGGAAGTCATTTGTGGTAGTTCAGCACTACCCCTGTTGACAGGCACTGTCTGTACAAAGCCTTCCGCAAGTTCCGCAGAATCAGAGTCGGGGTCCTCAGGGACCTGAGACCGATCCAGAGCCCTCGATTCACGGCCATCATCTTGCTGCCTAGACTCCATTTCATCTCTCCAGCCCATACTTAATTCCGTGGGCACTTTGACGTCATTTTTGGCCGGGGAACTCGATTCTTCAGACTGTCTTTCAGTTTCCGATATGATATCTGCATTTGACCGGGCACATGTAGAACACCTAAAAGTGCGGGATTCACGAGCAAGGCGGCGGCGAACCTCCTCCGTTGTGTCTAATCCACCAAGTTGTCCGCGAGCGTCCGTTTCCATGAAGCTGCGAAGTCTGTGTGGGGAAAACGAACTTGTCAGAATTACCGTACACCAATATAGAAATGGCAATGTCCAGTGGTGATGAAACATACGCTACAATTGCAGTTCGGATGCCCCAAGCCGGCTGCCATGTCTCTTCGTGATGGCCACTGATACTAAGACAAATCTCGCGATTCGCTTCGAATCGGCCATTAGGCGTGGTAAATCGGAAGCTTGGCGGTCGCAATGGATACGTGGGTGGGAGGACTATTCGGCCATGATAGATACCCTCGCCATAAACAGAGTTTGGAGGACCGCGCAGAGTAAAGTGCCATTCGAACAGATCAGTCTCGAGAGGCTCGGCCGTATAATCGGGAGAAGGAGAGTTAGAGATCTCGGCGGCTTCGCGTACTTATCTCGGAAAATTGTTAGATCATCCGCATATTACAAGAAACAGTCGCAAGAGAGCGCACGTCGCATAGGGCCTTGGGAGGCTCGGCACTTACGGATTCTCCGAATTGTTGGCGACTTGGAGCTGACTTGAGGAGTAGAATTATTCGGTTTTGTTGCCATAGCTGCGGCCGGAACACAGGATTAATGCACAGCGGATGACGCAGCGTGCGTTGTCGGAAGGGAGAGGGAGGCTCTTCAGTTTCGCAGGGAAGCTAACAGGACGCCAACCTTGCCTGCAAAGTAAGTGGCGAGCTGGGAGGACAGGTCAACACAGGTTAAATCGAAATTCAAATATACTGAATAGTCGTGACAATAGAGTATGTTAGTAGGTGTTGTGATAAAAACGGAGGTCTCTACCACCATGAACAAGGCTGAAGCTAGGACACGCTGCCGGACTCACATGCCAACGTGTCCGAATCAGTTTTGTTGGTGAGGGGCAGTCGCAGGGCTGGGAGTCTAACAGCTGAACGAATTCATAAGACCCATTACGCCAAGAAAGAACGTGATCATTAACAAGAATATGCTATCGGGAGCATGGGGTAGAACAAATCGTCTTCAAGCGTAGGCGCGGCTGGTTTGGATTCAAGGCTTCGTGCTCTAGAGATTTGAGGTCCTCCTACCTGCTATCCCATGTTGTACTCCGTACCAGCTCGGAAACCAGCCCCCGCTAGCTGGGTGTTGCAGAAGTACCAATACACCAAGGTCATTATGCGACGATACCTAACAGCCAGAGGCCGACGTCAACCAGTCAGAGTCGAGAAATAAAACTTACTAAGCAATCTAGTATCTCCGGATCGTCAAGTTTCAACGCATCAGACCTTCCACGTCGTCTCCAGCATCCGGTCAAGGGTAATCGACACAGAACGACAATAGAGGAGCCGGTTTTTTAAGCCACTCAAAGGTACTTCAAGTATCATCAAACTTTGTCTCTCTTCTTTGATGCGTCCCCGGAAGCCGACCTTACTGACAATTTCCACTAGAGCGTCTCACCAGTTTGCCGTGCGGGAGACAAAATCAAGCTTACCGCAGGACACACCTCATTACAACGCCTTTTTCCGATTAAAATATTACACAATGGGTCCCCCTAAACCTCCTGTTCCGCATGTGGCGCCTATTTATCGGTTGACGGCCACTGCTCTTGGTGCCGGAATGTGGTTCTGGGTGAGTAACACAATCTGCGCTATATTGCATTTTGAATCTCGTATATCCAACCGCAAGATGCAACTCCGAAAACTATGTTACTATTGATATATGCTAATGGGGTCGTGGAAAATAGTTGATGTACAGGGCTAAGAAAGACGGTATGCCATATTCGACGATTCACACTCCCCTAATAGTCGCCGAATATACCATTCAATCTCGAGGTATATTATCCCCATGGAATATCTACTAATTTTGAAGCAACAGGACCCGTTTTGATGGGCTGGAAACACCCTTGGGACCACTAGAGGCCGGCGGCCAACACCAGGGTTGGAAGTATGACTGGCAATGTCTAGCTGGAAGTATATTATCTGTATAACGCACACTGGGATTAAGGCCCTAAAAACAATCTCTAAACAGCGCATGGCTTCTCAAACAAATATTGTGCAACTCCCCAAGTGTCTCCTCCTCCGTAAGCGAACAATTCTGAGCAAGCCATGTAAAATATTTGCCAGCGGTTATACCAAGTCAATGCGTCTTGTTCTCCGTACGTCTCAACCAGATGCGGCCACATTTGCTTCCTGTTAGAAATCATTAATGACAACCAGTCCTAGAAGTAATATTAACAGGCATTCTAGTACTTTATTATTGGCTTACTTGGAACGCACCTCGCATGTCTTTGAGTAATGTGACCCGTTCACCCACCACTGCCTTTTGATGGACAAGTCCCTCTGAAAGTAGAGCAGCAGATCAACACAGGGCATGGTGCCGCCTGTGAAAAAATGTGTCGTCATCCAGCCGTCTTCGTAATCATACGGTGTGGTGTGATGCGCAAATATATGCACAAAAAGCTTTCCGCCGGCTCTCAAGGCCCGAGAGATCTTGGCCATGAGCAGCTCGTAGTTTTTCATATGCTCAAAAAGCTACCGGGATCGTAAAATGTTCAGGGAATTGGCACACGACAATGGAAGGGCGGAGTGCAACTAACCTCAATGGATACGATTCGGTCAAAGCTTTCGGGTTCAAATTCATAGTCCACAACATCCCCAGTGATTACTCTGACATTGGTTATATTTCGACGTGCCGCCTCGGATTCGATATAGTGTTTCTGCGTTCTGGAATTTGAAAATGCGACAATATTCGAATTTGGCAGCATCTCGGCGAAATATAATGCTCCTGAGCCCCAGCCACATCTAATACGCTACATTAGAAGGCCTGCCTCTTGTATCGCCATTTCCCCTTCGCCAAGGCGCACGCATGGAGTGAACGTAGTTCTTCGCTAAAGAAGATGTGCGCCATAAGAACTTACCCAAGATCAAGGATATCCATGCCGTCTCTCAAGTCTGCCTTGTCAATGTACGACCTCAGCATTGCAGTCTCGGCTTGCGCGAGTGTTTCATCACCTTGTGGGTACAGGCAGCATGAGTATTTCATTCGCGGTCCAAGGCACGCAGCTAGGACACCAGTTCCAACTTCATAGTGTTGCTTATTAGCCGTGTCTGTGGCAATAGCCATTGGCCGAGTCCTGAGCCTCTCGATATATGACATCTTAGTTTCGCATGCGTCGGTGAGAGACTTGCTTTCAATTGTTCTCAACCGCTCCTGAAGCTGTTTCCGAATCCCTAATCTGATAAGAGCATGGGGCAAATACCCCCGATCTAAAATCCATTCTGACCGCGCATGACGACATGAATTGAGCGTTAGAAAAATTCAGAAAACATATGCTGTGTTGGACACAGTACGAGGACAGAAGGGTTGGTCCATGGTACAATCTACGGTAACAATCCGCCGATAGTCAATTTAAACTGTATAGCAACTTGCCACATACCGTAGTTCATGTTTGGATGCTCGTAATGATGAAGTCCTCGGGATCCTCGGTGGCTCTCAATCCCCGCAGGCTGGTAGTTGAAGTATTGGTTGCAGAAGAGAGGGCAGTACTCTAGAAGAAAAGATGTGGGAAGATAGAAGTACAGACTGCCAATGTTGCCAAACTATTTCAGATTGGTTTCATACGTATAGCAGTTGTCAGGGCCTGGTTCAGTGTGGCGGATGAGTCAAATGGATGTAGTCAGATGAGGAGGTGAGGTCATAGACTGACCTGACGCACCAGACTTTATCCACGGCAAACCCCAGGCGGCCCCCCCGCCCCTACTTCACCAACAGAAGTGATACACATACGCACAGACCTGCAATTCTAATTGTAGTATTACGTTCAATGTTGTCTATATCCTGCTACCAACCACAAAACTTTAATATTTCCACATTTCTTCACGTATGACTTTATACTTCTTGCGCATTTTTGCCCTTCCCGTAATTCGCTGCTTGGCATGACCAATGACTCTTGCCAATCGCATTGCCAAATACTTTTCGAAGATCCAAGCAAAAGCAAAGTACGCCAGGCCCAAGACAATGAGAAATAGTTTATAATCCCACTCCATATAACTAAGTTCCATGAGTTCCTTAATCCAGTGTGCAGGGCCAACTACCATGTAAACAGTTATCATCAGCGCAGCCGCGATAGTGAGAGTGAAAGGCCCTGTTTAAAGTTAGCGGTATAATTTCTATCATTGCGGGATCTTGGTGCAACTCTCTCACAGTTATTCGCACTATTCTGCCTGAACGGTGGCCCTGCATTCAATACAACTCCGGATAATATATACTCAAAACAAGACGACAAGAAAAGTGCCGTGTTCTCCGAGTTTTTAATATTTGGTTCGTCATGTCCGACCTTGGGCGGTTTGTACCACGCTTGCTCTCTTACGGCGAGAAAAGCGGCCCCTTGAATAAGAACGCAGATAGCCATGAGCCCAAGAAGGGGCGTTAAAACTTTGCGAGAGACGAGATCCGCGGTTGGCCGTTTGCGACAAAGCAATGGAGCTGGTCCTGCCCAGCCCATAAATATAGCGATGGGTAAGATGAGAAGCAAATCAATAAAGAGAAATTGAAAATCGCCCAAATTAGACGCCTTAGCATAGAGAAAGCTGACCGACGTGAACTGTATAGCCGAATACAAACTCATGTATTTGAAACAACTGAAACTGGTCACGAGTGCCGCTCTCCCCTCCCTAATAATCATTAAAACTTGAGAAACGAGCCAAAATATAACGGAAAGGAAAGAAAATGGAGTAAAAGAGGGAGGAAGAGGTGGGGGGAGAGAGAAGCTGACAGGAAGCAGCAAGCATACCTAATAACTTCAGGCACACACCGAATGTCGAATACACGAGACGTAAAGGGAGCGGCAACAGAAGCTTCTGCCTCAGAAAGGGATATGCCAACATCAGCGGCCTTCAAAGCACCACAATCGTTAGCCCCGTCGCCACAAAAACCACAGCAAAAGTCGATGCTTTGTAGCTTTTCCACAAGTTCATGCTTTTCGTCCGGAGACATTCTGGCGAATATTTTCCCTCGGACGAGCACCTATTCAACAAGGTCAACTTCACATCACAGCACAAGACCATTGAACACATACGCGTTGCAAAACATCCGGGGATGAATAATCCACGATCCAACGAAACGCCTCTCCACTAACGGCTAGGGAAAAGTTCTGCAGGTTCGAGATATCGTATGGGAGGGAGACATCTTCCTCGGGTGGCGCGGGGAGCGGCTTTGTGATAGGGTTAGAAGGGCATATTAGTCAAGTTCCCGCTATAGAGAAACTCACTAGCAAGGTTAGCTTGTCAAGACAAAAGCGGTTGTTGTCAATGCTCTCCCACTGCAGCTCGGCCATAGGGTCACGAGCGTCTCCTAAACAATGGAATCACAGAGATTAGCTATTTGTTCATGACCTCATGTCGGGCCATGGTGTCCTACCTCGCACAAATCGGGGTACAAAACAATGTGCCTGTCTATCCAGTAATCCCGACTCGCGTGCAACACTGATGGCTGTTAGAATATTATCTCCGGTAACCATTATTGTACCGATATTTGAATCCAAGAGTTCTTTCAAGACACCCTCCGTTGTAGGTTTCAACTTATTCTCAAAAATGATGAACCCAACGAAATCGAGATTGCTCTCAACCTCCAACCTGGTCATTTTTTGTGCCTTGACCCAACTAAGCTTGGGAAGATGTCTGGTGGCACAGCCAATCACTCGGTAACCTTTATGAGTATAGTATGAGAGCAGGTCGTCATATCCATCGGGAACTGTTCAGGGTCAGTCAGGTCTCAACGCGTGACACAAGCACCGATAGCCAGGAGCTACTAACAACTTTCTGGGCGACAAATCTCTCTCATTGCCTCGGGAGCACCTTTGACAAAAATGTCACCGCTTTTTTGGCCAAAATGTCGCGTAATGACACTCGCTCTCCGAAGTTGAGATATAAACTCAAAGGACTTCAAGACACCTAGCTCGGTAGAATTCTTCCTCCTTCTATGTCAGTGGTAAAAGATCATCGTTGGAAGAGCCGAGGGTTCCATACATCTGGTGGACGAGCAATCGATGGCGTCAGTCCGCTTTGTTCATCATCATCACCACCCTCCACGGTTCTCTGTTTTCCCTCTTCAAACGACCAGCCAGTGAATTCGAACATCTTTTGATCCAGGGGATCACCAACGAGGTCTCCGTCAACTGATCTGAGAGAGTGGCATGTTGCCATTGTGTAAAGTGCCGCTTGGACAGTGGTCTTGCTTTTGGGTGTGATGCCTCTATTTCCAAGGACAGGTGCTCGAGACAAGAGCTCGCTGAACTTTTCGCCTTCTCCCAGGCTGATGCGAAGTCCGAGAACATCGAGGCCATCCTCTGTCAATGTGCCTGTTTTATCAAAGCACATTACGTCGATTTTTCCTCCCACGTTAACTCTCTGGGGACTGATACAAAAAATTTGTTTTTTCTTCAGGCGCGATAAGGCAAAGTTCGTGCCAATTGTCAGTGTCGCCGGTAGAGCAGGTGGTACAACGATCGTGATTAAATCAAGAGCACGAACAATAATAAAGTGCCATGCAAGTTCCAGCCTTAGAAAATTGACAAAAGACATGATAAAGCCCAGCACGGCAACAATGGCCATAACACTGATGTATCTGAAGGAATCTCGGTAAAATTTAAAACCCGAGGGCTTGGGGAAAAGCATGGACCGTACCAAGGACCCTTTAGTAGTGTTGAACCCTGTTCTAACAACAAGAGCTAAAGCCACGGCATCTTCATCTTCGCCCTCCTGGGGTCGTCTAGTCCGAATTATTTTCGTTCCACAGTATAGAAAATGCCGTGCGATCTCAGGGGATACTGAAGCAGCCGCAAGGTCCATGGAACATAGCGTTTCATCCGTAGCGGGGATCTTGGAAACTGGGACGGACTCGCCTACTCTCGTCAGATGTACTCCGTATTGACGTTAATTGTCATCCCTTACCAGTAAGCATACTCTCATTGACAATACAGTCACCGGTAAGTAAGAGACTGTCACTCGGGAACTGTGACAGGTTCGGGTCGCTCAATTCATAAATATCTCCTGGGACCAGGTCGCCGGACGGCACGTATTTCCCTGTATGCTGATTAGTATTTCTGTCCTGATGAGGTTGCGAGTTCATTTGGCGGCCATACAAAATCCGTTTCTGAGAACTCGTACATCGCATTCGAACCGGGAGATTTCACGAAGACGCAGCATTGTCTGGTAATATTAGCTCGCGTTTCTTCCTGTTTTTAGTTTGTTGAACTTACAGCACGTGTCTCGATTAGAGTCGCAGATATACTAGCCACGGACATGATGAATATGCATACGGCATAATAATAGTAAGAGTCCAGAGACCAAAGAATCAGGCTACCAATCTGAAATATATAGAAGGGGTGAAGGACCTGGTCAACTCGATTAGCCGTGTTCAATGATTCATCAGCTTGCTAGTATGGGGGATCACAAAGGCTCAATACCTCGTCTACAAGTAATTGACTGATGGTTTTCTGTTCGATGTCGATCAGATTGTTGCCAAAGATGGCTTCACGTATAATCTTATCGTCGCTGTCCAAGCCTGATCGAACAAGTCGTGCATCTGTCCATTCCGGATCTTTCCACCCAGCAGACAAAACAAATTTATCTTCAATGGGATGAAAATAAAGTCGAACATAGCGGTAATCCAGCGAGCGAAGATGGTCAATAAGTGGGTCGTTGTCATCGTCGAGGCTGTTGAGAAATGGCTTCTCCGGTATACCAAACACCGATGAGACAGGTCTACCATATTCTTGGGTCGTGACCTGGATGATGCTCAACTCACCCCATTGGTTTTCAATGACCACCCAATCACAATTCCTCAAAGAACAGGGCCGTCCAACAATGGCGATATACCAACGAGGCAGCCAGCGAAGGAGCAGAAATGCGATCCCGCCAGTAAGGAAGCACAGGGCTGTGTAGATTAAAAAACCTACTGTACTCGTCCGGAAACCGGCTACGACAATGGTCAAATCCTCGTTTGCCATGTATATCTTCTGGCTACTTCGCCCTTCGGCGCGAGCACTAGCAACAGTGGCCGTGCTGTCTCTACGGAGAAGATGTGCGTGAACGGAATCTCGCGATTGTGCTGACGAACGACGCCTTAACATGTAATCATCGTGGGTTGCCAAATATTCTCGGTCCGCTGAGTCCTCCTCGTCCTCGATGCCAAACTCGAGGTCGCCAAGATCGCTGAGGCTCCGTCTAACAAAACTTTCACTTAGGTCGGTAAAGGCGCCTGGCTCTTCCTCGCTTTCTGGTATCTCAGGCTCCTCGTAATATGTGAAGCTAGCTGTCGAGCCAGCACGGGCTCGGCGGTGGGAGAATGCAGAAACACTGCTGGGTAAACTTTCGGCCACGGGGCCTGAGTAGAGCTATTGACATTGCAGTTAGATAGATGTGTGAGTCAAGTAGGTAAATAGCCTTCTTCGTCATGAGATGTGTACCTCGTCGTGTGCCATTTCAACATCTTCGAATACACTGGAGCTGCTCTGGTTGGAGTTCAGGCGGTATAACGTCGTTGAACCGTTTGCCGCAGACGTGCCGTCGCCGCGGCTCAATCTATGTGTTCCGTCATGATCCATCACCTGATCTCACTCTTCACACGTCCACGTGGCATATCTGGGAGCTTCAGTTCGGCGTCTTCGCTTGCAGTTGACGGCTGTCGGGGCTACGATACCTAATTGATGGTAAGAAGCGTCAACAGAAATGGTGGTTCTGCCATTGGCGATTAGAAAACATGGTTGTGCAGGCACACTAGCTCCAGAACTTGCCTGGCTCGGAGTAAAATAAGTTATGGAGTACTACTACCGACCTAGGCATCTAAGTTAGAGGGAGCTAACTAGATCTGGCGCCCACCCCCCGCCGACACAGAATAAATGATGACGGTACGTACTCTCCAGCTTTGGCTGGTTGAGTCGCAACCTAGGCGACCTTGGCCATCAAACCCGTGGAGGACCTCACCCTGTTAGTCCATTGCCTGCAACGTACTTATGGTATACACTATTCTGTTTCCCCTGCAGTCTGTTTTGTTAGCCAGCGTCGAGTCAAGTAAAGTTCGTACAATATTATTCGAATACCTGCACATGTGAACCTACCTAGGTAGTTGTCCAACTGCCCGCTCCCAGGCACTACCCTGTAGTTCGTGCTTTTTTTTTTACCTTTGTAAGGAGAAGCCTCCGAGACCACTAGTTTGGTCGTCTATGGTATAGGCACTGCGAGCAGTTAGGCCTTGAACAGCACGTTGCTACCCCAACATGCCATTGCAGCTTGCGTACCTCGTGGTCACAGCAGGCAAGATACATACCTAGTAGTATATATCACACCGTCAGCGGACGGCATACACATGCGTCTCGTCCCCAGGCTGGCTTGGGGCGTGATGTGTGTCCTGCCGGCGGGTCTACAAAGTGGCGGAGACAACAATGACGGTGTGAATTCTCTATAGGCAAATCCGTACGTATGAATGCTTTCACCCGTAGTTGTTCTCTGTGAGGCGGCCTGTCGGACCATGCGAGGATTGTGGAAAGGGCTCCAAATTCGGAAATATGGCGTCGATTCCTTCTTCCCTTCCACAACTCGAATGTTCGACTGTTTGCTGAGTGACCTAAGAAGTCGAGTTCTAATTCTAGGTACTTTACCTAGGTGGATTTTGACTGGGCTGCCTGTTTAGGTCTGTTCGGGTCTGGCCCAACAAGCTCCAACCAGACCACACCGCGCCCAATTTTCTTTTTTTTTTTTTTCCCCCGCTGGCCTCCCCACCGAAATTTAGCCAACCGCCAAAAGAGCGGGCTCACTCGTCTCAACCTTCCCCTTCCTCATCCTCCACAGCCCCTTCACAAACCTCGCTCTCCCACCATCTACAAAGCCCGCTTGCTATTAGAACACATCGTGTTTCCGCTTAGCGAGCAAAATGGCCGAACCGATCAGAAACAAGCGACCCGACTTGACGGCCCCGTGAGTAATCTCTGCCCAAGCACAATCTGTCTCCCACCAAACTAATTACCCCACCTCCAGTACGCCTCAGAACACACCAGCTACCAATGCGCCCATCTCTTCCCACGCTCAGCAACCTGGCGTGGCTAGTATCATAGAAGGTAAACTTCCATACCTGAAATTCAGCCCTCGATCGTTGATTGTTTAACCACCCATATAGAGGACATGGATCGCGCCACTGCCGCAGCGATTTTCGCCCAGAACCCCAAACTGGTCCAAATGATTCAGGGCCGCCTGGGCTCGCTTATTGGTCGTTCTTCGGGATATATTGAGTCACTCCCCCCGGCTGTTCGCCGCCGAGTTGCTGGTCTGCGTGGCGTCCAGCATGAGCACTCAAAGCTCGAAGATGAGTTCCAGAAAGAAGTTCTGGAATTGGAGAAGAAATATTTCGCCAAGTTCACACCGCTCTACGAGAAGCGTGCCGCCATTGTCAATGGCCAGACGGAGCCGACCGAGGAAGAGGTCAAGGCTGGTAGCAATGAAGATGAAGAGCTCGAGGCTAATCCTTCAGGTACAACCGATGAGAGCGCACCGAGGCAGGACGATGTTCCCGAGGATGTAGCTGGCATTCCCGAGTTCTGGTTATCGGCCATGAAGAACCAGACGACGCTCGCCGAAATGATCACCGACCGCGATGAGACCGCACTCAAGCACCTGACTGATATTCGCATGGAATATCTTGACAAGCCTGGTTTCCGTCTCATATTCGAGTTTGCAGAGAACGAATTCTTTACAAACAAATCCATCACCAAGACATATTTCTATCAGAACGAGAGCGGTTATGGCGGTGATTTTATTTACGACCATGCAGAGGGTGACAAGATCGAATGGCGCTCTGGCAAAGATTTGACCGTACGTGTCGAAGCCAAGAAGCAGAGAAACAAGAGTATGACCCAAAATCTATACTTTGCGTGAATCGCATTGCTAACAATGAAACAGACACCAACCAGACCCGTATCGTGAAGAAAACGGTTCCCACTGAATCGTTTTTCAACTTCTTCTCGCCACCACAAGCCCCCAACGATGACGATGTAGAGGACGAAGAAGCCGTGGCCGATATCGAAGATCGATTGGAGCTTGATTACCAGCTCGGTGAGGATATTAAGGAGAAACTTATTCCTCGCGCCATTGATTGGTTTACCGGTGAAGCTCTTGCCTTCGAGGACGGCTTGGACGAGGATGACTTGGACGGCGATGATTTTGACGATGACGAGGACGATGATGAGGATGACATGAGCGAGGATCATGACGAGGACGAAGAGTCTGATGAGGAAGTAAGTTTGCATACCTGGTTTCACTTGGGTCATCAGTCATCTAATCAAGTGCTACCAGGATGAGTCCGGAAAGCCCAAACAGGAGGCTGCTGAGTGCAAGCAAAGCTGAGCAACTATGATGTTAAGAGACTGATAGTTGTGTGACCTATTATTTATTTATTTTGTTTTTGTTTTTTGAAACATAGTCTTGGCCACCAGTATGAAGCACTGGGCTGGTCAGTTGCATGACCAAATAATATGGCGACCGGCACGCTTGCCTGTAACGAATGTCGCAGAGGGCGAATATGATGCTGGTGTATCGGTTGATGGAGGCTTACGGATTAGTTCGGAGGGCTTTGAATTGATTTCATAGACACACAAGGGGGCTTATGATGATCGGTAGATATGCTCCTTTCTCTCTGGGAAGACAGTGACGGTTACTTGCAATCGCAACCAAGCTCCATACTTCGGCAAGAGCATTGTACAACATTGATGACCCGGCGTGGGATGACCCAGCAATATTAAGCCTATTGTTGGATCGGAGCAGAAGCAGAAGCACAGGGGTCTGTCTCATTTGGCTCTGCGATCTTGGAAGACAACTGCGCGTACTGATATATTTTAATCGAATAGAATGAGCTCCAGTATTTAATATGTTACGATACTAGCAGGAGTATCACAGGATAATACACTGGGTAAGTGTAGTGAATCAGCCCCTTCGTTCGTCCAAAAAAATGTGCTAGGTATTTCCCGCTTCGAAGAGACGAAGGCAATATGCATGAAATTCAATAGCCACAACGGTGATCGAACCCGCGTCGAATCGACAGCCAACATGCCAACATTCCATCGCTGGCCAAACCCGTCAACTCCGTCCAAAGGTCTGAATCAAGTGCATGCAGGATTATGTCTCCGGACGGAGCCCGCAGCCAGTGACGCGTGGAGTTGGAGCGGTACTTCTGGAAGGGGAATCGCGCGTTTTTGGCTAGAGCCATTTGGGAAAACAAGCCATTTTAACCAGAATTCGCTGAAATATGTTGACCAACTATTTAATCGGATATATAGTAATAAAGAAATATTATATATGGCTTTATATATTTGGACAGAAACGAGACACCTCGAATTGAGAGCATTATTGAAAAGTGCTCTGTAAAAACATATAAAACGCAGCGATAGAACTATCCCTCACGAAGAAAATGGTACTATTCTGAACACAAGGAGCGCCCCTGTGGGGTACCAGGCAGGCATGACGCCAGCAATGAAAGGACCATACGTTCCTTGGTACCAAGTAACCTTGTCTCACCCTCTGTGACGCATTTTCTTGCTTCAATGTTCCGACGTCCGTAGATCGGAGCACTAGTCTTGAGTGCAAGGGGTCTTTAATGTACATCTAGAAACGGGACAGACAGGTTGACGGGGCACCAATAGGAGTTCACTTCGCTCAGTGACCTAGCCTCTTGTGGGGTCTGGATCACGCAACCTTGTTGAGCAACATTAAAGGTCTGGTTTTTTTTTTTTTTTTTTAAAGTCTTCTAGCCCACGAGTCATACAGCACTTTGCCATAGTGCTCATAAATTGACGACCTACTTCATGCCCCAATTCGAACTACACTTTCGTATTGTAGTGACTCTTGATTTTAGTAGACAAAAAGATGGGAGAGAGCTGTTGCAAGATGGAAAAGTCTCTCTCTGCAATGGCTACATCATCCATCCACTTTCATAATATGGACGTACATACTTCATACAGTACTGCCGGGTCTACTTCAATGTACATTATACGTCCATACCTAGGTACCTTTAAGCCCACCTAATCGTAAGTACTTAAGTACCTACTTGGGTACTTAGAAGTAGCGACATGAAGTTTATGGGTGCCATTAGGGTAGTGTCCCTTACAACAAGGGTGAATGCATAATACAGGGTCTGGTCTGAAGGAATTACCTCAAGGGGATAGCTAAGGGTTACCACAACCAGTTTGTGTCCGACTTGAACACTCAGAGGAGTGGCGCCAGACCTGGAGGAGCTTAACAACATGATCCGGCGCGACCGGCCGTGTCATCAGTAAGTCTGGTACGGAGTACTTCAGTACATACTAGGGTCTGGTACTTTGAGCACCTGGCTGCCCCCCGAAGCCCCAGCTGGTGTTCAAATTTGCTTAAATACCTACGTATTTTCCGACCAGACTGTAACATGCTCTACCCCGCCAAACATTTACCCTCTCTTCTATTGTTACGACATTGATATTTTCGGACATAGTTATTGTATTGAGATCATTTCGCCATGACGCCCCCCGTCGATATTCATACAGTGACTTCAAGAACGGTCTCTCATAGCTGGGACCCGAACAATTTGTCGACCTCCCCAACGGCCACTTTCCAATCTCCGCCGTCTAGCTGGGGAGGGGCATTAGCTCATCGCGGCGCACCGAAACAGCTCAAACCTTTCAATACACAGGATATTAAAATTCTCCTTTTAGAAAATGTCAACACTACGGGACAAGAGATTCTTCGAGGACAGGGCTATCAAGTCGAGGCGCTCAGAACTTCTCTTCCTGAGGATCAATTGATTGCAAAAATTCGGTGAGTTCTGCAGCGGAAACCGCTATTGGTCGAATATCTACCCAGGGCTAAAATCACTGACTCCAAATTTTTCGCAGCGATGTGCATGTTATCGGTATCAGGTCCAAGACGAAATTGAACGAGCGCGTGCTGAGAGAAGCCAAAAATCTTCTGGTCATTGGCTGCTTCTGCATCGGGACGAATCAGGTCGATCTTGAATACGCTGCTCGCCACGGCATCGCAGTCTTCAACTCACCTTTTGCCAACTCTCGTAGCGTTGCGGAACTCGTTGTTGCGGAGATCATCACCCTTGCACGTCAGCTGGGCGATCGCTCCTCTGAGATGCATCGTGGAACGTGGAACAAGGTTAGCGCTAAGTGCTGGGAGATTCGAGGCAAGACCCTAGGTAAGAAAACATATGCGGAGCGATTATCATTTGTCTATACGGTGCCTCTTTTCCACGGCTGCTGCATCGAAGTAATGCGACACTCCCGTGCTTTGGGTATTGACCAGCTTCCATAGGTATCGTCGGATACGGTCATATTGGTTCACAGCTTTCGGTTCTCGCGGAGGCCATGGGCATGAATGTGATCTACTATGATGTGATTACCCTGATGGCGCTCGGTACTTCCCGCCAAGTTCCAGCTCTAGACAACCTTCTGGAAGAGGCAGATTTTGTCACACTCCACGTGCCCGATCTTCCGGAGACTCGAGGGATGATTTCAACGGCTCAATTCGAAAGGATGAAGAACGGATCTTATCTCATCAACGCCAGTAGAGGCACTGTTGTGGACATCCCGGCTCTGGTGAAAGCAATGCGATCTGGACAGGTTGCAGGAGCTGCCCTTGATGTGTATCCCAACGAGCCGGCTGCCAATGGTGACTATTTCAATAACAACCTGAATCATTGGGCAGAAGATCTCCGATCTCTGAATAACATTATACTTACTCCCCACATTGGCGGTAGCACAGAGGAGGCACAGCGTGCAATTGGTATCGAAGGTGAGCACTCCAATAGCAATATGTTTCCAATGTCATGATGCTGACTTGTTCAAATTTCAAAAGTCGCGGACGCTCTTGTTCGTTACATCAACCAGGGCATAACACTCGGAAGCGTGAACTTACCTGAGGCCCAATTGAGATCTTTGACGCTGGACGAACCAAATCATGCCAGGGTAAGGAGTCTTCCCCGTATTTCAGCAATGCCTTGTCTGAATACGTCGTAATTCCTGTTCGCTATTCTGTGCTCGTCCTTGGCTAATATTTGTTGCCTTCCAGGTCATTTACATTCACCGCAATGTCCCTGGTGTGCTTCGCAAAGGTGAGCCGAACATACACCCCCCTACCCTACATATGATATCTGTCTGGGTTCAGAGGTGGCTACTAACCTATTCCATAGTTAACGAAATCCTCGGCGACCACAATGTTGATAAGCAAATCAGCGATAGCAAAGGCGACGTAAGTCAAACTTGCCGATATATAGGTCTAGTGCTTGTCTAACATGACGTCACAAGGTTGCCTACTTGATGGCGGATATCAGCAATGTTCGCTACGAGGAAATCAAGGATATAACTGAAAGCCTAGAAGCACTGAGCTGTACGTATCTCTGCGATCGAATCAACCCATGCCCAATCACTAACGTCGATGTGTCTTTAGCATGTATTATGACGCGGGTGTTATATTAGATGTCCAGATTTGAGGAGTCCACAGATACATATGGGCTGCAGCACTCAACGTGCTGATGCCTGATGAGGGCCATGATGATTGGCAACTAGGTTCTGAGTTGCAGGAACAGTCATGCTTAGGCTAGGGTTGCACATTTGGCGTTGGGAATTATTATGGAAAAGTGATGGTAATGAATTGGCATAATTCGTACAGTTGAGCTCAACAACAACTTCAGCATAGAGTGATGAACCTTTGACGTTAAACAACTAAAATCTTTGCAATTGAGGATAGAAAAAAAGCCCCTTGTTGTGTGCTATGTCTTTCATGACAATTTTCAACGAACCTTGGACGGTGGTTTCTCGACAGGCAGATTATGAACACTGTGGACAATCACTAGACCCCTGAATTTCAATTTGCTTCAAGTCCCGGAGGCCTGATATAACTACCTAGGTAGCTAATGTACTGTGTATTCGTTGCGCAGTATTCTTTAATGACCATCGGGGTTTGTTTCAGATTCCCACGGTGCTGGTGGAGAGACTGCAATGCCAGTGAGCATGCAAAGATACTTAAAGCTCCGAATACTTCCCACTGGCATTTCCAGAATATGCCCTTCCGTAATACTGCACACCCATCGAGTTGAAGTACCAGAACACCGTAAAAGCAATTTGCCAATGAAAACCTCGAGTTGTGCTAATAATTCTGCATGTCCAACTGCATAACACGTGACATTGTGCTGGAATTTTTGACTTCAAGTCTCATTGGGATTTGGAGTGTATGAAGTGCTCTGAGGTCCATGACTGTCAATTTTAGAATTAACTCTGTATACATAGTAATGCAGGAGGGCGAAATGTTGGGCACACTGACAATTAAAGACAAGCTCCCCGCTCGGAGACAAAATATAGTGATAGAAAATTTATGTAGAGACTGGTACATACCTAGGTACTTAAGTATGTATTGGTAAAGCCTTTGGGCCTACAATACTTATAGCCTCCCACTACAGGTAGAGAGACTTCAATGTTGTTTCTCTATCAGATGGGGAGGTAAATGCACAGGTGCAGTGACGACCCTCGCACAGACCTACCTACCTACCTAGGTAGTCCCTAGCACCTTTGTTTGCTAGGGACTCTCATGTGTGCGCCACAATATGGAGGTCTTTCGAGCATCGAAGGAGCATGCCCGATCTTTACTCAAAGGAGGAAAGAGCGCCTGTGTGTGGGAGGACCGAACACAAACAACTATCTGGTGCCCAGACTCCCTTTAGAGTGCTCAGGACATAGGTGCCCTCAGATGGTAGCAAGCAGAACAATCGCTCATATTGACCACAGGCGTCGATAGCGGTACGTTTACGAAATGTACCATAACATGCGAGACGATCTGATACAATGCGCCCTGAGAAACGGGGCCTCAGCGCATTAAGCCCCTGCATTAATGAGCGGACTTCAAGACCCAGACTTTGACTCCGAGTGCCCAGTGCCAGTGCCACCAACCACCCAACCCCTGGCGGGCCTGGTCCAATCTGGAGAAGTTTGGAAGCGCGTTGCGGATTGGTGGTTTTGCTATTTCGTAACAATCGCTGGCGTACCACCTGCACTTTAGTAGCTTTCACCGAACTCCTTGTTGGTATCCTGTTGAGATTTCATTTTGTACTTTCAACTCTATGCCAGGTCGCTTACCCTTCCAAAGGGTTGTTGGACTTTGGGCCTATTCTCTGCGTTTGGACTTTGTCGGTCCCTGTACTCCGTACACCGTCCTGGCATTTTGAAGCTTGCCCCGTATTTTGGACCCGCCCCCCTTTATTGTATCCAAGTGGCTCAAGACGTCAGGGAGCTTCTTTGAAGTATCCTCCGTCCATGAAAGAACCATCACCCAAGTCACCTTCTTAACATTCCTAATAACACACGCCACCGTCTTTTGTCGATTCTCAACCAGCGCCTTGCCTGGTAGTCCTCCCTATGGCATCGACATACGACGTTGGCACGAGGGCGTGGCAGCCTGATGCTGCCGAGGGTTGGGTAGCCTCGGAGCTGGTCAGCAAAGACATTGACGGCTCAACAGCAAAACTTGTTTTTAAACTTGATAATGGCGAGGTATGTCATCTATTCCCCAGCATTGGAGCATTCAGAATTCTATTGAAGGCCTTGGCTTACCGGTATTTTCCCTTCCGTTAGACCAAGACCGTCGAGGTTCCAGTCGATGCCTTACAAAGCGGGAATCATGCATCATTACCGCCCCTGATGAACCCTACGATGCTGGAAGCCAGCGATGACCTTACCAATCTATCCCATCTTAACGAACCTGCTGGTACGACAGCCGACTGGGATTTTGAGACGTTCACCAATATCGAATATTAAGCTGATATTATCCGTAGTGTTACAAGCGATCAGATTACGATATTTACAGAAGGAAATCTACACTTACAGTGGAATTGTCCTCATTGCAACGAATCCGTTTGCTCGAGTCGACTCCCTTTATGTACCGGGTATGGTACAAGTCTACGCTGGGAAACAGCGGGCGACCCAAGCTCCGCATCTTTTTGCCATCGCCGAAGAGGCCTTCATGTACGAATATGCTATATCTTTGCTCTACGACATCACACGCACTAACGTCAAGCACTAATTCAGAGACATGATTCGAGATAACAAGAATCAGACGATTGTTGTGTCTGGCGAATCGGGTGCCGGGAAGACTGTGAGCGCCAAGTATATTATGCGGTACTTCGCGACCAGAGAATCACCCGAAAACCCAGGAGCCCGCTCCAAACGTGGTCCTGAAGCCATGAGCGAGACCGAAGAGCAGATCCTGGCTACTAACCCTATCATGGAAGCTTTCGGCAACGCTAAAACGACAAGAAATGATAATAGCTCGCGATTTGGCAAATATATTGAGATCATGTTCGACGAAAAAACGAATATTATCGGTGCCAAGATAAGAACGTACCTGCTAGAACGATCGCGTCTGGTCTTTCAACCCCTCAAAGAGCGAAACTACCACATCTTTTACCAGCTTGTCGCCGGTGCCTCTGACAGCCAACGCCAGGATCTTGATATCCTACCGATTGAGCAGTTCGAGTATCTGAACCAAGGCAATTGTCCTACTATTGACGGTGTGGATGACAAAGCTGAATTTGAGGCTACCAAGAAATCTTTGCAGACGATTGGCGTATCAGAGGCTCAGCAAAATGACATTTTCAAGCTTCTGGCTGGTTTGCTGCATCTTGGTAATGTGAAGATCACAGCGTCCAGAACCGACAGCGTCCTTGCGCCAACAGAGCCGTCGCTGGAGAAGTCCTGTGCCATTCTCGGAGTCGATGCGCCTGAATTCGCCAAATGGATCGTCAAGAAACAACTAATCACTAGAGGCGAGAAAATCACATCAAATTTGAGCCAAGCTCAGGCCATTGTTGTGCGTGATTCGGTTGCCAAATTCATCTACTCAAGCTTGTTCGACTGGCTAGTGGAAATTATCAACCGTAGTCTGGCTACAGAAGAAGTTCTCAACCGTGTAAAATCCTTTATTGGCGTCCTGGATATCTACGGATTCGAACATTTTGCTAAAAATTCGTTTGAGCAATTTTGTATTAATTACGCCAATGAGAAGCTGCAACAAGAATTCAATCAACACGTGTTCAAGCTGGAACAAGAAGAATATCTAAAAGAACAGATTGACTGGACATTCATTGACTTTTCGGACAACCAGCCATGTATCGACCTCATTGAAGGCAAACTCGGCATCTTGTCCCTCCTGGACGAAGAGTCCAGATTGCCCATGGGTTCGGATGAACAGTTTGTTACAAAGCTTCACCATAACTTTGCGACAGACAAGCAACACACGTTTTTCAAGAAGCCTAGATTTGGAAAATCCGCCTTCACTGTCTGTCATTACGCCATCGATGTAACCTATGAATCAGAGGGCTTCATTGAAAAGAATCGAGACACTGTGCCGGATGAACACATGACAGTACTCCGGGCTACTACGAACCCGTTTCTGAAACAAGTGCTTGATGCTGCCTCAGCTGTCAGGGAAAAAGATGTTGCTTCTGCTTCCTCAAATGCTGTGAAGCCCGCCGGTGGTAGGAAAATCGGGGTGGCCGTTAACAGGAAGCCTACACTGGGGGGCATTTTCCGATCTTCTCTCATTGAATTGATGAATACAATCAACAATACGGACGTTCATTATATTCGGTGTATCAAGCCTAATGAGGCCAAGGCAGCGTGGCAATTTGAAGGTCCCATGGTCTTAAGCCAGTTGCGTGCTTGTGGCGTTTTGGAGACCGTTCGCATTAGTTGCGCTGGATATCCTACCAGGTGGACATATGAAGAGTTTGCACTCAGATATTACATGCTTGTGCATTCTGATCAGTGGACCGCAGAGATTCGCGAAATGGCCAATGCCATCCTGACAAAGGCTTTGGGTACAAGCACTGGCAAAGGGCTGGACAAGTATCAGTTGGGTCTAACCAAGATCTTCTTCCGCGCTGGCATGCTTGCATTCCTGGAGAATCTACGAACGAGTCGACTGAACGGCTGTGCCATTCTCATTCAGAAGAATTTGAGAGCGAAGTACTATCGTCGTCGATATCTGGAGGCCCGAGAATCTGTTATTCGTTCTCAGTCTGCCGCCAGAGCCTATATTGCTAGAAGACAGGCACAGGAGCTCCGCACTGTAAGAGCAGCGACTACAATTCAACGTGTATGGCGAGGCCAGAAAGAACAAAAGAAGTTCTTGGCTATCCGAAAGGATATGATTCTCTTCGAGTCGGCAGCCAAGGGTTATCTTCGACGAAAGCAGATTATGGAGACCAGGGTGGGCAACGCCGCACTCGTCATTCAGCGGGCATGGCGATCCCGTCGACAACTACAGTCCTGGCGCCAGTATCGTAGAAAGGTGACGTTGATTCAAAGTCTGTGGCGTGGTAAGCTTGCGAGACGAGGCTACAAGAAGATTCGGGAGGAGGCTCGCGATCTGAAGCAAATTTCGTACAAGCTGGAAAACAAGGTTGTTGAACTTACTCAGTCTTTGGGGTCGATGAAAGAAAAGAACAAAAACCTTGCGGCACAAGTTGAGAACTACGAAAGTCAGATCAAGTCGTGGAAGAATCGACACAACGCACTTGAGGCAAGAACGAAGGAACTGCAGACCGAGGCTAACCAGGCGGGTATCGCAGTTGCGCGTCTACAGGCAATGGAGGAGGAGATGAAGAAACTACAGCAGGCATTCGATGAGTCAACAGCAAATATTAAACGAATGCAAGAAGAGGAGCGTGACTTAAGAGAATCACTACGCCTGTCAAACACAGAACTGGAGTCTGCAAAGCAGACGAGCAATGACAGAGAAAAGGACAATGTCAGTCTCAGACAAGAGCTTGACGCTCTGCGTGACGCTTTGGAAGTGGCCAAGAGAACCGCTCCTGTCAATGGAGATCTCGCCAATGGTACCCCGGCGACAGCATTGACAGGTACTGGACTCATTAACCTCGTTGCCTCCAAAAAGCCGAAGCGTAGAAGTGCCGGAGCTGAGCCCCGAGATTTGGATCGCTTCAGTGCCGCCTACAATCCTCGCCCAGTCTCCATGGCTGTCACAAACACTGCTCATCGGCAGAACTTGTCCGGTACAACGTATATTCCTGGGGTTGATAACATTGAAATGGAATTAGAGTCCCTTCTTGCCGACGAGGATGGCTTGAACGAAGAGGTGACCATGGGCTTGATTCGCAACCTGAAAATTCCCTCACCAAATTCAACCCCTCCGCCTTCCGATAAAGAAGTGTTGTTCCCCTCCTACCTCATTAACCTAGTCACCTCTGAGATGTGGAATAATGGGTTTGTCAAGGAATCAGAACGTTTCCTAGCAAATGTGATGCAATCCATTCAGCAGGAGGTAATGCAACACGACGGGGACGAGGCAATCAACCCTGGTGCATTCTGGCTTTCCAACGTCCACGAGATGTTGTCATTCGTTTTTCTTGCTGAAGACTGGTACGAGACACAGAAGACTGATAACTACGAATATGACCGCCTGCTTGAAATTGTCAAGCACGACCTCGAGAGCTTGGAGTTCAATATCTACCATACTTGGATGAAGGTCCTGAAGAAAAAGTTGCACAAGATGATCATCCCAGCTATCATTGAATCGCAATCTCTTCCTGGTTTCATCACCAATGAGAGCAATAGGTTTTTGGGCAAGCTTCTGCAGTCCAACTCTGCCCCAGCATACAGCATGGACAATCTATTGAGCTTGCTCAACAGTGTCTTCCGGGCCATGAAGGCTTTCTACCTGGAAGACTCTATTCTCACACAGACGATCACAGAGCTTCTTCGCCTTGTCGGCGTTACTGCATTCAATGACTTGCTCATGCGCCGCAACTTCCTCTCATGGAAGCGAGGCCTGCAAATCAACTATAACATCACGCGCATTGAGGAGTGGTGTAAGAGCCATGATATGCCAGAAGGCACGCTTCAGCTTGAGCATTTGATGGTAAGCTAGTTTGATTTCGGATAACCAAAGTTTGGCGATGAACATTTTACTGATATCCTTTACTATGGCTTAGCAAGCAACAAAACTCCTTCAACTCAAGAAAGCTACTCTAAACGACATTGAAATAATCCAGGACATATGTTGGATGTATGTGCTGCTGTTGCTCTAGACCAAGAAAACGGTTGGCATTGCTCATGGCTAACACCCTTCCTTCTAGGCTCTCACCAAACCAAATCCAAAAGTTGCTAAACCAGTACCTAGTCGCAGACTACGAACAGCCTATTAATGGAGAAATCATGAAGGCTGTTGCCTCTAGAGTGACTGAGAAGAGTGATGTACTGCTTCTTCAGGCAGTTGATATGGATGATAGCGGACCCTACGAGATTGCAGAACCTCGAGCGATTACTGCGCTCGAGACTTACACCCCATCTTGTAAGCTATACTAATAACTCGCGTTATGTTTTGCCTTGAGCTAATCTACCCACAAGGGCTGCAAACTCCTCGTTTAAAACGATTGGCTGAAATAGTCTCGGCTCAAGCTATCGCCCAACAAGAAAAGCTCGAGTATGGAAATGCCGGCGAATTCGAAGGCCAAGACGACGATATTCTTGAAGCAGATGAAACCGCTGTTGAGCCTGCACAATAAAAGAAGTAAACCATCTACGCAGGTTTTGTAATTTTTCGATTTTGCAAACAGTAGCTGGAAGATCATAGAATAGACGCTGTACATTTTATTGGGTTTGTTTTGACCACTGGGTAGAGGATGCGTTGCTAGGCTGCTATGCTTACGACCCCAGTCAAGCTGTGTATGGATCTTTGAGGAGCTTGGCGCACACTATGACATGTCATGTATTGCAGATGTATGAGGGAAGATGTTGCGACTTCAAGGCACTGTTGACTGAGGGATTATCGCCGACGTATTCGGAAACGATCAGTTGTCTGGCAGATGTTAGGCACTTATCTATTGATGTAAATGTATGTCTAGCTATGATGACGCATTTTTGGGTCTCATTTTATAATTAGACTCTAGGGATTCCCCTTCTTTTAATGAAAAACAACAATGTATGGCATTCGTTAACCGTGTCGTAGAATATGGATCTCGGACCTGGAGTGGCATATATGCATCAAAGCGAGGATGTGCCTCGGTGTAGGCATAGTATGAACTCCAAAATGTGGAGTTTTAAAGTACTGGGGCGGTAACGCTCTAGAATTCTCTTCGAAATTTGACCGCTGACATTCAAAGACATTTCGGGCTGAGGGAGGGTTCCCAAATAATATCGAGGAAAAAGAAAACATAAACAACTGACAAGTCTATTTATATACAGTGTCACAGGAGCAAGATGAGACAAAGCCCGAACATCATTGTAACTGGAACTCCCGGTGTGGGCAAGACCACCCACAGCGAGATTTTGGCAGAGCGAACTGGACTTCGACATGTCTCCGTGAACCAAATAGTCAAGGATAAGGAGTGTCACGAAGGTTGGAGTGACGAGTACCAGAGCTGGATTGTGGATGAAGACAAAGTAAGAATAGGCCGTCCACTACCTAACAACTCACTACGACTGACTGCGAATACTTTTCTCAGCTACTAGATGCCATTGAGGAAGATGTCAAAGCTGGTGGCTGTATAATCGACTGGCATGCCTGTGATCTTTTCCCACGAAGCTGGATAGACCTGGTTGTGGTTTTGAGGGTGGATTCTTCAACCTTGTTTGACAGGTTGACGGCTAGGTGAGCAACATGGCGACCCCAAATGTGCAATGCCGTTCTTTATTCTCTGTCATACATTCTCAAAGAGCCAGAGTTGGAAGTCTGATGCATCTTATGATAAATAGAGACTATGCCGAAGCCAAGCTTCAGGAGAACCTGGACTCGGAAATCATGGAGGTGTTACTTCAAGAGGCACGGGAGGGCTTTGATGAGGAGATTGTCATTGAGCTGATGAGCAACACCTCTGATGAGATGGAGTCTAATGTAGACCGGATTGAAGCGTGGGTTAAGCAATGGAAGCTGGATAATACTTCTGCAGGTAATTCTTGAATAGCAAGACTTGAAGGGCAAAGGGGTACAAGAGAAGATATTTGATAGACTGAGAAGGTGGAGCGACGTCTGCTTTCTTTAGAAAATTGCAACAATATATGAGCCATCACGACTGGGGGCTTCCTGTTTGGATGCTTCGGGTTATATGTTCCCGCCACTATTTTGGTATGCACATAACGGGGCTTTAGTTTTGCCTGCTCTCTCATCAGAATGGACCAACATTTGCAGCACAGCTCCTAGAAAACTGCTTCCAGTTATACCACCATTCCTGTTCTGGGCATCTGGAACCTGAGCCAACATATCTTCTCTCGAAATTGTGCACCTTTTCACGAGGTAAATGTCCAATTTTTACCCCTCCTTCGGTCATCGACATTTGCCTCCCATATGGAATGGACCTATTCGTTGGGGGAACACATCCTTTTTCACACTAGCATGCTCGCTATTTATGTGCCAACGATGTGTGCATAAGGGAGCAACGATTGGATTTTAGGATATTGACACTATTCGGCAGGAATTCAAAATTCTACATGTGTATAAGACGGCACTATGGCGCCATGTATTAATTTCGTCACCGGCAATTCGAACAAGCTTCGGGAGGTAAAGGCCATACTTGAGCCTGGTATCGAAGTCCGAAGCAATCCCATAGACGTCGAGGAGGTCCAGGGTTCCATTGAGGAGGTAACCGAGTCCAAGTGTCGTAGGGCTGCTGAACTTGTCAATGGGCCAGTACTTGTGGAAGACACAGCCCTGTGTTTCAATGCTCTTGCAGGGCTACCAGGACCCTATATGTAAGACGAGGACCCAAGTACCGAGCCGGCAAATTCATCATATGGCTACCTGCTTCTTCTAACGACCCCTTGTTGGTTTGAGTACAGTAAATGGTTCTTGGCGGGTATTGGCCACGAAGGTTTGAACAATCTCTTGGCTGCATACGCAGACAAGTCTGCTGAGGCTGTTTGTACGTTTGGCTATTCCGAGGGCCCAGGACATAAGCCAATTATTTTCCAAGGAAGGTGTCCGGTAAGTTGCTTGATTTGTGCTTTCGATTGGTGTACTGTTTGTACAAGCAACCAGCCAGCCAGCCAGCTAATCTTGTCCTGGGCTGAAGGGAAATATTGTCCCTGCAAGGGGGCCGACTCATTTTGGTAGGTGCCACCTAATTGTACATCAATGCAGTTGATACTCAATCAAGTCAATAAAATCAGGCATAAACGACCGCTAATGAAACATTGTCTTGCAGGTTGGGATCCTATCTTCGAACATGACGGGAAAACGTATGTTGGCACAAAAGAATATTCCTTACTACACTTTCGCACGCCCCATCCTTTCAAATATCTTTAAGTGGAGTCCCAAACCTGGTGTTTCAATCACTGTAGGTGTGCTAATTTGTCGGGCAATCCAGATTTGCTGAGATGGACGGGGCGGAGAAGAACAAGATATCTCACCGCAGTCGTGCACTTGAAAAGCTTCGGCAATGGTTTGAGGGCGAGCGCCAACACTAGTTACGGCTTTTTATTGTGTCGAGTCAAGGTCCTGGTATGGCGTCTTGTAGGCTTCATCGGAGAGCGAGCTATTAGTACAAGTAGGCGAGAGTAGCACAAGACGCCCCAAAATCAACACTCACAACAAAACCTCGAACTCCGGGTACTTGCTTAAGTATGTTTCTCCTCGCCTATAAGGGTCAACAAGAGAGTCTGCCCTCGTGGCATTGCTTTTCAAGCCTTTGCTGGTGTGTTTTTTAATCGACTCTGGATCCCGACTCGATGGGTCAAACACATAGAGGCAGGACCCTCCGCCCAAGCTTCTTTCAAAGCCCACAACAGTGAGGGAGTGTCCTAATTTGATTTATTAATGCTTTCTTGGTTTGAAAGTATTGTGAATTGTCTCACCTACCCTGATGCTGTAGATAAATTGGTGGGAGATTTGTATGACGCACTTTTCTCCCCGGCCTCGTGCCCCATTCCGCTGCAAAATATGCCTCTATTGCCTTTATCATGTTTTCCCATGCCTGTCCCGTTTCTACAGGGCGAAATGCCCTCACTACACATCTAGTACCAGAATGAGTAAAGAAAATTCGTGCGTGGCAAGTGGTCATCGTACGGAATTGTGAGACTTCTGAAAAGTGCATGTGCCTATCCAAGAACGACCGTCAGCAATGGAACCATTTCCGTAGAGCTTGATTGTGCATCCTTACCTCTGGTGTACCAATGTATTTTCGGGTTCCTCTAATTCCCCCAGTTTCAAGCCGACCGTTTGAGTTGTGACCGAGATCCCAAGCTGACTCAATCAAGTCCTGAATCTGAAAAACCGAGGGAAGACCGTCCTGGAAATGCTCGTGGCCTGATGCTCTGGTATTAATTATATATGATGTCAGAGATTGAATGTTTCGATATCCACAAAATCCTCCTAGTTTCCCCCAAAGTCAGTAATCATGTCAGCTTCAAAGTGATAGATACGCTTACCTTCTCGGCTCAACTTCGACACATGCTGCACGCAAGGGTGGCAAAAATACGCATAGCTTATTGAATGGCTCTTTCCCACAACCTTCGCCAGGACCGGGATAACACCTACACAACACTAAGCTGTCATGCTACATCTCATCTAGTATGCCATGATCGACCTCTTGTCAGCAGGCTTCTTACCATCAGTACAAATCTGGCCACCTTTAGCTAGCTTTCTCGCTAGCCAGCTTGGCATTTCATTTTCATAGGCGAATTTCCCGAGGTGGTTCGTCTGTGATGGGGAATTTAGTCGTTCCATCTGGGCGATCCTCGAGCGTTGAGCCATGGACTTACTCCGAGTGATGGTGCCGATTGCTTCTTTCTGTTGCTACCTTGCCTCGTTTCACTCATCCTCTCGATCTCTGGATTGATAGCAGCCGGTGCTCCCAAGGCGACGGGTTGTGCACTCTGCTTGCTACGACGAGGCTTAAGACTGGTGGCATGTTGACTTCCTCTCCTCCGGCGTCGAAATATGTCTGCCCATCCTGGCATGCTCACCGGCACTTTGGCTCCCCAGACGATCGCAAATCTTGACAAACAGTTGTATTGCCCGGGGTGCAGTTCGTCACTGGTCCAAGTCTTTGTGCAAGAATGAATGCTTGGTTGGAGGTTGGTGCAGAAGGCTGAATGTTGAGCAGTTGTGTGGCTCACGTCGCATACACCTGCGCCACCCTGCTAAACCACTAACGAACACCACTTGCGACCGGTTCCATTCTAACGGGTTTGGAAAGGAATATGCTGGAGCCTGAGATTGCGATGTAATTTTACTTGTGCGACTACGAAATGGTCTCCTGGTTACTTGATTTTGTGCATGGAACGTACTTGCCTCAGTGACATCCCGACCCGATTTCCACAATCCCTAAAGCATCACATTCGATCTGTTTCGGCTCAACATTTACACAATACAGAACGAGCATCATGATGAAGCACGGGAAATCTCATATAAAATTGTCTATCGTGCCATTCCTGTATCCCATCTGAATAACGTGTATAATAGCACCAATGCATAGTCAGTTGCGGAAGCCCAGATGACAGTATGGTGAGGCCTGGGCAACTACTTTCCTCCCTTTGGTCGCTGAGGTAGAGATTTCTGCGAGGTAGACTCCTTCGGCAACTCCTTGGCAAAAGGAATAAATTCTGGTGCTCCGGGGAGATACTTCCTAAGAGGTTCTGGTACTCTCAGCCCCTATTATGTGACCAGTTAGAAAATGTTGCTCCGTGAAAATGTGCGTGGACTCCCTTCCCAACGCAATGCGGAGGGCTGGCTTAGCACTACTTACCTCCTCAGTCTGGTAGTTCTCCAAAATGCAGCACATAGTTCTGGTTGTCGCACAGAGCGTAGAGTTAAGACAATGAACGTATTTCTTCTTGACATCAGTCTGCATCTTGGAGCCAAATCGTATCTCAAGGGCGCGAGACTGATAGTCGGTACAGTTGGAGCAAGAGACGAGTTCTTTGTATTCGCCTTGGAATGGGAACCAGGCCTCTAAATCCAGTTTCTTAGACGCCGCGTTATTTAATGCGCCAGACACAATTGACACAATCTGATACGGCAACTCGAGCGACTTGTAGAACTCCTCGGAAATACCTATCATGTCATGGAAGGCGTCCCAAGATTTTTCTGGGTCCGTTAAGAGGAATTGCTCGATCTTTGCTCTGTTAGCGGTGAAAGACCCTCGATTGATACATGGTGCTGGGAGGTATGCCTTTACCTTTTCAAACTGGTGGACGCGGTAAATACCCCAAGCATCTCTGCCATGGGAGCCTGCTTCGCGTCTGTAGCAAGTGCTGTAACCAGCATATCTGAGGGAGCCTATTGTTAGTAGTAGATCAAAGTAGAAATATGGCGTTATTGCCCCAACAGCACATGAACCTACTTGATGGGAAGATCCTTGGGGATCAGCCACTCATCAGCGTGGAATGCAGAAATAGGCTGTTCCGACGTAGCAATCAGGTACTTGTCATTCTTTGCTTCGCCATCTGTCACTTTGTACAACTCCTCGTCGAACTGCTCAAGTTGAGCGGTCTTGCCCATGTAATCTTTGAGCATGAATTGTGGCGTCTGCAATGGAGTATACCCTCGCTGGCTGAGGAATTCAAGGCCATAGTTGATTAGAGCCTGGTTCAAAAATACTCCCCACTGTCGTAAGAAGTAGCCACGGTGGCCAACTACCTTCACACCCCGGTCGGGGTCGTAGCCATCGAGTCTAAGAAGGACTTCATGATGAGAAAGAACATTGCTGCGCTTCTCCACCGTGGCACCTTCTGGTGCCCATGTACGCTCTACCACGTTGTTGTCCTGTGGAATGGTGTGTTAAAATCACAACATTTTGGAGCCAGCATCCGGCATACTCTCAGGGATGGTGACAAACCTCGTTGTTGCTCACTGGCACGGAGTCATGTACGTAGTTGCCTACTGTCTTGATCTTCGCTTTGAGCAATGCATCTTTTTCGGCGGCGGACTCTACCAGCGCCTTCTTCTCCTTCTCAAGTTCAACTTTCTGCTTGAGAAGCTCATCCGCATCCTCCTTCGCCTAAATTGTAAACCGTTAGTGATGGTTCGGTGGATCACGGGAAGAACGAGAAGAGAAAGACAAAGAGGGGTGTTTCCGTCGACATTTTAATCCTTGATCTTGACTAACCTTCTTCTTAGCTCCAATTTGTTTCTGAACATCATTGATCTTGCTGTTCACTTGTGTAGCGCTGTATTGGGCTAGTCGCAACGACGGTTTTTGTCAGCTAAGGGTCAATTCTAGCTTCAAGTTGCGAGGCGATTGATAGACTTACTTCTGCGGTGATCTTCAAAAAGGGCAATAATCTCGTCCACAACTTCGACATTGGCGGATCTGCGACGTTGAGACTCGCGAATCTTCTCTGGATCACCACCGCGCTCCGTGATAAAGTCTATAACATCAAGCATCTTGTAAATATTCGTTCGCTTCGAGGACGTTCGCAAAGCTGGTATCGGGGTATGAGTGGAATATCACAGTCTGTCTTTCTGCTCGTTGTCGGTATTTTCAGCGGAAGGTGCGACTGTTTGGGGAGTTGAAAGCAATTCCCTTTCTTTTGAGTCACAGCTTGCACGAGACAGTTGGGTGAACAACCTGACGCTCTCCCCGAATAGTCACCATTTTTTTGGTGGGGGAGGGGAGGGGCAGACAGTGTGTTGGTCGGTGGGGTCGAACAGGTAACAGGGGACGGACAAAAAAACCTGAGCATGTCCAGCACTTGGTTTTGCGTCGGTGGCAGCCGAAATGTGGCTGTGGCGGGGCGAGGCTGATTAGAGCCTAACATTTATCAAGGCAGGCCAGGCACCCGGACGCCCAACTTTTACCACCTGGGCGGTAAATCGTCGTCTTCCGATTTGCGTAGCTTTTACCAATTTGGTTACAGCAATCGTAAAGGATCTTGTTTATTACTCTGGGCGACTCTGGTCTTTATCTAGGTAGTAGCCACCCCTCACATACCTTGGCCTTCTAGCCAACGATGTCCCTCCATGAGCTCTTGGTTGTGTGACAGGGTACACATGTCGTTGGGCTTGGGTTTATGACATGTTAGAAACCACTCAATTGCAAAATGTGTTCCTGAGTTCATAGCACTGATATTGGAATCGTTTATAGTGTAATAGACCTATATATATGTGTGTGTATATTCCCAAGAGCCTCAACCCCAAGCTGCCCGCAGCTATACTTCTCCTATGATATTACATTAGAGAACAGTTGCCCTTTTCTGGGGCCTCGCCCGGGTTCTGTGACTTCTCGATCTGGGCAATCAACAGTTCGAACGCGCGACCAACATTTTCATTATATCGCGCGCTTGCCTCAGTCCAGCCACATTGGAACTTGTCCGACAGCTTCTTTCCTTCCTCTGGGCTCACTTGGCGTTGTTCAGGTCGTAGGTCGCTCTTGTTGCCGACTATGACAATAGGGACAGATTCGCTCCCCTGTTGGCCGTGGCCCAAAAGTCACCCTGTTAGTGGCGAGAATAATAGTCTGTGGCAAGAAAGACTGCCCTTGGCACCCGGGGGGAAACGTACCAAATGATTGAGGATCTTTTCCCTGATAACCTGGATCATTTCAAATGAGGGAAGAGACGAGACCGAATACACAAGCATGTAACCATGGATTCCAATGAAATGTTTGGAATTCAGGATGCTATATTCATCCTGACCAGCAGTGTCGACAATTTCTGTGGCATAGTCCTGGCCTTTATACCGAATTGTCTTGCTAAAGGTATTCTCGATCGTTGGGTAGTAGCTATCTACAAAGTGTCCGTCGACAAATTGTACCGCAAGGGAAGATTTTCCTGATTCTGGTCAGTATCTATGGTCTTTTTGATTCCATGGCAGTATTCCTGTCCGCCCTTACCTACGGATCGGCTACCGACGATGGCTACCTTTCTTTGCTTCGGCGCAGGCATTCTGGTAGGCGCGGCAGATGTTAAGGGACAAAATGGTGACTTCTACGGCGCAACAGTGCTGTGGTAGAGGCTCGTGGGATGTCCGTTCTTCCGACAGCGTTTGGCGATTGCGCGGTTCGACGAACACGGCGCGAACTTAGTCGATGATGCCCACCCAGTCAGTGTCTGCCCGCTTGAGCATTCGCCGTCAGCCCACCATCAAGTTCCCACCATCACTGCCAACCAGAACTAAGTACCTAGTACCTAGGTGCCAGGACCTACGATCAGACTAGAGCGTGGTAGTGGGGTATGCTCCGGGACCGGCCAGACTGTCCCAGCACACATACATACATGCCTCGCCACAGTTGTTGCCCTTTCGTCACAATGCCTCTCTCCGTCAACCAATTTGACCTCACGCGCGGGCTGCTGTAAGGAGTAACGCAAGTTCACCAATGTTGAAAAATGGCCAGGCATTCAGCTACGGCCACTCTTCTTACAAACGGCGGGCTAGCAATAAGCTTACGCCTTTCAAGACAGGGCACATGGGACTCCGAAGAGGGAAGGCGGTAATGGGTGGTTGCGCCTCGGCATCCCGTCCATGAAGATCACGGCACAGTATATCACGATGATCGACAATTCATGAATAAGTCTCATGACCCAATGCAGAGCTAGCTTCGACTGTCATACACTCCCAACCTGTTACCAATATCTATCCATCAATTCGCCATGTTATCCATAAAACCAACAAAACAACAGGCGAGCGCCGAAACACCGCATGAGCAAGCGCAGTCAACCCCGACCCGCCCGGTAGACCTCCCTCGATTTTGCACAGGTGTGCATGGTTTGTGTTGTTGACGTAAGAAAGCACCTCAAACTACCCGCCGAAGCTCCTGTACGAGAATGTCCATTGCGTGAGCTTTGTTATCCACGGCTTTATACATGCTTGCGAACTGTTGGATCGAAGTTCGGAGGCTTTGCAGTGCCCCATTGCCAACACGGTGCTCAAGGCGACCCCTCGCCTGTCTTGTTAGACACATGTACCCGAGTAGCACAGACAAGTATCCAACGGCAACGCTCAATTTGGATTTGTCTACAGAGTCCGCCTACTTGTGGGTTAGCACAGCAGTAAAGAGACGGAAAAGAAGATCAAACGGGCCGCTTACCTCGCCAACAGACTCCTTGTTATCCTGCCACAACTTTACTAGATTGTCCATGGTGTCCTCTGTTACGGCCCTTCTCGCGGGAGTGCAGTGCTCCATGATGTTTATCATGACGCCCAGCATGAGCAAGAGTTCATCATATGTCTCGCCGTCCAACTTGCCCGCAAAAATTGTACTGCGTACGTCGGCAAATAGGTAGCCAACACGACGCGCTAGCTTTGTAGAAAGTTGCGGGTCATCAAATGCTGCCGCTTCATCCTCAGCATTGGTGGTATTAATGGCCAGCTTCAGAATCGCTGAGTCTAGCTCTGGCCGTCCACTCGGCCACTGCTGGAGTGCTCGCGAAAGCAGCTTGGCGATCCTTGCTGGATGGCCGCCGTCTGAATTCAGCCTTGGGGCTACTCCAGCGCTGGACTGTGTTTCGAGGGTGAATACAGTTAGAGCATAGTCCACCTCGTCGCAAGATCCTTCCTCGCTTGCCCAGGTAGCAACGGAAACAATATCTGAGTGTGCGTCCGAGAGAATTTGATCCAGGAACACCGCGTCTGCGCAGCGGCTAAGCAGGGCCATCAGCTGAAGAGCGGCTGTTCGTGGGGACGGAGAGACAGGTTGGTAGCCATGCCATATTGGTAGGCCTTGCAAAATGGACTTCACCCCATCGACCGACAATTTCGACATTCTAGACATGTTCATCTTCTTCTGGGAGGCAATAATTGTAATGTCCTCGTCTACACGAAGAAGTAGTCCCAACAGCCTACCGACACCATCTCCTGCTAGTTGTCGTAGCAGATTTGGAGCCGGCCCAGCGGTTAAAAAGGAAAGCAGGTAGGATACTAGAGCGAAGCCACAGATGATGTCCTGTTCTTTTCCAATATCTCGAGCAACCGTATCTCGAGAAGTGTGGTCTCGAAATTGTCTCATAAACTCCTTCCGTTGAAGCTTCTGTACCAGTTCGCAGAGCGCATTTCGTCTCATGGTAGCGCTGCTCGTACCCGGAAGACCAATTCTTGCTATTAAATCGTCCATCTCGTCCGCAAACCTATTGTTTGCGCCTGCGCGCCTTAACTCATGGACACTCTTGATCGCAGGTTGAGTATTGTCCTCATCATCAGAGTCGTCGGGGGCGAAGGCATCGGCCGGAGGACTGGAAATCGCGCGCGTCTCGGCTAGTAAAGGATCGAGCTCATTCTCCTGAGCTCTACTAGGGCTGTCGAAAAGCTCCGGGGTTTGCGATTCGCTGACGATCCGTCGAGACTGACTGTAGGTGAACCGAACTTTCCGGTTAGCTGGCGTTGTCGTTCCCCGACGATCTGGAGTGCGAATGCTCCGGCCTGCGTCTTGGGATTGGAAATCCCGACGCATATCCGATGTCTGTTCAACTCCTAGTGACGGTTCTCGTTCTCCGTCGTCATCACCCGGAGAGAGCGACTTCTTCTGGGCGGCGAGAGCATCTATCAGGCGTGGTCGTCGTGAAGAACTTGCATTTGTACGTTTCACTGGCGTTGCGCTAGCAGAAACCAGATCTCTATCAGAGCTACGGTTTTTCCAAGCTTGTTTTGCGTCATGCTGAGTGAAGTTGGAGGGGCCTGGCCGTGCTAGGATATCTGCTGCATTTCTACTACCATCTTTCTCATCGTTGGCTTTATTTTTGGGGGTCTTTTGGCCGCGATCTGCAGGAAAGGCGGCAGCATGATCACGCTTCCTTGCCAGTCCATTTTTCGAAGGAGACGGCCGTGGTGTCTTGCTTGGCGCAGTACTGGAATTTGGTTTTGATGAGGACGATATGGGAATCTTTTTTGATACTTTAAGCGAGGAGTCTTGCAGTTTCGAGGGTTGATATGTACTCTCGGGCGACGACGGGTAATCGTAGATTTGCGACAACTTCGATCGCGACGAATCGGGGTCCGGATCGCGGGTTGTTGCCGTGGTCGATGGTCGTTTACGGGCTTGGCCTGCATATGTCACCACCCTTTGCTGGCCAATGCCCCTAGGGGCATTGGGCACGTGTCGTGAGGCCATAATAACTGCGCGATCGATGGAAGGTGTTGAAACACAGTCGTGTGAAGGGGACAGCCGAACGGCCAGGTAGGAAGCTCCTAGCTTCCGGCCATGGAAAGAACGCAGTTCAGATGTAACGCAATGTTGTCGCCAGCAGCGCAGCTATCAGCCGATATAATGATGAAGGCATAAGCCGTCGGAACACGGCGGAGTTCTCGATGTGTTGTGGTGGTGGTGCGCAATATGATGGTGGAAAGCGAATCAACCACGGCTCGGATGCCGTCTTCAGGCTGAGGTCATTGTGGGTCGCAGCCAATTAGAGCTAGCCTTTCGATGGGTGCACTTGCCAAGACAACCTTTCAACGACTTTCTCTCCGAACTTGCAACACATTCTTTCTTACGGAGTACCTTGTCATATATGTACTTCGGTGTGCTCAGTCTTCATTAAGATCGGATTCATTACGATCGAAGATGAAGACTGAACCGGGCCAACGCGGGCCCCGGCTTGGAGGCTGAATCAATCCATCACTCCTTAGGAACCTAACTTTTGCTATATGGCCTCTGTTTTCCGGGTGAATGCAATCTCAAAGCTTTCTGGTAGGGAACAGTTAAGTCGCTGCCACACTGGCAATTGGAGTCTGAAACCCCTTAGTGGCTGCAGACTGTGCTACCAGCTTGTCTATGAGGATGCTTATGTCCGTTTGGATGGCGAAGATATGGCGATATGAACTTTATCTAGGAGATCTATCTACGCATCTTCGGTTACTGCCCGATTTAGAGCATACATGTGTATTTTCCTATAATATCCAGTGCTGGCTTTCGGCGAATGGTGAGACGTGAGACGTGATTGGGAATCTTTTACGGAGTTAAGCACGCCGATGAGTGGCGTAGTGTGTTATGGCGATGATACTGGCCTGGTACAGCCCAATACTGTTTTAGATTTCACGGTTGCGTGTAATTCCATTTGAAATAATTGAATATTAATTGATATATTTCACTTAGAATATAAAAAAATTCGCATCATGCATCATGCTAAATAAATAAAATTCTTCAGTTTCAACAATAAAATTATACTGTATTATTTAATATATATATATATTAGTGGATTTTACAAAAATTAGCCTCTGAAAATAGTGGGATTCAGTGGTTTTTTTTTTTTTTTTTTTTTTTTTTTTTTTTTTTTTTTTTTTTATTTTCTAGGCGGCAGGAGGAAAATGAGCAGGAGGAAAAAATCACATCACATAAACAAATTTAATTCTGCGGTCTTTTTTTTTTTCTTTAAAGTCTCCTAGATGGTCGCGCATTACGGCACGGTCTTATTTATTTGGCATTTAGAAAATTGGCTTCACGCGCTCGCAAGAATAGCGCCGGGTGCTTCAGGCGCTTCATAACGAGTTTCGCAGTAAGCAGTCCTGACCAGATGTGATGCCAACTGACTTAAGTTCACATTCGTCGAATGGTTAACTCGCAATGTGATTTTTAAACTCTTGTTTGGTCAAACTTGTGTTTATTGTCGAAGCATAGCTCGTTTTGCCGCCATTTCGCAGGCAACAACTGAGGCCCAACTAATACGGACCCGGTCGGCTGAAGAGTGCACAACACGAGGGAGGATAGGTTCCAGCTTGTCAGCCTACCAAAGCAAAGTGGGGAGAAGCATCTTTCTCATCGTCGATGGGGCTTACTAGTAGTTAGTGTGTGTGTCTGTCTCGTTTTGCCGGAGCCCAGTCTGGGGAAGTGGGCCCACGATTCTGGGGGTGGAGCAGACAACCTAGACAAGGGCTGGTCAAAACACCACCTGCCCTTCCTACGACAGCGCCTTGTGCGCATGTAAAGCATAGCGAAGGTATCGCTGGTGGGTGGTAGACAAGGCTAATTAAGAGCGTTCAGATACCTACCTAATCCCCCCCGCCAAGCCAACTCATTCTTGGCAGATGAGAAAGCAAATGGAGAAGGAGCAAGAGGGGGGAGGGTGATGGATAAAGGAAGGGCCTGACGTATTTAATTGCAAGCGGCAAAGGAGCGACGAGGAGCCACGCCATTCCTCAAGTATAATGCTAGCCAACCAATCAACGGCGCCATAAACGAACGCAGAACGGCCAGAAGCCTGGTACCTTGAACAGCGATTGTTCCTTGCCCAAAATATACGGAGCACCCAGGTCCAGTTTCAATCCATCCCCTATGTCAAGCTTGTGTGTGTGGGCATGATGCTGCTGGGCGGAATAGCGGCGATTGGATTGGTCGACATGCCTCATCTCACCTTGTTAACACGCCAGAATGTGAGGGTCCTGCATTGGTGGCATGACTAGTGGAGGTGATGTAGCACTGGCACCGCGTACCGTCCTCTCAGTCCTCATACTCCTCACACGAGCATGGCGTGTTGTACCAAAGTGCGGAGAACCATGTACCGGCGTAATACAAAGACTGACCGGTGAGTACATCTATCAGGAGCCTCGTGCGTGTACACACATACCCAGACGCCACTTCTCAACTGGCCTTTCCCTGCGCTTGCAACTCGATGCGGGTGGCTCTGGCTTTCGCCCCCTCCCCTTGGTGAACATTGGGTATTTAGGTCTCGTCCCCCCTCACTGACTCCGGGTGGTGTTGATCACCAGTCATCATCCTGCATCCCTCCAAAGCTCGTGCAACTACAATTTCATCTGGCTGTTATTACTGGTACGGACCTCCTTCTCGAACCGTCACCAAGATATCGGTCCGGGCAGTAATGCTAACAGTATTCTAACAGTATTCTAGGCAGGCAGATCAGAACACACACGTTTGACTTTACCATACCTCTGTTGAATCAACATCATGCCTCACCGAGTCCCAAGATTGCCTGGAGCCAAACGCTCCGAGGTCCTTTGCATGGGCGCCGCCGGTGTTGGCGTGCTCACTCCTCTCTATCTCGTCATGCCAGGCGCTGAGGAAAGACTGGCTCGCCAAACTGCTAAATGGGCACCAAGATGGGAACGCAACATCACCTATTTTACTCCTCGAGTCGAACGTGCTGTCCAGCGTATTGAGCCTCCTGTCTCAAGAGCTATTCAGCGAGTTGACAACCGCCTGCCTCTTGAGAAGATGGCCAAGAAGGTCGACTCGAGCATTCGAAGTGGTATTTCCAGATTTGGCGGACCAAAGGAATAGTGTATTCTGTTGAATGTTATTATGTCTTTATTTCTCCCTTTTTTTTTTTTTTTTGGTTTTTTTTCTATAGCTGGTCGTTGATTCTGAAGGGAGGTGATGGTTTCCCGTCGTGATTTGACTACTAGGTAGTTGTTTCATCGTGCTGAAAGCTAGTACTAGAGTTAGACGTAGAATCTCCCCGAAATAGATATCCACATGTGTATCATGACCAAAAATTAGCAGTGCGCCGAGAGGAGTGTGGAGGATGTTTGCTGACCTGGCTATCCTCTCTGCCCGTCGACGGCCACCGTTCTGAGACATGACCGTTGGAGAAAACTTCATAGCGTAACGAGAACCCTTGAAGTGGTTTCCTGGACTGATATGAAAGCAAAACATATGCATATAAGTATACGTGTGTGAGAGAGAGTGTGACTGACCCATGTTGCCTACTACCCCGTATTGCCACAATTTAATGTTGGAATTATGCTCGACTCCGTACTCATATAGCGGGGGTATAGATTTGCTGAATGACAAAGTTTAAGATGCTGCCAGCTAGCATCTTAGCCTCCATGATTTTCTTGCATGTAAATGCCCCCCGGCTTCCAGCAAGGACGACGCAGTTACCAGACTGGTCCGCGGAGTAATTATGTAAGTGTCGGCATCAGGCGGTGTTTCCGTGGCCCTGAATGCGTTCCCACTATGCCGGTACGGATGTTCCCCACTAACAATGCAGATTTGCCCCAAAAAACTAACGCTGGTACCGAGGCATCAAGAAGGCGACTACCGGTGGTCGGATGTACTCCTCACCTCGAGTCCATAACTAGGGATAACGGTATCAAGGTTCTGCAGACTGTCTGCGTTAAATTGAGAGTCTTCCCCGGGAAAGCTTCTCTTCTCTCGACGCCTGTCTCCCCTTTCTCACCCACACTCGGAGCTTAAAATCGTCCCCAGACATCAAACAAAAATGCCTTTCAAGTCTTCATTCCCAGATTTGGACATACCCCAAACCGATTTATTGTCTTATTTATTTGGAAAGCGTAATTTATCAGATGAGCCGCTCTGGTTCAACAGCAGGCAGCCTGAAATGAATTTGTCCCCAAAGGGTGCTTTACAATGGGTTAAGAGACTCGGTGTAGGGCTTTCCCAGCTAGGCATAAACAAAGGAGACGTGATTCTAATCTTTACTCCAAACCATATTTTCGTCCCCGTCGCATATCTCGGCATTGTTGGGTCTGGATACGTTTTCAGTGGTGCCAACCCGTCATATACTGGCCAAGGTCCGTTTCACACCAACCACTAAATACGTCATGACATATTGCTCAGGGGGGGGGGAAGAAGTCAATTGCTTTTACTTCTACTTTTTTTTTTCATATATGCTAACCGAAGTGGTGCTATGTAGAGCTAGCTCACCAGCTTTCCAACTCGACGGCGAAAGTAGTATTGGCACATCCAGCAGTCCTCGACCGGGCCATAGCGGCATGTGATATGGTCGGCATACAGAAAGATAGGATTTTCCAGTTCTCTGACGAAGTGGAGCCAACTCGTAATGGTATCGAGGACTGGACTTGTATGTTGGGAACTCCACAGCAAGCAGAGAATTGGAGTTGGCCGTTGTTGACCTCAAAAGAGTCTACCCAGACCATTGCCACTATCAATTACAGTTCAGGAACAACAGGGCTACCAAAGGGGGTGTGTGTATCACATTCAAACCTCATAGCGAATCTCGAGCAGAGTTATTTCATGAGATATGTCGACACGCCGTATTTAAAGTCAGGGACCCCCCCGCAGGAGCGGTGGATTGGATTTCTTCCACTTTACCACGCCTACGGCCAGTTATATACCATTCTTATGGCCCTCAAGTTGGAGAACCCCGTCTACGTTATGACCGAGTTCAATTTTGAACGGTTTCTCGATGCCATCAGCCGACATAAGATTACTACTTTACAGGTGGCTCCGCCTGTGTTGGTCATGCTGTCAAAGCGCCCCGAAACTTCCAAGTACGATCTGTCGAGTGTCGAAGAAATTCGATGTGGCGCTGCGCCACTATCCCGAGAACTCCAGAACGATTGCCGAAAGAAGTTGGGAATTCCCATCCGACAAGGTTGGGGCATGACTGAGCTAACCTGCGCAAGTATCACACAACCTTCAAGTTCGGATGATGTCATGGGCACGGTAGGCAACCTCATGCCTAACTCTCATTGCAAACTTCTTGATGACGAAGGTCAAGAGGTTGGAATTGATACCCCGGGGGAATTGTGCATCAAAGGACCGAATGTATGTCTGGGGTACTGGCAGAATGAAAAGGCAACACGAGAGACCATACAGAATGGCTGGCTCAGGACCGGAGATGTTGCGATCCGTAACAAGGATGGTTTGTTCTGGATCGTGGATCGCAAAAAGGTCGGTGCTTGAATCGAACTGGATTTTTTCAACTCTTGTTGGAGCCACCAACATGGCCGAAACTAACAGTGATAAACTAGGAGTTGATAAAGGTCAACGGCCTTCAAGTAGCCCCTGCGGAACTTGAAGCTGTCCTATTGGAGAACGAGCATGTTGCGGATGCTGCAGTAGTAGGAATCACAATGTAGGAGTGATGCCATCCCCCATATCTAAGCAGGCTAAACGCCGAATTCTAACATCTGACTGCAGACATGGTAATGAGTTGCCTCGTGCATATGTAGTCCTTCAACTTCAATCCAGAGAAAAGCTTCAGCCGGTCGACATAGAGAAATGGATTACTTCTCGAGTGGCCAAGCATAAGCGACTGGGGGGTGGCGTGGTTTTTATTGAAGAAGTTCCGAAATTAGCGAGCGGCAAGATACAAAGAAAGGTGATGAGGGAGTGGGCTAAAAGAGACGCTGCTGATATTGAGAAGAGGGGTGAAGGGAAACTGACGGCGAAGCTGTAACCATTGCCATCCTCCAACTCGCGACATTCAACCTCGAGTTGCCTTTGTTTGATAGTCCATTTCCCCTTCACATAGCTACCCACTAGGTAGGTAGGTGGGTAATATTCGTACACATTCCAGCATCGCACCCTTACTGCGTAGCACCGCATATTGGTGAGAAAATCAACGACAAGAAATGCGGCGGTTACACATAACGCTCCACACCATGACTTCATGGCTACATACCTACTTTTTTAGAGGTAGGTAGTCAGTCCCATGTCAAGATCCCCAGACGAACCATAGAGTAGGTCCATTGCATCTTGACATTCTAAGTGCATTAGAATATGGGCCTTCATTTCTCTTGTCCAACTGTCTAGCACAAGTTGATGGAAGTGCGCCCGCTTGTTGTCAACAACTCCAGGGAGTTTATGGGCTTCCTTGCGTGGTCTCGTGCTGTATGAGAGAAATTCACGTTCGGGTAATTCACTGGGCTACGGACGGCCACAGCATTGCTATAAAATCCCTGCCACCGGATATTTCGCCTTAGGCAACAGCAGGTCTCTCAAACCTCGTGTCCAAATTCCATGCAACAGTACAGGCTTTCTCGTCCTGAAACGAATGTACCGTGTTGGTCGACGAGGCCAACGCCGCCCAGGATATTATGAATCTGTTACACAGGCCACATTTGACTTCTGTCCCTATGATATACTAGCCACTCCAAAGAGCAGCTGGGGTGTATTCCCGGGTTGGTTCAACCATGCAATATGCGGTGGATGCCATCCCAAATCTCATACCTCGCGCCGAGGTTGTATAAACCATGCTCTTTGCTAAATATCGCTCATAAATCCATTCGTAATGTTTATTCGTTTCATTGCATGGTTGATCTATAGGTCCGTTCAACTTGGTGTCATTGTGATTGCGATAAATTCGTATTGGATGCGGAGCTGTGACTCCCGTAATCTAATCTACATTATATCTCAATCAATTTATGGTGGTCCTTGGTGGTCAGTTTCGTCCCGAGTGGCAGCGTTGGATGCTCAACGTGTTGCTCGGTGTCAAGTCAGTAGACCATTCTTGCGGAACCCTTCATTTCTCAGTGTGCAGTGAGGTCGCCTAGCGGAAGCATCGTGATGGTAGTACGTCAGCGCCTATAGCGACTATCGATGACAGCTACCCAGTAGTCTTCGTCGGCTCCAACCTATTGCAGTATTTTGATGCCAGTGGTCAACTTGGTGCGCAGAAGACGCCATGGATTTCACGCCCATATACGGTCGCCCTAGGGCTATTGCAACAAGCTATTTTCAATCAGCCCGGTAGTTCGCGGTCGTGGTCGCCTGCCACGCCGAGTGTGGCGAGGTCCGTTGGGTGCTGTCTATTCGCGTCGGCTCGCGGTCGTGCTCACTTTTGATAGCGTTTTGGGCTCATTCCCTAGAGCAACTGCAGGATTCAACTTAGTTCGGCTACAGGTTGTGGCCCGCTTGCGGTGCTTCCTTGCTTGGGGCATGGTAAACTTACGTCTGTCAAACAGATAGTAGCTAGTGACCAGGAGAATGGGCAAGGCAATCATAGTCGAGACCCATTTTCTTGCTGCTGATTGATATCGCTTCTGGTATTCTTTTTGGTTGGCCTTCTCGGTTTCTGCCTTCGTCTTTATTTCAGCAGCCCGTTTCAACCGCACGACTTGCATCGCAGCATCCCTCGTCTCCGCAGTTTTATGGAATGCATCTTTGGTCGGCTGCTGCTGTGCTGTTTGTCTCCCCACGGCGGGCTTCCCTGCTCTTCTCGTCGTGGCGCTTGTGAAATTCCTGGTAAGGTGCGTGTATATTTGCTGTCTGCGCGTGGTTCCGATATTGAATACGCCGCCATGCGACTGAGTGGGTTGGTAAGCTCGCATGTATCGGCCACCTCTACACAAAGAATACACTATGGTGGGGTGTTGTGAAAGGCGAGACGCATTTGTCGCAATGTATCCCATCGCGTGGAATGTCCTGCGGGTTCGACACGGGATCTGCATGGCAGTTGGAGGAAGTTAACAACGAAGGGGGGGCATGGAACGGGAAAAAAGTTGTTGGGTCGTGTGGGGTGAGTACAGGGTGGCTAGGAGCAACTCACGATATTGAATAGCTATGGGCAGTCGTATAGCCATACAGCTATTCATTGGAGGAACTCACCCGAGGCCAATGAAGTCGGCTACAACGTGCGCTATGTCTGATGATTATATATAGTCGTCGGCTAAAGGCGAGAGAGGCGAGAGAGGCGAGAGAGGGAAGGGGGTCGGGGGTTATCAACCTTGAGCAATGATGGATGGGCAGAGCTTACGGTCCAGAGCGTTCGCATCCCACCAACAAACGTCCTACCCAGTGAAATACGACAGAGCAGCTCTCAATTACTGATGGAACATAACCATTGTTAGAAACAAGATCCTGCCGCAGTCACGTCAAATTAAACCAACGGTGCATCTTGCGCCAGTACTTCTAGTGTGATATTACATACAATTCACCCAAACGCCAGAACCTGCTACCTCTCAAGTGGCCATTCTAATACAGTCCTCACCAGGATGGTAACCCAAGCACCCCAGCCAGCCCAATCAATCGTCATCTGTATACCTTGGCCCACTGGCCGCTGGAGTTTCAGGAGCACCACCATATGCGGCCGGAGTCGGGGCACCGTAGTAACCACTTGCACCGGGCGTCGGGGCAGCGGCCGCAGGAGTCGGAGCCGATTCTGGGCCCCAGCCGCCCTGCCATCCGCCACCAGGAGTTGGCGCACTAGCCGCAGGAGTTGGAGCGGAATATGCACCAGGAGTTGGAGCATTCATTGCGCCTGGAGTAGGGGCACCAATAGCTGCACCAGGGGTTGGGGCGTCATACGCCCCGGTAGTTGCCCCGGGAGTATAACCCCAAGAATCGTTACCGCTGGCCCCCGGAGTAGGTGCCGATGCTCCCCATGCCGGTGTCTTGGATCCTGATGCCCAACCATCGGCGCCACCCCCAGCATAAGCCGGTGTTCGCGAACCGGCCCCAAAAGCGTCGCCGACAGCAGGAGTACGTGCCCCGGACTGCCATGCGGGCGTTCGGGATCCCGAGCCATATGCCGTACGGCTACCATCGTAAGGGTTCACAGTTCGTGAGCCATCAGCCCACGCTGGAGTCCGTGAGCCAGAATAATCCTGAGCCTTCCAAGCCGGAGTCCGTCCACCAGCAGCGGGTGCTGATCACCATACCGAGTTAGCAATAGCCACCCAAGCGAAGTAAAGACCATATGAAGACTTACTGCGTGAGCCCCAAGCAGGAACTCGATCAGAACTGCCTGTGCCAATTGGCGTCCGCGATCCTCCCTGCCAGCCAGGTATTTTGTCGCCACCACCGCGTGCAAAACCACCACCAGGGGCACCACGCCCTCTGCCATTAATATCAATAGTAGCGCCCGTGGTCTTGTCCTTGAAGCTCAGCGAATCACGCGGAACTGTGATTGTCTTGCCCTTCGTATGCAGTTCCACTCGAGCATGAGTATCGGTGGTGTCCTTGACAATACCAAGAAGGCCCTTATAGGGTCCCTTTTTAATAATGGCAGTCTGGTTGATGGCACGATCCCGGCCAAACATCTTAACAGGTTGAGAGGGCTTGCTATTTCCACCATTCTTGTGTATCTTCAAGGCCGGATTCATGGCGCTTAGATCCGGACCAGATGATGCTGCATTGACGCGCCCACCCTTCGCAGCAACGGTATTAACCATACTCGATTTGGTGACAAAAACACCCGCATTCTCGTTGCTGTCGTTTGTGTGTAAGAAGACATAAGACCTGTGAATATGAATGATCTTGCCCTGTCTATGTTGGCCCGTAAATTCTTTGACAACATCATCCAGTCGGATCTCCGAGCCCTCCCGATCCGCCGCGACAGCCTGTTTTCGCTTAGGGAGTTTGTTGGAGATCTGAGATGGCATGAGCTGTCTTGTATCGCCATACTGGTCTAGCACAACAAGTGATTCCCTGTCGATTTTGACGATGCATCCAACAGTCGTTGGATCTAATTGAACCAAGTCATGGAGCGAAAACTGACCAAGTGATCCTTGTCCACCAATGTCACTTGCTTCTCGCAGATCTTTACTGAAGACTGTCACCTCGGTATTTGTTTGATCTGTCAAGAGAGTAACACGATCCTCAGATATCTTTACGACAGTTCCCACCTCATCACGGAATTTACTGCCACCGATGACCTTGACGTGGTCACCAATTTTGAACCGTTTGCGCAAGCCTTTGATCGGTACTTCGATTGTTTGTCCCTCAAGATCGCCTTCCGTGACGGACATGGTGACGATGTCACCCTGGACGTTTGTAGCCTTGCCTACTACACCCTTTTGTTCACCAGAATACACCTCGATAATGTCACCAGGAAGGTAGGTCACGAGCGTATTGCTGTCCTTCAAGCTAGCAGCAAGTGCCTTGAGATCCAGGTTCTCCGTACCGTCCTCAGCACCGGAAGCAAACCTCGTGACCTCTTCCAAGGATGGATTCACGTCCGTCACAACCAGTTGTTGAATCTTGACGTCTTTGACCTGAAAACCGTTCTCGAATTCGTCGCCCATGTAAGACCAAGTATTCGTCGAAGGGTTACCCTGAATGTAGCGTGGATGTCGCTTACGAGCCTCTATCTCACTGAACAGTCTTTGCGGCGGGCGAGGACCAGCAGCCCCTGGTCTCTTCCGTTTGCCATCTGACGATGTACTGGACAGCGCTTCATCCCGCATGCCATAGTCTAACCGAGGAATAAAACGCACTCTGGCTTCCAAGCCATTTTCTGTAACATCAAGGACTTGAGCCAGGTCTCCACCATGCTTCGCTGGGCGACGAAGTCGTACCCATGCACCAGGCTCTAGCGTTGGAGTTTTTGTGACTCGCAAGAGTTCTGGCATATCCTTGATGTCCACCAGGGTCATTTTCGAGCGAGGGTAGACATTCAACATGCCATCCAAGGCGACAAGAATGTCAGTCTGGCGTTGTGCCTCGACATAGATGAAGCCTTTCATGACGGATTGGGCACCGCCTCTTTCGAATGCAGCTGTAATAGCCAGCTCATCCTTTGTCCCAATTCGCTCTTCAATACGCTTCATAATGGATAAGACAACCTCACGCTCCTTGCCTTCCTTACACCTGACAGCCCAAATGCTAGGGTCATCAACACTGGGAAGCAGGAGACGTTTTGGTACAACAGCAGAATCCCCGAAGCCCTTGGCTGGTCGTCTATTTCCGTATCGCTGGCGGAGGATCTCTGCTTGTTTTTCAGCATCCAAGCTAGCTTCCATCTCACGGCGTCTGTCCAGTTCGCGATGCCTTCGGTCATCGTCGAGTCGGGCACTCTCAGCAATGTCGTCAGGGTGTTCGTTGTCGATGAAGTCTTCAATTTCCTCCCCATCCTTTTCTTCGTCTTCTCCCTCATCCTCGTCATCAACTTCGGCTTCAATATCGAAGAAGGCGTTGCGTCGATCTCGGCGTCGTTTTCTACGATGACCCTGACCACGAGGTTAATGAAAGCCGCAGTACAATAAAAAAGGAGAGAATAAACACTTACCTGCTGGATATCCTCATCATCATCGTCATCGTCGTCATCCTCATCCTCATCTTGGTCTCTGTCTTCACCATCTTCATCATTCTGGTCGGCATCCTCCTCACCACTTCGGCGACTACCGCGTGCTACCTTTTCGCCATCTTCTTCATCGCTATCGTTGGAGTGTGGTTTACGCGGCGATTCATCGTCATTGCCTGCGGGTTCTTCATCCGACAGGTCAGCGGGAGCAGGGTTGAAGTCTTCCTCATCTTCAGAATCGTCGAACCGTGGTGGTTCATTCGATGCCATGATGTTGCTACCAGTGAAATCGGATAGCGATTCTCTTTAGTAGATCCTGAGGACCCTTTGAGAAGAGATTTTGTGGATTGAGGAAAACTTGGAGGTGTGGCAGCACAGCGATTCCTCTGTGGATGGTAAGTGAAGCTCTGCTGGACCGCAGGGCCGCAGCTCAATTGATTGTTGGCCGGTTAATCGTCGGGGGTTCCTCACGCATCGCAGTGACCAACATCTAGCAAAACTAAAAATTGAAACTGGCTTATTTATTTTATTTTACTTTATTTTTGGGTAAACTTATGGTTTGAACATGTTTTAAACAACTATATTGAATGAATGCACCTCCCATTCATGTTCCCTCCACTTGTTTCAAAAGGTGTTACTGGGTGGGCGTTGAGGTTCTAATGTGATCCATCGCAATGCCGTAACAATAGGATTGACAATCCGAAGTCCATTTCCCGGCTTATGAATATCACGTGGTGAGATTGAGTGATAGATCTTCACAGGGGATGCGACTTTGACAGTCTGCACCTGAATAAATAAATTCCTTTACCGACAAGACAAATTCACTAGCATGTGGCAGAGTTGGATCGTTGGATCGTGTTATCTTCTATTTTTTTCGTCTTTTTGCCCATGGAATATTGACATCTTGGTCTCTTGACACCAACTGTGAAACTGCAGAAATTCTTTGCCGCTCTTAAGACCATCTGGCCTGGTTCTATCTTCGTATATAGAAATTCTCTTAGCCTGGGTTTCAAACAAAGCTGTATCCTTGGTGTCTCCATGAGCCCCTCACACCAGGCGTGTCCCCCAGATGCCGCGGCCCGCGCTGATTCCCAGCCATTCACCATAGTCAGTATTCTGGAGGTGAGGGACCCAGCCAAGGTTCCCAACCTCATATTCACATTCCCAACTGGCCACTGGGTTTCGGTGGTTATCTTGCTGGGGAGCCCCATTTAGTGGATGCCCTCCGATCGATGAACTCGAATTCATGAGGTCCCAGATGAGAACTTGGCAGTCGTCGCCGCCGGATGCCAACGTTCCTCGTCGAAGGGGTGACCATTCGACACAGTTGATTGGGCCGGTATGTCCCTTGAGCTCAAGGAGCGCTTGACCTGGCTGCCGAACATCTAGGATGCGAATTGTGCTCGAGTCTTGGGCAAAGGTTGCCAAAAGATGCGTGTCATGGGGTGATGTTGCAAGACGCAATAGAGGAGGTGGGCTACCCGCGGTTTGTTGTGAATGTGATGGACTGGAACGACCACTCCCATCTAGGGGGACTGTTAGTAACACAAAAAGGTGAAACATTCGATCGGAGTAACTGAAAAGTACCTCTTTCCTCTTTGCCTGTCGGTTCATATATAATAGTCGAATGTTCTAAGCTACGCAGGTCGAACATCCGGACACTTCCGTCTTGGCCACAGCTCACAAAAACATCCACACTGTTGGCACAGAATCGCACATCATAGACCTCCTTATCGTGAGCTATAAGCTGTGTTTTGGCAGTCAGTGACGGAATGTCCCAGATGGTACATGTCGTATCGATACTTGAAGTGATGATTAGACTTGGAGAGACGGTATTCCAATCAAGGGATGTGAGAGGTGCTGTATGGTCTGGCGTCTTCGAATTCGACAGCAGCGCCAAGGGCGTCAGCTTTGTGATAGAGGACGCATCTCGACCCCCGCGGGTGATATTGTTGCTCGGGTTGGCTTGCGTCTCAGAGGGCAGTGACCAAAGTCGAAGGTGGTCACCAGACGTCGCTAGAAGATCTGTGGACTGTTTCTGAGATGACGGAGGCTCCCATAGAAGCCTAGTAACCGGGTACGAATGTGTTGCTTCAGCCACTTTGGTGAACTCCAAGCTATACTTCGATGTGCCTGGGCTGTAAACGTCCTGTGACGCAGGAACAACTTGACTGTCAAGAATTTGGATCTGGTCATGTTAGCATTGTTGGTTGACGCCGCCGGGATTGGCAAAGCTGGCTCGGGGTTGAGAGGTATATACAAAATTATGGCCATCTTCAAGATAACTTCCTACTGCCAGTTTCCCAGCGCCATTCCCCAGAGGGGGCCACTTGCACCAGTCAAATGCATAGACCGCCCAAGGGGCCATATAGTTGCTGGGCCCAGGTTGTGTGCTCGAAATGTCCTGACCCGTGGCTCCTGGAGCCCCGTCTGACATGCTGGAATCGGCGCGGGGTCTTATATCGGCGAGCCCAAGCGGAGTATTGGAGAAGTTTCGTTGCGACCCAGGGGTACCATACTTGCCAGCATCTGCAGGTGACATGAGTTGGGATGCCGGGCCGCCAGGCGTCGTTGGAGTATAGGCATGGTAATTGGCCGGACCGTCATAGGAAGCGGAGGGACTAGAGAGAGAATACGTGTGAGAATGCGCCATCGAAAGGGACGGCTTCGGCGGTGTTTGATACTCGTGCGAAGCAGGCGACTGTTGGTGCCCGTGTTGGTTCTGTTGCGACGGAGGTGGGCCGGTCGAAGGAGGCGGCATCGCGCCGTGTATTGCGGCAAGAGTTGGCGCAGTACTAGAGGTAACAGCTGTTGGACGGGCTGACAGGCCACCCGGCTGTAGGACGTTTGGTACGCCTGAACCAGCAGACTGTTGGTGGTGGTGATGGTGTTGAGGTTGGGTCTGATCGGCGGGGTGGGCGTTTGCGGGCGGGTAGTCAAGCTTGATTTGTGGCGTGTAGTCCTTCTGTGATCCCATCTGACCGTGCGGACTCGAAGTCATACCAGGCATATGCAATTCGTCTGGCTGGCCTCCGTGAGGCCCGTAAGTCCCTGCGCCGACCTGCCTTCGGGCTGGAGGCAGCTGCTGGGATTGACTCATCGGCAAGCTCTGCTCATTAGCAACTTGCACGTGGAGTGCTTCTGGATAATAAGCCAGCCCAGTTTCCAGAGCTGCCTGGCCACCAAGCCACCAAGCGATGTTTTTGTAAAGTATCAACTGCTCGTCAGGAGGAAGATGGTTGTGAGGCGCCAATAATGTGATGGACGCGTCTTGATAGGCTCAACCAAATTGATGGGGAGAGGTTGCAAGTTGGTGGATTTCGCATCAAGACGGGAAGAAGGTGGCGTCCATGGTGGTTGATCTGCGTGGATGGATTTGGCAAGGCGTTTGCGTGATGAGGATGAGCTCTGGAACTGGGCTTGTGAGTGTACACTACGTGTTAACTCGAGTCAACTGATTGCAATGGGACTAAATTTATCAAGTTGAAGATGCGAGCAGATTAAGCCAACCAAACCAGCAGACCGAACAGAGCAAACCCCATACTCGGGCTTGAAAAGTTTCGCGAGTCGAAGAGGGTGAGGATGCCCTGCCATGACCTGAACCTATCGTACTTGACAGAATTCAGTGTCTAAAAACTACCAAGAAACATACATGTAAAATATGATTTTTTTTCTCCAGGGCGCGCCGGGCACCCTAAACATCTCACAGCACTAGGAGATGCTCATTTGTGAGCTTAAATTAATAGGGATTGAGCGGATGAAATCTATTCACCGTCCTTTGTGGGACGAGACCGTTGACAAAATCAAAGTCCCGAGTCTTTTAAAAATTGACCCGTTCATCACACACTCTGGTAAGATCCATGCAGCTTTGCAACTACATATGGTCATGCGAAAGTCGATCTTTCTCTTCTTCCCTGTAGTTCAACGAGCTAACATTTAAAAAGTACTGTTGGTCTGGGCGTGCAATTCAGACATTTGTAATGGAGAACTTGGAGTACCGAGAAACAATTCCGTCCCCAAAAAGATGTTACGGTGTTGCATCAACATCAGCCAAGAGCTCATACCACGCAAGTAAGTGTTTCACGCTCTGTCGAGTGTGGTTTATCAAATTCTGTGTGGTGTCGTTATCAAGCTGGCGCTGGGAGTCTTGCGGCTGAGGCAACATTAAAGTGGCGCAATAAATACTTGACCAGTTGACCAGGCTGGGACCTAGTTGACCTTTAAGTAAGTACCTAGAAGTACACTAAGTAGGTGCTGGGGTATTACCAGTTGACCAGACCAGACACCATTTTACATGAACGCAGGTGCCATCTCGACTGCCAGCTATCACCCACCGTATCACCTGTCTCCTCCACCGTCGAGACGAGACCTCGTGAGCAACGCGCGTGCTGGCCAACGCCGCTGTTGACTGTCTTACCCCCGCTCCCATTTTCCTTCTCGATGCTTGATGCTGCATTGTTTGCATTTCGATGTCAGGATTGTCTGCCCTCATCCATGACTGTACTTGCTTCCTTTCTTCATAAAAGGTTGGGTGTTGGAGATGGCAACAACGTCACCGTCTTTCATTGATCGATTGAACCATGCTGCTCAAAGGGCCTCGCACATGTCGTTGAAATCGCCTGCTTCGCAAACTGCGACCGAATATCAGCTCGAACCGCTAGAACCTCGACCAAACGAACCATGGCGACAGGAACATGAGAATACCAGTATTCCCGAGCATGCATCTCCATCTGCCGCCTCGCAGTCTAAACAAACGCCGCTACACTCTGCGAACCGAAGAGATGACTCTCCTGGATCATATTCCAAGCGAAAGCCTAGGCTTATGTTTACCGGACCGCCACCGCCTATTGCCTCGTCAGTAGTGGTTTCTTCGCGCCAATCCAGCCCGACACCAGTCACCGTTGACCGAGGACGAGAGGCCAACGGGCTAATGCGAACATTGGGAAGGAGCATCGCCCAAGCCGTGTTTGATCAGACGACAAGCCGAGACACCCTGTATAGCCTGCAGTCTGATACCACCTGGCGTAGCCTCCGACACCGCCAGAGGGCTTTAGAAACGGATATTCAACAACTACTGGATTCCCAGGTTGCAGGCTTAGTATCTGGAAGCCAAAACGGGGATTTGTTACCGGCCAGCAGAGATATTGACGTCCACAGCGATACAGGAAGCAGCACACCAACAGGCACGTTTTACTCCACGGCAACATCAAGATCTCAGATGCCGAGGAGCCTGTACATACCTCCAACATCCACCCTAGAGGGAATTATCATACCAGTACGGCAACCTGCAAACAATCAATCCACAGGCCTCAAGTCTGCTCGAAATGGCTTGCGTAGAGCAATACTATCTTTAGTTGAGCTTCGTGAGGAAGAAATGGACAAAATCGACACAGCAATAGAGGAGAGGAGGAATGCTCTGGCGCAACTTAACACACTCGGCACAAGACGGCTTGGTATACAGGCAAAGATAACAGCGGTGGACGGTGATAAAAATGAGCCACTGGGAAGACAGTTGCGGGAACTGGAGGCAAAATATAATTTGGTGAATCAAGAGATCGGCACGCTTGAAGAAAGGCTTATTAGTCTCCGAAATCAACGACAATGGCTTAAAGAGAAGATGAACGATGCCAAGGGTAAAAGAGAAGCGGGTTTAAGCGGATATCGTGGAGCCTTAAAGGATGTAGATTCAGAACTCGCATTCCTTGTTCGACGGCCTTCTTTCCTACCCCTTGACCCGGCTGTATTTGGCGCGGATGGCGGCGCTTTAAGCGAGGATGTTGCTTCATCAGGTGGTCCCGAATTTTTCCGCCTCATTCCCGAACGTCGCACACCAGAGATGGCGAAGTCTTGGTTTGAGGCTGAACTCAAGATCCTGCAGAGGCGAAGAATACAAGTGCATCAAGATCGCCAGGCCCTAGAGAAGGGAGCAGGTGTATGGGACCATGTCGTTGCTCTGGTCGTTAATTTTGAATCAGAGCTGCGGCGTCTGTTAAAGGACGGTATCAGTTCATCAGCGCAGAGTTCTGCTAAGGGCAAAGAGAACGCAATTTCGGATCGTGATCTCATACAAGCCCAGTTGGTAAGTATGAATACAGTTCTTGTGGAACTAGAAGAGGCTATGAGACAAGCCGAGGCACATAGTTGGAATCTCCTTATCTGTGCTATTGGCGCCGAGTTGGAAACATTCAAGGAGGCTCAAAGTGTTCTCAAAAGCCTGTTGCCTTCATCAAATACGGGGGAAGACGACACAAACCAGAGCATGCCAACTACGAGGCGAGGTTCTCATGCCACGGACCAACATGGACATTCACAAGGAGACAGTGACAATGACGTCCCAACGGATCTATTTTTGTCCCACGTTGACGGTACTGACCAATCCAGTATTAAGCAATTGTATCAAGATAGATCCAGGAGTGTGGACGTGAGTTGCGACAGGCCCCGGAGCCAGGATAGCGAAAATGAAGTCCCGCTTGAGTTTCTGGCCGAGCACGACTGAGACCGAGACGCTATGAGACCCGACAGCGCTCTGTGAATTCATTTGAATATTTTGTGGCGGGGAGGAGGCATCAGACAGGCGATGCGCTGCCCCAGTGGACCAGCATGAGAGCTTGATTTGAGCAAGATCTTATCATAAACCAGTACGGATAGCGCCCATGGTGCACACGTGGCGTTGAATGGATATATGATAGAATCTTGAATAATAAATAATATCCACCTGAAGAAAATTGGTTGCCCTTGGTCAGGAATCTGCGTCTGAAATAGTTACATTAACATAATAACTTGTGGTATATAGCGATGAGGTTGTATTGGCTTAGGGGGATTCATCACGTAATATAAAAGACAAAAAACGGGAAAACATGAAGTCGAGTATATAGATAGTAAACCAGATGTTGAGACTTCAGCTTTAAATTCTGATTTCTTGCTTCCTTTTGCGTTCTGCTGAGCCCGGGTCTTAAGAAGGGATTGCCAAAAGCCCACCCACATCCACTCATCCATATCAAGTTTCAAACCATCCATCGCGGGAAAAAAACATTAAATAGACCAACGCCAGAACCAGAAATTTGACGCGATGACTTGTAAGTCGTCTGCATAAAAGGCCGAGTTATTCTTGACGCAACAGTCCAAGCTGCCTACATGGCCAGCTAAAGGAAAGTGGCGTATTGGTGAAAGATACTAACCAGGGATTATGCAAGGCTTGGATGGAGAAACCACTAATGGCTTGCCTAATCTCATCTTCTTCTCTCAAAAAAGCCACTAGACCCTGCAAAGGCGACCGACTGATCCATCACCCACTCGCCTACCCCGAGATACTTGTCAATCCATCTCGAGACCTCTTTGTTTTCGCCCGCTACCTTTTCTGTCTTGAAACTGGGCCTGGGATATCCCGAAGGGGGAACATATAAGCCACTTGTAGAGGCACTGTTGCAAGAGTCTGGTGATTTGGTACTCACGTCAATCCGGTCGACCGCTTCATGCCTGCCAGAAAGGCAGAAACTGCAATTAAGAATTTGTTTAGCATCGTGTGACGAGTTACCTGCCAGTGGGATTGTATCAAGGTGCCCACTTACTGAGGACGGCATCGAAGGCGTAGTGCGTTAAGCGTCCAACCTTTGACCACAGCCCAAACGTCAGCAGGTTGAGAAGCTGCAAGATATATATATCCTTAGACAAATGTGCTAAGAAAAGACAAGATGCTGCGGAGCTGCTTTCGCAGATGGCGACAGCACCATCAAGCTTGCATCACAAAGGGCGACTATGCACATACCACCATGATCGTTATCGGTTGGAAACTGGATGGGAAATGCGACGCTGTAGTCGAGGGCGTGGGGTGACGTAGATAGCAGAGAAAAGTATTGCCCTATCCTATTCGTTGTGAATCGAATGCGGCTCTTATGTGTACTCTCTAGGAGACAGTGATGGAACCGAGATGAGTGGTTAGAGATGGTAAATGTTTACTTGATGGTGTTTCCTAACGTGAGGAGCTGTTGTCACTCGACCCACCATTAGAGAGCTTGTCAGCTGCTACTTGACGGCTATTAGCTGGATGACGGGCTCACGTGAGGCTCATGAGCCGCTGAGTCAGCCCGCTGGATGCAGAGATCCACATTATGTACATTTGGTGCCAGGTTCATGTATTGCTTGACGGGCTCTTTTTGCTAGGTGTGTTCACGCCTTACTAGGTACTTAATTATTAGGCATTATAGTATAATATATACTTGATAATAAATACATAAATTTACTATAAAGTTATGCAAAAAATCAAAAAGAGGCCTAAATAGTTGTATAAAATTTATAAAACTACTACTAGTAATACCGTAATTAGGCCGTACCAGGTATAAGGCCGTAACACGCTAGTATCAGAAAACACAAAGCACACGTATCACGATGCGCTAAATATACTAGTCTAGAAACTAGGTAAAAAAAATACTATAAGCTAGATTATCCTTATCGCGGAGTAATATATTTTATTTTAAGTAGCTTAAATATATATATAAAAGGTTTAAATATAATAAACAATAAAATAATAAGCGCGCCTAATAAAAAGAGTAAGCCCGCTAAGCAATTCACCCAGGTTCCAGCACTGGGCTAAAGTGGGACCGCGGTTAGTGTGCCAAACAAAGCTAACTTCGACAAGCGGCCGACTACTCTCCGAACTACCATGAACACTAGCAGATTTGACGATAAGGACCTATCGCTGGACAGAAGGGGCACTGGGGAGCTCAAGCTTCCCCGTGTCCAATTGGTCCTCTGTACACTCTGCAGGGGATTGACTGTAAACAGGCGGGCACCTTCCCGGTGCTCCGTCGGCGCTTCATGGGTTCGGTGTTGGGACTTCTTGAAGCCAGCGCTTTACAGCCTGGAAGGTCAAGGAGCATTACATAGACAAAAACTTCTCTCTAACGTTGAGCTCGCGTAAGAAGCACAATTGAGGCTTTTGGAATCATACTAAATGAAAGAAATAATACGATGTCAAGTATTTACCGACAAAAGTGGAAGTATTTACTAAATAGCGGGTGCGCTCGAGTCTCAGGTGAAGTTTGCAGGAGGATACGTCGTGCGGTCATAACGGGCAGATCATTTGATGTGCTCCTGTGGCTTACAATTTGGGTGGTTATGTTTTGTTGAGACGCGAACAGCCAAGACACCACATGCTCCCAATAGCGATTGACTCAACATGCTCTGCCCCGGCCCGGATGGCGGTGGACAAGACTGTTTCGTACTACAACCCACTGTACATAGTTATTTTTTCGCTGATTCATGTGCTCCTTGACCCCAACACAAATATTGAATCCCTGAGGGAAATAAAAATACATCGAGAGGCGAGGACAAGGACAATTGGCTTTGGTGGAAATCGCCTCCCCTGACCCTCTGAGGGTCTTGTGGTGAGCCCAGCGTTGTTTCGACTACACGCCACTTAAATATTGCGATTATTGGGAGGTTCTTGCTACTATTTGCTGAAGATTAGAGTATGCGCCGCGTTCAGTACTCCCTCGGATTGCTTATTGCTGCCTCCGCGTGGTCATGATAGGTGGTAGAAGCAATCTACAAAAAAAAACCTGCCAAGTGATAACGTTGTAGACTGGTGGGTATATTTCACCTGACTGCGACAGTTTCGTGTCAGCGTGGCCAACGGCCTCCGAGACGTGCGTAGGTCGTTGCGACTTTTGTGATGGATACTTAGGCTATGTACTCATCCTGGCTGAATTGGGTAAATTGATTATCCTCATCTTTTACTTTATAGTTTTTCTCAGCCCCATCTGAAGATAACAATTGGCGCCGTCTTATCCTTCACCGCACGACAAATGGGGATTTTTTGCGCACACCTCGTAAGAGTAAAAAAAAAAAGAGGCGGGGCGATCAGGTCAAGGTACGGAGTAGTTTGGTAGTAGTAGTAGTAACCACTACCTGGGCAGGCAGGTTTGGCCGAGCCCGTCAAACGTCAACCGTCTCGTTCAACCAGTCGTTACTACGTGTGCGTACCACACCAGGTCCAAGCTGCATTCATCGCCTCCCCTCCCCCACCAGCCTTGGATCTGTCAACCCGCCCTTTTTCCCTTCACATTTCCTGCCCACTGCTCTTTTGCCTCCCCATCAGCCACCCATATCCTGAGGAGTCAACCGATTTCAAACTTCTGCTTGCGTACTCGAAACTTTCTTGCCGTTGAGGAATCAGGATTCTTAGCTGTACGTTCGTCCTCTAATTGCTCTTCACCTCCCCACTCTTGCCATCCGGATCCGGTAGCTGTCAAGCTTTGGGCGCCAATCCCTTGTTGATTGCCTTGGGTGTAGCTGTAAAGAAACTGCCCCAATGGAACGCAGCGAACTTCACTGAAGGACCATATCTAACAAGTCGTGTTTTGAATAGGCATAAGTTGCCGTCTGCAATGGCTCCAGGTCGCAGCCGTTCATTCAGCATCATGGCTGCTGCTCAACAGGACCACCTTGACACGGGTGGTAGGGTCGCCTGGCTAGCTTCACTCGACACTGCTTACAGTCCCGAGCACAACTACCGCCGTTCCTCCATCATTTGCACTATTGGTCCCAAGACCAACTCCGTCGAGGCTATCAACAAGCTCCGCGATTCTGGCCTCAATGTCGTGCGCATGAACTTTTCCCATGGCTCATACGATTACCATCAGTCTGTCATTGACAATACGAGAGCTGCTGTCGCCTGTCATGCTGGCCGACCGGTTGCCATTGCCCTTGACACCAAGGGTCCAGAGATCCGAACTGGTAACACTAAGAATGACGAAGATATCCCAATCTCTGTCGGTACGGTGATGAACTTTACTACTGATGAGAAATATGCCGCGAGCTGCGACACCGAGAACATGTGAGCCCTCAAAGTCTCCCTTCAAAGTCCACGATTTTGCCTACCACCAAGGTCCACCACTGCGCTTCAAAGCGCTAGACATGAACCTGGGTTTCAAGTGAAAGTCCTCTCCCTGCGATCTGTTCTTGAGAATGACTAATAATGTTGCCTTGATGCACGAATTCTGTAGGTATGTTGACTATAAGAACATTACCAAGGTCATTGAACCTGGCCGTGTTATTTATGTAGATGATGGCGTTCTGGCTTTCGACGTTTTGAGCATCAAGGACGAAAAGACCGTTGAGGTCCGTGCCAGAAACAATGGCTTCATTTCATCCAGGAAGGGTGTAAATCTTCCTAATACCGATGTCGATCTTCCTGCTCTGTCTGAAAAGGACAAGGCCGACTTAAAGTTTGGCGTCAAGAACAATGTGGATATGGTCTTTGCCTCCTTCATCCGCCGAGCTCAAGACATCAAAGACATTCGCGAAGTACTTGGTGAGGAGGGCAAGCAAATTCAAATCATTGCCAAGATCGAGAACCGCCAGGGCTTGAACAACTTCAGAGAGATTTTGGAAGAGACAGATGGTGTCATGGTTGCAAGAGGCGATCTTGGAATTGAGATCCCGGCTGCAGAGGTATTTGCGGCGCAGAAGAAGCTGATTGCTATGTGCAACATTGCTGGAAAGCCCGTTATTTGCGCGACGCAGATGCTGGAATCCATGATTAAGAACCCCCGGCCCACTCGTGCCGAAATCAGCGATGTTGGCAATGCTATCACTGACGGAGCAGACTGTGTCATGCTGTCTGGTGAAACGGCAAAGGGAAACTACCCATGCGAGGCCGTTCGTGAAATGCATGAGGCCTGCCTGAAAGCTGAAAATTCCATCCCGTACGTTTCTCATTTCGAGGAAATGTGCACTCTCGTGCAACGCCCAGTCAAGACTGTTGAATCTTGCGCTATGGCAGCTGTACGTGCTTCTCTTGATTTGGCTGCTGGTGGTATCATTGTGCTGTCTACCTCGGGAGAATCTGCAAGACTTCTCTCCAAATACAGGCCAGTCTGTCCCATTTTCATGGTGACACGGAATGCCACCACTTCGCGCTTCAGTCACCTGTATCGTGGAGTCTATCCATTCCTTTTCCCTGAGGCCAAGCCTGACTTTGATAAGGTCAATTGGCAGGAGGATGTTGACAAGCGTATCAAGTGGGCTGTCAACCATGCTCTGGAGCTCAATGTCCTGACCCCAGGTGACACCGTGGTTGTCGTACAGGGTTGGAAGGGAGGCATGGGCAACACCAACACGCTGCGAATCGTCCGTGCCGACCCAGAGCACCTGGGAATTGGCCAGGCTTAAGAAAGGAAAGCGGAAAAAGGAAACTTCATGGCGGAATACGAAGTGAAATGGAACGGGGACGTGAACAAAATTGATAACATGTTGGGAGTTGGACGCGTCAATCGAGGATTTTGATAGACTTTACAGTGCAATGATGCAGACTAGTGAGCTCAGAACGTCTCGAGTCTCTTTTTTTTTTAACGTGGTACTATAGGCGTCTTTTCGTCTTCTTGATTCCTTGGTCATTCGTGGATGGGGAACATTTTTCTATACGTCGATGGTTTATCTAGCGGGAGCCCAGTACTCTGCGCCCTAAAGATTCTCGATCTCGAAGGCCCTTCGAGACTATTTCCCGCACTCAATAAGAACCAAGGAGCAGAGGTCACGGCCATGGCTATTGATACAAGCAAACTATTTCATCAACTGGGCCCTAGCTTCTCATACTCATGTACGGATTGCAAGGGTAAGCCAGCAAGGGACAACACCGCTCCGACACCTTACGTTATTCGAGCTACCATCGCCCCGCAAATTTGTTAGCCCGCATTGCAAAAGTTGTTCAGATTGACACTCCCACGGCATGTCAGGACACAGTTGACGAGTCTTCTCAGCGTCGGTCAGTTGAAAAGGGTTTTGGGATCATCATCGCCCTTCCGTTATAGAAAATCTCATCGTAGCTCAGCTCAGCCCGCAACACATCTTCTCGTGGCAAACCCTTCTCATCGTCAACTGCGGACGCCTTGTGGTCGGCGTTTTTGCGACTGCACTGGGTTTACTTACATTAGTTCGACTGGTAATAAATAACCTTGGCATCTACCTGGTGGAGTTTCCCTCGCCTTCAGAGTGTCATCGGAGTTTGATTCTGTCCCTGTCAAATCGGGTTGTAATCGGATTGCCTTAAATACAATAAGTAATAAAGGGATAAGCGCACCTAGTAAAAAGAGTAAGCCCGCCGAGTAATTTACTTGTTGTCTCCCCACTCAACCTCAGCTCGTGGAGGGGTGTGGCGTCATCTGGTGTCTGGAAGCTACCAGTCCCGTTTTGTACGTGCAAAGGCGGGGGATATTGGACCTTTGCATTTCATTAGACCAGGTCAAGGAAAGCTCCCGATTGCTTCGCAAGCTGATTCAGCTCATCCAACTTGGTTTGGGGATAGCACCACCAGTCAGCAACCCTCCCTCTCGCATCTATTACCTATAGCCCCATTTTTGAGCGTTGAACTGCTCCAAGATTTTTATCCTCGACAAGGAAATGCGCCTACCCTTCGAGTTGGCATGTCGCTGATACCCTACCACCCAAGGGAGGGCCGTGAAATTGTGTTGTGAGTCCGCCCACAATTTTTCTAAGCAGAGATGATACCGCCTTCGCCTGGGTGTGCTAAAAACACCTTACGGGTATAAACCCATGACTAACGCTGTCTCTACACAGGCGTCATCGCAATGCCGTTGTTGTTCGGGATCCCGAGTCCCAGCGACTTGAGATACGCGGCTCTGAATGTCCCACGTGCCACCAGCCCTTGGGTCGAGCATCATCGCCGGAAAGATCGTTCGAGCGACCATATGAAATGAATCACGAATATGTGGACCCAGAATACTTTCGCATGTTAAGAGCAGGCAATCATTTCCCACGGGGAAACGGACCTCCTAGTCCTGTCCGCCGACTTGTTCAACCAGCTCTGACAACTAGATCCGCTACCCGTTCTTCTTCTCCACAAGAACCTATACCAAGGCAGGATGAGTCTCAATTCTTGTCCAGTAGTCCAGGAGTACCCAAAGCTGAAGGCGGCAGAATCCGTAAAGAAGCCTTCAGTCCGAACTATTTCAGGAGCTTTTTCGTCGAAGAACGCGTACTTGGCAAAGGAGGCAAGGGTGTTGTGCTGTTGGTGCGACATGAAATTGATGGATGCCCTCTTGGGCACTTTGCATGCAAGCGTGTTCCGGTTGGGGATGACCACTCGTGGCTAGAAAAGGTCTTGGTCGAAGTTGAACTCTTAGCTAAACTCTCCCACCCCAATCTCGTCTCCTATCGCCATGTATGGCTAGAAGATGTCCAACTGACTAGATTTGGACCCAGTGTTGCTTGCGCCTTTATTCTTCAGCAGTACTGCAATGGCGGTGACCTCCATCAGCATGTTGTCGGCAGTGCGCCTAGAGAGCTTACAAAGGAGGAGCTCAAGGCACAGATGAGGCGACGGTCAAAAGGTCAAGCGGAAGCCCCATCAGGCCCAGCAAGGCCGCAATTGTCATTTGAAGAAATATACTCCCTGTTCAAGGACATTACATCCGGCGTGGCCTATCTTCATAGCGCGAACTACATCCACCGGGATTTAAAGCCGAGTAATTGTCTTCTGCATCGCGAGGGAGGCAAATTGACATGCCTCATCAGCGACTTTGGCGAGGTTCAACCAGAGAATGCTGTGCGTAAGTCTACCGGGTCAACTGGCACCATATCGTACTGCGCCCCCGAGGTTCTGAGAATAGACGTCGCCGGGCAGTATGGAAACTTCACAACCAAGTCGGATGTTTTCTCACTCGGCATGATACTTTACTTCATGTGCTTTGGAAGACTACCTTACCAAGGGGCCAATGCTATACAAGAGGAGCTAGAAGATATTGATCAACTTCGAGCTGAGATTACGGACTGGCAAGGTTTCCAAGACGAGCGGCAAGAACGTCCGGACTTGCCGTCCAAGTTGTATAAGCTCCTTAAGAAGCTGCTGGCTCTTGATCCGACAGAACGCCCTAGCGCAAATGAAGTTTTGTTAGCAATGAGGAGCGAGACAAATTTCGATAACATTACCAAAGGCGACTGGGTGGCCAGTCGGGTACAGAATCTGGACTCCCCAGTGCCTCCCGGAACCCCTGTCCCAGGTAAGTTTGCCCATCACAGTAGCACCATAGGTATAATTTCAGAGGAATATAACATTACGCTCGCTCACTTAGATCCTGAAAAGGAGAAGCCTCGTGGACGTACAGGAAGTCGAAAAGGAAGCGTCGACCCAGGCCCACCACATCTAAACTCTTTTGAAGCCATGGAAAACCCTACCCAGACATCACCGCCAAACGCCTTCGTAAATCATGATCCGCACAACCATCATCATTTGGAGTTAAATCAAGACGAAGGCCGAAGGGGCTCCGATATCGTGAATGGAACACGCTTGTTAGATGCAGACTCATCGGAACTACCTGCTTCACGTCTACTAATGGCACCGCCTCGGACACGGGCAGCGGAGTTCATATACCAAATTTCGATTTTGAGTCACCATATGTCTTCTGGGCTCGGGCTTACTACCGACACGTTTGACTCTATCTTTCGCCTTGCGATTTTTTCCTTGAAAGTCGTCACTCTCACTCGGCCATGCTGGCCATACGTTGTAAGCTTTGAAGTAGGAACCCCCCTCATTCTTATAGCCGCTATTGAGCTGGGCTGGCCAACTTCTGCTGCCAATAATAATTGGGATGAAAGAATTATTCAGCGTCGGTTAAGTATTACTACAAGCGTAGCACTGTTGGGCGTTCATCTCATTACTCTTTGGGTTGCTCGTCGATGGGACATCCTTTGTACACCGCCATTGCAAGAGGAGTGGGCGGAGTGAAAAGGAGGGTTCTGGAGCTATCGGACCTAAGACGTTGCTTCATTATTTTCACTTGTTCTGTTGGGGACTTATATATTGCTTGTACGCTATGTTCATGGCGTTTACCTGAATCGCTAGTCTTTAGAATCACGGTTGTACTCTTGGCAGCAGGCAAGAGCGCTATTATAAGAGGCGAGCGCAACCAGTTTTTCCCGTGACTATCAGTATGCCGTCGTATCTGCTTCATCGGGCCTATTGTTTATTTTGTTTTGGAGAAATGATTTTTCTCTAATGCTAGAAGATCGGGTTTTCCTGGATACCACAGCCTAGTAGAACAAATATGTAAATCTGGGCACACTTTTCTCACTTTAGTATGGCCCTAAGCCCAAAGGCTTTCCGTCTTTCCATCTCAACGTTAGCTAAACCAAGGTTGTAACCCCCGGCACTGATCTTCTTCCCTTCCGTAATACTTCCAAATCCGAAGTCCGGTTCTTCACCCAGACTGCCAAAAATGTCGCCTATGTAGTTGGTCGGCTCGATTCCCCTCTGGTACGTGCAGTTCCAATCGGAAACGATGCCCCGAACAATGCCGATGCCAACATTAAACAAATTTTCTATGGCAATCATGAAACCATTCTGATCGGTCCGCCTTAGGTGTTCCCAATCCGAGAGACCAGGTGGCGGTCGATCAAAGTTTGACCCTGCATGAATTATCCATTAGCCATATGCGTGGTACTTTCTTACATAGCTCCGAGTTGTTTAGGAAATGACTCACCAGCTCTCACAAGTATGATTCGCGCAAAATCAACGAGACCTTCAATTGCTGCCCTAACCATTACTTCAAGAGTGGCATTCTCTTCTTGAGCACTCATGCAGTATACACCAGAGCCATTCGTCCATAGAGTTGTTGTATTTTCAAAAGCGACCGCAAGCTTGGTCCCTGAATAATAGACGTCACTGGTAGCGATGTCACATTTGACAACACTGGGCGCCTGTGTGGCCATAGTATCGCGGTATCCGCCGCCTGAGTACTTTGACCGATATTCCTGCGGTCCCTTTTGATCCTTGAGACTGGATTTAGATGCCAATAAAAAAGCTGCCTGCCGAAGATTTTCATTGACTTCAAAAACCTCAGTCCCATACAGTACGGAAGGGTACTGAAGGGGGTAGTCACGCCCATAGGAGATGTACCCAGTTGGCCAATCTTGCGGCAACGACCGGGGATCAATCTCATATTGAAGGGCAACTTGGACTGCGTAGCGAGCGATTGCCACGCTACCGACAGTGGCATAATGGGGATTGACACCAGCAATGCCAGCAAAGAGAAAATACGACTTCCGAAAGTCAAACTGGGTCGACAAGACCAATGCCATCATTGATGCTGCTGCGTTGATTTCTCCCTCGCCAAGTGTAAGTTGGCAGATATTTCTTGTCTCCGTGCAGAAGACGCGGGGATATAACATTGACAAGCCGGAAACAGCAGTTGACCATGCTCCGAGGTTCCCTAATTTGGACTCATTGAATCTGGTATGCCAGACCTGTGCCTCGGGACGCCACTGTTATAGGAATACAGAATCAGTTATCCTGGACCTAGCTGAGAAAAGGGACATTTATCACGATAAACAAACCATCGACACAACCACTACTTTTGGCGCCACCCTATCGTCGGCGCCAGACGCTGAAACTGAGGGTTGGTATTGAACCAACACGACTAGCTTTATTAAAAGAATAAGTTGGATTACCATCATATTGTGAATTATCTAAAAATTGCAGAGTCGAATTGCTAGTTGCCTTTGATAGGACATGAGTCCCGGAGGCGCATGAATTATGTAGTTGGGTCACGACAACAACCGTTGCTGGTTTGGAATATCTGCGCAGGCTAAGTGGGTTGTATAGCGATGCTAGGTCTTTCAATGCTCCAACCAGTGACTTATCTATGGTTCTACAAAACGAGCGTAGGGAGTGATTTCCAGGCGAGGAGTGAAGCGAGGCCGCAAGCTATTCAGGCGAGACGTGCCGAGTATGTCGAACGAAGGCTACGCTAGCCTTGGACCTAGCAAACTACCAGTTGATATCTCAAGGCAGCCGAGTAGCGGACCGAACTGGCTCGGGCTCTCCTGTACTACGCGAAGAGTTTCAAAGTGGCCGCAAAAAGGAGACGTTGATCTGCAAACAAGACGGCTTCGGCCACCAAGACACCAAAAAACCTACCCTACCCGGCAAGACAGCACCGAGTGTCGAGGACGACGAGGTGCGTGTTCAAAACTACCTGGCAAGTGTCGTCTCGCTTGTTTTGCCAGGTTGAGTAAATAGTGCCAACTACCAACGTACCTAGGTAGTTACTAAACTAGCCAAGTCGGCTCTTTGGAGCACCGGTGTCTATTGTCTCGTCTTACACCGCACCTAAATATCTCGACCTGCTCCGCTCCAGAGAAATCGGGCGAAGTTGATGGCATGCGGACATTTGGTCAAGGGATGAGGTGCGCTGTGCCAGCGAAGGCCAAGGTAGTTGGGTGCCACTAACGACTAGGGCAGACGCGTGACAGCAGGACTGGTCTGGCTGCGGACTGGAAGCCTCGGTACGAAGTACGCTACATGAGGTTTCGGAGGTTAATGTTGGAGACGGACGAGGATACCTGTTAGAACAAGGAAATGACATGGATGAGGGTGATTGGCACTCCGTACTAATACGTACAAAGATAAATTGTAGATGCTGGCATTTTGCGCCGCACTGAGGGGCAGATTGACAAGGATCGGTTTGTTTGGAGACTGGTGCAACCTAGCGGATACAACGGATGCTGGAAGCTCCCGATTATGATCGCGTCAGTGAATGTGCTCGGTTGGGCTGCACAGTGAGCAACACTTTCGAGGCGAAGCATGGGCCATATGAGTCGATGCTTAGGAACAGAACAGTAACCACTTGCTGCCTGGGCTGGTCATGTCGAAATGCGTCGATATACCTACGTTACGCGCTATCAATTTAATACACACTTACTTAAGTACCTAGGTAGGTAGAATTAAGACTTTATTAGAGTTGGTTCTTGAGTTATCTGGGTCATTACGCCACACGGTGTCGCCGACCCCACTGTCCACGTACCGCAGTTTGCCCAGATGACAAGAACGAGTCTGGTTAGTTGAGTCAATTGGTGTCGTCAAGGCGCACTTGGGTAGATGCATCGTCAAGCCAAAATGCTCAAGTGGTCCCTGTGGCATTAAATCCAACGTTAAAGTCAGTGTCCATTGGCTGCTATACCCGCATAATACTGGTCAAACTTCTGGTCTTGTGGTAGTGCATGGGCCATCGAGCCGGGGTCGCCTTCGACGTGTTTGGCTCGTCGAACTTGCCAAGCGACTAGCTGCAACAAAGAACATGAGCGGTTTTGCTAGCACAGTCAACAGCCTACCAAAGCACGGATAGCAACGTCTGACTGTCCATCAATGTTGACTATGATGATTCGCAACTGGCCGATACCATCACCCCGTTGGCGGGGATGGTGCAGCACGTGGAAGGTGTTTCGTCTGCTTCGTCGACGGAATCAAGTGAAATCAAATCGTGAAACAGAAAGGCAAGCATGACGCTGTCAGCTGCTGGGTCAAAAAAAAAAGACCTATTATTTGTTTTCGATCTTCGATACTAGCAGTATCTTTTCCAGCGTGTCGATGAGTCGACTCCCTCCTCCGGTGCTTTCTTCGGCAATCAAAGAAGTACCGATTGGATCCATCCCCCGTATCAACGCGGCGTGAATTGCTCAGCGGGCTTACTCTTTTTCTTAAGTGCGCTCATGACCCAACAGGTACCTGGCTTTCGGGCTTTTTACTATCAATATATACTGTAATATATTAGTGCTTATGAGAAGTAAATGTATTCTGCCACAGACTACCTACTTAGGTATGTTTATTGAGAGAGCTTAATTACAGTAAACAGTAAGGGGACAAGTAAACCTAGCCAGAATAGTGAGCTCGCCGAGCAATTCACCTCTTGTAGTCAAATGCTTCTGTCTTCGTGGAGGTTCGCGCAACATTCAATGTTGAAGCCCCCAATCTTCCCTGTCCTAGGCTGACTGGGGTGGGTGGGGCGTGGGCGCCTCAGCCTTGGCACCTGCATTCCGAGCCTGGGGTGGGGGAGAGCCCAGTAGCTCGTCCATCCGGGCCAAATTAACACAGGCTAGTTCCATGTTCCCACTCACCAAGCAATCTACTCCGTACATTTATCGACTTTTTCTACGATGTGCTCAACTTGAGCGAGCAGTGACGAGGTTCCGTCCACTTGGTACCTTTTCTTTTTAGCCTCTGCTCCCCCAACTTACTTTGCCAATCTCCGGATGGGCTATCAAATACTCGGCTCCGTTGATTTCCTTTTTTAAACCCTGGCGACTTGGTTGGAGAAACTGAAGGGCCGTCTGGTATCCTTACCGTACCAAGTACATCCCCATCACCGTTACTCGGCCCAATATCTTGCGCTCCTCTCTGGACATGCCCAGCCGTTACCGTTTTCATCCCACCCCGTGAAGGCCCGAGAATCAGCGGACTCGAGTACCTTCAGACCATCTAGAGGCTACTGGTTGGCCACGACCATTTATGGATTCAATTGCTGTCAAGCCAATCCAGCGCCGTGACAACCATGGCCCGGGGCCGGACCAGAATGCCAGACCTCTAGCAGAGGAGTTGCGCGAAGAGTCGCCCATACCCTCCAACAATTTCGCCTTCACTCCGTCCCAGCTGCACAAGTTGATGACGTTTCGCAGCCTCGAAGCTCTCGACTACTTCGGCGGCACTCGCGGCCTGGCCGTTGGTCTACGGACTGACATCGCTGCCGGCCTCAGCGCTGACGAGACCAACCTTGACGGATCCGTCTCTTTCGACGAGGCCGTGGCTGCCGGCAGGGAAGCGCGTTCCCCCGTACTGCAGAGCGTCCATCCTCCCTCGACACATCATGCCTACCATGCTTTACGTCTCGGAGACGGGCCCGACCCCCATTTTGCGGATCGAAAACGAATATTCGGAGCCAATCGACTTCCGCGCCGGAAACAAAAATCCTTTTTTAAACTCATGTGGATTGCCTTCAATGACAAGCTGCTCATACTCCTCACAATATCGGCCACTATATCTTTGGCTATTGGCATCTATCAGTCCGTAAGCGCCGAGGAGGGAATGTCCAACATTGAGTGGGTTGATGGCGTCACTGTTGTCATTGCCATTGTTATTATCGTTCTTGCAAGTGCCGCCAATGACTGGCAGAAGAATCACAAGTTCGAAAAGTTGAACGAACGCAAAAAACATCGAGAAGTAACCGTCTTCAGATCCGGGAGAGCGCAACTCATATCTATACAGGAAGTCAATGTCGGAGATGTGATGCATATTGAAGCGGGCGAAGTCGTTGCTGTTGATGGCGTTCTTCTACAGGCCTCGGGTCTCCATATAAACGAGTCCTCCATCTCTGGCGAATCTGGCATGGTACACAAGACTGTCCCTGGCGACCACGATGCCTCCCATGCCGTACTTGCCGATCCCTTCATACTGAGCGGAACTACCGTCACCCGGGGCGTAGGACGTTACCTAGTCACCTCCGTTGGCTCCAACTCTACTTATGGCCGTACTCTCATGTCCCTGCGTGAAGATGTGGAGGAGACGCCATTGCAAGCCAAACTGGGGCGACTAGGCAAGCAACTCATAGTGTTTGGAGCCGTTGTTGGCGCCATCTTCTTCGTCATTTTGTTCATCCGGTACTTGGTTCGACTGAAATGGATGGCAAGCAAAGGCCCGTCCAACAAGGCAGAGGAATTTTTCCATATTCTCATTTTGTCTATAACTGTCGTCATAATAACAGTACCCGAGGGCTTGGCATTGAATGTCACCGTCGCACTTGCGTTTGCTACCACACGCATGCTTCGTGACAACAATTTGGTTCGACTCATTCGTTCGTGCGAAGTAATGGGCAATGCTACCTGTGTCTGTTCCGATAAGACCGGCACTCTTACGCAGAATAAAATGACAGTTGTTGCTGGTCGCATTGGTCTTGACGGCACTTTCAATGACATGGACTCTCCAGTTGTGGGAGCTGGGCAGCCTCAGCCGGGATCTGCTGTAATCGGGAATGAAGGATCGACGAAGCTCGTTTCTGCCATGTCATATGAAGTCAAGGACCTTATCAAAGACAGCATTGCGCTGAATTCCACTGCGTTCGAAGGCGATGACTCCAAAGTCTCCGACTATTTCGGTTCCAGCACCGAAACTGCACTACTCAAATTTAGCCGGGACCGCCTGGGATTGGGGCTTTTGACAACGGAGAGGGCCAACAATCCGGTTCTAACCATGCTGCCATTCGAGTCCTCCCGAAAGTGGATGGCAGTGCTCATCCGGCTTCCCAATGGAAGGTATAGATTACTAGTCAAGGGTGCCGCTGAAATCGTGTTTGAGTATTGCGCTTATGTTTTGGAGGACCATACATATCAACTCACAACTGTCCGCCTATCCGAAGATGATAGAACTGGGTTCCGGGCAACAATTCAAGACTATGCAAGTAGCATGTTGCGCCCAGTAGCTATCGCGTACAAAGATTTTGATGAATCGGAAGTTTTCGAAAGCCCCGATGATGATCCTGCTACCATTAACCTTGAATGGCTTGCTTCAGGACTGATATTTATTGGGTTTTTTGGCATCCGTGATCCTCTGCGTGAAGAGGTTATCGCTTCGGTCAAGAAATGCCAAGACGCCGGAGTGTTTGTCCGCATGGTTACTGGCGATAACTTTCTAACGGCTAAGGCTGTTGCTGCCGAATGCGGCATCTATTCAGGCGGCGGGGTTGCGATGGATGGACCAACTTTCCGAAAGCTTTCCGAATCCCAGCTGGATGAGGTGATTCCACGTCTTCAAGTTTTGGCAAGATCGAGTCCAGAAGACAAGCTTCTCCTTGTAACCCGTCTGCGAGCAATGAAGGAGACTGTTGCTGTGACAGGGGATGGCACCAATGATGCCCTTGCTCTTAAAGCCGCAGATGTTGGTTTTGCAATGGGAATTCAGGGCACCGAGGTTGCCAAGGAGGCGGCGTCTATTATTCTTCTTGATGATAACTTTGCTTCCATTGTGAAATCTTTGAGCTGGGGTCGCACAATTAATGATGCCGTTAAAAAATTTTGTCAAGTAAGTGAGGAATCGCGTAGCGAAGATGGTGTGCTCTTTAAACCTTTCTCGCACATGAACTAATAGAATAATACAGTTTCAATTCACAATTAACATCACAGCTGGTACTCTCACCATTATTTCGAAGCTCGTCGGTGACTCCATCTTCACAGTAGTTCAGTTGCTCTGGATCAACTTGATCATGGACATATTTGCATCCTTGGGTCTTGCTACTGATCTTCCCTCGCCTGACTTTCTTAAACGCAAGCCAGAACCCCGCAATGCTCCAATTATCACCATCACAATGTGGAAAATGATCCTAGGGCAAGCTATCTATCAGCTTGCCGTCATCTTTACAGTACACTATGCTGCCTGGGAAATATTTGACCCGCATACGCAATCGGAGATTGAAAAGTTGCAGACTCTAGTGTTCAACATATACGTCTGGATGCAGTTTTTCAATCAACACAATTGCCGAAGGGTGGATAACAAGTTGGATATCTGGTACCAAGGAGTGCTGCGCAATCCTTGGTTCATTGGTGTCCAAGTTCTCACTCTGGTAGGCCAGTTTGTCATCATCTTCAAAGGTGGAGAGGCTTTTGACACTGTGCCTCTGACAGGAGCGCAGTGGGGATGGAGTATGCTTTTTGGAATACTTACCCTTCCTCTCGGTGCGTTGATCCGCCAGGTGCCAGACAGATACGTTGCCTCTTTTTTCCAAAGAGTCGGTCACTTTCTTCGATGGATTACCAAGCCATTCAAGGGATGGTGCTCTTGTCTCTCTATTTTACACATTCGCAGCCGTGAGAAGCTGGATCAAGATTCTCGGGAGATGGCCTCTTCCACCAAGGGTGGGAAGACTGGTGGTGGGAAGACTGGCGGTGAAGACATAGCAGGCTCTAAGCGACCTATAAGTGGATCAACGCACAGTGAAGCGTCTGGTCACAGAGGGCACGCATCGGGCGCGGTTGCTGAAAGCTCCAGCGAGGTTGATGAAGATGTAGACCTCCAAGTATTAGTCGAGGCTGCGAGGTTGGGTCGGTCTGTTGGCAAGAATGTCTTGGAACTCCATCCCAAGACACTGGAAGATGACCCAATTATCCGAAAAAGAAGCAATTTCAGCCTTCCGCCGAGTCAGGACCCGGCAATCATGCAATTCATGAGTAGAGCTCATGACGAAGAATCTGCTCGTGTGTCTCGAAGAAGAAGACGAGCAAGAGCTGTTTGGGTTGAACCAACTCGACCCAGGCCAGTCACCACGCCACAAAAGCCCGGGTTGACATGGGAGAGTTTTCTGCGATCTAAGCGAAGATGAGAAGATACACTATAAAACAGAAAGGGAGATAGATTTTTTATATACTCATTGGCCAGAATAGGTGTATGGAGAAGAGGCATTTGCAAGGTTACAAAATATTTGTATACATCATTTTCGTCACGATGAGATGACATTTATATAGTACTCATAGAGACTCTTAATGCTACAGATCTGCGATCTAGCCCGCTCTGGCCACATCAAAGACATGAAGAAGTTAAATCATTTAGCTAGTATTCTATTCAACTTTGTATAGCTCTTCCTGGCACATCTACAATAATTAAACCTCCTGGTACATATCATTCTGCGCCGTAACGAACAAGTCGCCTCAAGGGGCCGCGATTTGCCACCAATGAAGTGTATGTCCCCTGGTCAACCTTTGTACCAGCGTCGAGAAGCACGACCTCGTCTACAACCTGCATCATTTTTACACAATGAGTAGCCACAACGACAGCCATGCCACGGGTCTTCCTTTGCGCCGATCGAATAAGGGTCAATGTCGCTGAACGGACTGTGGCTGCGCTGTCTGGATCTAGCGAGCTTGTAGGTTCATCCAGGATAAGAAGTTTTGGCTTTCTTGCCAGGGCACGCGCTATGTTCACCAGTTGAGATTGGCCCCCTGACAGTGTTTGGCCTCCATCGCCGACGACGGTTTCATACGCATTTGGAAGAGAAATGATGAACTCATGTATCCCTGCTGCTTTGGCGGCTTGGATAACTGACTCTTGTAGAGACTGCGAGGATGCCGACTGAATCCCGTAGGCAATATTTTCGGCAATGGTGGCCGGAAAAAGAAAGGGCTTTTGCGGGACGTACGCCATTGTTGAACGGAGGCATTCCATGTCGATGTTGGGTAGGGGCACATTACCAAAACTCAGCCCGAATCTGTCGACCTCTGCTTCGTTCTGTGACAACTGATTCGGTGTGTTGACCCCGAGCAGAAGCGATAATACTGTAGACTTTCCACTTCCAGACGCGCCGACTATTGCCAGAGACTGGCCCGGATTGATGTCAAGGGATAGGCCATCCAAAATTTTAGGAGAAGACCGGTCAGGCGTGAAGTCTACATTACGCATCTGAATTGGGAGCGGGGAGGAAGGCTGATTTGGCAAGTATCGCGACGGCTGAGTAGCTTTGGGTAACTGAACATACTCCAAGAAATCTGCCGCTGCTTGTTTAGACGCTGCAAGTTCGGGAAGGTTATTAAGAAGCTCAAATGTATTGCCAATGCAAAATAACAAGAGGGTGATGACTTGAAGAATTTCATCCACGTTGGTTCTCGGGTCTGTTGCTACAATCAAGGTGCCATAATAAAAGACCAAAGCAGTGAGGGGCATGATGACAGATTGGTAAAGACCAAATAAAGGACCTGTGTAAAGCGATTTCTTAATACCAACGTGGAGAGCTTCGTCTGCCGCTGAAGATTGCTTGCCACTAAAATAAGACTCCAGTGCAAATACTCGAACGAATTCGAAGTTGATAAGTGCTTCTTTAAGCATGGCGGAAGAATTTGTGGCCGTGTCATTGCATCTCTGCTCCCATGTGGAACTGACGACGGAATATGCCTTCACGGCAAAAATGATCAATGGTAAAGGGGATAGTGTGACTAGTGTCAATTTCCAACATATTGTGATAGCCCAGATGATAGATATGGATATAAGTGCGACAACAATGATTGCAGCAGGAATGGCCTTGCCCACGATACTGCGCATCTCTTGAGCGTTCCGGTCCAGACATTGACTGAGCTGTGCGGATGTTGTCTGAGTTCTTTGGAACCATGACCTTGACTGCCCCAGGACATTCCTGAATGCTTGTTTTCTGAGGTTATCAACCCATGTTTGGGAAAGTCTGTCGAACAGGTAATGCGCCCCTCCTGTAGAAAGTCCATCAATGACGGCAACCGCCACAAGATATAAAGCCCACCTCGCCCCTTCTTCTTTGCCTGTCTTGGCCCACATCGCACTAAGAAGCCGAGAAAGACAGTAAGAGAAGGCAGGTGTTGCAGCAGAAGTAACTAGACAGAGAACGATGGCAAAAATGAGGGCCACACGGTCTCGGTTTGCGATGGAGGGCCATACCGTGCTGACAATGCCCAGCAAGGACGCAACTCGGCGATTAAATGGACCGTAATTATTCTCTGATAATCCATCTATAGCTGAAATGCTATCATCCTGGCTTTCTTTTTTCGTGTAGGTAGATTCTACATCATCCTCGATACACTGTCTTCTGACACTCTTCTCTGTTACTGACGTCTGCGTATCTTTTAACCCAAAGGCCCAGTCTTTGTGTAAGAGTTCACTGTTTGCGCCTGGTGTTTCGAAATGGCGATCTAGGTAGTTCGAAAACTGCTGCTTTGTCCCTTCGCAATCGGAGGGCAGTTGCCAACACGTGGATGGCGGTCGTGTTACACTTTCGCGGCAATCAGCTCGGGAAGTTCTTCTATCATGGCAGCTGTCTATTTTTGCGGATAATGTTAGGGAGGGCATGTTTTGCGGCGAGACAGTGGGAAACTGGCTGTAGTATGCATCGGATGATTGGCTTGTTTGTTTTGTCGTAGTTGAATTTGAAGTCAAGCTATCTCGCGAGCGACGGTGATTTGATGGCCCCTTAATTTCCGAGTTGCAGAAGGCTGTTGCTACATCCCGTAGCTCTTGCATTTGCCCCTGGCGAAATACAGAGCCATTTTTCAGAATGTAAACGAAGTCTTGATCTTCAATGTTTGACAAATCATGGGTAACAACGACGGTGGTTTTCTCTTGTCGCCACCCCCTGACGGCCGTCATGAATTCGGATTTACTGATAGGATCCAAGGCACTCGTGGGCTCGTCCATAACCAAGACTGCCGGATCTCGTAACCATGCCCTTGCCAGAGCAAGTTTCTGCCTCTGACCACCACTGAGTATATGGCCATCAGATGAAATCACTGTAGATAATCCGAAAGGCAAGTTCAGTATAAGGGATCGTAACCCCGCAAATCCACATGCTTGGGAGACATCAGATGCAGTGACCTCTGATGGATATGTGTGTCCAAGTGCCACATTTTTGAAGAATGTGTCATGAATGACAGGACTGTTCTGCTGTACTAAAGCGATTTGGCCCCGGAGACAACTCTGGCATAGCTGGTCGACAGGATAGCCATCAAACAATACTTTCCCACTAACAGGTTTCAGAAGATTGGCGATTAAGGCGCAAATTGTGCTTTTGCCTGATCCAGTGTCACCAATCAAAAAAGTCATATTCTTCGCCGGGAAGTGCAATGATGCTTCTGTCAAACAATTGTTGTCAGGATTTGATTCATACGCAAAGTTCACCTATACGAAGCATTAGCCCGAGGTCCATCTCACACCATTCGAAAGACGCACACGCGCAGGCTTACCCTTTCTAGCCGAACGTCGCCAATGATTTCCTGATGATTTTTGGCAGAAGGCGCTTCAAGGCTTCCCTCCGATTTGGCAAGGCCTGATAGGAAGTAAACTGCGCCTTTGCCTTTGAGCAAGACAAGCCAGTGACCAACAAGGGCTTCAATACCTTGGAATGCCGTAAGAATTGCGTAAAAGGTTGTGACAACGTTTCCGGGCGGCATGCCCTGTTCAACCAAGACGAGACCATACCAAAAGCCCAGAACAAAAACAGAGATCGACCAGAAGGCAATGTAGCCCGCTTGAATCGAGTTGCAGCGAAGTTGAATCAAGAAGTGTCGAGCAGCATGTTTAAGCGCCAAGGCATATTTGGATACTTCCCGATCATGGCCAGAATATACCGTGACAAGATCGATTCCGTTGACGGCGGCGGCGGCGGAAGTGGACGCCTTCTGTAAGTGTTGCTTCTGTAGCCATATTTCGGCATCCACGTTACGCGTGACGATGCAAAGAATGATGAAAGATACAGGTAAAGTCGTCAAGAGAACCAATGATAGTTTCCAAGAGTAGTATAGAGCTATAGCGAGTGAAGAACACGATGTAATAATGTCACTGATGATGAATCCGAGCACCTGAGATGTTGCCAACTGAAGATCACGAATTTGCCTAGCAATAGACGTGTTAATCGATACGGAAAGGTGACTGTGTTAATACGAATAAGAGTCATCTTACGTGTGTAATCGAATGTGAAGTCCCTCAACACCGTCATGCAGTGTTGCAAACCACTCTGGCCTCTTGGACAAGAGACTGGTGAAGACAAGCCTGCGAGCTTCGCGCGCTTGCAATTCACCAAAGATAATCCAAAGGCCGAGGAATGAGCTGTTTACCATCCAACTTCCGATACCCAGGCCGACAAGCACAAGGCACCAAGTAGAGACATCAGCAAGAGCGATCTGTCCTGTGCGTGCTCCTTGGCCAAGCTGCGAAATGATGTCAAAGACTCGACCCAGGACTATCGAAAGGAGTGTCCTCAAAGCTGAAACCAAAGCTGCTGCTCCGAGGGCCGCAGAGAAAACACCAATATGCTGTTTCCTGGTGAAGAAAAGGAGCTGTTTCCAGGAATACCCAGTCATGCTGCTGACATTGGAGCTTGGGCAGACTTGAAGCGAATCCAATGAAGGCTCGCTCTTGGTCCCAGACATTGGATTTGATGGCTCCATAATGCAAGCATCGTGTAGTAGAGGCTGAAATCGGTCATTTAACAAAATATGACAAGAGCATGAGAGAGTAGACCACGGGGCAAGCTGAGAACTGGCGTCAAGGCGGAAGCTGCGGAAACAAAGATCATGACTGGAATAACTAGTCTCTCTACACGGTACGTACAATGGCACGACCCTGTCTAGAAATGCATTGACTTGTTACTAGGCGGAAATATGGAAGTTGATTGTCACGAACCCATTGTCCCACACGAGTTGCATACTATTGTTCAGGACATCGCGGCCCTTGCGACGGGCCAAAACAACAGCGGGAGCAGTGACAGCGCGATGCATGACAAAGGGCTTTGTTAGCAAACTATATGCTTATATTTAAACGGCTATGAGATAAAAACTCCCCGATTGATGTATCGTTGCTGAAAAAGTCCTGCCGGGTTGACCCTTTTGGTGTGTGCCAGTGCCATTTTAGATCTGCCCCAATATGGAGCGCGTGCGTGCGATCTGTCAAAAACCCAAGTGCTAGAAGACAATGCAAAGGCCGCTGGCTACAGGTCTTTGAGCTGGGCGTTCGCATGACTGGATCGAAGAAGCTATGCCGGCTACACAGGGATTTGAGATAGGAAGAAGATTTTGGCAGTCGTCGTTATGTTTACTGCATGTACGTAACCAATCACCACGGAGTCACAGTGTTTTTTCACGGTGCTAAGTGGTAGCTGGCACAGTGACAAACGGTCAACTGATGTCATAGGCCGAGCAATTGAGAGCTTTCTAGGCCCATCGAGAAGCAACACAATGCCCCTCCAAGAAAAGCTCCACCGCTGACCCCACGTTGGACTTTTTCCAAGACAAGACGACTTTGACCTGCTGCCACGACCCCCACGACGACTGACTGCTTTATGCAACATTAACAACAACAGCAAAGAATAAGAACGAATTCTGGTCGTCAAAATGGATCCCATGGAGAGCATGTCAGTGTCCGGGGGCCGCGTGCCGGCCAACTTCAATGCGGAGGATGCCGGAAATATGGAGGATGTGCGTTAACGCAACACACCCCAGCTGTTGCCAACCATGTCAATTCGAGGATCAGGCTCGCTGACCATATAACTATATTTACTACTAGATGGAGAAGCAATTTGCCGTCAAAGGTACGTACACGTAATTCTCCTTGTCTTACAGCTGCAGCGGCCGCTAACCCTCACTCTTGCAGTTGTCCAGCACATGCAAACCTATTGGTCTATCCTAGAGAAGGTCAAGGGCTCGACTCTGCGTTTAACAAAGATGGACGATGAAATATACAGCCACCTCAAAGAAGCATTCCCTGAATTTGACCCCGCCGCAATCGTCGACGAGGATGAGATGAAGAGCAAAGACGGCAAGGAACGCTGGAGGAACTTCATGATGGCATACGAGAAAAAGGTTGACGACTACAACTTTGGAACCATGGTGCGCAATAACGCCAAGGCAGAATATGAGGAAAACACTACCATCTTTGGTGAGAATGCACCAATCATGCTTAATTGACGAAGATAAAGCAGGGCGTTGGGCTGATAGTGCTCTGTCTCATACATAGTACCCCGAATGCAGTTTTATGCTATTGAGATTGCAAGGTACGTACCAGGATTCCCATTTCCGCAAAGCCAACAATGACTCAGTTGTTAAGTCATTCACGTGTAGAAACAAGAACGGCCTAAACGACTGGATCTACGAGCAGGCTCAAGGACAGAAGGCCAAATAAAAATAAGAAAATGGTTTACACCGTGCCTTTCAAGAACCAGACAAAGTTTCAAGGGGGAACAACAATGTGGATGTCTTGTGTTTTGTCAATTTGGACGGATTGTCCTCTTTGTCTAATTACCAGTAGTCTGACCAGAATTGGCCACAAACTATTACTAGACTTTTCCGGCCTGGGAAGACTCAAGGTCCCTTCTGTCGGCAATTGGCTACAAAAGTCTCATCCCAAGAGTAGATCTGCCTGAAATTTAGCAACGCGCAAGCGGGAACGAATGGATACATCTGCTTACAAGCTGATATATGCGGGAAACTTGATATTTATCAATATCTGAGCAGCTAGCGGCTAGCGGCTAGATACTTCCAGCACTTGGAAGCCATAATAAAACTACCTGGCTAAACTATGGCCTGGCCGATGGGACGCTACACATCATAGCGCGTGCGCACGGGACTCTTGATCCGACTTTTGCAGACGAACTTTGATTGACGGCTCATCACGCCAACCTTGCGTACCCTACGTACCCTATGGATACTGGGATCTCTCTGAACTCCTGGTACGCATCATACGTCTCCGTCCCTTGTGCGGCTTGCTTCGCCGCGGAGTCCGCCATCTCGTTGAATGCTCTTGGAATTCTCCAAAATTGTACTTTCACGCCGCAGAAGTCGCATCGCTCAACTTCGCCGAGGGGCATCTCCCACAGATCCTTATTCATCACCGCTCCAGATGACGTTCTCCATCCGTTGTGCAACCAAGTACGAGCCCACCGCGTGGCGCCTTTAGCCACGTGCTCGGAGTCTGTTGCGATAACTATCGTCTCGCATCCTTCACCCTTCCAGTCTCGGAAACGAAGCGCCGCGGGCACGGCACGTAATTCAGCTCTATTATTTGTTTGACTCGACAAGTCACCAAATGGCCCTTGGTTCTCCAGTCGGGCTGACACATCCCCTCGTATCTGATCGTCAGTTGGTCTGAAGACGAAAGCCCATCCTGCCTTTGGGTTGGCCTGTCCATTGTTGAGACAGGCACCATCAGTATAAATCAACATTTGACCCGGATCATGTCGGTGAAGGAATCGAAGTACGTGTGGCCTAGCTCGACGGCGGCTAACATTTGGGGGAAACAATTCCTGGGGGCGTGGATGTGGATGCCGTGGGTGGTGGAACGAAAGCGGTTGGGAAAATGCGACCCGTGCCTCGTCTAATGCTGAGACTGTCAGATCTTTCTCCCTGTGTCAAGTCCACCTCGTTAAGTGGTGTAGAAAGAGCAGCGGATATTCTGGGGCTGTATAACGTAGTTAAAGCTTGGCCGCTCACTCCAATGTTTGCATGAGACGACCGCCCTTGATACCCGGAATCCGCATCTTCCTCATCGTCCTGCGTGAAGCTAAAGTCCACACAGCAGCGACCACAAACCACGAGGCCATGAGCTCGGCAGACCATTTGGCCATAGGGCAGTGCAGTCACGAGGTCCTTATATGAAGGCATGCCGAGTACTGTGAAGTAGTATGTTCAAGAATATGCCAATTGACTCAGATTAATGAACAGAGGCACAAGACCGTGGTGCGTTGGATAGGAAAGTGTGCGGTGTTTGGGGAAAACATACAGATTTACTCAACAAAAATAGACCGGAAGGAGCTACTGTCCTCCTTCCCCAGTAGTTGGGATGCCAGCAAGCTAAGTCATCATGAAAGAGCTTCTTTGCGCCTCCATTTTTCTTCTTTTACCACGAGTAGTGGGGTATATTAATGTATTAATTCATAGACACTAGTCCAGTTCCTTGCTCTATCCTTTCTATTCAATCTTACCTAGGTTATAAATTGGAAGAGAGTTGCTCAAATGAAAATACTCTAGCTACTTAGTCTCCTTGTCTAGGAGGGCAAGAAGTCTGTTACTAAATAACCCGCTTTGAACGGGCAGGTTTTCACTACCAAGAGTGTGGCCGAATTCATGGGACTTTTTATCGGGAATATCGTAAGCCTTAGTATAGGTTTACAAGCATTGAAAATTCGATTCTTATATCAGATTCAGGGGGTGGGATTGCTGTAGCGTCTAGCAGCCTTTGCTTTATATTTGAAAATGAATAAGCGGCGTCAAAAAATCGCTATGTATTCATTATTTGCACTGTCCTATTGATGCGTGGCTAATAGATATGCGGATGGCCCATTACTAAAGGAATAGCATTAAAGAGAGTAAACCATATACATCACTCTCAAACGTTATATGGAAGCCCGTCTGGCCTCCTGTTGCGACATCATTGTTACCCTCCTCAAACTCAATAGACATGACAAGAGAGGGAAATAGAAAAGGGGGAAATACTGCACAGGTTATAGGGTAGGCATTGTCACTAGAACTTTTTCGTTCGCTAAGGATAGTAATCAAATAAAGCCCAAAATGAATGAAAATACCGAAAATGGGACGGCTTGATCCTCAGGGAGGGGTGTTCCCTAGATCCATAATGTTTATTGTTTATTTTCTACACAGCCTTGCGGTTTCCTTAACGCCGCTACACGGGGCCAAAATGATACGCCACCAGAGAAGAAACCTTCCTCATACCACATGCGATTCTATTGGTGTTGGAGAGACTTCACTTGTGGTTAGTAAGAAGCACCAGGGAAAAGAGTATGGGCCATTTAGCACTCACATTTGCAAGTTTACTCCGTGACCGAATTCTTTGACCAAAAAGCAGCAGAACCCAAGGGATGACAGACAACACCATGGCAATACCGCCCAGCATGCCCCCTGCACCCTTGAGGCCAAGATTGGTAAACATTGCCTTTACAATGAGGGGGAATATGCCACCCAAAACGTTGCGACAGAAATTCTGAGCTGCCAAGGCCGAGGATGCATAACTCTGGTACGAGTCGGCAAGATAGTTAAACGTCGCTAGATAGATGGAGTATATGCCCCAGACGGCAAAGCCGAGACCTACGGCTTCTGCATATCCACTCATAGATTCGGGGCACAGGAAGGCTCCGAACAAGCCGGCGGGTAGGAACAGCGCGGTAACGCAAGCAAAGTAAAGCCTCGCCTCGGGGGAGTCAGTCGGGAAACGGTTTCTCATAAAAGCCCAGAACCTCGAATCAGAATACTCAAAATCTCCCTTGTGGACACGCCATTGCGGGTGCTTGAGCAGATGCTGCTGCAAGATGCTCACTGCTGTTGCGACCACAGCGGCGGCCATGATGGCACCATAGACGCGGCTGGAGAGGTCGAAACTGTTTTCATATAGAAAAGGCACGACAGAAAAAGACATGTAGAGAACGGCCCAAGAAAACGCCGCCCAGAGGGAAAACGAAAAGACGACGGGCTCGGTAAAAAGCATGTGGAAGGGCCGCCTCACGGACAAACTCATCATCTGGAACACAGGAGGGCGTTGTTCGTCTTCCCTGACAACCCAGCGAATACGCAAGTACCTGTCTTGACTGCCATGTCCCCCCTTTTGATCCTCGTCGGAAGATGCGCCGGAGGCAATGGGCAGCGGCGGCGAAGAGGCCGGCATACACACGCCATAGATTCCCCTGGACTCGAGCTTCTCATACCACTGGTTTAGCCTTTTAGCTTTTCTGGTTAGTAGGACTGAGGCGCGGCTTTCCTTGAACAAGAGAATCAACAGGATGAGAAGCACGCCATCCAGGACAACCTGGTGCCAAAATGTCCACTTCCAGGCCGTGGTAGTTTGCCCAAACCGCTTCATAAAAGCCGTGCCGACCAGTGGCCCGGCTCCGGTTCCAGCCAGAACAGAGCCGCTGAAGAGGGCCATGGGCGTGTTGCGCTCCTTTTTGTCCCACAGGTCCGCAATGACACCGCCGACGACGGAGCTAAATACAGATGCACCGGCTCCAACGAAGAAGCGTGCGACGAGGAGCCCGGCAATGTGAGTCATGACGGCGCAAATAGCCTGAAACACGACGAATACTACGCCGGCAACAATGAAGACGGGGAAGCGACCCCAAATCTCCGAGATGGGCGCCAGTGCCATTGGTGCGAAGGCGAACCCTGCACAAAACGTGGTAATGCCAACCAGTGTGACGATCCGGGTTGTGCCAAGGTCCTGGGCAATGATGCCGGCTGGGGGTGAATAGCAACCCGCAGTGTAGGCAGTGAGAAACGTGGCGACGCACGAGAGTGCCAACGAAACATTCTTTCGAGCTGGACTCCATTTGAGCGGGGACATGTATGGCTTCAGGTCAGGACAAGGCGGGTAGACGCTGACACTCTGTTGCGGCTTTGGCACCGAGGGCAGGGCGGTGTCGAAGGACAGGTAGCAATATGTGATTGGGCTTTTTTCACCCAAGCCGGTAATCGAGCTGTGTTCTCTGGCGAAGCCGAAAGAGCAACAGCCTCCCGCTTCGGTGGTGTTGTCCAGCTCCCTGGCAGAGACCATGGCGCGGAGATATAAGGCTGCCGGTATGCCGTGAACCAGACGACGGCGGGAGGGAGACTGGCGATGATGGTTGAGGGGTTGATGGACCAAGAGACGGGACAATGAATGGTAGTTCAACAGGCCCGGTTGCAATTTGAACTCGAGGCGTCTGGTAGGCGTAGACTATGCCACCCCAACGTCAATGTAGAGAGCGGTTGACGACCGACTCTCGACTCGGAGCGAGGGCGTCCATCTCACGGTTCGGAACATGAAGATTGGGGGGTTCGGTTTATATTGTAGGAACATATGGCCGCGCCCCGTAGTCCAAGAGCGATGACGGACATTGGCGGGAATAAGAGGCGATCCTTCATGCTCCGCATCTTAGCCCATGCCCAGGGTGTCAAATGCCGCTATTGAGCGCACTGGCGAATGGCTAATGAGAAATTGCTGCTGAGGCGCGTGGGCCTGGAGCCCAACGGTGAGAAATGTCAAGTGGAAGGCGCCAAAACTTTGATTCGGCTCAAAGTTGGGGTGTGGACATGGAATCAAGTCTCCAGCCGGGAATAACCTTCGGAAACAACATTTGAAGCCTCGGGCACAACCCGCCTGGCCAGGTGGACGCGCATTGACCCCTAACCTCGACGTGGCCAGAACTTTTGAGCGCGCCGGATACCAGCGAACCCTTGACTAATATATCTTGACTCTTTATCCAAAATGCTACTGTGCAACTAGCATTCCATGAAATCGTGTCCAATCGGCCAGAATTCCGGTCAACTGGCCATGTTCTCCCCACCCCGACATCTAGGCAGCCTCATATTCCCGACTATGACCGGTCAATGCACGGGTCGCGACTTGCCCGATCCTCGGATATCACTCGCGGCAAATCCTCGACCAAGTCGAAATCGCCTCGCAAATTTCATATGACGACCAGCCATCTCCCTGCTACATTGCTCAGGTCCACTGACGTCCGAATTAGAATGAACCTCGACCTTGATCCCTGCTGCTTGAGCTGCCAATCACATGTCATGCCCAGTGCCGGCGATTATCAACCCCTATGAGTATGCTCCATGCTAACGAGAACCACTTGAATATGTTACGTCGGCTATTGACTCGCATCTTGTCTCCCTAGACAGCTCGGCTGGCGCCGATTCCGTGTGGCTGGGTTTACGACAACCCGGGCAAGCCTCTGCACGATTTGTAAGTCGGCAAACCCCTATGGGCTGGGTCGGAGCAAGCTCGGGGGCGCCCGTCGCGTCGTGAGATAATTCCGCCGAAACGGAGTCAGCTTCCTGCTACTGATTCTGGCCCTGCGATGCAGCGTTCCTTTGTGGTTCATCTCTGGCCGAGTTCGCTGGTTTCCTTGTGACTGACCACTTCCCTTCTTACTCACCATGACGACGATGGCAAGCAAAACCAAATAGCCAAACAACCCCAGTTGTGACTCCTGCCACGATCCTTCCGTTTGGGCTCCCATCTGATGGCGATGGCCTGCGCGTTTTTGGCTCTACAGTCTGCGTAGTGAGGACTGTAGAGCTCTCGGGGTCCCTAATTCAGACTCTGTCCCAACAGTAATGGTACTTGAGGGCCAATTGTGAGCAGAATACATTAGTAGCCGAATAGACTCTCGTAGAGCCTTGCTTTGGTCTTTCCTTCTCCATCGAATCTCGAAAGCCGGAACCGAGAGAATGCTTTTCCCGAACGTTGTATGAGCATATCGTTGATCTTCCCTCGTCTCATTGCATTCGTAGCCGCTGCCCGTGACGTTGTTGTTAGCTCAACAAGAAACATGTTCCGTATCGGGAGAGGATTATCTTACAATGGAATACATCTCACGGCAATCTCTCCCGGCTGTATCGACCACCCGCTCTGTGGTTCTGTCACTTGTGTGCATTGTGGACGATATCCTTCGAAACACTGACCAGGGAAATAGAAACCCCCATCTCCCTACAGAGCCAACCTGCCAGGAACTCGACAATGCAAAAATTCCGATGGCAAGAGTGGCGCTGGGCAAGGAATCGCCCGTGGTCATGGGCATATATCTCATCACATCGCTTCCTCTTGAAAGCGTTTCTATACTCATGATGGAAGATGGAAGTCCTTACACTTGAGATTTCAGGAGCCGACGATTCAATTCGGCGGCGGATACGAGAGCAAACTGCCGCCAGAACTTAAGAATTGGGCCTCGCTCACGACTCCCACATGCGACAGCCGCCAGCTTCAAGCCGCGATTCGGCTTGACTCCCTATAGTCTGTCACTCCGAAATTATAGAGGAAATTCAGAGAATTACGGAACTCACAGCGCAAGACCAGTTGAGCTCCCTAGATCAAATTCGTCCAGCCTCGCCAGAAGAGAGGACCTACGGCGGGGTTTGATCGAAAGAAAAGTACGTCCACTGCAAGAACGATAGCGCAGATAAAACCCGTCTAAACTATTAAAGAAGAGAGAGTCTAAAACTACATGTACTCATTGGCTCCCAAAGATATGACATACATCCCCTCCAAAAACAAAATGTACACCCTTGTGTCCTGAAAGTCTGGAAAAAGAAGCATGACCATGAGGATACCCCGCATTATAATACACGTTCTATTTGATAAAAGAAAAAGTCGTGCTCAATCGACATCATCTGGACTTGTTGTTTCCCCAACCCCGCTACCGGGCGCTGATTCCTCTTTGGCTTGTTGTAAAACCTGCGCCTCGTCATGCCCTTCGTGTCTAGATTCATTATTGCTTGCCCTTTCCGCGACCCTATCAGCGGCGCCCTCTTTAAGCGTGCCATCCTCGTTGACGTCTTCTCGAAGATAGATTGTAAATACGACGACTAGGTACGCCTCTGCTGTTTGCTTGTTACGCAGGACGTATCTAAGTTCGTGCGACCGCCTAGGAATTCATGTTAAACCAACACAAGATGGATAATACGGCACCAAGCAAACAAGCAAACAAACAGACAAACGAGTTACTAGTAACCCACTGCGTTTCACGGGTGAAAATACACAACCAAGCAGCGCATGGTGGGTGATGGGTAGTCACGTTTCTTACCTGAGACCCTGACCATCCCAGTACTTGACGATTGGCAGCTGGAAGCCAGGCAGATTTAGAGCCAAGTTGGTGAAATCGAGGTAGGGATTGAAAAAGTCTAACCCATATGATTTTCCATACTCGAAGACCCATTTGCTTTTGCTGTCATCCTTCAACGCCCACTTCATACGAGCCTTGCTGTCCACGGGCGCGCCAATGGCCTGGCGGACCTCCATTCCTTCCTCGTCGCCCCCTTCTTCGAACCAGAGGCCACCCTTCTCCTCCGCATAGTCCCCAGGGCCGAGATGAATGGAATTAAAAGAGCTCAATGCAGGGCCATACAAGTAGGGTCTATCGGCGTAGGCGTCTCCATCCAAGCCGGGGTCGATCCACCACCGAACAATGCCCATGGCGGTGTTGAAGCCGGGGGGCAACTTGTCTCGAATTGGGCGATCAAAGTCATTGCCGAACTGGAGGTCGTGGCCGTTGATGCCCTCTGGTTTCGGCCCCGCGCTGGCGTCGCTATCGTCGCTCACGACACTCTCATCACTTCCTGCGGCGGGCTTCAGAGGCTTAAATCTAAAGGAGATGCTGTACTGGTCGTTGTTCTTTGCGTGCGGCTCCGTCTCAAAGTAGGGAGATGTGGCGGGCGACCCCAAGGGCAAACCGCCATAGCCTCGAATTCTGATATTCAGCTCAACATGTGCACTGTGGCCCTGGATTCGGATTGGCTCGGGCTGATTCACCGGCACCTCGACGTGGGTGGCGGCATCGTAGCTTGGGCCTGCCGTTACACGTAGAATATATCTGTCGGCCATGGGCTGATTGCTATATGTACGAGGTTTGCTTGTGGAAGAGACGAATTTCCTGACATGAGAGGAGAATTGCCGCCTTCGGCTGAGCTGCGAATAGCTCTGGGTGGGTGCTTGAGAATTGCTGGATTGCATGACGTCGACCAACGCAGGCGGCAGAATGAAGCTTGCTTGGCTGCTATTGGACCGTTAGGCAGTAACGGAGGCTCCGGTGCTCTGGTCCTAGCTAACCAGCAGGCTACTGGCAACGGCCGTGGGGCGAATTCGTTGACCATGTAACGCAGCGCGCGGACGGATTAATATTCAGACAGACGGCGTGGTATTGCTCAGTTGCAGGACGTATGATGTTATACAGTGTTGCAGTTTCTTCGTTTGTTCCTTAGCTTTTAAGGAAAAGGATTAAAAAAAGAACTGGCTACTCCAGCTGGCTCAAACTGGCGTTTTGAAAATACGCACCATGTTACGCATTGACCGTATGTTGAAAGAGCGCTGCCGAAACACCGTCGGTGCTGTCAATCTGACCGGTCGCGCTCTGGCTCCGATTTGACACCAGATCAATTCTACATCCGTACTCTGTACATCTAAAAACCCGCTTCCTTAATATCACGACATCGGATCCATGTCGCAAGGGTCGGCCAGTCAATGCTCCCTGCTGCTCCTACCGGGCCAAGTACGACAGTGTGTCCATTGATGCGCTGCCCAGAGAGACGTGTACATGCGTATCTGGCAATGATTCTTACAAAATCAAAGTCTCCGCACATGCACCGCCCTCAGGGAACGCCGGCTCCTCATCAGACGTGACGCAAACACCAAAAACAGCCACCACCCAAGAAACCGGAATCTTGAGCTTTTCGTGCCTCTCTGCCGGCGCCATCGAAAGACCAAAAGAGCTAGTCGAGAAATGATCACATCAGCCTGACGATCCCCAATATCCAGCGACCATGACGGCTAGTGACCCGGGGCATCTCCCCAAACACAAATAACACCTTGACTCCTATGATGTGGGGGGTATTTCATCAATTCAAAGGCAACACAATATCATCCCCAATCGGATTTCCAGCGCCGGGGTTAAATAGGTGGTTACAGTAATCGGACAGACCAAAGCGGATCGTTATGATTGGCACATCTTTGGGCGAGTTTCTACTTATTCGCATTTCCATACTTTTATTTCGACATCTTCCGGCTCTTTACGTCGTCATTCTACTCTGCAACGTTCTAAAGAGAGATTTGCCGTGGCATAGCTTGGCCACCGTCGTCCCGGCCTTGTTACTAGTAGCAGAAACCTTGTTCTTCACCTTGATTTACACACCGCACAAGCGGAGATTGCAATGCACCGCAATCCACCCGGCTCCTTTATCGCATGCTGAACGGAGACGCTTATTCGACAAGTGCATGGCAAATACGCCCCATGTGAACGAATACTTGCGCGGGTGGTTCCTCGGTGCCGAGTTGGAAGACATTCGTCGAGACAACCTGCGCGAATTCTTCCTCTGGGCGTTTTTCGACACCCAAGTGGAAAACAACGACCCGGCATCTATTGACCAGGACATCTGGAGCGAGATCAACGACTACGTCGCGCTGACGGAAGAACGACTTGGTCACCCCCTAGGCGAGGGATGCGGGCCGGCCAAGAGTCTTCGTCTCACACTGGACGGCATCGCTACTGCGTACAGATGTCTACTCTGGTATTTCATCGTGTTCCTAGTCGACCAGGCCACACACTACGTATTGGCCCGGCACGGGTTTCGTTATTACGCCAGGACATTTCGTGTTGCACGGAGGACGTTTCCCCCTCGCCCACAAGAGCTGTTTGCCAAGCATCGCTCGACAGTACCCGAGCTGAGCTACTGGTTCCTGCCGCACACCACAAACGGTGGGAACAAACGATGTATTATTTTCTGGCACGGAATCGGGATAGGACTATGGACGTACGTGTGGTTCATAATACAATTGCGTGCCTCCCGCGCTTCAAACCATGACACAGGCATCATTGTGCCAGAGATGCTTCCCATTTCCTTTCGACTCACGGACCCGCCGCCTCGAAAAGACGAACTGTTGACCATGGTGATGCGAATTTTGGACCACCACCAGGGCTGGGAGAGGTTCACGTTGGTGTCTCATTCATACGGGTCAGTTCCCACGACTCACATGCTGCGGTCACCGCAATTGAGAAGAAGAATCCAGTCCATCACCCTCATTGACCCCGTGACAATTCTTCTTCACTTGCCGAACGTCGCCTACAACTTCACACGACGGACGCCGCAGCGGGCAAACGAATGGCAGCTTTGGTACTTTGCCGGCACCGACCTGGGAGTAGCCCTCTGCCTCGGCAGGCATTTCTTCTGGAGAGAAAACATCATATGGAAGGAGGATCTAGTATCAGAGCATACCCCACAGACAAGGCGGCATGATTCCCAGGGCACTCAGAGGGTCGCGGTGTGCTTGTCCGGGCGGGACTTGATTGTGAACACGGCAGAAGTTGCACGGTATTTAACGAACAGGCCGGATATGACGGGTGTCCCAGCAGCTTCCGAGGACATTGAAGGCAGCAGAGAGTGTGCTGCCGACGACGTGCAAGTTGTCGTGTTTCCTCACTTGGACCACGCCCAGGTGTTTGACCGGAGGCGTGAGCGCGAGAGAGTTGTCGAGCTTATTCAAAACCCGCATTGACTGACTTGTTAGTTGGGAACGGTATAGAAGACGATATGGCAACGGGGACGGGAGTAGATCAAGCATAGCCAGCCCTCGAATTTACCTACCAAAGATGATGCCAGATGCACATCGAACTACTACCTTTATTTGCCCGGTGTGGTTTCGTCGCCTCCCCAACCGTCCAAAGTAGCACCAACTGGACGCGGCCCGCCATGTATGACGACACACACAAGATCTACATGGCTCCCGTTCACAACCTGATGCTCGGTCCAGGCGGGGATGAAAGCAAAGTCTCCAGCGCCCAAGTCATGTTTTCTCAGCTCCGACTCAAAGCCCTCGTTCACTGTCAGACAACCCGTCCCCGAGACAGTGTACATGATTGCATCTGCAGGCGTGTGCATTTCATGTTAGTAATGGAAACTTGGCCTATGCCGGCATGCCAGGACGGCGAGCCAACGGCGGCACAGATCTCAGCTGCAAGCCTCAAGCCCGGCAGGAAAAAAAAAGGGGGGGGGGGGGGAAGTTCTGGACACAAACCTTGTTCGCTGTTGTGGTGGACTGGAGTTTCGGACTGTGGTCGAACCGTGAGGACTATGTATGTGCAAATGTTACAATGACAGGGCCAAATATAGCATCATGCTCTCGCAGGTGGGCATGAGACATGCGATGTGTCACTAACCTGTAGCAGACATTCTATCGCACTTGTCCACAATGGCAGCTCTGACAGTAACGGGACCTTCAACAGTAGGACGCTTGGGCTCCAGATCCCCAGCCCGCGTCACATGCGTGGCGGCGGGCATGATCATAGGCAAGATCTCGGAGATGAGCGGGAAAAACGAGGCCATGATTGACAATAAAATCCCCGCAAGCAAAAAACGGCAAACAGAAACACGGTGAGCCTTTTTCACCTCGTCCAACGTCAAAGTCTCTCCTCGCCTCTAGCAAGGACCTCTCTGGTTGGGCAAGAGCAGGGATATGCGCGATCTGCTAAAGGATTCCGCGTCCGCGTCTGCGTCTGTGTCTGTGTTTGTAAGCTCGAACCAGCAAAATCGGGATCCGCGCCGGCTCACGGCCTGGGAGGGTTGGAGGTTGTGGCTGACCGCGGGTACCGGGATGCAGATCCCGCGTACTTTGAAACTCTGTTTGTTAATACGGGGCCCTGTCAGTTATACATACAATGGGCGCAGCCAAGAGCCGCAGAAAGTCGACAAAGGACCAGTTGACCCTGTCGCAGCGGCGGCGGCGCAAAAATGTATATGAAGACGAAGAACGGGCGAGGCTAGAATAGGAAGGCCGACCGCCAACACGGAACGCCGTGGCTGGGACTGAGACGCGCTGTTACACCGATCGAAGAAGGGGGAGGGGGAAGGGCCACCACCACAATCCATCTGATAATAGTCCCGCGTAGTGGTGACGCAGTTGAAGCGTAATCAAGATGCGTACTCCGTACCAGACATTACATTCATGTACTGGCCTCTTGTAGGTACAGAAGCCAGTGGGGTTTCTGTCTCTCTTCCAAAGGCACCAAGGCACCGGAGCACCCACCGACTTGGTACTCCAAGTAGTTATTTGGTTGCTTACTTGACCGTTTGGGTCAGATGATTGTGAACTGTCCAGGAACTTTTCGACATGCACCAGTTAGCCTTGGCACTCACTATGGATTCGATAGTAACAAGCCAAATTGTACGAGTGCGGAAGGCTCGCTTTGCTGCGCGGAGTGGTGACATCACTTCATAAAACATGCGCGGTTCCCTCCCGCCATGACGAGCAGCTGGCTTGGCAAAACTAAAACTCGATACGGAGTACCATGTCCATAGTATTGCATTAGCCCGAGGCAGATTCCGCACATCTATCCAAGACCGAACAAACTGTAGAATAGTCTTCGAGAAGCAAGGTACCCAAGTCTAAATCAGGTTGGTGACAACCGAGATGAAGCCCACCACACGTTGGGCCTGCGCGAATGCCGATGCGACCTAGCGAGTAATGGAACCACACTGTTCGGATATTGCCAGGACACGACCCCAAGCCATAAAGAACCTGCCACATGAGAGAAAAAAAAAAGGACCTGCATATGTACAGACGCCGTGTCTTCAAAATCGGGGACCTGCGGATGTTCGTGTCTTCCGTCATCCGCTATGCGAAAAGCCCCAGTTCTGACCATCTTCAGGTGCTTCGGCCGAGGTTTGCCGGGCCTGCCGGCTGGTTGAGAAGACCATGATACCGTAATTCTTGTCATTAGAGCAAGGACAGCGACATGGCCTGTTCTTTCATGCATAACCGAACAATGTGAAGAGTAAATCTAGGTTCGCGGACAGTCAAAGAAGAAGAATACTATGCATGCTCGCTGCGATAAGCCCGCTAGCGGTATGCAAGCATTTTACACATGCATATATTCTGCTCCTGTGAGCCCCGTGTCCATTAAGCATGCTGTATGAAGTTTTCACTTGTCGATGTTTAGCCGCTTTCCTACGCCCCCCTTTTTGAACACTCTCTGACGGGATTCGAGATTCTGAAGTCGGTGTATGTATGCTCACTTCCGGCCAGAAGTGAGGTGAGGAGTAAGAATTTGCAGTGGAGCTGGACAGGTGCCAGGGGCCAGTCTGTCAAGGATGTTGGGAGCATTCGATCAATCTGCAAGAAGAGCAGCTGGCTCGGTAGATCTTCAAAAGTGATTGGTAGGGTCCCGGAGCCACCCGTCCTCTCTTCAATAACTAAAAGCGGACACAGTGCAATGGCAACTATAGAGTATTTGGATGGCTGGTCATCATATTGGCCAGGCATGACAGACAAGGCCTGGTTTGAGCTTAACTACCAAGTACCTATGTAGTAGCTGATCTGGTACCATTGGCAGCAGGACCAAGAAGTTCTGATACAACAGCGTGCTCTGTTCGTGGGTATATTGGCACTGCATGTGCTTTCCACAAATCCAGAAACGGAGTCGCTCGACGTATGCTGCCATGGGTTGGTGATGTTGGGCCTGTTGAGCAATGGGCTCGACTAGCTGAGTTTGGAGGCGTCCAGACAAACCACATAAGTGTATTTGGAATATGTACAGATATGACAGTTGGTGAAAGCTCGTGGCAATAAAGCCAGAAGTTGCATTGCACACGCACAGCATGTGTTGTACGCAAGTAACTAGCTGGCTTGCTGAATTGGGCAGACTCCTGCAGGTGGTGGTGTACTTTGCGAATCCTCGGAAACAGCTCCGGTACCTTGTTCTGCATGTGGGACACAAAGGAGGAAGAAGCTTCAAGCGAGGGAGGGCGTGGTGTATAGATAATCGGACAGTTGCATGCACAGTCGCATTAGTGGGTGATGCTTTCCCCTTTTCCTGACAGGAGCCCCCAGGTTCTCTCTATCTGGTGCCGTTGGACTCGGAGTGGAGAGAGTCCGTTTGTACCTTGGGTGTCGTAAAGCCCGACTGCAACAAACACAGACACTGGGAGAAAATTCCTTTGCTTTCAGACGAGAAGCCCACCTGCCCAGCTTGTTCTGTAAATATTTCACGCATGTCTGTTTGGACATGTGGTGATCGGACGTTTTTCCCGCCTGAAGACGCAGCATCCTGGCGCTAGCCAAGCACTGTGTTTAAGCCCGATCCCTGTGATTACCACGTCAACTCTAGCAGGTAACATTGAAGGGCATAAGAAGCGAGACAAGATGCCATGATGCTCCGTGCGCGAAGCTGGCGCCGCCTAAATTTCTTCAATTGAGGGGATTGTGGGCCATGGGAGCATTTGGTCGGCTCAGAAGAGAATGGGAAAAGCCTCAGGAGCTTTCATTTCAAAGCCACCCAAGGAGCTAGTCACTGCGCGTGGTACAAAGTGATGCTACCGAAGTATCGTCGTCGATGTAAACAGCCCTCCATGTCTTTGTCACTCTGTTGCCATTTGAAAGAAGAGCTGAGAGAGGCAATGCCGATGCGGGCAGTACGGAATATATAAGCGCGCATTTATCGGGACTTCTGAAAGTTTCCTGTGGGAAAAGCGCTTTCCATCGGGGGCTGGCATGCAGAACAGCTCTTAAATCTAACCAGAGATCATAGCTCACTTCGTAAACAAAGCTAATGGTGACCTGTAAAAGAATCGGAATGTTCCGTGACTTGACAAAGGTCCTTATTATGTCTGGTAGCATGGCTAGACAACAGCAAGCATACATACATACTGTGAAGTCGGGGTCTTAAACGACCTAGTATTCCTGACAGGTCCACTTTAGCCAGTGGTCTCTCGGTCAAATTGACCTTTAGAAGAACATGGGCGAGGCGTTTGCCTGCAGCCCAGCCAGGCTAATAATAGTCAATGCCGGGTACGGTTAATCTTGGGGGCGATGCGTCCTGGTCTCCGCCCTAGAAGTTGCATCTCCTGGTTCTTCTATAGTGGAGGGGAAGGGTCATAAGTCTTCGAATCATTCGACGCTGCCGATGTACACACATAGTCATCGTCTTTGGTGCTTGATGTATGCATCGATATTTGTGTACTCCGTAGTCTCTCCAACTGTAGATTTGGTTCAATGCAGGGATGCGATCTTTGGTACGAACTGGCCGAGAAAATCTGGAAGACACATTAGCATTTAAAATCGAGGCATTGCTAGCCCTCCATCAGGATCTCCTAGATTAGGAGGACTCCAATGTCATCGAAGCTAGTGTAGTGAGGTTGAGGTTTCAATGTTTTCACGAGTTCCACATAGCCGAGGAGGTCTCGAGTCGTGTAACGAGTTCTCGAACTTTGAGTCCACTTACCCACTTGGAGCGGGTATCTGGTGCCCCGAACTTTGGGAGCTCTAAGTGCCAGCTAGTGTCGTCGACCTCGGAAGCTGTGTGGTTCAGGTATAGACATATGCACAGTTAGCAAACGTCTAGTCTGTTGGTCTTGTTGAAGAGATATGTTGGGAGCAACTCTGGAGTAGGTGAACTACAAAGTGGCACCTACTAGGTACCTAGGCCTAAGTACCTACTAGGTGCGCACCGCTGCGTGACTGCTGCCTACCTAGGTGGTTAAGCCATCAACGGTGCAACCGTGTCTACTGGTTGGTCGCTCTTGCCTCAAATTTGCCACTCGACTAGTTGCGGCAGGTACACACCATAATGCTGTGCTGCACTCATGTTTATGTAAACTGTTGAGTGCCTAGTGAATCCTCCTTTGCGGACATGCCAGGCCAGGGATTTTCGCATCGCCTTGCACGGAACCACGGAATCACGGCACGGCACAACACCACGGCTTACTCCCCACAGCGTCCCAGTTACGACACACATCAAAGCCGAAACAAAGGAAGCCCAAGCAGAGCGCGGTACTTATTCCACACCTTGTGTCTGGCCCGGAACCCTTTTATAGCCGCCGTCAAACCAGGTTACCATCAGGCCCTGGCTTTCCCGTTGAGAAGCTGGTAGGCTGACCGCGCCATCCGATCCATCAGCTCCATCCCATGGCGGGCGCTGGAGCGGATCTATGGGCCTTTTGTCATCTGAGAGCGGCACCAGGGACTGGTCGACTAAGTTGACTACGAGAGTACTCTCACCCAACCAGACCAACTAATTACCAACACGGGCCAAAACAAGAACTTTCAACCTCAGTCTCACTGTCACCTACCGCTTCCCATTGACTGCCGCAAGGATTCCGCTGTCCCGTTTTTGCTCATACACTCCCCCCCACGGGTGTGCTGGTGATCCTGGCTGAGCTTAGAATTGTGCAGCACTTGGCGTACAACCCCGAGTCTCGCCACAAAAACTGCATCTCAGACAACAGACACCGTCCAAAACAGCGAGTGGCACTTGCAAATGGTACTACAACAATATATCAACCTCGTGTCTTGCATTTTTGACTAGCCCGCCAAATATCCACATCACTTGGGGACTCCGTAAACTCCTTTCCTCTTTTGAATGCACAATTCTTCAGAGCTCTCCAACTCAGAAACGCCACATCAGAATTGAATCTATATCACACAGCACGGCGGCCTGCTCGACTTTTGCCTCGTGTACCTCTCCTTCGACCTGCTGTGATATATCCGCGAAATGGCTGGCTTCGCAGCCTCTAGAAAAAAGCGTTCTGCGGAGCCAGCTCATGATTCTCGGACAGAGTCGACTACAACTTCAGATCCATCGTCTTCTCATCAGCGGCCTCCGAAGCGCCAGGCTCCCTCACCCGCTCCTAATTCACCTCCTGCACGGGATTTGCCAGGCTTACCTGACAACCAAATTCGTGACCTTCTGCCTATTGTGCCTACTTCAGCCACTACATCGCCTTCAAACTACGGTCGTATCAACGCGGAAAACGAAACTAACCTGGACCTGCTTGAGAGCATGCCGAATGAAGTCAATCATTACCGACAACGCATTTTGAGGAAAATGTCAGGCCAAACTAGCACTGCCAGTGGCGGAGAGCACCATGATACCACATTTGCAGGTATGCCCATGTCTGTTCAACTCCTTGCTTTGCCCCTGGGTTCATCGTCGACGTTAAGACACACAATTGCCACAATTCATCTCTGGGTCTGTACTGTTGATTTTCATGCGGCTGATAGCTCTATTTTGTGGTGTGTGTATGCCTCTCTAATAGCAATTATACACCAACCTTGGCTGTCTTACAGCCGGAGCCTCATCCTCTAAGTCCCAGTTAGCAGCGTCCAAGTTTGCGATCAAGTAGTCTACTTGGCTCGGATTGGATGGCTTTATCATTTTATCAGATGGCACGGGTTTTTTAATGCAAGAAATGAGTAAGCTGACGTTTCGCCACAGGCAAGCATCTATTATTGTCAGAGGAAGCGGTCGAAAGTGCTTCCCGCTCAAGACAAAGTTCAAATAGGGATTCAAACACATCCTCTCTCTGCAATTTGCCTCCAGAGTTGATCGATTGCATTCTATCACACCTGTCTGCCACAGATCTGCCCTCCGTTGCCGCCACTTGTCGGAAGCTTCATAGACAAGCCATATCTGACATCCATTGGCTTCGATGCATCCAGCACAATGTGCCGGGATTAACATTGACCAACCCCGGGCCTTGCAGCAGCTTCCGGGAGCTTTATATTGCACATGATCCCGTATGGTTTCTACCGAAGTATAAAATCTGGTTCTGTGATAGAGATTTAACGGGCAAACTAATCGTCGTGCGCTTCGACCCACGGAGAGGTTGTATAGAAGGCTACCAATTGGTAGCCGTAAGCAATAGGAACACCTTCGAACATTGGCCAACGGACAGCCAGGTTATTATTCATGGTTTCGAGCCACAAGTCAAGCTGCATCTTGATAAGCCTGTTCTGCAGTTTGATGTCCAAGACAGGCAGAAGACCGGAAATTTTTCTGTCAGGCAGGGCGCCAACCGCTTTGCTTCCGAAAAACCCATGGCGCGTGGAAATCGTTCAGATCCGATGTTCAGTAACTTCTTACTCACCCGGCCATTAGACCCTGAAAAGGCGGATGAGAAACTCGCTGCTGACTACCCTTATGATCATGTTTGGCCGCCACCAACCATCCCAGCTCGTCACCACGTGTCTGGCGCAAGATCTGGTCAAGCTGTCATCGACCTGTCGCAAGATGATCGGCCCAGGTCTCGAGGTGAGGTCTCTGATCAGACCTTCCGTATTCGGCAGTGGATGCAAATGCCAGGAACGCCACCGCCGCCGAGCCTCATAGGCGGCCAGGCTGGTAGCTTTACAGGCATGGTGCAGGTTCTGAATGGATTAACCGATGCAGACAACGTCATGCTAGCTGCTGGTGCTATGGGTGTCCACATTGGTGAAGAAGTCATCACATACTCGACTCTTGACCCGGTCCTATATACACCGACGTCGACAAAGCCATGGCGAGGTATATGGGTTGGCGATTATAGTGGTCATGGATGTGAATTCCTGCTCATTAACCAACCTGACGACCCTCATGTCACTGATGCCGAGCTTGGCCTGGTGCGAGACGCTGACGAGACGGACGAAGCCTGGGAAAAGCGAAGGAGGGAAGCCCACATGTATCGTGGCCGTCTTGAAGCAATCAAATTGACGGGCGATCCCAACGTGCCGCGGGGTGAGTACACTTTTGTCTCTGATGATCTTGGCCCCGGAGGTTACGTAGGGGTGGCTACAGACCCTCCTTTCGCGGGGGCTAGGGTGGTGAAGAGCAAGGGACACGTTGCTGCAACAGGGTTTATTCAAGGTAAGCAAATGGATCAAGAGTCTTTGAAGGCGTGCAACCCAGTATATTGGGAGATGCCACCGCTGTTAGAACCAATCGCTGACGGTATTGGCGTCCACGCCGGCCATGCAGACAAGTATATTGAAAGTCAGCTCCTGCTCATTGGGCCGAATCGGCTGGCTCAGTATTGGGTTGGCTTTGGGCATATCAGTTTCTTTGAGAGGGTTCAGGTTGATGACTTGATTATACCGTGATGGGCGTATCGACCATCTTCCCTGGGAACTCTTTTATCGAGGCTGGTGTACAAGGACAATCCAACTATTCGCCACGCACGTTGCGGAAGTAAGCAGAGCTTAAACTCTTGAAGAGTTCCTCATCGATCCATTAATTACCCGAAAAGCTTTGTATGTAGTAGTCTTTACTCTACTAGCTTCACTAGAGATAAAACTAATATCAAAAGAACATGTTTTACCAGGCATTATTCTAGCAATCGTTACTCGAGTTTAGAGTATCCAGAAAGCATAATAAAACGATTATAACAGAAACCGTAATGCGTGCCAGTTTGGCGTACTCAATTGGCAGCCTTGAGGTTTGACGTTGTGCACCGAGCAGTTTAGGTAAGTGCTTAATATAAGCAAGTGTCCTAGGCAAAAAGGGGTGGCCTGAAATCGAGTTTTGCACTCAACTTGTCCGGGCATGATGGGCCGGCCGTGATCCTTGGCAACGGTTGATATACCAGTTGATTTACGATGCAACATGCACCCACTGTAGCTCTACCCATCTCAATGTTAGCTGCGCAGCCCATCAGGAAGCAATCCTACCACTGGCTGGAACGGAATGGCCTGTGACTCCAGCCAATGGTAAGCGCCGTAGGCTATTTGGATATCGCTTTACAGCCAATGGATCACGTCGTATCAGAAATTCTTTGAGCGATCCGAAGCGATTCGTAGTTTTTGCATCGCCTCAGGATGTTTCCTTGTCTGCCGTATTGCCCCACTGCCGGGCTGCTTCAATGTTCAATGTTGGCATAAGGCGGCAAGTCGCCCGCCTGGCTGCATGGCTTGGTCAAGTCCCAACCGGAAGTTGACACGCCGTTGTCCCAGGCGCACTCTTTGGTCCAATCGGCTGCGATGCCCATGGACTAGTACGGAGAATTCAACGGTTCGTGTCCACTGACGGTTGGAGAATTCAATGCTGGGACGATAATATGGCGGGCACTGGCAATGTCCAGGCACGCTGGACAGTGAAATACATACGGAGCACGCGTAGGCCAAGTTGAAGAGAGGGCTGTGTTGCCGCCGTGTGCAGGCCAGAGGTGGTGGCCAAATCGGCCGTGGTTAACCGACACAGTGTTCACCTGACCTCTCGCGCCTGACGTCGAGCCAAGACAGCACGGCAACCAACGGTGCCGCGTCGTCGTGTGTTGGGTCAATGTTTCCATGTTCTGTGCTCAGCTGCACGCACAGCAGAATCAACGTCCAAGGTTCTCGACTGGCAACATTTGCATGGAGTCTGGTAGCTTACCGACTACCGAGTCCGGGGTAAACGATTGAAAGCACTTGTGCCGACCAGCACCTGGGTCCATCGTGCCTTCCTTGTCTGTAAATCCCAAACTCGTCCACTTACCCTTGCCCACGGTTTTCGCTTTGTACCGCCTTAAGTCGCCTCGACTGCAATCTTGATTCCCCCTTTCTTCCACCGTTTTTTTTATCGAATCGCCTTTACGCCCAGGGCCTCCCGCATTTTGCCTACCACAAACGGAGCGCATACCATCCGTACTTCATACCGAGTACAGCAAACCGCTTTGCGACTGCATCGTCGCAAGACGCGAGCACGCAGACTTCGCCATTGTGCCTCCTGGCATATTCTTTCTCTTGGCAACTCAACAAAATCCCAGTTGGTTAAAGACATTCAACCTCATGCTTCTCTGATCCATGGAATTGAGTTGCCTTTAAAGATCGACTTCTGGGCACGGGTTGTGCTTCTGGAAGCTGTGCGCTTGGCCCAGGAACCTGCTGGCTGGTGCTTGCCATCCAGCTCAGTTCGTCACAGCTGCTCCTCCAACAGCCCCGACGAGTCTTTTCCTACAAGCCGTCCGTTCGCAGCAGTATTCTTCTGAGCTCCCATCTTTGACTGAACTGGGTTTTCGTCGGCACCATTCCATCGCCACCACCGTTGCCGCCAACGCGGATCCAACGTTCCAGCCATGAATCCACGACACCACCGCTGTATATCTCAACGGCTGTTTCGTCTTCACATTTCCCACCCACGGCCAACGGCAGACTTTTTTCCAACCGCAGTCCATCGACGCGTCTTCTCCTCTTCTGTCCCGAAAAGTGCGGAGGCCGGGCGTCACAGCGGCGGCCCGGCCTCGCGGGTGTCGGCGGTACGGCATTCGGTTCGGCCCCGTTCTCAGATCGCGGCTGCCATTGCTAGTCTCGGTTTGCTCTCTCTTGCTCTCTGTGTCTATCCCTCGTCCCCCACCACCTTGGATGCCCATTATGCATCGTCACCCCCGGTTTCGTCCTCTTCTTTTAAGCCCGAGCCAGCTCCAGCTCCAGAGAATCCCTCCGACAACCGGGATCCCGACCTGCCACGCTTTCGTATAGCTGAAGTCCGTAAGCATGGGGCCGACTCGGACCATCCATGGGTCATATATGGTGACAAGGTCTACGACATAACGGATTGGATCCCCGCTCATCCTGGTGGCCAAGTCATTCTGCGCGCCGCCGGAGGATCCATAGACCCTTATTGGAATATTTTTACAATCCACAAGAATCAATACGTTTACGATATCCTGTCCCAATATCTAATTGGTTATGTTGACCAAGCCGATCTTGTCAATGGCAAGCCTGCGCAAGACCAAATCGAGGATCCTTTCGAAAATGACCCGGAGCGGCACCCATCGCTTATTACACGGACAGCCAAGCCTCGAAATGCTGAAACGCCATCAGAAGCGCTCAGCGCGCAATTCCTGACACCCAACGAGCTCTTCTACGTGCGTAATCATATGTGGGTTCCCACCATCGAGGACTCCAAGACGGATGACTATCGATTGACAGTCGAGCTTCTTGATGGAACCATGAAGGAATACACACTGCGGGAACTGAAAACAAGGTTTCCCAGCCGCAAGGTCACTGCCGTTTTGCAATGCTCTGGTAATCGTCGCAAGCATATGAGTGATGATTCTGGAAGACAAACGAATGGCCTGCCATGGACATCTGGCGCTATTTCCAACGCCTCCTGGGAAGGTGTTCTTCTTTCAGACGTGCTGGCCGACGCTGGATTTGACCTTTCGGAAGCCATGAGTGGTTCGAGCGAAACACAACACGTCCAATTCATGGGTCTGGAAGCCTACGGTGCATCCATTCCTATCAAGAAGGCCATTGATCCACAGGGAGATGTCCTATTGGCATACAGCATGAATGATAAACCGCTTCCTCGAGATCATGGGTTTCCTCTAAGAGCCATTGTCCCAGGCCACGTTGCCGCTAGATCTGTCAAATGGCTGAATCATATTACCCTTAGCGACGAAGAGAGCACAAGCCAATGGCAACGCAAGGACTACAAGTGCTTCGGCCCAAACCAGACCAAAGTCGACTGGGATGCAGCTCCTGCCATTCAAGAATTACCGGTCCAAAGTGCCATCACTACTTTGAAGCTAGGCAAGTGGCTTGACTCAAAAACAGAGCCCAATGTCTTGAAAAACGACCAGGACCAGGCAGCCACATCGCAGAATCCTCCCCAACAAGAAATTAGCATGAGCGGATACGCATTCTCTGGTGGCGGTAGATCTATCATCCGTGTGGATGTTTCGTTGGATGGTGGCGGCTCGTGGACTCAAGCGTATCTTCTGCCTGATTGCGTGTCCAAAAATGGCACGCCATCGCCCTGCCAGGGCCATGGGGCATGGTCCTGGAAGCGATGGGTATTTGAAGGAAGTGTGCCGCTGGATACATTTAAAGAAAAACACGGAGGCAGACCCGACGATCCGGTGACTGCTGCTGCGAATAGCAAGACTCCAGACAGCGGCCAGAAGCGGTGTACCACAGTTCTGGTCAAGGCAACCGATGATGCCTACAACACACAACCGGAAAGCCACGCCGCAACCTGGAACTTCCGTGGTAATCTAGCCACAGCTTGGCACAGAGTACAGGTTTGTACTGATTGCTCTCGGGCAACTGCCAATGGCAACAGCGCACAAGAAAAGTGATTTAGCAGAAGACAGAACTGTTTTTTTTTTGGTTCTGGGGATGGCGAACGTGGATAATTTACATCCATCTGGCGAACTGTGGCTGTATACGTATCATCTGAAGGCATTCTGGAACTGTGTGTTAGCGAATACAATAGGACTTGGAGGCGGCTGCATTGAGCGTCGCATAACATTAGTGTGTTGTAGTAATTAATATTGAGTGAACCAACCTGACCGGTCCTCGTCCCTTTCCATTCTGGAGCCACAGATTCCTAAGGGTTAGTGCAGCCAGCGTCAGTGGGCTGCTTTGCCCCAGGGTAGTTAGTTCAAGGACCTGATGTTTTCTTGGCTAGGGTGTTGTTGCCTGCGGGCAACTTCTTCTCATGGCATCCTTTACATGGACTGCTTACTACGAAAGCCCCAACGTTTCTGAAAAGGAGAGAATGAAAGACAAATGGCATTTGCTACATCTATCGGTTCAAATACTTCCCCGGCAACAGCTTCTTGCTCAGCCACAGTATGCGAAAAGCATCCCTGACTGAAGTCTGTCCTGAGTCTCTGTCCGTAGTGGTACATATTAAATACACTGCTATTGCAATTCAGTTGCGCTCAACGGGGCACAACTATCACGCAACATGCTTCTTTTAATCTTCATTGTCCTCACCATCTGTGAAGTACTCAAATTCACCAGGTGTTGGCGCCTCCTCATCCCCTTCTCCATCCTCATCGACAGCAGTCAGTACACCAGCCGCGGCTGCAGCTCCCGCGCCGATTCCAGTGTTTCCGCTGGGCGTCTGCGGGTCACCCAAAAACGATCCTTGGCCACGAAGAAGCTGACTCATCACTTGGCTGCTGCCTGCCGCACGTGTTGGGTCAACAAGGCCGTCCAACAAAGTCGTGGTCGGTCTACCGGATCGGCCGCCCGCGCCACTTCGGCCCTGACCTGCCACCGGAGCACGCTCGGTAGTGACCTTCTTGAGTTTCTCTTCAATGAGTGATTTGGGCTCCTCGGGTTTGGTATCGTCGAGCAGTAGCGGGCCACCAGTAGGCTGTGCCCGGAGTTAGCAAAAATAATCAAATTAAATATCGCATCGAAGGATGAAGTAATCATTACCTTTTTTACTGGCTTGTATCGCCCGGCTAGAAAGCTGACATACTTCAGTTGTCCCGGCAGAACACGACTCATATTCTCAATATCATAGCCGACCTTCTCCTTCTCCGGTTTTTTCTTGGTTTCGGCAGAAGCAATGTCTTTATCATCCGTGTCCTTCTTGTCCTTGGAATACTCTTTCTTCTCCTCATCTACATCCATCTTCTCAACACCCTTGGCAGGTGCAGTATCAAGATCCATACTCTCACGTCGCTGAGCACGCTCTTTCTTCTGGGCTCGACGCTTGGCTTGGGCTGTTGTTGACAAAATCGCCGTAGCAATCAAGGCAGGACCCTCCTCAACCTTGACTTCTTGCTCTGGCGGATAGTCGAACAGGCTCTGTCGGGTGGCGCAGTGGAATTTAATGTCGGGCATCTCTAGGTCATGGTCAAGGCCAATGATGGCTGTAGGAGAGAAGCTCAGAGAAAGGAAGTGGGTGAAGGGGAACCAGTACCAATACTGAGTAAACACGGCCATTCCAACTATTCCGGCCATATTGAGATTACCAGTCTGCGTTTGGAGGCCGATGGTGCAGTTGCGACCACCAGCGTCAATAATACCAAGAGCTAGGGCAGCGCCAAACTTGGTCATGGCATCTTCGTGGCGGTCACCGACAACCTTCTTGAGTGTTTTGCGAATAGAGGAGACCTTGGGGTTCATAACATCGTTCTGTTGTACCATGATCATCGAGAGGGCGATGAGGGCTCCCTGTCGAACAAAGTCGGTGGGATCCTTCATCATTGGCTCGAGAAGGTCAATAGCCTCATCGAGGCCAGTTCCGGCGCAAGAAATACCGAGAGCCATGGCGGATCCATAGCGGACATGAGGGTTATACGACTCAGAGAGCAGCTCAACCATTCGAGGAACGCTGCCTGGCTTACGGAAGAGGATAAAGCCCAAACTCATGACGGCGATTCGACGAACATCATCATTCACATCGCTGACAGCAGTGTGAAGAAGCTTTCGGATGGCTTTGTTGCTTCCGGTTCCGCAGTAGGCCAAGGCCACTGTCATGATACCACCATATCGAAGTGTAGGATCCGGGTCGTTGAGAAGCCCTTCGACTAAAACATCTGCTCCTTCTTGTCGGCCAAACATAATGAGCGCCATGCCCAGAGCAACACCGCGAACAATCTTCTCGTGTGTTGTCTCGTGAGCATACGTGATCATAACCTCCAGAGCCTTCACATTGCCGGTTCCTAGCATGATGAGACCCATTGCCAGACCAACGGCCTCACCGTTGAGTGCTGAGTCTTGGAACAGAATGTTTTTAAGCTTGTCAAAGATCTCCATATCCCCTGTGGCCATGCCGGCAATACCAAGTCCAAGAGCGCCACCATGCTGAACGACTTCCTCTTCAGCTTGACTGAACTGGGCTTTAAGGTAGTCCAACGCATCGGCGCCGTGGTTGGCGTGGATAAGACCATAGGCATATAAGGCACCGCCTTGGCTAAAGATGGAGCCGCTGCTAAGTCCTCCCTGCCGAGGCAAATATGGCTCAAGAAGCTTTCTGGACTGTGACAAATTACCTCGATGAATGACTCCAAGTGCTGCCGTGGCGGTGAATTTTGACCAGTTAACAGCCTTACCTAGCCATTCTAAATTATCCCGGAAGAATTTGTCATTTGTTGTCCCTTGGTTCATGAATGCATTGCAAAAGGTGACAGCGGTATGGAAAATCGAGTTGCGTCCCTCGAGGCTATCGCGTACCTTGTTCAAAATGCTAAGATCGGTGTGGTTATTGCGGTACAGGAACTCAAGGTTTAAACGAATAGTCTTTGATCCGTCAAGAATTGACCGGATGTTGCGGTAAGCTTTGGCCTCGCCTTCAGGCAAGTCTTCTTCGGGGTCTCCCTGTTGATTGTCCAAAAGAGGCTCGTTTTCTGCGGTTTGATCCGAGGCTTCAACCTCCTCCTTTCTAGGTTTCGCAGCCGGTAAAGATGCGAGTACCCTGCCTAGAAATTCTTGTGTGCCATTATCGTGCAAATCGAACGCTATTTGATAAGCGTTGGCGATAGAGGTACGGTCACCATTAGACACTAAAGTACGGAGCATGCGTGAAGCCTCATCGTCCGAATTGAGGTAGACAACGCATCTCGCAATGGCAAAGTAATCTGGATTGGGTATGTCGTTCAGGAGATCAAGAATTAGTTGCAAAATCTCGGTGCGGAAGCTTCGCTCCTGCACGATGTCCATGCAGATACCAAGCGTGTACTCCATGAGTTCCTCGGCTGGGCCTTGGAGTCCATCCTGTGACTTGGACCTGGCGTTCTTTTCGTCTTCACTTGCCTGCTTAATTACGCGCCTCAAAACTTCAAGATTCCTGGCTTCAACGGCAATACCAACAACTTGCCTGTATCGGCCTTGTTTCAAGCAGCTTGCAAACAGACGCTCGATCACGCGCTGCAAGGAGTCTTCAATGTCCCGGTTGGGCAGCTCGGCGATGGAACCGGACCTGCCCTGCTTGACTACAGGCTGAAAAGTGGCGTCGAGTATAGTGTTGTCGAGTGAAGTACGCGAAAGGAGCGACTTGGGGGGCAAGGTTGTGTGGGAGAATGGCGTGGTTGGGGACATGACAGCACTGTCAGAGGCATTGGAGAAGGTTGTTGTGAGTTCCGGGAGATCGGTCTTCTTCGAAGCGCGTGGTTTGGAGTTCTTTGCAGCGGTGGTAGCAATATACTGATCAACGCATTTGGAGATGATAGTCTCTTCAAACTCGCCGGGCGAATCCAGCTTGAAGAGGTCTCCAGCAGCCAAAGCGAAAACCATGCTGTCATTGTATGCTTGAAGATGGTAATACACCTTGGCGAGGACAAGAGCGGCGAGCTGTCGTTCGGGGAAAGACTCATCTTCATATAATGCCTCGCTATCCAAGCAAAAAGAAAGCATTAGAACTTGTCCTCAATTGATGCAACTGCTCCGCCAAACTTCATGGCTTGACGGATGGCAAGGTTAGCAACTTACATTTGGTTCAGGGCGCCGGCCACCTCGGTCCATACAGTGTCGATGTCATCGTTCAAAGTCTGCAAGGCAAAAACCTTGAGTTCAGGCTCCTCATCGGCAAGGAAGGCCAGCACTCCGGTGGCCGATACAAGGCCAGGCATGATGATGTCGCGAGGGTGGAGATACCAGGGAGCTTTCGGGCGGGTAGGGAGAGAGCTGGGATGGTGACGGTGCAGGTAGAACAAAACAGAAGGGTGAGGTAGAGCGACTCGCAAGGCAAGCGATGCCGGGTTGCGCCAATGGAAGTGGAAGCAGAATCGGGACTAGAGAAGAGAGTTGAGGTGATGTTGCTGAGGATGAGAATGGAAGAGGAATGTCTAGACGAGAAGCAAGTGGCGTTTTGCGCAAGTCAACATCTACGGGATAAGATCCACGTCAGGCACAGCTCTGCCTTGAGTACGCACAGACCACCTGCAGGCTAAGCAAGAAACGTCCCGCTTGACACGTAACTGGAATACAGGTGACTGGTCACGTGACAATTCTACTACAGTAATCTCCAGATTAAGACTTTTAAGCTCAGATCGATCAATCAATATTTTCCGGCAGACGAGTAGTTACTACGCAGAGCACTGGACAAGGCATCAAAGTGAGGGCAGCACATATATTTTTATCCTGGATGTCAAACCGCCTGGGTTATCCCCCCTCTGGTGCAGCACACTTAGCTGGAAGATGGCCCAACAAGGAGAGCCGACGGTTAAGTTTATCCATTCATTGCCTGCCATTAGTATGTCTAGGTCTGTAAGCATGCTTTCCTGTGGGGGGTCCTCGAAGTAATCGATGAGCGGATTTATGACCTCAAGTGTCGTTGAGAAACATGATGTGGACTGGGTACGTACCTAAGTAGAAGTCTTACGGAACCAATCTTGACGCCAAAGTAGCATGACTTTATTTAGCCTTTCCTGTGCTGTCTCAGCCGGATGTGACCTGGAAAGATGAGGCCTAGGTCAAATGGGCTTGGAAACGTGGGACAACTCAACCGTCCGTCAAGGGAATAACAGTTGATAGACTGATCAAGTGGTCTGCTGGCCTGTTGGCCCTGTGCGCCGTCCGGAGACAACAACCACTCAATTTGTACCAACTCGGCAAATAGTGGGTCAAGGAGCCAAATGCGCCGCCCCGGTGGACGTTGGTCGAATAGCACAACTCAAAAAAAAAGTGTCTCGTTGAGTGGCTCGTCTGGCGCATTCACACATTTGCCTGACTCCTCCCATGTGTCCTCACCTCATTCATGCCATTCATACATCCATCATTAGGGTCCCGCGCCAGCCCATCACAGCACCATTTCGATCGAGAAGCCTCGCCAGCCGCCATGTTGCAGTCGGGGATTAACTAGACAGTTTTGATTTCACCTCCCCCGTCTCAGCCACCGCGACAGCTCACTGCGTCTGCTTTGCCTGCTGCCTTCAGCTTTGTTCTACTCCCCGCGTCCACGCCACGTCTTTTCGCACATCGGACATTGGGTCAACAACTTGCTTGTCCCGCGACGGCGTGACAATGTCCACTTGCGAATGCGATACGCCGACCACGATCGCATCGTTTGCGCGCCCGATGAGCTTTTAATCTCCGCTCGATACCTTTTCGCAATCGATTGGTGTGCTCTGGCAGAGACATTGTCCGATGACTGCAGCTTGTGTCGACATCTCTGCCCAATCCATCTGATATCTCTCCCCCTGAGCGCCGTCCGCGACCAACACGAACCCAACACCAAATAATCCTACGGGATCGGTCAGACTGCCCATTATGGATCTGCGTGATGTGCTTAACACTTCTGACAATGGCGAACGCGGTCCGCCGAAAGCCCCCCCTACGCCTCAGCAACAGCATCAAAGCCGCCCAGCCCAAAGCCCAGCCCAGTATGGATATCGAGAGTACGGTCAACAGCCGCCTCATCCATCTCCCGGCAAGCCGATAGGTCAAGATTATCCTCGACATCCTCACCAGCAACCACCGAGTGCGTACCCCCCGCCATCGCCATACCAAACTTCACCCGTACAATACCCGCCACGTGCGTCGCAGTCTCTTCCTCATCACTCAGGCCCTTTTCACGATGCGCGATCTCCTGGAGGCATGCCGGTGCCGGCGCAGTCGCCGTACCGACCTACACCGACTCCGACCAATGCCCCTGGAGGCTCGACAGGATATCCATTCCCTGCCACCCAAGTAGTTCAGGAGATGACCAGTCCTAACCAACGGCATCATTACCCCCCTGGCCACTACGCCCAACAATCGCAAAGCCAAGACGTCTATGCACAGAGGGACGGTGCACACTCGTCTGGAGGCTATGTGCAACAGCGCCAAGTCCCACAAACACCCCCAATCAGCACGGCTGCGGGCCCATCACAACAATATTTGCACCAACGATCACAATCTACACAGTCTACACCAACACCAACCTCTGCCCATAGCCAACAGCATTTCGGTCCGCCACATGCTCACGGTAGTCCCGTTCAGGCTTCACGCCCGAGTATTGAGTACCGACAACCTTCACAGCCTCCCACACCTCTCGGCCCGCCGCAAACGACCAGTGCTCGACCTGCGCCAGGCCTACCGGGGAGCTTCACACACCCTCCTAGTCCATACCAGCAAAGAGTGGCAAGTCTAGGGAATGGCCCTCAACCGCAGTCACCTGCATCAGCTAATGCAACTTTGCGCCGGGTGTCAGGCCCAGGTCATCAAGAATCACCAGTAGCGGATCCTCACCAGCGCTCCAAGTCTCTCCATTCTCGAGAGCCTAGCTTATCCATTAGCCCTCGGACCCGAGTAGCCTCCATTGCTAGCAATTCAGACCGTGCGATGGCATCTCCAGTTGATATGGAGAAAAAATCTCTCCCGATATCCCAAACAGTCATAGTAGACTTGGATCGCGCCGTCACTCCCGCGAAACGCAAGCTGGATGACCGGAATCTCAGCCCCAAGGAGCTAGAGCACAAGGAAGCGCGGCCACCACCGAGTGAGCTAAATGGCGCTCATATAGGCAACAGCCAAACTACACCAGCCCAGTCTGCTCCGAGGAAAAAGCGCATCTCACGAGCGCAGCCGCCTATCTGGGCCCAGAATGCCCACTCACTCGGCGGCAAGATGCCCAACCAGGCCAACTTCGTCCTTCAGAAGCGAATACACTCGCACATAAATGGGAAAGTAGATGGAGGTAGCAAGGCCGACAGATCCAGTCGAAATGCTTCCCCTGAGGCAGCACGCACATCAACATCTACGGCTTCGAAACCGGCACCTGCAGTCGTGGAAGCTGGACCACAGGACATTCTGGGGCCTTGGGAAGCTAGCATAACCGGTGTAAAGCCGTATGAGGAGATATCAAAAACGGTGGCTGATTTTGTCTTTATCCACGTTGTGAATAACCCAGACATCAAGGAGATTACGAGCCGGGGCATCCAATTCGAGATTGAAGCAAAACTTGGTACGCTCATCGACAAGGACACAAACTATCGTGTGGACAGATTATTAGACACAGAGTGCGTTCTTCATGACACGGGCAGAGTCGCGTTCAAAAGCAGCATGACAGAGGTAAGCGTCAACCCACTTCCACTGAATATGGATTCATCATTTCAATTGGCTTGAAAATACCCGGGGATCGACTAACATGTTATAGGCGCACCACAAAGCATTCAACGACTTCCTGAACCAGATAGTCATCCAGACAGACCCTCGCGCCCCGAACGGGGCTGGTCGCGTTCAAGTGCATTACAAACACCGTCGCGAAGTTGACCGATACTTTGAATTACCTCCCGACCTGCAGAATCGTCTGCCGGGATGTGTGAGGTCCAGGCTAGGATCTCGCGTCAGAAACGCCAAAGCTAGAGTAACATATGACCAAAAGACAGGTCAGGTTCTCAACAAAATCATCAAAGCCAGAGTAGCGGATATTGATATCCACATGCCAAACAGCCCTATGGACTGTCGACTCAGTATCAATCTTGAAATGAACTGGGATGGCCCTGTGGAAGAGCTGGAGCGGCTAGGGCCTACTCAAAACGACAAGTCGTCGGAGAGGCAAAAAGACCGCTTGAGCTATACTCAAGGACATTATCAAATTGACCTGACACAGGTCACACTATCAACACCAGGTCCATCGGTAAGGCTGCTGACTATTCTGTAAGTGCCGTGTGCACGCTGACACCATCGGTAGAGTACCCAGAAGATGGAGAAGGAGCACGAACTCGAAATCGAACTGGCTTCTGCAATTGTGCTTGACCAAGGGGCGAAAGCCATGAGCGGGGCGCCGCACCGCTACCAGGAGTTGATTGAGGGTTTTCTGGACAATGTACGGGTGCTAGCGCGGAAGGCGCGAGAATTTGGGTGATGTGGAAGACCACAATTGTATGGGACAAGACACGTACTCATCCCTCCCTCCTTCAAGCATACAAATGCTATGGCAATAGACGAATGCTACATGCCTTTCACATTAGCCATTGTATGGTCGCACTCCCGTTTTTTTTAATACCCCATAGCTGCATCTTTATACCAAGTGGAGGCGACACGACGGATTTTGTTTGTTAGAGTGCAGGCTGGAGGAGGGAAAGGAACTTGTACTTAGCGAGAGAGAAAATTTTTGGTGGCTGTCGGTGCTGTTGTATGTTGGTATCGAAAAACGGGATATGGGCAGGACATGGTGATTTTACAGGCAGGATACTAGGCGCGGCGCACAAATTGCATTACGTTTCGATCCCCCCTCCCCCGGCTACATGCTCTGCTTCATCTCATGCGTTTATCCCGTGGTTCACAAGACGTAATGTATTCTCAGGAGTTATTGAGGGTGTGAATTACGGCCACAGAGTTGGTCATTGGAGTTGGCATACCATCTAGAGTTCCCTACTCATGAACACATGCAGTGTTTCGGGTCAATCATGCGTGTTTGAATGGGGAAGTCGCCTGGTTTTGTATTATCAAATGCCAATACCACACAGACACCACGCCCCAGACGGCTTGGAAGGGTTGATAGCCACACTCGGCAGGGAAAGACGGCAATCATACAGAGAGGCTGACTTCTGCTGTTTCTTGGCAAGCAGATGTCGTCGCCGTGATCGATATTGGCCGCGTCAAGATGAGAAGCTGAGGGAGGGGGAAATGGTGGCGTTGGTTGTTGATAGGAGTTGGCCGATGACAGCTGACGCCTACTTTGAAGAGACCAATGCACCCGGACGGCGGAGGAGGATATGTAGAGTACAAGAATGGCAAGGATGGCAAGGATGGCAGATGGGCATAATGGCCCTAGAGTTTGCGGTATTAGCTGTTTTCTGAGGAACCTATATTAGGTTGGCTCTTGGGCTGGAACCAGCAAGCAACAGGTGAGTTCCTCGGTGCAAGCAAGTCATGCCACGCAAGACCCTAACATGCCAGCCGGCTTTGACTTGTCTGAGGTTGATATGATATGTGCCACGGTAGCAGGCACCACGCAAATTAGTGACATGGAATGGCTCTTCCTGTTCCTCATTGCCTGATTTACCCCACGGAAATGGCCGTGAACTTTTGGAGATTTGGGAGAAAGCATCCCGCTTCCGCGGACAGTTGGCAGAAGCAATAGTGCACTTCCACTCAAAGCAAGAGCGAAACGGCGTCGCATGGTCCAGAAGAGGTGCAAGATGCGCGCAGAAGCTTGGTTTGGCTGAGAATCCTGACAGACTATGATGACCTAGGCGGTTGTCGTAGTCCCCCCGCCGCCGCCACCATGCTTGCTTGGGGGAAGGGGAAGGCCATGCAGCCCCGGAGCTCGCCGATGCGTGTAGATGCGAACTGAGTTAGCAGCTAGTGAAAAGGATATGCCATGGGAAGCAGAAGCAGACAAGCATATATTGTATCTTTTGATAGCTTCAGCGGCGGCTGGAACAAAATGTCTATGTACATGGGGCATCCACTTCGTTCGGTTCATATGGGGACAAAATGCGCATCATACGTCAGGCGACATGGAGAACAGACAAGATTGAATATGAGCCGCAGGGCCGGTTTCACAGGCCAGCATTGAAAATGGGGCACCTGGGTACGTTGATGCAATGGCACGGGATTGGGCGCGTGCGGAGGGCATGTAACCCTGCGACATTGAGTGCCGGTTCGGGAGGAATAAGTTGCTAACTACTACTTAAGCACCTACCTAGGTACTTAGGTAGTGGGCTTGTCTTTAAGCGGCGGTAATGGTAAGCAGGTCGAGTTGAGGATAGGGAAGGAGTCGTAGAAGAAGGAGACGAAGATGAAGAAGCAGCCCATGTCCCCGCTTAATTTCACTCCTATCTCGAGGCTGGTCTGGTAGCAACAATCGATGACAAACTACAGACATGAAATTTGATCAATGTTATCGGAGTGCAGAAAGTGGTCCATGCGCCGCGTAAAGTACCAGACCTTAAACCCGGAGTTTTACACACTACAGGTGCCATGTATGGGCCCAGTCATCAGTCTGCTCAATCAAATCAATCGACCATGTTTTATCTCCTCTATCTCTGGGCCCTGCTCCACTGGCTCTATCACTCCTCACCCAGCATCTGTCTACATCAAGCGCTATCTCGGCACTTCGGCTTCTGTAGTTTCCGCTCCCACAAAACACTTGGTGTTTTCAATCACTCCGTCACTCGATGCTATGCTGATGAACGTACGGTCCAGCCCAGAACATATCTTTTAATTGCCGCCTCGTGCCTGTGTCGGAGGTCGCCTCGAAGCGAAGACATGCCATGCCAAATGGCCAACAAGTCGCAACAACTCACGGCCAGGTCCGACAATGCCCAAGCAGATTCTGTCTCCCATCATGGCACTTGGACATGGAAGACAGGACTGGCTTGCGCTTATGGCGCTGCAAATCCAAACACCAGCGCCATGACGAGCTGAGGTGACTTCAATGTTGGTTGGCTTCAGATGTCCAGCTCCCCAGCGCTCTGGTTCAGCTTCACCGAGGCGCAGATACGGGACCCCTTTGACCCTCCCCCGCAGCCACTGACGATGGGGTAACGGTGATGCGGCCTGGCTTATTCGCTCCGTTACATGTAATCGATTGCCCAAATAGTCGATACCATGGTATGTATGCATGCAGGACGGACATGGCGCTGGGACAAGAGAGATCCACCCACACCATCGAGTCCAGAGACACAAACTTGGGGCCCTCACTGTCAGCCGTCGCTCGAGTCCAAGGTTAGTTCTGGCGGCCGTCTCCGGTTGGCTGAAGACTACCGACAGAGGCAGAAACCATCTTGTCTGGCCCTCTTACATCAGACCTATTATGTCCGATGGTCGGGCAACGGGGACACGATATGCCTTGCACCGTCCTTCGTTCCGATGGCGACGAACACTCCAACCTGGATCCCCTGCATCTGCATCTCGTCAAACTAAATAAAAGCAACTTGATATCCCGCCCACCTCGTTCCTGAGTCCTGACACTGCTCTTCTGTCTATTGCTGTCCTCGTCGCCAGTACCTCCCTGTGTTCGGTATTGCCATCAGCTTACACCACCGTCACAAGCGACTTTGCCAGCCATTTACATTTTTTGCCATCGCATCGCAATTGGCGCACAATCAAGTCACTTGCAGCTCAGAAATTTTGTCAATTGATCATTCAAGAAAGTAGATAACCCGTCCAAAGTTCGAAACCCTAGCTGCGAGGCCATGGTCTTGTCCTCAGAGTCAAGAAAACAAGGACAACTACTTTTGCCGGCTTCAGCAGGTTTCCGGCCAACAACCGCCAGGATTCAGCAGGTTTGCCTGATAATAACCGCTCAGTTTCGTTAAACCCAGATCATTTGCCCTGGCGACGCTTATTTCCTCCGGAATCCGTGTATTGATATACCTAATTACACCACCCGATACAACAAGATCACCACCATGGACGAAGATCACGGCCCAGACACCATCGTCCCTGCAGACACATCGCAAAAGAGTAGCATCGGCCAGCGCATCAGGCTTCGCCTTGGAAACGTCCGCCATGCATTCACCACGCGCGACGGACTCGTCGGTGACTACGACTACGGTTTCCTACTGAGACCAAACCTCCCATTTATGAAGAAGAGTACATACCGCAGCCCCTTTTTCGGCCTTAACGACAAGATGCCCGTATGTCTAGGGCTCCTTCTAGGTTTGCAACATGCCTTGTCCATGCTTGCTGGTGTCATTACCCCTCCTCTTATCCTGAGTGGTAGCGGAGGTGCGAACCTCGACCAAAGCCAGCAGCAATATCTGGTTTCTACGGCCCTAATTGTTTCTGGAATCTTGTCTGCCGTGCAGATTAACCGCTTCCGAGTTCCCAAGACGCCGTAAGTTACTCCGGAAACTGTCTCCCGTCACATTAACTCGGAAATGCCTTCCCTAGACAGACAATCAACGGCCATGGAATGCAAACACTGACGTTTCTATTCTAGGTATTTTATTGGAACCGGCGTTCTTTCCGTAGTCGGTATCTCCTTCAGCATCATTCCAATTGCCCAAGGCGCCTTCAGGCAAATGTATGCCAACGGCTACTGTCCTTCTGGTGAGGGTGGTGCTCCATTACCCTGTCCCAAAGGTTACGGTGCCTTGATCGGCACTTCTGCAGTTTGTGCCTTGACCGAAATCTTGATATCGTTTTTGCCGCCAAAGATTCTCCTACGCATCTTTCCACCCATTGTTACTGGGCCCACGGTTATGTTAATTGGTATCCATCTCATCGAGAGTGGTTTCAAGAATTGGATGGGAGGCAGCGGACCCTGCGCCAATCCTGCATCTGCAGGCGACCAAGCCAGCTTTTTTGCTCTCTGTCCGAATATCAATGCGCCACACGCTCTGCCATGGGGATCCCCCGAGTATCTCGGTCTAGGGTTCTCGGCCTTCATCACCATTATTCTCTGCGAACGATTTGGATCTCCAATCATGAAGTCTACCTCTGTCATCTGGGGACTGCTTGTAGGATGTATCATTGCAGCAGCATGCGGGTACTTTGACCGGAGCGGGATCGACTCGGCTCCTGTCGCATCATTTATTTGGGTACACACATTTCCTCTCACTGTTTACGGGCCGCTTGTTCTGCCCATCATGGCCGTGTTTATTATATGCGCCACGGAGGCTGTTGGCGATATTACGGCGACCTGCGATGTCTCCCACATCGAGATGGAGGGACGTATTTACGAGTCCCGTATCCAGGGAGGATTGCTCACAGACGGCATCAACTCCATCATTGCTGCCCTAATGACCATGACGCCAATGAGCCGATTTGCTCAAAACAACGGTGTAATTGCCCTGACGAGATGTGCAAACCGCAAGGCCGGCCTTGCCTGCTGCTTCTTCCTCATCATCATGGGAATTTTTGCTAAATTCGCCGCAGCCCTTGTTGCCATCCCTTCCGCCGTCCTGGGCGGCATGACGACATTTCTTTTCGCGGCAGTGGCAGTATCCGGAATGGCCATCATCACTCGCGGAACCGACTTCAATCGACGCACTCGCTTCATCCTCACCACAGGGTTAGCTTTGGGCTACGGCGCAACCCTTGTGCCCACCTACTTTGATAAGATTTTTACTTACTCAGGCGACAACCACGCTCTGAAGGGCTTCCTCGATGCCATTGTTCTCATTATGGAAACGGGGTTCGCAGTGACAGCAGCGGTATGCATGGCACTCAACTTGACATTGCCCGAGGAGATGGAAGATGAAGATGTCAATGTCCAGGCAGTGGAGCTAACACGAGAGAGCACACCTCCCGGCAAGGGTGAAGTTGCTGAGGGGAGGGAAAATCCAAATAGCGTGTTATGAGGGGTACATGATGAAAGTACAGGAATGTAGGGTGAAATGAATCTACTTATGGGAAAACAAGGATCCATGTACTCCGGGGTTTGGGGGCAGAAGTATTCGAGGAAGAAGATGAAGAACTAAGGACAAAGGCAGCATTATATTCTCACTACGCACATACCAACTTCATCCTGGACCGAGTTGAGTAATCTTGGCAAGCAACCGGAGCGGGCTGTTGCTTCCCGCTTTACCTCTTTATGATATATATACGAAGATGTCCCTAGGTATGTCATTAATTCAAGGTAGAAATACTCTTTAATGACTGCCCAGGTGGTTAATAAGAAAAGTGGAAGTCCGCATAACTGGTCGACTATTATTTATTCAAGTTAAAGGCGGCCGCAGGCGGCCCCCTTAGGGAATAATTTACAAAACTAAGGCTTTAATACTAGCTCTTTCTGCTTTGCGTACCCCCAGGTCAACATTTCGTTGGCATCTAGGTCATGCAAACTTACTTCCTTATTTGGCATCCCATTGCCCTACGCACTATATCATAAGCATGCCCCAGTGTCTTCCGCCAATATCAACTAAATATCTCAGCATAAATGACAAACCCACTTACTGGTCTGAGAAGGAGAAAGAGAAAAAAATTAAGAGAATGAAAGGTCATGTGCATCATCCCGTGTTTCGCACCGACAGTAGCTGATGCCCCTCTTCATGTCCCAAATTTCTCATGAGTGGCGTCTGACGGGACCAAAACATCTGCCGATGGGTATTTGCTGGCACGCACACAAAAAGATGGCAATTTCAACGTTTGGCATGGGCAAAAACCGTTTTCTGGATTCTGCGCTCTAAATTGCCACCGCCGGACAGGAACCTCCGTCGACACCTGCTCCACCGGCTGGTCTGCTAAGGCGCAATACTGGCCACTGATGGCTCTGCCCTGGCCCGCTTTACTCCACACTAGCCTGATCAGTAATACATGCTAGGAACCTAGGTAGGCGCCTACGTCAGGACCTGAGTCCCTTTTGTGCCTCACACCATCACCACCATCCAATGACACGCCCAGTCCATGGCCGAGGACTGTACCATGCCAAGCCGGACGCGGATGATGTCGCCTCAAGTAAAGATGGGGAGAAGAGGGGCTCTTGGGACACAGGACCCTTTCCATTACGCTGGCCATGCCTTGGAAGAATGGCCGCCTACCTAAGTACTTACATAAGTAGGAACCTGGGTAGGTAGATGATGATGGTTGCTAGTCAAGAAATGGTCAAGGAGTGAACCTATGACTTCTGCACCCCCCATCTGCCAGGCGCCTTCCCTCTTTCCGCTGCTGATTCCTTCCTCGTGGGATTTTCGTACATGTGTCAACCGGTGTCAACCGGTCTTTCTGAATCATAGAGTCGCACTTGGGTCTGCCCGTGGGGAGCCCAAGGAGTCCCTGAACTGGATTTCCCCCAAGATTACCGGGCTCGATCTCCGGGAGTCCTTTCAAGTTCCGAGGATCGAAACTCCAAACTCGGCTCCGTTCATCCTTCAACTCACCATCGAATACCCCGTTGAGCCCGTTGAGCCGCCGTGACAGAACCCCAGTTGGCCGGCTGGTCGTTGCGAGACGTTCCGTCTAGCCCTTTCAAAGACGGGGTTATGAATACAACCACCACTTCACCCACGACTGGTGACCCTTTTGCCCTGACGACCTCGCCTACCAACTCGCCACCGTTGTCCGCCACGGCCAAGAGCCACCGTCCCTCTGACGGTGCTGCTGTCGCCAGTGGAAGCGGTATAGGTGTTGCTGCTAATCGACGTGCGAGTTCCTCTGCTGGTTCTGGCTCAGCTACCAGAGCCCGGTCGTCTGCCCGCAGCTCACGTTCTAGCTCCTCCAAATCTACGCGAACCGAAGGATCTCACTCAGAGCCCAGGTCGCCCCGGGTTGTGTACGGTCGCGGCACAATAGAACGCCTTCCTACGGAGCTTGGCCGCTTGTGTGCGTCTTCGCCATTAATCGTCTCCAGTCCATCAAGAGTCGCTTTAGCCCGACGTATTCAAAGTCTCATCCCGAACCTCAACTCACGGATCCTCGACTCGGCCGTTGTCAACGTGCCAGCTCGTGTTGTGGACGACGCAGTCTCTCGCATAGACGATCGGGACGTCGTCATCAGCGTCGGAGGAGCCTCAGCTGTTGGTTTGGCCAAAGCTATTGGATGTCGCAAGGGCATCCCTCACGTTTTCATTCCTACAACATACAGCGGATCCGAAATGATGCCTCTGCTCCTTGATGCATATCCCGCAAGACACAGCAACAGGGGGGATATAGGTACTAGCAGCAACGGTGGCTATAAGTCAAGTGGTCGCCGTCACCGCGAGCGTGAGCAGGGCTCGTCCTCACGCCGCAGCAATGGAGCACGCACCACTTCCTTCCGCGACCCGAGAGTTCTACCTTCAGTCATTATATATGATGAAGATCTCGCAACGAGCTTGCCCAAGCGCATATCTGCACCCACTGATGAAGCAGCCATGGCACGATCAACTGAGCTGCGGAAAGAGGACGAAACCGCGCAATGGAGCTACATCCATCTCCCTGGTGTCTAAGGTGAGGCATCGGCCGCATCTCCATAATATTGGGATAGCGTTAGGATTTATTTCACGAACAGTTCTTGCACCCCGAACTCGCCTGGTTTTTCGAAGCCAGACAGCATCTGAAAACAGGCGCCATCTCATTCTGCTACATGTTTCGCTTCTGACAGCGTGTGCGATCTGGCTGAGTTGATTTGGAAGAGGTGACAAATACAGGGACTACAATAGGAGAGCGCCTCCCATGTCCTTGTTCTAACTCTTGACAACACACCTATCTGCTGGAGTTCGGTTTTATGATGTTTCAGCAGCCCGCATAAGCATCAATGCAGAATGTCTGACCAGTAACAGCCCCGACATCTATCCTAGCCTCACCGCAAATTGCAACTGATGGCACACTTCCCAAAATGCCGTCTTTTCTTTTGTTTTCATTGCTGCCACTGGGTGAAGTCGGTATTTTGAAAGCAGGGTCGCTTTCACTTGGCTTGTTTTATTGCCGTCTATACGACCAAACGGAAGCATGAAAGGGATTAAATACCAGCTGGATGGCCGAACAGGGTCCCGATTTCCAAGACAGTGTGACTACGCCACAAATCTTGGAATGGACATTTTCAACCACTGTCGACGTACGCGTTAGTGGACAATGATACTTACATCTTCACTGCAATTTCCTTGGCTGGAGTTGGAGGTTATTTACGAACATATGTGGTAACTGACGTAACACATTACACTAGGATAGCAAGGAACAGAGGAAAGGAAATTGTACACTTCAAATCTGCAATGATGATATATTAAGTGTATTTCTAGGATTTATCTAGTTTTGTGACATGAGTACATAATGGCAAACTCGTCTCAACACCATTATTGTTACATTTTGGTAAGAGGCAGCAAACGCACTCCAATGCCAATTAACCTACAGCAGAGGCGGTCGAAATGATTACTCATTGGCGCACTTGTATAGCCTTGCTCCTATATGCAAATTCTGTGCTTCTATTGCTGCTATCAATTCTTGCTACTGTACATTAAGAATACCATATCTGTGAATTGGATCGCATTCCGCTAGAACTGGAAATCTCATCTCGTAATTTTGGATTCTATTATCAATCGAGTCCTTCGAAGCCCAGGACTCCATGGGCGCCCATAGGACCAAGCTTGCTCTTCTGAACCTCCTTGCGTCGCTTGGCACGGCGCTTCATTTCCTCCACGCCGTCATCCTCACTGTCGTCATCATCGTCGTCGTCACTGTCATCGGCGGCGGGTCGCTTGCTGTTGCTCTCCCCCCCATGGTCCTCGTCATCACCATCTTCATCCAAGTCTTCGTCGCTGTCTCCGCCCTGCAACTCGGACAGTTCCTCCCATACTTTGACGGTTCTGCCGCCAGCGCTGATCAGCCGGTTGCCGCAGTCGAAACCTAGCGATATGACGGCTTCCATGTCGTCGTGTCGCAGGTTTGTAGACCTGTCAACCTCCCTCTTAACCAGGTCAACGATGCGTAGACTGCCGTCGCCAACGCCGCACACCACTTTCTTCCCGAGACCCATCTCATGGGGAACTCTAACCATGGCGTCGATGCTCTCGCCGCCTCGTTTGCCACCGTCAACAATGATTCGTTCCTGCTGGTCGTCCCACGATCCCTTGTCCCAGAGCGTGAGGACACCGCTCCCGGAACCAATTGCTATCACGCCGTTATTGCGCTTGCTCTTGGGTCCCATCCCGGGCATGAAGCACGCACTAAGAAGCTCGTCTTCTTGGTCCGCGCTGCGTACCAAGACACCACGACGAACATCAGTCACGGCAAGCGTAGTGCCGCCCGTGCTGACCCATTGTTTCGAGAACCCGCTCGTGCTTTCTTCCGACGGTGGGAGAGGTGTGATGGACGAGACGTAGTCGGAATGGGGGAAGTGAGTCTGCGCTGGTTTTTCCCCCGGCGCGCCGTCCCGCAGATCGACGATGTGAAGAGCTCCAGAGTCGGTCGCTAGTAAAAGACTTTGCGGGTTGAGAACATGCAGCAGTGTTGGTGCGTCGGGGACAGAGGTGGTGCTCGGGATTGCGATTTTCGAAATGACCTTTCCGTTGCTCGGGTCGAAGTACTTGACTAGGGAATCGGTTCCGGCAGAATACATGGCTAAGCGACACTCGTTAGTTAACTCTTCCCTAGGCCCTTGCAGAGGGACGACCAAGACATACCCTGACCGTCGTGGCTATATGCCAGGCACCTGCAGCTTCCTTTGTGTCTCCTAGTCTTCCAAACAGTGTCTACCATGCCCTTCCCGTCGCTCAACACGCTGCTATCCGCATCCGCATCGGCATCGTCCTCGGAGGCGTTGCTTGGCGGCAGTCGAAACGTTTCCACGAGGCCGTTGGATAGACCCACGGTGAGAAGCGGTTCGGTAGGGTGCAGAGCTGTTGCGAAGACATCCGCTTGCAGCGGCAGCGTGCAAAGGTTCTCGAACATGGCGGCAGGGATAGCTTCGCTGGATCTGGTTCGAGGAGGTTTATGAACAGCACAGATGGAAGAGAAAACTGGGTGAAATATCCCTTCAGTACCTTCTTTGAGATACTCTCGAGATATTCGGGCAGGAAGGTGCCACCAAAGTGCTATTGTGGTCGGACAATTGGAATGTTTTTTTGTAAAAGACCTCGCTGTTGGAGTTTTTTTTTTATGATTGAGCTCCAGCCATCTCGACGTCAGAGGTACAGCCCACTTTGACCGTTGTACAGTACAAGAAGGGAACGGACAATCTATTCGCACAGTACGTGCCCAGGTGCCAGCTGTCACAGCAAGTGTGGTTACACATTTCAACTCGAGCAAGACAATCACTTCTTTCATGGGCCGGGTATTTGGAGCTCATTGTATTTGGCTTGATGACAGCCCAACGTTCCGTAATATAGAATTGTCTGTGGAAGACGACACTCGCCATTGGAAATTAATTCACGGCATTTTGAGGATAAAAACTTGGTATTGAAGGCGGGAGACTGGTCAACGACCTTGTATGCGCTTTGGAGAAATTTTGGCAATGGAAGTCCTGTCAATATGGGCGATAGCCTGGTTCTTCACTCTGTCCACAATGGCATCATCGACACACCGGCCCTTTGCCACCCGCTGCGTCATGTATCTTACTGGGTAAGCTGTGCCGCCGTAAACTGTTACAAAAGGGCTAACAATGGCCACAGGCAACACAATGTGGTCCCATCAGAACCGGAGCTCACAGAACAAATTACGCATGTTATACTCGCCTTCATGAGATCTGATGTCTTCAATTCGGATCAGCAATCCCCGGAATTTCCCCTCTTCACAACTGTGGGGGAGGTCCGAGAGAAATTTCACCACGAAACGAAGGTCATGGTCGCTATTGGTGGTTGGGGAGATTCTAAAGGGTTTGAGGAAGCGAACAAGGACGCCAAATCCAGGAAAAGATGGTGTGAAAATGTCAAAAAGATGATTGACCTGACTGGTGCGGATGGTGTCGACATCGACTGGGAGTACCCTGGGTGAGCATCTCCACGAGGAAAAGCGTCCCGTATTTCTCAAACTAACACGAGTCAAAATTTAGTGGCAACCGCGATGACTACAAAATTATTCCAAATGAGAGGCGCAAGTGGGAAATTGAAGCCCTCGTGCAGCTGTTGACAGATTTACGCGTCTCCATTGGCAGCGACAAACTACTATCGATTGCAGTCCCAGGCCTTGAACGAGACATGATGGCATTCACCGAAGAGACTGTACCCAGAATCGTCAAACAAGTCGATTTCATCAACGTCATGACCTATGACTTGTTGAACAGGCGTGACACCTTGGTCAAGCACCACAGTGGCGTGTCTGCGTCCCTGGAGTCAATCGAGTCTTATATAGCACGGGGAGCGTCGGCTCCAGTGCTCAACTTGGGGCTTGCTTACTATGTAAAATGGGCCATGGCTGAGGAGTGTGATCCAAGCCACCCATTGAGCTGTCCAACACAACTTTTGGAAGATCCAGAGACTGGTGCTGATCTGGGCAGAACCGCTGCTTTTAGTTGGCATGACAAAATACCAGAGGAGTTGGAGCAATCCTTCTCTCGAGCCATGACGAATGGCAAATACTTCGAAGACGGCAGTTTTGGCTACCTGGACGTTAAAGAGGCACGATGGTGGACGTTTGATACACCAAACGTCATTCATCGCAAATTCAAGGACATTGTGAAGCAAAGGAGACTCGGGGGTGTGTTTGCATGGGGCATAGGCGAGGATGCCCCGGCTTTCTCTCACCTGTCAGCAACGCTGCATGAACTCCAGAACCTAACCAAGGACGACATGGGAGAAGCAGCAAGCAAAGATGAACTATAAGTGTCGAAATTGCATTGCTACTAATGCAGTGATGCCACGAGATATGCTTGCTCAATCGGCTTCGACCCCATTGATGAGACTTGCCCTTTGCTGGCAAGTGGAGAAGGTGCATAGGCGCTGAGCCTGCAATGTAACGCCAGCTGGGTGCTTGAATAAACTGACAAGACCCTAGTAGGGACCGTCATGGATGAATTGAAGCATCGTTTGAAGAATTTCGCCCCTGTGCTCGCGTGAGTTGTGATCGAGCTCACAAGGTGAGTTGATATTGCTATACCCATGAATTTTGAAGCCATTGCTCAAGCAAACTACGCAATACTTGGCTGGCATCCACAGATGCTGAGATAGCATTCTGAAGATTGACTCTTACTGGGAGCATCCCACGTGGTAGCATGTGAGGCCTGCCATGGGCCCAAAACGACAGAAGACTAGAAATGCATCTAGAACAAGCGTTGAAGATGCGTTTAACCCCGCACTTACTCTAGCGTTGGGGATCTGACGTAGGGATAGAATACCAAGCCCCTTTTGTACCAAGGGGCATTTACTTGGTCAGGTCCAGATCGTTGTCGCATATTTGCCGCAACGAATGATTATGCCCACTTGGCGCACGCACACCTCATGCCCAGTCAATTTATTGAGGTCCGTGTTAAGCCCAAGTTACAGAATTGACCGAGTCTAATGCACGTGGCCAATATCTTTCCACAGCGAGGAGAGACGGAACTTTTGCGCTTGGCAGAGCATTGGGAAAAGAATTATTGATTTGTGATATCACTACGAGGCCCCTTGGGAATGATCTCCTGCAAGACCCGAGAACGACCGACATGAGAATGCAAATCGAAGCAACGGCAAAAGGGGTGCAGCACAACAAACACAAACCCATTCTCCGCGATCTAAACGAAACGGTCAATTGAACCCGACTCATTAACTACTAGTTACTAGTGCTAGTACTAGTACTAGTACCTGCTCAACATCCATGCCCGGCTTTAAGGTGTGGTCCACATGAAATCACCTTGAAATGAAGCTATCCACTCGAATACCGAATCGACCCCGATCACGGCAGTGACGGTACCATCCCGAGCGCATGTGGTGGGAGTCTTAAGTTTATTCCCATGCATAATGCGCATGTAAAGAGTGCATACACCACGACTCATCACCATGCAATTCTGGATCGTCTGTTATCTGCACCGGGTGCTCCGTTTCTTAGCTGCCCCCCCATGGAGAAACGGTCCGCTCAACCCCCGGCCTTGCCGCGGTGCCTGGCTCTTCACGATGGAAGGTATAAGTAGCTCTAGGGTCGCAGCCGAGTAGGTCATTATTCACAGTGTTTCCGGGGGTAGTCTCTGGAGTGACCTTTTTTTCATTCAGCATTGCTGCATCTCACACCTTTACCATCTATTTGTAACTCTATACTGCAGGTTCAACAATGCCGGCTGTGTCTTCACTGTTGCTGGCCGGCTTGGTGGCCGTCAGCCAAGTTTCGGCAGCTCCTTGTGCTCCCCAAGTCAAACCGATTACGCGTATTGATGTAGGACCAAGGCCGTTTTTCCTGGTGAACAACATGACCAATGGGCCTCTCAAGTCCCAGTTGGAGTCGTGCTCGGAGATGACCATCAAGCCCTCTACCTTCTCACTTGGCCATCGTGGCGGAGCCTGTATGCAGATTCCCGAGCACTCCAGGGAGTCTAACCTAGCCGGAGCTCGCATGGGAGCCGGCGTGTTGGAGTGCGATGTCACCTTTACCAAGGATCTCCAACTGGTTTGCCGCCACAGCCAGTGCGACTTGCACACGACCACCAACATTGTCGACATCCCAGCGCTCAATGCAAAATGCACACAGCCCTTCACTCCGGCAAAAGATGGAAAGCCTGCGTCGGCCAAGTGCTGCACCAGTGACATCACCCTCGCCGAATTCAAGTCTCTTTGCGCCAAAATGGACGGCTTCAATGCTTCGGCTACCAACCCCAAGGACTTCCTGGACGGTACTCTCAAATGGCGAACTGACCTGTACGCTACCTGCGGCACAATCATGGACCACAAAGAACATATTGCCATGGTCAAGTCTCTGGGGCTTCGGCACACTCCCGAGCTGAAGGCACCCGAAGTGCAAATGCCGTTTGGTAACAACTACACTCATGAAAGGTTTGCTCAGCAGATGATTGACAACTACAAGAATGCCGGAGTACCTGCTTCGATGGTTATGGCCCAGAGCTTCGAGCTCAAGACGCTTCAATACTGGCTCAAGTCTGAACGCGCCTTTGCCGAGAATGCCATTCTTCTCGATGAATCTGCGGAAAAGCCAGGCGGGATGGAGCAGGCAATTCAGAACTTGGCCCAGTATAAAGCGGAAGGCGTCAAGTTCGCGGCTCCTCCATTTCACTATCTGATTGAGGCAAAGAACGGCACCATGACCCCCAGCGCGTATGCCAAAGAGGCCAAAAAACAGGATCTAGGACTGGTAGTGTGGAGTTTCGAGCGATCCGGCCCTGTTGCTCTTGCCCGGGCCAATGGCGACTACTATTATACCGGTCTTCAAGATGTGGCGACCAAGGACGGAGATATGTACAATCTCCTTCACTTTCTGGTGAAGGAGGTTGGCATAGTTGGTGCCTTCTCTGACTGGAGCGGCACGGTCACTTATTTCGCCAACTGCCTTGGCATCGGTCTTGGAAATGAGACCAGGAGAAAGTAAAAAGAGACGTTTGACATGATGCGGTGCCTGATATTTTCATTTAAATAGCAATACATATCACCTAAAAATAAAGAGCTGATTATAAGTCACATCAAAGTATAACCGTTTTTTACATATAAAGATATACATCAGTCAAGTCCATGATTTCAATAAACGTTGCAAATATATCACCCCAAAGTACAAGCTATCCTTGGTTTAAAAATTGCTACGTGTAATTGAAACTTCAGAGTACACCCGGGGCAGTCGGACTAGCAGCTGCCTTTTGCCGTAAAAGACGAAATCAAAGAAGCTCGCCAGCACACCGTTCACAATTCTTTCCAGTTCCGGGCCCCTGACAGACCCGATATCCCCCGCGAACCGGTCCAGTACAGCATCAGGAAGCCCCAGAGCACTCACGAGCAAGGGCCGATCAGTGTAGGATCCGTGAGCCGTGCCGTCGATGGCCAGCTCAACACGCGGGCCGGCCAGGCGAGGCCAAAACTGATTCCAAGTCGGGTCCGTAGAGTTCGCGGCGCTGTGCCCCTGCCGCCCAGCCAGCAGAAACGGCTTGTCCAGGCCCTGGCTCCGAATCGGCTCCACGAGCTGGCCGTCAAAGTCGACGCCTCCGAGGACCCTCTTGTCGTTTCGGGTGAGTGTCGCCGCCGCACCGCCGCCCACAGAATGCGCATAGACTGCTATTTTCCCCAGGTCCAGGGACCCGGGGAACTTGTCGAGAAGCGATCTGGTGAGTGTGCGGTTGTGGAGCTGGTCGATGACAAAGGATAAATCGGCAGCCCGGACCTACGAGCCGTCAATATATATTGTTACTAACGTGAGAGATTCGGCGATGACAGCTGTGAGCCCTTACCTTTATGGCTTTTTCTTTGGCCGGCTCGTCATCACCCGAAATGTTCCTCCCTACAATGACGGTCCCGTCGGGGAACTCGACGAAATCAGCTTCGTACGGGTGGTCGACAGTGACTACCACGTAGCCCTGGCTGGCGAGAGATCTCGCACCCGCCCCGTATAAAAGCCGCGATTCTGAAAGGCCAGGTGTGAATAGCGCCACGGCATACTCCTTGCGTCTCTGCTTGGCCCCTCCACATGAGTTCAGCCTGTCCAGGTCGCAGAGCTCCATGTCAAAGGAGGAAAACAGCCCATCGTCGAGGCCGGCTTCCGCAGCCTGTCTCCCGTAATCTGCAGCCACTCTGGGCGTCATGTAGGGGACTTTCATGGAAGGACATGGGGTGCCTCGCTTTTCCACCGGTAGGAAGATGGAAAACAGGATGCGACGCCCATACACATGGTTGTTTGCATCGAGGGGATCGGCGGGCCGACTTGGGTCGGTGATTGATTCGACTCTCATGGCGACATCGTAGGGACCGACTGGCGGCGGTACCAAGATGGCTGATGCCATTGTTGAGAGGATGAGGCAACGTATTGTTTTCATGGTTCCGGAGGTTGGCTCAACTAGGGTTATGAATGTGTGAATAACACAGATGGAAGGAGTCTAACGATAGGATGATAGTATGATGTACTCTGACATATAATATGATTTGAGTCTGTAACAATAGGGAGCCGAGCTCATGATATATACTTGCATGAGTCCATGGTCAAGCCGGCAAAGCACGAAGCGGAACTAGGCCGAATATGACAACAATCCGGCGAGATACGGCACAACTGCCAGCAGAGCTTCGCAAGCTTGCAAGCAGTCTGGAAGGCAGGCTGTCAGCTTGAATTACACAAGCGAATTTGCTTTACTATGATTTGTTCTTCCTGTGGGCTGAATGACCAACGCGATGCATACGAGTCCATTGCGTGGTGTGCTTTGAATCTCGCTCGATAATTGCCTGATTAGGAAAGTGGATATTGTGTTCGGCGCCTCGACCGGGAGTTCAAACCGGCCGTTTACACAAATTCCGCCGGCATTCAAGTCGCACAAGATCAAGGAATATAATTTTCAGAATTAATCAGCCGGTCGCCCGCGTTCTGCCTCACTATTTGGAAATGGCACCAAGGGGTTGATGCTGTCCGTGACTCCGTGGACCTGACAGCTCCAACAGAAAGCTAGAACATGACAAACGAGATAGAATCACGAAAAAAATAGATCTCCCGTAGCCGACAATAAATATCCATTTTGTAATTTCCACGACCAAGGCTCTATTCACATTTTTACTGCTTCCCATGAGATGCCGCCCAGCTCTGCAGCTGATGAGGCACGCCATGCCGTCTGGCCAGAAACGCAAGAATACGGTCGTCCTTTGTCTGTCCCTGCAATACCGATGCCCAGGCCTGAATTTCCTCCTGAATGGCCTCCTGCAGCACCAGCTCAAGCCTCCTGATGTCGCGTCTACTTGCAGCCAGTCGTTTGAACTGCAGGGCCGCCCCCAACATGCCGAACGCAACCAGGAGTATCGCCACGGTCGCATTCGAAGCATATATGGGCCGTTGACGCATCGGACTCGGCGAGCTCTGCGCGGTGCCGTCTTTTGAAGAAAAACCGTGGCGATTGTCGCCTTGGCGGCCAGTGAACGGCCCAGGATACACCCAGCCCTGACGGTGCGACTCGTATAACCGCCGGTAGGACGGATCGCTGAGCAGATTGTGCGCTGCGACGATGAGCCGGTATCGCTCCAGGCGAACCGACTGCGGGAGATGACGGACTCGCGCGTCCGCACCCGACATGTCGGGGTGGTACATCTTCACAAGCTGGTTGAACCTGTCCTTGGAGTACGGGGCGCCAGGAGCAACCCCCAGGATCTCATGGGGTGTAGGAGCAGAGCTGGCCGGCCACTCGGGCAGCCCTGGCTGCCGTAGGGAGGACAGCGAATGTCGTCGTCTGGTGTTGGAGCTCCTCGAGCCATGGTATATGTGCGAGGCTCTGTGGAATGTCCTGGCGGTGAACATGGCTTCCAGTGATAACGACAGCAGGTCTCACTTGTGTAAATACAGACAACGTCACAGGTTTCTCGTGGCGTACATAGATAGACAGCAGCAGGTGGACTTGGCGATACTTGATGGAACTTATATCGTCACCAGTCGACAATGGCATCGCCGCTTTGTCCCCACGGTTGCAACTCTGCCGTTGCAACGACTGTTTTGAGGGGTTCGGGCTGCAACTGGCTCATAAACGCTCAGTGCCACGAACCTCTCTGCATATGCATGCCTCTTATGCATGGCCATTGTGTTGCTATCAAGGTGTTTTCTCCTCTCATCGCGTGCGTGGACCGCCCTGACGGAATATGCAACAAGGCTCTTGTTTGACCGTCCATGGGTCCTGAGCCTAGAGTGTAGTTGATACTATTGTTGCTTCACTAGGCAATGAATAAACTGCTGAGGCAAAGTCTTTCAAGAAGGTTATAAATATCTTGGTATAAAGGCTGACTTGTTTCACATGCCGACCTTGCAGGTTACACTTCAAAGGGCATACTCCTCACCTTGGGGTCAATTTCCCACAATAGCTTGACAATCTCAATGAATCATGGCCAACATAAAGATCAAAATCGGCGACACGGCATCGGTTCTGCTTGGTGCAGCATGGGACTGGGCGTGTATGTGAGCAGATTGTGATTGGACAAAACTGGCTCGAACCCTCGCATCGGAGACAAACGAGGCGGTTTCCGCAGTCCATCCTTGAATGAGATGGGATCAAGATGAGGTCGGAATTCAACTTCTTCCAAGTATGTAGATGCTAAAGATTCTGTCGGCATTTCTGGCAAGGCATGTATGTGATTGGGGGCTATGACCATGATGGTGTCCCCATACGCCAAGAAGAGAAAATTGTCATGACAAAATCTTTCCTGTATACGTTCCTGGATACAAATTCGAAAAGCGTAAAACAAGCGAGGCATTTTGTGCTGCCAGGCTGCAATTGAATATTACGGGCGTCAAATGCTGCCGCCTGTACGGAGTAGCGTCATGTGGCTGCGCAAAGAAGCTCCATCTGACGCCGCGTCACGCTATCCTTCTCCAACTGCTTCCACTTCTTCATCATCGTCCCGGATGTCGGTTGACAAGTGACTGCCGATGAGCATCCAGAACACAGTTGACGACTATTAACCCCCAGAAATGCCGCTGGGACCGTTTGATCTGCGTACCAATCGATCCCGGTGTTGCGCCTGCTCAGCAAGCCATCTCAAAGTAAGCCAGCCGCAACTCAACCCGCAGCCTCGTCTTGCGTTGGGACGCATCTCACACGACCAAGTGTTCTGGCCATGTTCCTTGTAGCAATTGCGCTCGTCGACGCGTCGCATGCGCATATCCGGCGCGGAATGCTGCCGCCAAGTTGATCCTCGTCGAGAGAGGCAAGCAGAAGACGGCAACAAACTGGTCGCAAAATGATGAGGCTGAGTCGCAGAGCACATCTCGTCGAAGGAGCTACTTGCCGCGTCCTGAATGCCTCACAGACCAAACATGCAACTACATGAGCTTCTTCGACGCCTTCACCAGGGCGAACAGCTTCACCGGCCGCGTGCGCACCGCCGGCGACGAGGTCAAGCAGCTCGCTGACCTACACTCTCGCAAAGGAAGCCACCTCTTCAACGCAATCTTGGCCGTCGGTGCAATGTACGCGGGGAAATTGAACCATCAGCGTGCGTCCTCGAAGCGGGAGGCCTTGTCAATCGCTTTCCAGCATTACTCGTATTCCATCCAAGGCCTACGAGAAGCGATTGATGGCATGAACCTAGGCACCAGCCCACGTCTGCCGAGGCACGAAAACCAGCGTGTTTGCATTCTGTGGACGACATTCTTTCTTGGCGTTTTCGAGGTGAGCAGTTTGACCTACATTCGATGCAAAGAAACGAGAGATATTGATGCACGCAGCTCATGAACGATGTCACGGGCCACGGGTGGCAGCAGCACATCATCCACGGCACATCCATGGCGCTCAAGCATAGTGGCCCAACCTCATGCCGGTCCGGCCCTGGATTTGCCTTCTTCATACAGGCGAGAATATTCGAAGTCAGCAGGTCCATTCTGTTCAACGAGCCGACCTTTCTTACGGAGCCGGAATGGGTCTCCTTGTCGCGAGACATGTGGACCGACGAGGAGCATCTCGCCGGAAGCAAAAACACATGGACCTCGTTGGACTCGCTACTAGACATCATGGTCATGTGTTCGAGTCTTCGTGTAAGGTCAGTTGTGAGAACCCTTTGTAACCACATGGCACGCCTGTGTTGTCGCTTACCCTGCTCTACCTCCCCGGGAAAGAAAAACCACGCACTAACTCTAAAGCAGAGCGGAGGCGTTCATACAAGGGCAAGGCTCTTCTCAGGATATGCCTCCATCCGATTCCGATGCCATGGCCATATCACAAGACGGACATCTTCTCCGCGAAGCCTTGCGCAGCTGGAGCGCAGCCTATATTCCAGATGCCGCGCTCCCGTCACCCAGCACATCCTCCACTTCAAACAAGGACCCAGAGAACATCAGACACTGTGCCGCAGACCCAAGTACGCTTTTGGCTCGTGTTTTCTACGCCTCCATCAGCATCTATCTCTCTGGCGTTTTCGACTACGAGCTGCCCCATTGGCAGCGACGTAACCTGCCAGTCCCGGCTCTCGACCCAGCCACGGTAGCGCAACACGTCTGCGCCATTCTAGCCCTCACGGATACTGGACTGAATCACACGGCACTGTCGCCGGTCCTGTTCTTGTTCCCTTTGCGAATTGCCGGCGCACGATCATGCCGCCAATGGCAGCGCGACCGAGTCGGCGCACTTTTGGACCACATAGGCATCGCATATGCTGTTGCTTCCGCCATCAGGGCCGACTTGGCGCAAGTGTGGAAAGCGAGAGCGGCTATTCCGAATCCAGAACTACAATTCGCGTGAAATCGAGGGCAATGTAGTCGGCGGCGTGTAGCATCAGCCTGGAGTGCGTGTCTGCCCCTGAGGCGGGAGATTACGGCAGAGGGTTTTGGTTACCCGTGGAGAATAAAGGGCACGTTTGCATGGATAAACTCTGTGGTTGTGCTGCATGGCGCGAGGGACAAGATGCGTCTGCATATTCTTTTCCCTAGTTTCCGCCATTCATGGCGTCCGTAGTACAGAAGGACCGTGGAGGTGACGCAGCATGTTGAAGCAGCCGGGCTTTGCCACAGCCTACTGATAATCAAAGTAGCACCAGCTCTGTATATTAGCTATGGGGACGCTGTAGATAGTGCCTAGTAGATGGAGAAGCCGTGACGCCGTATACAACGCCAAGCATGAATATATCGTTTAGTGTCTCCATAAAGGATATATGGAACTGAACCTGGCCGTACTTGACAGGTGTATCTCGCCTATCTCGCAACTGACGACGGCTAATCGGTCCTTGATACTTCTTCTCGGCTACGGGTCGTGAAAAATTCATGGGTGCAGTGTAATCGAGCAGCCAAGCAGACTATCCAACAGTCCATGTGACGGCGTTATAGATGTACCCAGAAGGTGCGAGGGTGGTTCGCAATGCGTTGAACCGTGAGAAACCACCTCCCATTGTCTACTTCTGCCTCTGGCACTGGGTTTTCGACCTCGTAACACGCCGACAACTGGAGCCACTCACGTGTGCTCGAGGTCCATGGCAGACAGGCCGTCCGGTCGGCTCGCTGCTCGTCTGTCCAGACCAGACACTACCAGACCTTGGGTACCGATTGCGGGGTACCATGATGCCAACTAGAACGCTGGTGTCCGTTGCTGGCCACAAACGCCGTCATTTGTGCTCCGTTTGGCACGTGTGAAATGTCCCTAGTCGAGCCCAGTTGCCCATTTGCTGACAAGTATACTAGTACTAATATCCGGGCAGATGCTGCTCCAAATTATCGAGGGTCCATCCTGGGAAATAGCAAGTGCTAGTTCATTTCAGCTTCATCCAGCGGCCTCACGCTAAGACGACGAGAAGCTGTCCCAATGACCAGTCTGATACTAGCACCTATTCCAACGGCTTTCGCTCCTTCACCCGCTCCATGACCCGGGACGAGTTTCGATCTGCACTCAAACGGAACAAGATTGAACTTCTCAGGTTCGTACCATTTGAGGAACAGCGCGACGCGGCTCCTTCCGCCAACGGCCAGGCAGACTCGGGCATTCCGAACCGGGTGTGCTTTGCATCGAAAGCATGAACTTTTGCTCTCTTGACGTAATCTTGCAGGTTATGTCAAGACTCAAGAGCACAGTAGGGATGAATTTGGGTTCCGGGTCCTCAAGCCGACATGGATCCTTTACGTTCCACATCATGACATGGGAGGGGCTGGACCCCAAATTAGCCCTTGGTTCTGTCATCGACTTTCACAATGGACCTTCACTCCCTGCCGCGGCCCTTACGCAACATGCTTGCATGATGATAGCAAATTTATCATGGTGAGCGTTTCAAAAGCTGCAATTGTCGGCGTGGAATGATTGACAGGAACAAACAAGAGCGGTCCAGATCCGGTAACGGCATGCTCCACGACTACAAAGGCGCATTGCTACCGGCCATCCCTGTCTCATGACCTCACTGGGGCATCACCAGTGCGTCCCGGCCGCGCTGCGCCATGATTGCCGCGTGAAGGCCTCGGATCACAGCAAACAGCCTGGTCTGAATATGTCGACGCCACTTGGAATGCCTCGGCGCTTGTCTAGCCAGATGAGTGCAATACAAGCGGGGGCACTCACTAACCCACGTGAGCTATTCTCGGACCTCAACACGTCGCACGTCGTCGTTTTTAGCGGTCAGGGAAAAGGTCCGTGTCTAATAGTAGTACATATGTAGAATGTGTACATAACGTAGGGCTGATGCGGTGGAGCGAAGCACGGTGGTGTCGGCTGGTGTGGTTCCTGACGGTCCATCGTTTGCCGTTATCCCGATAGACCAAGCACCAGGTGCCCTACATATTCTAATCTCAAATGCGACTTCTTTCAGCAGCAGAGCGAATTTGAGACAACTGCCATCGACATGCAAGCCATTGTCTTTCCCTGCATATTCGACCTCTTTGTTGGTTCGGCTCGCGTTTGGCGTTGGGTTGGTGCTGGCCAAGGCTTGTCGGGAAGAGCTGGGGTTGTTAGTAGTACAACAGCAGACCTGCGTCAAAGTGGGTAGGGGACAAGCTGATGACGCCACAGAAAACAGGCTGAGCCTGAGCTCCTTGTTCTTCAGTCTCTGCAATCTAAGCAGCTTCATCGACAGTCGGGGGCGACATCGGATTTCGTTCAGCTTCAGTCAGCCCAAAGTGTGGTCGGAAAGGGGCGTGTCAGCTTCGTGAACAGCCAAGGAGAAAGGGGACAATGAGTGATGGCAATCCTTAGTAGTTCTCCGGCGTGATTGTCTGATGGGGTCTCGAGCTGGCAAACAGTTTGGCGCCACATCGTTTAGGCTCGGCTTCTGTGGTGAAATACTCACGAATGGATGATGAGGGAGTGGTTCGAGGCGTTCAGATTCGCCTTTTTGCTGTTAGCGCCACCGGCCTGCACATGTGGCTCCCGTGGGCTGGCTTGTCGCCTGTCGGAAGCCTGTTTCTAAGCTTGCAAACCTTGGGACATCTGAAGCTTGACAGCTACGGGACACTGCCCCCCTCCTTGCAGCCGTACCCCAGTCAGTCGCATTCTCTCGCAGGTCACATTTCAAAAAGCTGAAGAATCCTCGTCACATCCTCTTTTCCCACTTGCATCCGGCTATAAGACCAGCAGGGCCCTCGCTGCATGACATTCGTACCGCTAGCTGCCGCATCCTTCCTTCCTCAAGCTATCTGAACGCGCCATTCGCATCCATCCGTCGACGTCTGCTGTCATCATAAGTCGCGTCCGCCGCTCCTTCCCGCGATAAGAACTTGAACATCGCCCTGCATCAAGTGTCCTGCTCTGGTAAATTTCACCGTCCTCGTCTGGAGCTGCCCTCTTTTCGCGCCATCCCAACAAAAGCCCCCATGATCTAATCACTTCGTCCCCAGGTGAATAATTCGTACAACCACGCACAATGGAGATTCCCGGCATTCTCAAGCTGGCCCTCTTCGGCGGCATTGCTCTGTTCGACATCATTTCGTTGGGCCTTCTAGCATATGGTACGTAATATCCCCATGGAGTCGACTCGACTTGGGAGATGCCATTTTTGAACCGTCCTGCTCACTTGTGACAATTTCACAGTTGTCAATTCGACGAGTGGTAGCGCCTACTATGGTTGGGGTTACTCGCACTACTCCAGCTCTCCGTCACAGGTCAACTTCATGCTCTTCAACACCATCTGGACCATCCTTGTCCTCGTCTACCTTGGCGTTTTCCCTCGCTTCCTGTCTTCCCTGTACCATAGCATCATTGCTCTAGCTTTATTGGGTATCAGCACTCTCTTCTGGTTTGCCGGCTCCATCGCCCTTGCCGCTTTCCTTGGTGCTGGTACCTGCAGCGGCAATAATGCTTTCTGCAGCATCTACAGATCGGCACAGGCTGCTACGGCCTTTGGCTTCTTCATCTGGGCCATGTTCACAACCCTTACGGTCTTTGAGCTACTCGCACTTCTCAAACACGGCTTCAGGAAGGGCGCCAATGCCGACAGCACCGGCAACCAAATGACCACTCAGACCGCTCAGACTTATCCTGGAGCCTAACATCCTGAACGAAACTCGTAGTACACACCATACTGTACGCCGATCTCGAGCGATTATGACGCAATTTAATTAGTCAATGTCAAACAGAAACATTGTCGATAATCAGTATGGCGTCTGCGCATTTTGGTTTTTTTTTTGTCTTCTCTTTTTCCTTGGATATGGTTCGTGCAGTGCTTGGTAATTGTACTTGGAGCTAGTGTACGGAGGAGATTGATACCCTCGCTCGAATTGGTTCCGTGGCGAAACAATATTAGGCATGAGAAGTTGCAAGTCTGGACGTGAAATTTATGCGATGAAATGGGTAACGGGGGCCTTTTTTTGGTTCATGACTTCGAGGGACAGTTTTGTCAGGGCTTCAAGATTTCAAAAGATTCGGCTACAAATAATATTCGATGTGGTCTTTTCTTTCCCCCCTTTTATTTTTCTTCAACATGGAGTCGTGCTTCCGAGATATGCCGACTGTGATGTCATTCTCGACACACTCAACATTTATTTGGTAACATCCTGCGCAATCTCCCAGTTGTGTCCGGCCGGATCATCAAACGTCACAGTCTTCAACCCCCAAGGTTTCACCTCTGGGCCCGACAAGAAGGTGACCCCCTTGGACCGCAGCCTCGCCATGGCAGCATCAAGATCATCCACCCAGATGCTCAGCTGGAACCGCTTACCAGCCTCGGGCGGCGCAACCTTGGCCGGCTGCACAAGTTCCTGCCCTGCAGAAGCCGCAAGCAAATTGATAATGAGGTTATTGAACTTGACGGCGCACGATTCGGCATCCTCATTGAGCACGCGCGCGCCAAAAACATCCGTATAGAAGGCCTTGGAGGCCGCCAGGTCCTCAGTCAAGAGGGACATGGCGGAAATGGTGAGCAGCGGTTCCGCAAACGTGGCGGTGGCCATGACGGTGAGGTCAACTTTGAGGATATAAGAGTGTGCAACAGAATGATGGTCGTGTCGACGTAGAGTCTTCTGAGCTAATGGAATGATGAGAAAACCAACGTCGCTCCAAAGCCTCAAGTGTGTGTCTTGTATGATTTCAAGAGTAACCAGCTTGACAAGAGTCGACATAGCATAACTCACCAGAATTCATATACATGCCCAAGTTCACGGTTTTTATTTTTCACGCCTGTGGCGCTTCGCTGCCTGGCCGTCAACGCCAATAGGCTGCCCACCGACGAGGCGTGTCCAAAAGGTCTGGTGGCGTTTGGGCTTCTCGGGGCCGTTGTTCCCATTCCAGGATGGTATCGCTTCACTCGCGATGGGCAGCCAATTACGTTGTGTGCCGGAAGGGCAGCTGAACAACCACTAAAAGAAGCCCTCGCACACCTTCCCTGGCAGAAATGGCCCGGGACTTCGGTGCTTGGTGTTGCACGATAAGGCACTGACGATTGACGTGCAAGTCGCGAGATTATGTGAAAGGCGGTAGGTTATGTCGTGAATTATTTCTCTGCTTCTCTGCGGGTTATTCTAACAGGACCACGGGGTTGTCACAAGAGCCCCGGTTTGTATGCAGCTTCTGTATTCGTGTTTTATTGTGTGGTGTCTGATCTAAGGAATGATTTGGTTCCTGAAGAGTTCTGAGTTTGGACTATATTATTTTTGGAAGAGTAGAAGCTTGAACTTGGGTGCCAGCTACTAACTTTCCCAGAGAGCATATCACAGGGTTAGGGTTAGGGCTACCCAATTGGTCAGCTTAGAGCAAAGAGCTTCGGGGCAAATCTATCAATGTATCGTCGACATATAACAGAGTATTAAAGCCCTTCTGGTTCTAATTTTGAGGTTTCCAACGACACGACTGATCAATGTTTATTAGGATGGCGTTCTGATAGACAGTGAGCGCCACCCCAGCCTGGACCATGTTGGAGACGGCGCACGTTTACCGTGTCAGACAAAAAGTATTGACTAGACCAGATACGTGGCCATCATGCCCTATACCTAATACTACTACATTGCATAAGTGCATCGTTGTTGACGCTCAGATATACTATTCTGCCGCAGACTGTATTGTATCTGCCAATGAGTTTAATGGGACGAGACAAGCAAGATTCCAGCACTTGCAGAGCTGGACAGAACTCTCTTCATTCTGAGCCGGACCTTCGAGCATGAGCAGAGTGGAACTGATCGAACCCCAGTTTTTTAATGAGTGGGTAATAACAATAATACTCCGTACTTGGTTATAAAAACAACAGCAACGATGACTTGCATGTTCCTGTTCCTGGATCATTTCGTCACGGATCGATTTCTGCCCCACACAAGCTTCTGAGGTAGTACAACAAGCGGCACTGGGGTTCAATGTTGTTTCAACATTGAATGTTTTGCCGGCTTGTGGCGCCTGGCCCTTCCAGCCTCCCGGTTTTCAATGCGCCAGCCTCTCTGGACTTTGGGACATGGCCCCACTGAAACCAGGGGCCTAGTCACCTGGATGGTAGAGCGGGTTACTGCATCAACAAGACGAGGCGCTTCAATGTTGAGTGATGTACTGAGTAGCGTCACTGGTGCTCCGGGAACAAAAACTCCAGGAACAACATTTAAAGGTACAAATCAATGCATATTGACTAGTATATCTGATACACGCACTTGACCTGTTGACTGCGTCTAATCAGGCTCCGTCTCGGTGCCTCTTTCCCTGTTGTTCACTGAGCATCCCAACGGCAAACCTCCGTAGTTCCTTCCCTGGTTTTGGGCGGACGTGCGTCATCTTACCCCGCCGGACCACCCATCACACCCGAAGCCCCAAGGTTGATGCTGGTGCCAGCCCTGAGCTCGAGCTCCAAGCTTGTCCCAGGCTTGGGCCGCAACAGTTGCCATGTGGACGCAAAGTACTCCGTACCTTGACAGTCATCTTTCGCTGAATCGACTGTGAGTATCTTGGCAGTTGGCAATTGCGTTTGCTCTTTAATCAATGCACGATGCCCGGTGCTTCCGGCCGGCTTGACCCAGGTGCGCGCAGCTGGAGCTTGCTTCGTATTGTAGTACAGAGTACGGAGTACATGCTGCTTTTTACCAGAGAAAACGTGCATGAGCGGGTGGATCCCATCGCACACCCAACCACCTCTTTTGTATCGTTGATCCATGCAGGCCGCCAGGACGAGACAAGGTCTGGCGAATCTATGCGCATTCTGGCCCTTGCATTTAGAACAACCTGCCTTTCCCAGCCAACCAGCCCATCCAATTAGTTAGTTTATTGTTTTCACCGAAGATCGACTTCGATTGTTATAATAGGTGTGCTTTCGTCGGTGATCCCCCCCCCGCCCATGATTCTTTTCTCTCTGTGCATTCCTGACATCCCACCTTGCCACGTTGTTTTGTGTCGTCACCCAAACCTCCAGACGCAACTTGGGTCCTTTGGAGCCATTTGCCCATCATGATATTCGCATTAGTGTTTGTGTGCACTCGCATCTCTCAAATCGTCACTCTGGTAAGCCGCGGCCAATGTTTGAAATCGCCTCATGATCCATCCGCGTCCGCTAGTTAAGCTAACCCGCGTCCCCAGCTTCCGCCGATGGGCATGCTCGCCTGGTTCATCAACATCTTCATCAGCCACAATGCCTTGACCCCCGACTCAATCCTCATCCTCTTTATTCTTGTCGTTCTTGCCCTTGCCTGGGCCGTCTTCACCCTCTTCAGCTACCACCGCTCGTCTGCCAACGCTCGCTTCATATGTCTGGTCGACCTTTGCTTCATGGGTGCTCTCATTGCCGGCGTTTATGAAATGCGAGGAATTGCAGACGCAAGCTGCTCCAACCCCGACTCAAGCTCCGTATGGTTTGCTCCGAATCACATCCCCGTCCCCAACTGGGGATGGCAGACGGACAAGCCCTGCGCCATGCTCAAGGCCAGCTGGGCGTTTGCCATCATGAACATCATCTTCTTCGCCACCACGGCTCTTGCCGCCTTTAGCCACGGCGACCACCTGGCTTACGAAGGCCGCGGCGCATATGTTGTAGAGCGCCGCCACCACCACTCCAGCCGTCACAGCCATCGTCACCGTAGCCGAAGCCGTTCTGGTGGATCCCGCCACAGCAGCCACCGAAGCCCGCATTCTCACCGCCGAGTCTACGTTTGAGGAGTCCTGTGCCACATGCGCTTACAAGAACCTGCCACTGGAGTCATGAGATTTGCCGCGGCCAATAGATGAGTCCCTTTGGCGAATGAATCATGAATTCAGAGCATGCCGTGCTTGGAGTTTGACAAAACGAAGCGACCACCCGCCGCGCCGCAGCTTGCTTGCTCCAGTGTTGACCATGTATGGCAAGGCAATGCAAAGCCGCAAGTGCGGCAGCTGACGGTTCCATGCACATGGATCCATGTTGCGTCTTATGTCTGGCGTCTGACGAAGGACTGCCGAGAGAAATCCATTTGTGTTTGATGCTCTGCGGCTGCGTTCTGGGAGACTGGACCTGGATATGGTGGAATGTTCTAATTGACTACTGCTATCGATCCCCTTTGTTTGGCAACAACCTCCTCCCCTCTCGCTCTTGTCTTCTCGCGTCAACGAAACGCCTTTGAGGGCCCGCTTATAGTTCGGAAGCAACACTCGGTATTGCGCGCAAAACAGATGTCTGCGGTGCGTTTTGTTCGTTCTGGACTACATATTTGTCTATAGTCGGTGTATGGATCTTGTGCGGATGCTTGGATACCCCATGCTTTTCTTTGCCGCGTTATCGAATGTGAACATAAACGTTGGCGCATATGCAATGTCAAATATCTCATGTATGCAATGGATACATTGAAACGTCTCGAATATCCTTGGTATCATAAACTACAGTCGCCTAATGCCGTGATTCATCCTCACCCACATGATAACCCCTTGCAACTCCACTACGACCTTGCTCTATCAACGTACTCGCTTCTTGGTCGAAATCCGTCCCCAACCCTTGCCATGTCCTATTGGACCGCAAATACTCAGCGCCGGGACTGGCTACGCCGTTGATACTAGCCAATTCGCCAGCAACTCTCTTTGTCACGGCGTTGGACTGTCCTCGGTTAGTATTTCCAGCGTCGATACCCTCGCTGCCATTATTATTCGTGCCAGAACCCCGCAGAGTGAGCTGCATCGGCCGGCTGTGACTGATGAGCTTGCCTGTCCGCAAGTCAAACTGCGGCGGTAGGGATTCCTCCCCTTCCACGCCACCATCCACGTCCTCCTCCTCTGCTGGCGCAGAATCATCTTGTCCCTGCGAGGCATGGCCCCCCTGGGAAGCCTCCGCTTCCTGCTTGAGCTTTTCAATGCCTCCCCACCATTCGCCGCCCCAAATTCTCTCCTCCTCGCTCATGAGTGCGACCTCCATTTCAAACGGCGTGACGACGGGCCGCCAGTATCCAACATCGTCCTCGATCAGTCCACTCTCCCAGCAGCCAACGACCACCCAGCCTTGTATCTCTGCAAAGTTTGCCAACTTGGCCGGGTTCAGCTTGCCCACCACAACCGTGTAGCTCTTCTTGCCGGCCTGCGCAATCTTTTTCCGCAGCAGGTCGATGGAAGCCAGGTAATTCGAGACGGAGAGGGTGTTGACCAAGATGCCCACGACGCCGGCGGAGGCCAGGGACAGGACCCGGGCGAACCGCCGACGCAGAAGACCCGCCGCCCTCAACGTCGGGTTGTCGACCGTCACCGCCGCCGACGAGTCCGTCGAGAGCACGTGCAGCGACGCAAAACGAGTCTGCAGCGCCAACAACAACGACGTGGGCGGGTCGGAAATGTGAAACAGCGCATGCGACCGGGCGGCCTCGTCTGTCATTTCCGGCCCCTCGATCCTCCGGTTGGGTATCACGGCCGCGGGATCCCGGGCCACGCTGGTCCCCAGGACGTTGGTATATCCGGACTCTTTCAACCCGCGCACGACGGCGTCCACGTGGTCCTGGTACGTCAGGTCTGCCATGACGACCACTTTGCTCGTCTTGTCGGCGAACTCGGCGCCAAACTTTGCGACGACGGCGCCGCGGTCGAGCCCGCGCGACGTGTAGACGTGGATGACGGGCAGCCGGCTCGTCGGGCTCAGACACGTCCTGCCGTAGTGCACCACGACCTCTGCGTCGGCGTGCTCCGCGGCGATTTCGTCCACGCAGCACGCGCTGTAGCTCGTGTCGGCCAGGATGTGAATCCGCGCCGTGTCGTCGGCCAGCTGGGCGTCTAGCAGCTGCACGACGCGCGGCGCGTCGACGAGCATGTGGTCTGGGAACTGGAGCGCGATCCTCCTCCACCCCGCCTGGCGGATTTGGCTGGCCGTGCTGCCGATTTCGTACGTCGACCGCAGTTCATCGTCGGGCAGGGTTGACGTTGGCAGCGATTCGGCGGCGGGCACGTCGAGAAGGTGGTCGTCGGGCGTGGATAGGACTGGCGCGGCGGCGAGTTCAGAGGCCATGGTTCTATCTGCTTCGGGACTATGTCAGTCCCTTGCGGCCGCGGTACAAAACTCTCACGAAGGGGCAGAGTTGACACATTGGCAGAGTTTAGCATCGAACGATGGTTATTTTTTTTTGCCAACTTGGCGGGGTGGTGGACCCTGTGTGAATGCGGGGTGTATGTGCGGGTTTCTGGATTTGCTGTTGGATGTGGTGGGTGCGGATTTGGGCCTGTGCCGGTGGCTGCTGGTGAGCAATCCAGGGCACCAGATTGGTTCGGCGGTTTCACGAAACTTTGGAACCGAGCCATATCAGACCAGTTGACCTGTTGACAGCAAAGCGGCAGCCTGTGTCATTCGAGACTTTTCGCTCTGATATCCCCAAATTTTGCCCAGGGAGACAAATACGATGAAAATGGATTGGCATTTCGCATTTATGCAGAGAGAATGTCAACGGGGGACCTTGCGCAGGAGTCCAACTGCTAGCCGTTCCGAGCCGGCACAACTTCAACGTTTGTATCGGCCCTTCTTGTTCGCCTTGGGTTGTGCCCATCGTTGGGATAGAATTCGGCTATTCGGTGAAGCTACCCTCGTGAGATTGTCATTTTGTTCAGGGGCGACAGCCGGCACCTTGGGCTCCAACTAATATTTGTCCATCTCTCCTAGTCGACTGACACTCCATTTCGGTCACGTCATTCGCTCACACACCAACCGATCACGAGTTCGCAGCCGCACTCTTGACGTTCAATCCGCGCTTCCAAGGCAGTGGTAAGCTACTCTCCAGGGGTTGGACAAGTATTGGACACGGACTCGGCCTAGGCTCGATATGCGACTGGCCCTCCTCTGGATTGCAACGCTCCGAGTCAGCTGAACACGCTTGACGAAATGGCTACCTCATTGGTTCCAGTCAACCCAGAGTTGCAGGGCTATTGGAATTAGGCCAAAGACACCAGACGCTTCACCTTCCACTTCACGACAAATACCGTTGCAAACAAAGGGACTGGCTTGCCGGCCCTGCAGATCACCACAATGAAGCCGAGCTGACCCCGGTGGGATTGCACCGAACCACCTTATCATGAACTACGCGCTATACTAGGATTTCGGCCCGTGCAGATGCTGCTGATATCGGGCGGATTATGGGACTTTGTCTTCACCGTAGGTCGGCCAGGAATCTCGGGTCGTCACTCTTGTTCGCCAGCAGATCTCTGAACCCTGGCCACGAACCGACGCTATATCAGCCCGCCGTCTTTAAGTCGCCACGAGGTTGCATGCTTAAAACGCATCATGGGAGGCAAATTGGTGCATAAAGGCGTGTTTGCGCGCTGCTTACCTCGAGTTACAACGAGGCCGTCGCCGATACAAGCCATTGTTACCCCCTGAGACATTGTATATACTGAAGTTGTATTTAGTTGTCACGGGGGCCCAGCACGCGCTTCTATAAGAGTCGCCAGACACAGATTCCTTGGGAAGACTGAAGTCGTCGTGAATTTAAGGGGTCATACCCGTCTCCTTTGCCAATTGTGTCACTTCAGTTTTGACAAGCTTCTTGCCTTCACTTGCTTCTGATTCTACTTGTGTTGGTACTTCTTTCGTATTTACTATCACTCGTCCAGTTGTACATCATTGGTACAGTTGAGACGTTTTCACGGCGCACAATGCACACCATAAGGTCTCTGTTTGTCATTCCCGGCGCAGTAGCCCTTGCAACAAGACAATTCCCAACCAGAAATTTAGCCTTGAATGACACCTTCACCGTCCAAGGCCATCCAGACCTCGTCGTTCCCCCGGGGTCCAGGCAAGCTGTAATCCAGGGTCTCTGCGACGACAAGGGATTCGACGAGAACCCTCCTCCCCCTCTGCCCCAAAGAGCAACGGCAGAAGATCTCAAGTTCCAGCCCGCGCTCGACTTCGACACAGACAGCTGCTACAATGTGCCTGCCATCGGCCCCGACGGACACATCGACCAAGGCCGATCCCGCCATGAAACCAACACGGAGGGCTGCCGGGACGAATACGACCTGGACCACAGCAACGTCTACTCCCGCCAACGCTGCAACAACGGCTGGTGCGCGTACCTGTACGACTACTTCTTCGAGAAGGACATTGGCGACCGCATCTGCATCGGCCACCAGTACGACTGGGAGCACCTGCAGGTGTGGACGAGAAACGGCGTGCCGCAGTTCGGGTGTGTCTCTGCCCACGGCAAATACGACGCGCGCCTCTGGAAGGACATCCCCAAGGAGGGCAACCACATGAAGGCCGTGTACAACAAGGACGGCGCCATCGGGACGCACTACTTCCGCTTCTCAATGGGTGCCGGCGACGAGCCGCCAGAGAACCACAAGCACGTCTGGTGGAGGTCGGCGCTCATCTCATACAACGGCTTCCCGCGCGTCGAACTGCGCGATAAACTTGTGGCCTATGACTTTGGCGCTGCGGATATTGCCATCTCGGATGCCGCCTTCGCATGGAATCTAGAGTCGTGCGCGGGCAAGATGAAGGCTCAGTTTGGAGACTTTGCGTTTGACTATAATTTGGACGACGGGTCTCCCGGCACGCCTGTATAGGAACAAGTGTTTGGTTTTGTGTCGGGAAGAAGCGTCAAGCGTCCTTGAATCCGGTGACGGAAACGAGCATACCGCATGCTTCTGATTTCGATTCCACGGGGCCTTCCTATACGGTTTCAGCGAGTGGCGGGGAGGCGTGTACATTTTTCTGCATGATGACGTATATAAGAACCTAGAGTATATGATTCCGCTGACATATTAGACAAAATATACGATGGTCCTATTTGGGTATACGCGCTAGAAAGCTGCTGGTTCATCGCTGTGGTCCGGCCCAGGACTTGCATGCAGAGAAACACCATCGTCGCGGCTGCATGGAGATAAGATGCGGGCGTGATGCGTGAAGCGAAACGACGCTGTTATAGCTACTGGTATAGAATCGTAGATACCGGCAGGTAACTGGCCACTTCATGTCGATGGATCTGGGATCGGAGCTGCACCGGGCCGTTGACAGTTGTGAATGGCCTCTGTTTAATTTGGAGGCCTACTTCTGTCTGGTATTAATGACAAGGGCCCCACCTTCTAGACATATTTATTCACAATGCAACGCGACCATGTGGAGAGGAAGGGAATGCTGGACATCTGTGTCCAGTGTGCAAAAATTATTTCTTCTTGGATATACATAGTTCCTAACCCTTGAGCTTTGGCAGCATCTCAACGTCGCGCTTCTAATACCTTATTTTCCATTACCGTGATTGTCGGACTGGGTTCTTTTTTAAAGCTTCCATTTCGCTTGACGTACGACCCACACAGCCACGTTGACATGGTACTATGGCGAGGAATAAGAGACATGCTGGTAAATATCTCGGGGCACGACTCGAATGGTGGACGAGTTTAGAACGTGCCCAATTAGGAAGTACGTGTATGCACCACATAGACGACATCTGTCATCTAAAGGTCCCGCTCCCGAACCGTTGCCACGGATTCACTTGAGCGCCAAAAAGACAAGGGTGTCCAATGTGTCTCCGGTCTTGTCGAGTCTATATACTAAAGGGCGTCGCAATTCTTTCTCCTTCGTCCAGTCTGACCTGGCGGCTCGCGGGTCCAACATTGTATCCCTCCATGTCTCTACGAGGCTGTCGAGGCCCCCCCGTATAGCCCTGTAGTGAATTATCAATGCTTCTTTTCAAGTAGAGTTTCAGTAGTCATTATTATCCATCCCCGAAACTTGCCTATTAACACTCATCCTTGGCACGTAACTGGAGCCTTGTCTGCTGTGAGGGGACATGTCTGGCGTCCAATGAATTTACTGGTGTAACCCTACACCTCGGGTGCGTAACTTCATGCGGCGGTATCTGCTGATTTGACGAAATGCCTGTCTCGGTGACTCTGGACCCTTTTTTGAAGACGTAGCCATTTCGCCGTTGTATAAAAGACCCTCTTTGTCCTTGCCCATTCCTCTACACCCAAAGAAGCTATTCCGATCTAAATCCCTTGAGCTCAAGGGCTACACACCCCGAGGATACTCCCAGTTGCCAGCAGAGGAAATTACCATGGCCAAGTCTGACCAAGGTCGGCATTTCCTGGCTGGCAAGACCATCGTTGTAGCTGGTGCTGGCATCGCCGGCCTCGCCTTCGCAATAGGCCTCCGAAAACAATGGAAGCACGGCCAAAAGCAACCTACCGTCATCATATATGATCGCGACAGCCCCGGCTCGGACGCGTGGAGACAAGGGCAAAACTACACCTTTTCAATATCAGGATACAGCGACGCCGGCGGGCTTGTCGCCCTGAAGAAGATGGGCATCATTGACGCTGTTTTCTCAAGTGCTGTTTCTGGGATAGACGGCTCTGGGTCGTTCACTATCTGGAGCCCAGACTGGGGCGAGCGTTTTCGTTCACAGCGACCGCCTATTGCAGGACTGCCTACGCCCAGTATTCGCATCGTCCGGAAGGAACTTATGCGCATTCTAACAGACGAGTGGGAGTCTTTTGAAAACAGCAGCATCCAATGGGGCACGCAATGCGTAAATGTTGCAAAGGCTCCCAATGGCAGACTTCGCGTATACTTGAGGGAAATCAGGCAAGGAGAAGAGGCTGGAGAAACCCATACCGAATGTGATGTCTTGATCGCCGCGGACGGGGCAAACAGCAAAATACGAAGAGTGCTCCGTCCACACGATGACTTGGAGTACATCGGCGCCGTATTGCGAGGAGGACTGGCCACATTCCCAGAGGGCGTTCCCAGCCCGGTAGACAAGGACTGGGGCTTCGTCATGGGCAACACGGGCGTGACATGCTTCATATCGCCCGTAGATCGGAACACGGTCATCTGGGCGGTCGGCAACCTAGAAACGGAGCCCGTCAAGGAGCTCACGCGCGAACAAGGCAAGGAGGAGCGCCGCGCGGTGGTCGACCAGGCCGCCGCGCTGGGTCACATCTTCCACGAGCCGTTCCCTACAATGACGAGGCAAACCGACCCCGGGTCCGTCTTGTGTATCAACGGCCGAGACAAGCAGCCCTTTCGGCACGGCGATATTTCCGACGTGCCCGTGGTTTTCATCGGCGACAGCAACCACGCCCTGAGTCCCTTTGCCGGCTTCGGCGCAAACCTAGCCCTTTCCGACGCATGCGATTTAGCGGAACAGCTGTGCCAGTCTCACGAGTCGCTGGCCAGGGCGGTGGAGGCGTATGATCAAATCAGCGAGCCTCGTGCGAGGCGGATATGGACTGAGTCACGGAAGAATCTGAGGGCAGGGCATAGCACTGGGGTTCGATATTGGTTCTTTGTGTGTCTCTTGTGTGTTGGGGATTGGGTGAGTTGGATTCTTGGCAAGGTCCGTAGACGGCGAGTTTGAAGCGCAGACCTTGGCGCGGGTACAAAGAGGAGGATGTTTGTTAGCAAAGCATTCGCTTTTATTCGGGTTGCTAAGGTTTTGTAGATGTGCGTTGTGAGTCTGTCGTGGTACGATGATTTTGTCTTGCCGACTCCAGAAGACTACCTCTTGTAAGAGGCCTCCAGGTTTGGCAGAGTCGTTAAAACAAAAGCAGAGGAATTTTAGCTAGATGGTGATAAAGTTGGCATAGCCAAATCTGCGCCATGTACGCCTTTGGTTGCCACCAGAAATTTAATTTTTATCCAACATTCAAGGTTTCTACATCTACAGGGTAGCGTTATACGCCGATGCGGAGGATGAATGGGCAGGCACAACCCCGGCTCCTTCCTATCCACTTTACACGGGACGCGCCTTACGCGACGCGAATTGGTCCCTGATATCCCACCAGGATTAAAGTCGCCTCCTATCATCATATTCTCTCATTCTCATCCCAATGACTTAATTACCATTTCTCAAGACTACCAGTATCTATTTGTGCTTGTTTTTGTTTTTGCATTCATTTCATCTCTTTATTATTGCCAAGCATATCCAATTGATGATTTGCATCGTTTCCCGTGCACCCCGACTTGCACTCGCAATCCTGCCTGTAGATGCTCAGCGTTTGACGTGACTCGAGAATCAGAATCACCATGGCAGGCGATAAGGCTAGCTCGAGCACGGCTCGCACACCTGCGAAGCCGGCACCTAAGCCAACTGGCTCTGCCTCTGCCTCTGCATCAGCAAAACAGCGCTCCATCATGAGCTTCTTCCAGAAGTCATCACCCGTCGGCAGATCCTCGCCTGCCGCTCGTGACAAGGTCTCCCCCGATCCTCAACATTCTTCATGTCTGCAGGAGACCACCAAAGCCAACTCTCTGCCCAAGCCAAAGCCATCGACGAAGCTCTCTACGCCTGTCCCTAGCAGCGACGCCATTGAGCCGCCCAGTTCGCAGGAGAATGCTGATCCTGTTACCGCCACCAAGACCACCAGTAGCACCCTGCTGTCGCCAACGACCATGAATCCACGCACGAGGTCTACAAACGATGTGACTCCGAAAGCAGTCCAAAGCGGCACTCCAACTCGAAAGGTGAGCATTTCTGATCATTTTCGCGGGGACGAGGCTTTCAACAGCCCCCCTCCAGACAGCTTGATTTGTCCATTAACACACAATCCTGGCACAGACGAAGAAGGTTGTCAGTTATGCCGAATCGTCCGATGAAGAACAGCCCTTCAATTATTCAAGCAAGTCTCAAACTCGGCGTGGTCGAGCTCGTCGGACTGTTAAAGACGAAGATGAGTTTGACGAAGACGATGTAGCGTCCCAAGAGGCGGAGGAGGATGGTATGTTGGATGGGCTATGGCTAGCAATCCGTGATTGATGCTGATGGATATCTTGCAGACATGGGAGATTTCATTGCCTCTGATGATTCCGACGACCTCCCACGGACTAAGAAGCGAAAGCGCCCTGCAAAGGCTGCGACAGCACGAAAACGATCCAACGTCTCACCACCCGCAGACATCAGACAAGGATCTCCGATCCATGATGTAGATGACGAGCTCATGACGGACGTTCCTACAACTTCAACCACTTCACAATGGAATTATGATCCCGAGTCCACCGAGAAGCGACCTGTGGTAACGCCTGCTGAGCGTGCTGCCGCCAAAGACCCCAAACGCAAAGAGAAAGCGTACACAAAAGAGCCCGAGGATCGCTACCCATGGTTGGCTAACATTCGGGACAAGGAGAAGCGTGCTCCCAGTGATCCGGAATATGATCCCAGATCCATCTACATTCCGCCAATGGCCTGGAACAAGTTTTCGCCCTTTGAAAAGCAGTACTGGGAGATTAAACAGAATCTGTGGGATACAATTGTATTCTTCAAAAAGGGCAAGTTCTACGAGCTCTATGAGAACGACGCTACTATTGGACATCAGGAATTCGACTTCAAGATGACTGACAGGGTCAATATGCGAATGGTCGGGGTTCCAGAAAGCTCATTGGATCACTGGGTCAACCAATTTATTGCAAAGCAGTACAAGGTTGCAAGAGTCGATCAAATGGAGACTAATCTTGGAAAGGAAATGCGCGAGCGCCAAGATAGGAGCGGAAAGAAGGCTGACAAAGTTATTTCCCGTGAACTGTCTTGCGTACTCACTGCCGGTACCCTCGTTGATGGCGGCATGCTTCAAGACGACATGGCTGCCTACTGTGTTGCAATCAAGGAGTCAGTCGTTGATGACTTGCCTGCATTTGGCATTGCCTTTGCGGACACTGCCACTGGACGTTTCCAGCTATCAGGGTTTACTGACGATGTTGACCTCACAAAGTTTGAGACCTTTGTTGCGCAGATCGGCCCCCGTGAACTTTTGATTGAGAAGTCCCATCTCTCTACTAGAGCGTTGCGGATTCTCAAAAATAATACCAGCCCAACCACGATTTGGACACACTTGAAGCCTGGAACCGAATTCTGGGATGCAGATACTTCCAGGCGAGAACTCAAGTGTGGAAACTACTTCACCACTCAAGAGAGTGAAGATGATGTTTGGCCAGAAGTTCTGCAGCAGTACAAGGACGATGACTTGGTCATGTCTGCCGTGGGAGCGTTGGTGTCATACCTAAAGTTTCTACTAGTGGAGCGACCACTTCTTTCCCAAAGAAACTTTGAGAAGTATAGCCCGATTCAAAAGAATGGAACCCTGGTTTTGGACGGACAGACTTTGGTGAACCTAGAACTGTTCTCAAATACGTCGAATGGTAGTTCAGAGGGAACTTTATTCAGCCTACTTAACAAGTGCATAACTCCCTTTGGGAAACGACTATTCCGCCAATGGGTAGCTCATCCTTTATGCGACATTCAACGGATCAATGAGCGGTTGGATGCAGTGGACATGTTGAATGCCGATCCCACGGTTCGCGAGCAGTTTGCATCCCAGCTCGTTAAGATGCCAGACCTGGAGAGACTCATCTCCCGTGTTCACGCTGGGGCTTGCAAACCGGAAGACTTCGTACGAGTGCTGGAAGAGTTCGAGCAAATAGAATACACTATGAGCCTTCTCCAAGCATTCAAAGGAGGAAATGGCCTCGTTGACCGACTCGTTTCATCCATGCCCGATCTCGAAGAACCTTTGACGTACTGGAAGACAGCGTTCGATCGCCGAAAGGCCAGAGAAGACAAGATATTAATCCCCTCACGCGGTATTGAACCAGACTTTGACGACAGCTTGAACAGAATGGAAGAGATCAAGGACCAACTGAATGATTTGCTGAGCGAGAAGAAGGGAGAACTGAAGTGCAGGACGATAAAGTTTACCGATGTCGGCAAGGAGATTTATCAAATGGAGACCCCCAAGAGTGTCAAAGTTCCCTCTAGCTGGCGACAGATGTCCGCGACAAAGGACGTCAAACGATGGTACTTTCCACAGCTCACCCAGCTTGTTAGGGAGCTTCAAGAGGCTGAAGAGCTCCATTCCCAACTTGTCCGAGAAATCGCGTCGCGGTTGTTTCAGAAGTTTGACGTTGACTACAATACCTGGCTGCTTGCGATTAAGATTGTTGCACAATTGGATTGTCTAGTCAGTCTGGCCAAGGCTTCGAATTCGCTGGCGCAGCCATCGTGCAGACCCCAATTCGTCGATGAGGAGCGCAGCTTTGTTGATTTCGAAGAGCTGCGGCATCCATGCATGATCAACACTGTTGATGATTTCATCCCTAATGATGTTAAACTGGGTGGCGACCAAGCCAAAATCAACCTGTTGACTGGTGCTAACGCGGCCGGAAAGTCGACCGTACTGCGCATGGTAAGTTTCTCTTGTGCATGTGAATAGCTGTAAACTATATGGCTGACAATTTTCCCGTAGTCATGCGTGGCTGTGATCATGGCACAGATTGGATGCTATGTTCCAGCAGTATCTGCTCGCCTTACTCCTGTCGATCGCATCATGTCCCGTTTGGGAGCCAACGACAATATTTTCGCCGCACAGTCTACCTTTTTCGTGGAGCTTTCGGAAACCAAGAAGATTTTATCAGAAGCTACTCCACGCTCACTTGTGATTCTTGATGAACTGGGTAGAGGAACAAGTTCGTACGATGGTGTTGCCGTTGCCCAGGCCGTTCTACATCATGTCGCAACTCACATTGGATGCGTGGGCTTCTTCGCTACTCACTATCATTCCTTGGCCACCGAGTTTGAGAATCACCCCGAAATCAGAGCAAAGCGAATGCAAATTCATGTAGACGATGAAGAACGGAAGGTTACATTTTTGTATAAGCTCGAGGATGGTGTTGCCGAGGGAAGTTTTGGTATGCACTGCGCGGCCATGTGTGGCATTTCCGATCGGGTCATTGAGAGAGCAGAGGTTGCTGCTAGGGACTGGGAGCACACTAGCCGTTTGAAAGAGAGCTTGGAGAAGGCAAAGACGGGCTGCTACATTCCGCTGGGAATTCTGAGCGACATTGGCAGTCTCTTGGGAGGAAAAGGGGATATCGGCGATAAAGGCGTAGATGTGCTTTTGAAAGCTGTCGAATGCCTGTGAATGGAGTCGCATTCACAATGGTCATGATTGGGACATGGGAGATTTTCTGGGCATGGAGTTTGACGAGGTTTCATGTGTGTTTTTACAGGTATATTTGGTTCTTTCTAAAACTGGTACGGATTGACGAATCTTGGGCCCCCCCGTGGAGCCTCCAGATATATATAGACTCGGGTACCTATAATATAAAGACCATGAAATGATCTGTCCATAAACGATGTAATGCTGGCCACGCGAAGGCTTTGTGGAATTGTCTTCTAGGTCTAACTAAGTAGCTAGTTTAGCAGAGGCCGAGACCAGGTCCTCAATCTTGTCCTGAAAGTCAAAAAAGTAGTTGATGGCCTGTATCATCTTTCCCTCGCTTGCGCCAAACCCACTCCTGGTGAATGCCAATCTCCACGAGCTTTCGTCCCCAAGAATAGTCTGGTAGTCTGTCGTCTCGCACCAATTATCCAACGGACGCTGAGCAAAGTACGCACCAAGCGGCGCACCCCACGAAGAGGCACGCCTCGCAGAAAGCTCGCTCAGCAGCTTGGGCGCAATGGTGATGTGTTGAACCCCAGCTAACTGCATTACCTCGTCGACCGACGTCAAAGACGCGGCCAGAACCTGCGTACGGCACGCGTGCCTGGCGTAATACGCCTGCGCTTGTCGGCAAAACTCGAAGCCCTTGCTGCCGTCGACATATCTAGGACGTTTGTCAGACGGGGGTCCAACGCGCCATATTGCCGAGAGACGGGACGGGACGTACCCTTGCTCAAAATGGACCCTGAGCTCATTGACGTATGGCGCGATGTAGGTGCATCCCGCGGCGGCGGCGAGAGCAGCCTGCTCCATGCAAAACATGGTCGTGGCTAGCGTCGCGATCCCTTCTGCCTCGAGGATGCGGCACGCCTGGAGGCCTTCCCACGTGGAGGGGATTTTGACGCATACCCTTTTCGGATCTGCATGGCTGAGGCTTTTGAAAATACCGACAATGCCTGGTCATGTGTGGGTGAGTGTGTCATGATACTGCGCCGGCCTGGAAGGATGCGTACGTTTTGCGTTTTCAACGGTGGAAGCAGTGGAGTAGGCTAGTTTGGGGTTTGTCTGTACGTGAATGAATCCTGTTACGTGTTGTATAAGCTAGAGCTGCAGTTTGACCATCTGTCGGGGTTAACACAGGCTTCGGCCGTTGGATGGCGACAACTCGACCTACTGAGATCTCGACTACAAATTCCTCAAAGGCAGCCGAGCCTTGGAGACTGTTCAAGCGACCCCTGGCATCGGCTATAGCTGCGTTGATGAGGTCCTTGTGAAGCAGCGCACTGGTATCGGGGTTTGCCTTGATCAGCTCGAAATAGGCAATTGCCTGCCCGCGGGTGAAGTTTGGTCAGCGAGTCGGGCTGATTAGTATGATGCCGTGCGTAGAAATACCTGGTTGGAAGTGCAGTCGACAAATGGACCGAGTTTCTCAGCCACTTTTCAGTTAGAAACTGAGTAGAGCTCCTATGCTGAATGATATTGGCGGGAATACCTTCTGCGTCCATGGTATCACAGTCGACTTGGCTGGTCCCCCGCAGGGAATCTAGTAGGGAAGCCATTGGGAGATCAAGTCTGAAGATGGATAGATAAATTCAAGGCTATGATTCTACAGGATAGTCGCTAGAGTTGGATGTACCGAACAGTTGTGTTGTCTTGCGGTTGTGGTTAGAGTCGGGGCTCTGGAGTCCGGACCGATGAGGGGTGGTTGTAGATGTTGCATAGACGAGCTAGACAAGCAACAATTGGAACTGTTTGGCCAACCTAGAATCTATACAGAAAGGATTTATGGGCAAAATTCAAGAGTTTCACACATTATTCACCCGGTTTATCACGGACTGGCCAGAAGATTGCAGTCGTGCCATGGACTCACAAACTGGCCGTCACATGACTCCACACGTGGCGCAACGGCCCATCGAGGAAGCCTATCAACCACGCCGAAAATGTTCAACGGCTCGTCGCTTTACAAAAAAAGGCGACTGCTACCCAAGGCGGCATCCACGCAATCCCGCTTGGCGACGAGGTTAAGTGGATTAAGCCTCGTGAGAGATCGCCATGCTCACATGAAGCAGGCGAAATATGCGGCCACCACGAATCCTCAATCGCACACGCGAGGCTCGCAGCATCCTTGCCCTGGGCAATCGCCAACCCTCACGATGGCTTTCCTCATCAGGTGGCCTACGAGCGCCTCGGAGCGGTAGCATCCCTTTGGCGGCTCCTCTAGCCACCGCAAGCTTCTTCCTGTCGAATCGAGCGGTTGATCGATCCAATTGCCTCGACTCAATCATCTCAAAACACCGGTTCCGACAAACCTCAGCGTCCACATGCACCTCGGCGCGCCACGCCAGAAGCCAAACCACCGGCACCTTTACGGCCAATATCCAAGATACACCCCAATTGAGCTCGCACCTACCTCCGCATCGTCGACGACGAGCCCGAAAACAAGCGGATGAGGCCGCAAGCGCTGCTGGGTCCTCAGCAGACGGCACTCTGCCTGCCAATGCATCTACCATCCTCACAAACGTTGCCGCGGCGCAGCCAGCGCATTCTTTCCGCCGAACCCTCTCGACATTCTTGTCGCTCTCGAAACCGCGCCTCACCGTGCTTGTGGTGCTCACAGCCATGGCCCCGTATGCGCTGTACCCTGTGCCCGAGATGCTCATGCCCACCATGACCGAAACGCCGAGCTTGAGCCCACTGACGCTGCTGTTCCTGACTTCCGGCACGGCTCTCTGTTCAGCCAGCGCGAATGCCCTCAACATGCTCTACGAGCCGTCCACCGATGCCAAAATGTCGCGAACAAGAAACAGGCCGCTTGTTCGAAAACTAGTGTCGCCGCGCATCGCCGCGCTGTTTGCCATCCTCGCCGGTGCCACCGGCGTTGGCGCCCTGTATTTTGGCGTCAACCCCACCGTTTCGTTCCTGGGCCTCTCAAACATCGTGCTGTACGCGGGCATATACACGCCTTTAAAGGCCGTCACCGCATTCAACACCTGGGTCGGCGCCCTGGTAGGAGGCATCCCGCCCCTGATGGGATGGGCGGCGGCCGCGGGCGAGGCAGCCACCAACGACGGCTCGTGGCGCGAACTCCTCTTTGCCGGCGACGGATCCTCCATCGGCGGCTGGCTGCTCGCCGGCCTCCTCTTCGCCTGGCAGTTCCCGCACTTCATGGCCCTCAGCTGGCCCATCCGCGACGAGTACAAGGCCGCGGGCCTCCGCATGCTCGCGTGGACCAACCCGGCGCGCAACTCGCGCGTCGCGCTCCGCTACAGCGTCGTCTTCATCCCGCTGTGCCTGGGGCTCTGCGCCGCCGGCGTGACGGAGTGGTCCTTCGCGGCAACCAGCCTGCCCATCAACGCCTGGCTCATCCACCAGGCCGTGCGGTTCTGGCGCTTCGAGGGCCACAAGGGCAGCGCGCGCGGTCTCTTCTGGGCAAGCGTGTGGCACCTGCCTGGCGTCATGATCCTGGCGCTCCTCCATAAAAAGGGCATGTGGAGCCGCGCCTGGAAGAGCGTCTTTGGAGATGACGACGGCGAGTGGGAGGAGGAGGAGCTGGAGGAGATGGCTGGCATGACGGCCGCCCATGTTGCCGAGAAGGCGGGCAACACCAGGTCGTAAAATCGCCCCTCAATTTGGGAGTGTGTCATTCATGACAGGAGATGTCCGCATCTATCCTTTGTATTATATCCGGGACATTAGAGTGGATGCATAGCGCAAGGGTAAAAGGGGCGTGTAGCTGTAGTTTTGACATGTGTGGTGTGGCTGCGATACTTGTACTAGTAAATAGCATGAATGCATTCTGTGACTGATACACGATGTGCATAGCCAAGCGTCGAATTTGATAGCTGCCACAGAGGTTCTGGTGATTTGAATCTAGCAGCATTCACGGCGATGGCATCTTGCGGCGGCTTCGAATTCAAGAGCCCTTCTGCCACAGGCCGGAGTTCAATGGATACTGTAGTCCTTGCAGAGGAAACAGTAGCTACATGATACGTGCAATCGAGGAGTATTCCACCTACCCGTGAACTCGGGGGCTTTCTAGATATCGACATCAATAAAGGCTCGAAAGACCTCCGTTGACCCTTCCTTGGTATTACTGCTAGTGACTGAGATTGAGACGTCTTGGCCCGCAGGCGCTTTCTAGCACAAGTAAGAGTCATTTAATAGGCTTTCGTAGATGAGGCTTTGGATGGATGTCTCGATATCAGTCATTCGAATATACCCGTTGTGTAGCGTCTGCAAGTATGGATTAGTAGCTTACCTGTCTCGGAAGTCGTAGTGTTTACCTACTACGAGTGCTCTTTATTTATATAGAACGCTGTCTTTTTCCATAAAGAGCTCAACCTGAAAAGCTTTAATTAAGAATATATTCTATTTTGCCGAGGACGAGCTATATTGTTCATATTTTGATACCAGTGGGCGACAGCTGCGGCAGAATATATTTGCGTATCAAATCAACGGGTGCAAATACAGGTCTGATGAACACCCTCCCACAATGCTCAAATCACGAGCGTCATTCACCTCGGCCCTTGGACGTCTTTATTCAACCACCTTGATCTTCACTCACCTGTCTTTCTTCAAGCCTACCAAAGCTTCCGACGATCATGATTACAGCACTATTATCGGCTTGGGGAGTACTTCTGTGTCTCCTAAAGACCATGGCAGCAGGGGGTTGCTCCTGAAGGCGCGGCTCTTGACTGCCACAAGTCTGCTCTTCTTTTCTCAACAAGACTGCTGGCGTATTGCGCCTCTTTATCAGATTTAGGCACGGCGTACAACTGCGTCGGCGTGGCGCAGAACGGCAAAGTCGAGATCATCATCAACGGCAGACTAACCGGACTACGCCTTCCGAAGCACAAGCTTATGGAAACTGCGGCGGCAGTACCCTTTTTCCTAGGCCGGTTGATTGCATCACAAATAGTAAAATTTACAGCCATCATTGCTGAATCAATTCCTGGTAGGATACATTCAGTTGTACAATCAAGGCATCAAACCCGTCAAGGCTGTACCTTGAATGAAGCTGCCCCTCGAAAGACCTGTTTACCATTATAATTCTTGTATTCATGGACGGGTATTATTTATGCTAATGCACAATTTTTACGGTACAATGCAATGCTCCGGACATGTTGCATGCCTAATATAACAATCTCAAAATCAATCCCAAGTGCTAATATGCAAAAACTACGCCACTTGCAGCCGCTTTAAAATTTAGGGGCATTCAGGAACAGGCCCATGATGACACCGCCAAGGGTGCCAGCAATGGGGATGGTCATGATCCAGGAGAAGAGCAAAAGCCCCACTCGCTGAAAGTTGACGGCCTTGAGGGTTCCGTTGCAGAGACCGACGCCGACAGTAGCACCGGTAATGCACATGGAAGTAGATACGGGAAGGGAGAATTGAGAAAAGACCAGGACGGTGATGGCGGCGCCCATCTCCATGGAGCTTCCACGGCTTGGAGAGTGGTACGTGATCTTGTTGCCCATGACTATGCCAAAACGTCAGCAGCTGATGGTTTTGTCCGTTTCAAAAATGGGATTACGCGCATGGATGTATAGACTTACCCTTCATGATGTTGTAACCGTATGTGATGAGGCCAACGGAAATGGTGGCAGAGAGCACAGCGAGCTGCCAGACGTCGACGGGAGCCTTGGCCTGGGCAGCATTGCCCGTCTTCCAGGCACCATAAATGACAGCCCAGGGACCGACAGAGTTGCCAATATCGTTGGCGCCGTGAGCAAAGGAAGCAGTGCAGGCAGTAAGGACCTGAACAAACGAGTAGGTATGCTCGACTTCGTTGGGGTACTTTTCAGCGGCAGCGTAGACGCGCTTCATGCGTTCGCCTTCAGGGGTGCCCTCAATGCCGGTCTGGGCGGCGTGGATATCATAGTGAAGACCGTACAAGAGACCAGAAACAACCATGGCAGGAATGCGCTTGGCAAGGATCTTGATGTTGTGCAATTCGTAGATCTGACCAGCGCCCATAGGGTTGTCGCGTAGGGTTCGCATGGCCCAGCCGAGGGGCCCACGCTTCTTCATCAGGCGAGCGTTGAATCGGGCCTCACCCTCAGCAACGAGCTCCTTGTAAGACTTTTGGGTGGCCTCCAGGTTGGCTAGGCTCTTCTCGTTGCCCCCCCTGGTGGCCTCGGACATGGACATGATGCCATGCTCCTTGCCCTGTCCATCCTCGGCCGTCAGCTTGGGAGAGTGCGTGGCAGACTCTTCAAGGTCGTCGTCATGCTGAACAACGGCGTAGTTGGGGACATTAGCTCGTTCGGCATTCTCAGGCGCAGGGCGCTTAAAGAGCAGGGGGCCAAAGATGAAGTGCCACCACTGAATACTTGGATCCTTCTTAATGACCTTGGCATGGACAAAGGGTACGAAAAAGATGGCGGCGAGAATAGCCACGCCACCACCAGTGCCCAGAGTCACTGCGGCAATATACCAGGCGGGTTTCTTGCCAAGACCCAGATTGGGTGAGCCCTTATAAACAATCGAGAGGGTGCAGATGGTGGCGGCAATAAGGAAGAAGAAGGGAGAGGTGTAGACAGCCCAGGGAACGGGATTCTTGCGCATATGGACAACCAACTTGACGAGCATGAAGATAGTAGCAGCAAAACCGCCAGAGATGACCGGGGCCATGCCTAGACCAGCAAAGATGGCACCGAGACCCTTTCCGTCATTCCAACCCCATTGAACCTTGGAGGCGCCGACAGTAGCAACACCAACACCGGCAACGGCAGAGATTAAGGAGTAGGTGGAGGAGACGTGAGCTGAGTGACGCGTGCACCACATGACCCAAGACGAAGCGGCGGCAAGAGCGCAAGTAAAAGCAAGCATCTGAACACCAGCATTGTTCTGGAAGGCCGAGTTGGGAATAATGCCGTTCTTGATTGTTTCAGCAGTACGGGCGCCGACGGTGATGGCGCCAAGCATTTCAAAGACGGTACCGAAAATCATGGCCTGTCTATAGGAGATGGATCTCGAGGAAACACTCGTGGCCCAAGAGTTGGCCACATCATCTGCCAAGAGAAGAAGAAGCATGGTTAGCTGGACGGGACCCCTACAGATAAAGAAACCATCGCCAAGACGGCAGTAGAGTAGCGTGGATCTGATCTTGGTCTGGGGGGGCTTGGCTTTTCGTTTTGTTTTGCGGAGTAGTACTCACTTGCGCCATTGTTGAAGGCATCAAGCAGGGCAAAGAAGGTGCCAATAGCAAAGACGTAGTCGTATTGGTGAAGAGTCATCTTGGAGAGACGTCGGGAGTAATCTCTGGCGCCGTCTTGGATGATGCAACGGAATTGGATCTCTTCCTTTACTTGAGACAGACCAGCACGGGCGCGGCTGGCCTTTTATGTCATCTGACTGATCAATTTGAGCGAGAAAAACCGGCAGGGCTCTCCGTCGTGGCGGCCAGGCTGACCATGCTTTTTTGTCATTTCCTCTCCAGCTGGCCACCCCCGGCTTCCTGGCCGAGGCGTGAATGCGAACTGAACAAGACCCAAATACGATGAGGCATTCGATTAGGACCAGCCAAGATTCATTCATCCCGTTCTGTTAAGTTGTTGTGTGGCGTGTAAGCTTAACAATAACAGTGACAGGGGTTGAAACTTGATGCAGGGTGGCATCCCAAACAGAAACCATTGTTGTACACATACGTACATGACTTCCTATCAGATTCCCCAGACCTTACACGTGCGAGCAGGCCAACATCACAGCGGAACCTCCCCTGTTGGGTAGGTCGAGGAAACAGGGGCTGAGACGCCACACAGGCCATTCCCATGTCCAATAGATTGGCTCTGCATCCTGGCCGAGGCTGCACACTTCCGGTGATCTAGCCAGAGGAGGAGACCGAACCGTGGGGGCCATGCTCGTGGAAATAAGACAGCCATCAACGCAAAGTCGTCAAGTTGGCACACGTGCGAACCTGCCCAAAGCGAGTCCAGACGGACATGTTCTTTCGGCCAGCTCCCTCAAGTGGCCATGACAGTTGGACAGAATGGCTCACGCATGGTTCTCGCCAAGACCACTTCGAGGCCAAGTCTCGGCTGAGAGCAGATGCGTCTCGGTGTCCCATCGTACAAAAGGACCGTTAAGCACATAAAAGTGGCTTCAGACCTGGTGTGTTGGCGTTACGAGAAGAAACACTGACTCCAGTGAGTAAGAAGTGCAATGACATCTAGTTTGTGACGCTTGCGCTCATCGCAGGAACCGAATATAACGGATCACAGTACGGCGTTGAAAGGTTCTGTTGCTTATCCGTGGTCCAGGTAATCAGACTACCGGTAAGTGGCAAGGGTGACGTCCCGTTCTGTTGAAGGGTTCAATGCTTTCTTGGTACTGGGATTCTTTTGGTGGTTGGCGAAAACAAAAGAAGAAAAGGAAGTCTTGTCGAAGCTCAGTGTCGAAATGTCCACGCACGGCTTTCCACGTGGGGTTAGTTGTGTCGCTGGGCATCACCGCGAGTCTGCCCGGGAAGGGTGCGACCATGTTGATGAGCTTATTTCAACGGTGACAAAACTGGAGCAGGACTATCAGAAGATGGGCCGAAAAGACGGGGCAGAGCTTGGGAGGGTGCATGAGGGCCTTTTTGCTTGCAGCGAGAAGTTCGGCAGCAGGGCTTCAATGTTGTCACGATGCGAAGCACGTGGTGGGGCTAAGTTAGCTCTCACCTATCAAGATGCCTGCAGCTTTCAACACTAAACGGCAGTGTCGTGAATCATGATAATGTCAAGTATAAAATGACTTGGTCATCGGGCCGATGCAATAATTCTGTCTTCTCGTGCTGAAGAGAAGAACTTCAAAAATAAAGATATAGGCACTATATGTATCAATGGCTTACAGAATCATAAATGCTGTTGCTATACTGTAACAGCTAAGGTTCCTAAGAGATAAACTAGTTATAATTTATATTAGTAAAGCTATTAAGATAGTTAATCTAAGTAATTAAGTATTATATTAATAATAGGTTATAAATTATAATTAAGTAATTAAAGTTAAAAAGTTATAAGTAAAGCTTAAATTAATATAATAATTATTATTAAAA